CTTGTTGGTTGATTGCGGTCCATGCTAGAGGTTCGGCCGCCACGGGGTAAGAGGTTGTAGTCTGGGTATTTGAGGGAGAGGGGTCGCTGGATTTGTTGGTGTTTGGTTCTGTTCTTGAGGTGGCGGTGGAAAGGTCGTCGTCAAAAGCGTCAAAGGGTGAGTGTGAGCTGGAAGATATTTTGCGTATGAGTGAACTCGTCGCTAGGTTCTTATAGAAGAACCTTTCTGCCGTTGTAGTGGTACCATTGCCGGCGTCCAGCAGTACTGGATCATCTGACGACATCTTGCCATCTGGGTAGCATTCTGCGTATATCGGCATTGGTGGACTAGGCCTCATATCACTTCGCTTTTTATCCATGGCCCTGTAGAGCCGATTTATTACATATGCTTTGCGAGCCGCACGATCCTTTTCCTCTCTTTTGAGCGTCCCGCCCAAAAAACTGCATTGAGAGTTTCCCGTTCCCAAGATAAGCCCGAGTTGATCTAGGATCTGATCTTCAAAGCTCACAGGCTGAGTGGTTACCAGCTTGGGTTCCGACCGGCCAAACTTGACCAGCCGGTATAGGTGACTACATTCTACAATGCCCTTTGGGTTGAGTCCGAACCAGCGATTCAGTCTAGAAGAGTGGCCATTCCAAATATCAATGCCTACTTTTGCAATCTTCGGATCTTCGATCAGGCGTTTCAATGAAGGCGCGATAATGTCCTGGCTCGTCTTCCCTGGATGTATCCCAAGATGAAACAGGGCAACCTTATCCTCGGTAGCAATTTGTATCAGCCCGACTTTTTTTTGCAGAGCTTCTTTTGAGCAGTCGTCCTCAGCCCATTGCATATCAAATGCAACGATTGGTAATAGTCGGGTTAGGAAGTGTCGGGCAGCGAGTTCTGAGTCGCGCTTACTACAGCTGTAAAAGACTTTGGTTTTGCCTTCGTTGAAATCGCTGGATACCACGGGACTCAAAAATTCCTGTAAATCCAGCAAGCGCGACGACGACGAGAAGCCACTAGTTTGGAGACATGAGGCTTCGGGCTTGCGTTTCTGCATATGGAACGCTAGTGGCCAATGCGGGGTAGGCGTTCTGGACGTCCACGCAGCATTGACTATTTGTGCTCTGCGGCAACATGATGGATACTTTGCAAGTATCTGGCGATTGAGAATTGTTGAAGGCATGGGTGGTGTTGCCTCAATTCTGAATTGCAGTGTGGTGATGATTTTCCGCCTAGAAGCACAGACGCTGCAGGTGCTGCTTTACGCGCTATCACGTGCATATTGTTAGCGTTAGCGCGCACCTGTTTAAGCTCCTGCCCGCTTGTGTTCCCTTGGGCTCTTCTTCTCTCATCATACTGACGTCGGATCGCATGATTTGGCATATGATATCGCGGGAGTTGCCATGTTATCCCCTCGTTACAAATCCTTCGCCGTATTGTTACACGCTGACATCTTGGCAACACGGTTGACAGAGACGAGATAGCTTCTCCCAAGTCCGTCGTCGCTACTGAGACAATGCCTTTGTCCGTGGCGCCTGATCTAGTACAATAGTGTGCCTCGGGTGGTCACTAACCTCAGCCATGGTGTTAGAAGACACTTCTCGAACAGCAGCAGCCTCGCGGGTAGCGCTGTGGAGCATCGAGCTAATGGTAACAGGTGGTGGAGAAATGTCATCGCACATCAAAGCACGAAATTCAAAGAAGCAATGATTCCAGTTTGTGGTGATATAGCAACCTGTTGAGCTTCATACCACCACTGCGAATTATGCTGATACACCAAAAGCGTTCAATCTCATGGCGCAAAAAGCGCAAAAAAGTCCAGGTCCAACTGGATTGTCGCGCTGACTCACAACGTCCACTGCGGGAGGCGGTACGTTTCGTAGAACTGTTTCCAACTGTTCCACGTTCCGTGGATCCTGAGGTTTTCGACATCTCCACCTCAGTTGTGAAGTTTGAACGGCTGAGGCAGACGGACTGTCACGACTTCTTACAAGTTTCCATAGGATGCGCGCGACGGGACGAAGCGTTCAACCCCATCCGTTTACAGGGTATCTGGAAGAAGCCGCATCAAGCATTTTGGCCATGGACGTTGCCAAGACGTGACAGATGGTGTCTCGCGCACTACCCGTTTCACGCGTACGGAGTTCAGCCCTGGTGTTAGCACGAAACCCTGGCATTCATTACAATCGCGCTGCGACATCATGTGCCACGGAAGTTACCTATGCCTTGAAGACGCGTACTCCATCTCGTGTATATGTAGACCAGCAGCTCCCCGTTGAATTATGCAGAAGTTAGATTACACTCCATCTTTACTGCATTGAGCATCATAGAACCGAATCTCACACCGAACAAACTAAATTCCTACTCAATTTCGTCATGCATTTCTCTACAGCATTCGCTGTTGTCGCTCTCGCCGTGCTAGCACAGGCGCAAGTCCCAACAGGCTTCAAGCCTTCGGTCAACACCAAACTGGAAGTCATCTACAACTCGACCATGATCATGGAAGCAGGTCAATTATTTGGCAAAGCGGGTATGTCGCCTTCCCCATTCCTGTCTCTCATAAGACAAAATTCTAACATAACAAAGACGTCCAAACCCAACCGAAAATCGCCCTCACCAGTGCCATGGCCAAAGCTAGCGAAACATACATGTTCGTAATGATCGACCTAGACGTGCCCCCCGCCAACGGCTCCACCAAACGCCGCACACTCCTCCACTGCATGAACACGGGCTTCAAAGCCACAAAGCAACAAATCGGCGGCGCCGCCACCGTGCTCGCAACCACGGAGAAGGGCCCGTCGAACTACATCCCCCCTGGTCCCCCCGCCACAGACACCGTCGCCCACCGCTATGTCCAACTCCTGTTCGCGCAGCCAGCAAACCTCAGCGTCGCAAAGGCCGATGTTTCGGATAGGGTAGGCTTCGACATTGTCGCTTTCATGACAAAGTACAAGCTTGCGGAGCCCATGGCCGGCAACTTTCTCACGGTCGATGGACGCATGAATGTGACTGCTACCGGTGGGGCGAAGCCTACGGGGACGAAGGGTAGTCCCAAGCCTAGCGGGACACCGCCGATGCAGTTCCAGGGTGCGGCGGCGGAGTTGGGCGTGCCGTATGGGACGGTGGGAAGGCTGGGTGCCTTGGCGCTGGCTGTTATGTTTATATTGTAAGATGTGCATGGGTGTATGGATGAGATGCGATGATACCTGGTTTGATTTTTCCCTTCTCTCTTTTTTTTCCTTTCCTTTCTCTCCTGTCAATAAATATCGAAGTCGTTACGAAGGTATGATGAATTGTATAACACCAACAACAAAAGTAGCAACAACAAAATTAAGCAACAAGAACAAATATCCAAATCTTCTATTTTCTTCTGCTAGGTCTTTCTCCACCTCAAGCAAGTCCTACCTCCCTCCCCCTCCCCCTCAGAATAACCTGAATACAATCCACCTTCGCCATACCCCCTTCACCCTTCACCCCCCTCTCCCTATCTTTCGCCTCCCACACAATCTCCACATCCCTTGCCACCCTTCTCAAACTGGGAAACCTCTTTGCCAACCATAACTTCTCAAACCTGCTTCTCACGAAAGCCCGCTGACTCTCGCCAACGGCCTCGCAGCCCGCGGTAAAAAGCGGCCACATATGCGCTGCCGTAAGCGGAGAAGACACGTCGACGCGTTGCAAGTGGAGCAGACATTGCGATATATGTTCCATAGAAATGGGATTGGGAGCGCCGATATCAAGCCATGTGCGGTAGAGGTAGATGAAGGCTGCGTGGCGGTATGCTTCGGCCGTTGCGACGATATCGGACTTTGCAAGCTCGTCTTCTTGCTGGTTTGAAACTGTGATAGTAAAATCCATAGACAGTAGTGCTTGTTGTATACACCCCCCTACTGTATTTTCCTCTTCCGTCAATGGTGGACTAGAAGGCGAAGCTGCTCGCCGCATTTTTATCACATGTTGTAAGTGGCTGATACGCGCTACGACGAGTAAGACGTCAGCGATAGACTTGAGGTTTTGCTCGCCTTCGATGGCGGGGAAGAAGTCGGTGGTGTGGTCTAGTAGGGGTTGAGAACTGCGTGAGACGGAGGAGAGAATGTCGTGGTATGCGAAGAGGCTGGTTAGGAAACGGGCGCTTGAGGAGGTGAGCCACGTTTCTCCTCCTATTGCTGCTGCTCCGCTGCCGCCACGTCGTGCTATCATGGCTTTGGCGCCGGTCAGGTGGTTCGCTACGTGTGCTTCGTCGTCGTCGTCGAATAGACGTGATGATACTTGCATCATCATGACTGTGGCAAGGGCGGGTTCGAGGTTCATATCCTCTGGGTCTTGGATCATACGTTGAAGGTCGCGGATAGCATTGTGTTGGTGGCGGTAGCCTTGTTGGTACAGCGATGAGTCGTTTGAGCTGGTTGCGAGATGATTTACTGCCATTGAAAGGATCGTGGATCGTAGTGCAGAAGATTCGTATGCCATGGCTGTTAGATGTCGTTGGAATGGTGTTGGGACACCCGTCCTAGGTGCCACAGATATCAGCGGCGAAAGTCGATCGACCCAGTAATTCAAAAGCCATCGATCATCCAACGAAAGACCATAGGATACCCCGGGGCTACCACACAGCGGTAGCAGAGGCATACTCTTCGCTGACTGAGGCGACGTCGACGATGATATAGTTCCATCTGGACTTTGTAGCGCGGGCGTAGACGCGAAACTGATGATCGAAGACGGACTAAAGGCCTGGTCTTCTTGTTCAACAGCAACCTTCTTCTTCCGACTCTTTCTCGGCGGTTTTGCCAAAGTGCTGACCGCGTCGTCCAGCCATTTCAATTTGATTCCATACCCTTTACACACAATCTTCAGCCTGGTGCAGCGGCTGCAAAAAGGTTTTTGTTCGTCACATTTGTAGCCGGCTTCTCGGCATGTCCAACATCCTGTCCGCGATCTCTTGTGGGTGGCCATGTCGTATGTCGACCATTTTCTAGGCTAGAGTCACATTGCCTGCTCCTTGCTAGTATGGCTGCGCGGAGTCTGACATATCAAGTGGTGTTGGAAGTGGTGGTGTAAATAAAGTAGCTGAGAAGAGTGATCGAATAAAGGTGATAATTATGAGAAAGCGTTGATTTATTCAAGCTTGAGAAGGATGCTGCGTTTTGTTAAACCTCAAGAGTCGAAGGATACGAGGTCATGTCTATTTCAGAGATGCGAGGTGCAGTGTGGCAAGTGGCACTAGTTACTAGCTCCCTTTGACATAAGCCGAGGCAGCTGAGCATATCTGCAGCGGACTTCAGATTCTTAAATTCCGTTTACAGGAAGATGTTGTTCGTAATTAAGTAGTATTGGATAGATTTCTGAGTGAGATTGTATTAAAACCTCACCTACAACTTCGCCGTATCCTTCCACACCAGGCCACCATCTTGCTCAACATACTGCCTCCCCTTAGTCCACCCCATCCATATACTCAGCGTCTCCTCTCCTCCGTTACCCGGCTCAAGTCCCTTCTCACTCCATCCGCCACCTTCCCATCCAATCCCCTGTCCCACCGCCGCCTCTCTCTCATAATCACCCTCATGAATAGCATACCCAGGACTCGACTTGAGCGTAACAGCCGGTCTCTGATCGAACCCCTGGCTCTCCAAGTCCGCCTGGGTAAACACAGGTGTACAACAAGCATCCGTCCCATCAAAAACCTCCTCCCACTCTCCCCTCGTCCTCTTCCTAAACTCGCTCGCAAAAAACTCTTTCAACCGCGGCCAATCCGCCTTATCCTCCCTACTCCCCGGTAAATCCTCAGCCTTCAACCCCATCCCCCTCAGCAGCGCAGCCCAAAACTGTGGTTCAATCGCCCCAACAGCCATGTACCCCCCATCCTTAGTCTCATAAGTATCATAAAACGGCGCCCCACCATCCAACATATTCGTCCCGCGTTCACCCTTCCAAACCGCCGTTTTAGTCCCCAACCGCGGCATCGTCGCTAATATGGCACTCCCATCCACCATATTCGCCTCCACTACCTGTCCAAACCCACTGCGTTCGCGCGCAAGCAGCGCAAGCAAGATACCCAGTACACACATGGCACCACCGCCCGCAAAATCTCCAACCACATTGCCCGGCGGATACGGCTTCTCGCCCTTCCGCCCAAACATCGATAGCACGCCTGACACAGCAATGTAGTTTATATCGTGACCTGCCATTTTGCTGTATTTACCGTCGCGTCGGAAGCCCGTCATGCGCGCTACGATGAGGCGGGGATTGAGCTTCAAGAGCACGGTTTCGGGGTCTAGGCCGGCTTTTTCGAGCACGCCGGGGCGGAAGGGGTCGATGATTACGTCGACTTTGGGGATAAGTTTTTTAATGAGGGCGAGGCCCGCAGGCGACTTTAGGTTCACGCATATCGAGGTTTTGCGGCGCGTGAGCTGGTCCGATGTAGGTGCCGCGGGGGCGCGGTCGAGGCGGAGGACTGTGGCGCCGTAGTCGGCTAGGAGCATGCCGGCGAAGGGGCCTAGTGTTTGTTAATATCTTTGTTTTTGAAGGGAATTGAGATCAAGGCGGATGTACCGGGTGCTAGGCCTGCGAATTCGAGTACGCAGATGTCCGCGAGGGGAGGTGGTTGATGGGCTGTCATGATGGGCGGTGACGCTCCTTGCGCTGCTACTGTTATTTCAAGCAATAGAAATAATAGAGCGAGAGCATGTACAAGTTAGATGTAAGATTATACATGCTTGACATGGACATTGTTGGTTGTTGCGCCGGATAAGGGCTGCCGCGGGGAAGACGCGTTGGATACCGAGGTAGAAATGTGGAGATCTGAAAGCTGGGGTAACTAAGGTGAGCCATTGCATGTTTGAGCTGCCTGCGTATATTGTGTACTTGAACTACAAGCAATCGGTTTTGATTTATTTTTTCTTGTTATATAACAAGTGTAGAATTTTTGCCGAAAAGACTTCGACGCAATCTTGAAGAATTATCCCCTTCGTGTATATGAGGACATGAAATCTTCTAGATCGTAAGACTCGTGCAGTGCTTTGAGACAGCCGAGTGCGTAACCCATCTATTTCAAAGCCATTCGGTATAGCCGATTTGCAGTAGTTCCGTGTCGACCTGATATGATCAACTACACGAACCTGCCTCAAGCTAAGCGATCCCCAACTGTTTCCTAAACTGTCCCTCAGCGAACGGCTCAACCCAGCGAAAAATACCCTCCTTCGGATCCATAACACAGAGGAAGTACGTCCTGGCGTTGATCACCGGATAGAAGCGTACAAGCTCAATCAGCCTCGGCAAAGTCAAGCCAGTCATGACCTGGTTTTCCTCACGCGCCTGCTCAATTTCCCAATCCGACCAGCGTCGCTTCAGACCGTGGTTGCGTTCAAGGCTTCTTTGCACCCTGATATTGCCCTTTGCGCACTCCACGTAGCGCCTGAACCTCATGGTCTCATCGTCGGTGGCTTGGACCTTGAGTGCGTGGAGGACATCGAGAGAGTCGTCGTGGTTGGCTACGTGGATGAAGGTTGACGAGCGGCGTATCTTTGCGGTGCAGAAGTGCTTTTCCAGGATTACTGTTTCGGTGGGCGTGCAGAAGGTGATGTAGGCGAGTGAAGTACCCATCGTAGGTATGACTTTGATAACATCGTCCATAGCGTATGGCGGAAGCGACTCGGTGTGTGTAGGACCCTTTTCATCATTCTGATTGCATGTCTCGAAAAGCCCCTCTTTTCGCCTTGGTTTCTCCATCTGTCTGGGAAGCAGACAGTCGCGTAGCAGAGTACAGATACTGGGTCTCATCCCCAGAACTACCATGAGTGTGTGCCAGTATGACTGTAAGCGCTCTGACGACCAGAAAGGCTTGTCATGGCTAGGACGCCAGCTGATTGATACACTCAATCCTTTGCGTACCCCAGTCAGTACCCCAACATGTCCAACAAACCCCAGTGTCCTGGCAATCACCGGTCCGCCCGGTTTTTCAACAAACTCGAACTGAGCAAGTGCACGGCGCATCACATGCTGGCTCCAATCCAAAGCCCGGAAATGCATCATGGTTGGCTCAAGGAAACCCGGTTCGTTGACAGCGGCGCCGCCGCTGGTACAGCCCAGAAAAACGTCTATGGAGACGTTCCACACAATGAGAATATACAACGGGATGTTGCATGTATCACACATGCCCTTTATCTCTTCGGTTTGCTCGAAACTGTGCAGCTGGTAGAGCAACAAACTGGCTATGAAGTGAAGGAGCTTGATGGGAAGTTTCCATTGGCGAATGTGCATGTCGAGGAGCTCTGACAGTGGGTGCAGGGTATCGGCGGCCTTTGCTGCAACGTGTGCATAGCGCTCTCGGGGTGGTAGCGAGAGGTCAATGGTATAGACGGTAGGTGCCATGGTATCCTCCATGCTGAGGCAAGTATGTTTTGGAGAAGTGTTAGAGTTAGATTTGGAGATTTTAGGGAATTGATTTGGACATGTTAAGGAAACGAACGTGGGATCGAGGGACCTCTCGGTACCACAGAGCTCCTTCGAAGATGACCCGATTACATCACAGTATCGCCTCTTCTACTTACTCCAAAAGTAAAGCCGCAGTCACACAGACTTTCTCCGTTTTGTTTTCAAAGAGTGTTTTGCTGGCTAGGAAGCCATTGCACGCGCCATGTCCGTAAAATGAGTGTCGGTACCAGGAAAAGTGACTTAGAGAAATTGAACCTGAAGTCCGCCCAACCAGACAAAATGAACTACCGAAATGTTTAATGAGATTATTTCCGAAACAGTAAGGAGTCACTGGCGATTGCCTGCTAGATTGTATCCAAGTGACCATTCGCTAACGTTTGACTGTAAAAAGGCGACTCACATTGTGCGTTCAAAATATGATAGCGACACAGCAAATTCGCGATCGAGGAGAACCCCCTAGCCTGTAAAAAGGAGCAGACGCGAAGAAATACCCAAGTCCAAGTACATGACTCTATTTCGTTTGTCCCGTCCAAGCTGTCCGCTATTGCACATTAAATGAGCCTTGCAACCAATCTTCACATACCGTTCTGATGCACACACATGTACACATATTCATACATTCTTCCTTATTCATCTTATTCTGATACCTCACATCTACGCCCTCGCTTTCCTGGCCTTGGGCTTGCTACTCTTCTTACCCGCGTTCCTAAGCCTCTTCTTCTCCTCGTTCGCCTTGATCCTCACTGCCCTCTTGCGCCACGCCGTCCATCGGTCACCAGGTACAAACTGCTTGACCTTTACGCCAGCCCGTTCTGCCGCACGTCCAATCTGCCAATTGGCCTCGCGGTATGCATAGCCCTTGCCGCGAGTAAGACTCAGTCCCTTCCTGGTCGCTTCCCGCGGAGTGTCGCGAACGCTGCTGGGGCTGCCTGTTCCGTCGCCGACTTGGAGATCTGTTATTACAACTGTGTCGGCAGAGGGGTTTGTAGGTGATGTGATTGGAACGGCAAACATGTTTAAACGTCTCCGTCGTGCGGCATTGGGTGGGTAGGGTAATGTGTGGTCCTTCTCCAATGCAACGCCAATGTACTGTCTCTTTGGGTGTTTGCGTGGGTCTTTGTAGTATCGCACGTAGCCAGACTCGGTAGCGAATATGCAGTGGTCACGGCCGAATTTGCAGTTTTCACCGGGGAACCATTGGGTGCCTCGCTGGCGGAAAATGATGTTTCCAGGTATCACATATTCTCCTACCATTGTCATTAGCTATTGGTCCCTTTGATCTGTTTGGTGGCAGCGAAATGTACCTCCGCTCTTCTTCGCTCCTAGACGCTTTCCTGGTCCATCCTTTGCTCCATTGGCTCGTCCTTGGGCTTGATGCGCTGAATGTCGGACGAAAGAAAGGATTGGGGCGGGGGTGGAGATGGCATTGGCCGCACGGAGGGCGTCGAGAACGCGGATAGAGGGAGCGATAAAGGCCGTTGACGTTGATATTGATGCGCGGACAGGCGCAAGTAATCGTGGGAGCAGCATGGCCGTTCTGGTGCTGGGGAGGCGTGGGTTGCAGTTGCCCTGCGACTTTTCGAGATGCTCGTGGGTCCGTGCTGTCTCCGCAATATCAGACGACTGCCTCTACAAACTTCACTCCAGCACGTCATGAATAGAAACAAGACATTTTTTGTACACGTAGTTTCATCGAATCATCGCGTACACATTTCATACGTCAACTATAACATGAACAGGCTCAAGACAAAAATCTAGCGCACTAGCGCCCAGAACACCTTGCATGAAAAGAGTGCCAACCCAGAGAACAGACAGTCTAGGAGCAGCGATACCCTTCCAAAAGCCCGTTCCTTTACTGCACTTGGTTGACAATCTCTTGCGCCTTTGTCAAGCTCTCCACCATTTGCTGGCAATCCTTCCGCCTCTTGACTGTGTAGTCCGACTCCTTGAGCAGCTCATCAAGCTCATCCGTCTTGTACATGTTGGTGAGCAGCTCACCTTGCATGTTCTCCTTGGTCCATTGTACAAGGTTCAACATAATGGCCTTGGGCACCATGTCAATCATTGTGCGACGAACAATGTTGAAGTAGGAAGTGATCAATAGTTCTGAGCGATTGTTAGTATTTTAATGAGATAGGTACATGTGTGAGCTTACTAATGACTTCAACTTCTTGTGACTCTTTCTCGGACAGAGTACCAGAGGCTTTCAGTGTTGGTGGTGGGGGCTCCATGGCAGCCATCTTCTTCTTGTTCTTACTAGCGAAGAAAGAGCCAAAGAAACCACCACCGTCGTTGGGATCAAGCGATGGCGATATCGACCGCGGCGGTACCGTAGGTGGTAGCGGCTTTCCGGTCTTGGGATCCACTTGCTGCGGCCGGGCACTGTTGTGGCGCTCGTGGACAATAGCCATAGCACGCGAACCGTTGATGAAGTCTGGGTGACCAGTGTTGATGTATACTGATTCCATGGCGACCAGATCCTTTACAAGCTTGTTCGTCGGTTCCATGGCCTTCTTGAAGAAGCTGACAACGACCTGGTGCAACTTTTCTTTCAATCCTGGGTACCTCCGGAAAGTGTTCTTGTTGAGTAATTGGCCAAGAATACGGATCAACTCGTCGTAGACAAGGCTGACACACTTCAAACTGGGGTCTTCCAACCGCTTGATCTGTTGCTTGACGATAAGCTCGAATGCAGTAGTACCGACAAACAATGCTGGCGATGAACCAGAAGAGTTGTATAGAACTGTTCGGATGTCCATATCCTTGACCTGATCAAAAGGATCAACAGATTTAACACCATTGGCATACAGCTCATGGTAAACGAAAGAGATACGGGCACCTCCAGACAGCTCAACTGCAGACAGCTCCTGGTTGTTGCCCTCGAGAACCCCCCTGTATTCGTTTGTGAATTCTGTGATCATGTTGAGGACGATGTTGGAGCTGTTGCCTAGCATCGAGTTGCCGAGCGAGGCTAATTCTGCTTGGTATTTCTGGAGCGATGAGGCGATACGGGCCTTGATGTCTGGGAGAGTTTGTTTGATGTGCATCATGAGAATCTACAGTTGTTAGCTACTGTACTTGCAATTGACAGACCGAAGACGTACCAAGTTCAGCTTACGGGCCAGGTAGGGGGTACCGCAATACGCCGCCTTGTTGCGGTAAGCCTTGTGGTTCTCAAAGTATTGCTTCTCGTGCTCGAGCGCATAAGAGATGGCCTTCTTGTTCTCGATATCTCTCTGACCACGGTTGACCACTGGTACGTAGCCCAACCGCAGTGGAATGATACGGCCAGCAAGAATGTCTACAACGTCGGTTCCCTCGTCCATCAGGTCGACCTTGGTCAAGACACCGATTGTCCGTTGACCTTCTGGGTCAACTTCTCGGGCCAACTTCAGACCGTCTGAGTTGGCCAAATCGGTGTTCGCGGCAGTGACAGCCAGAATGATAGCATTTGGCTTGCTGATTTGCTTGAGGACCATCTCCCTGATCTGACGCTCAATATCCCTTGGCTGATCACCAACAGGCACCTTTGTCAGACCCGGCAAATCGACCAGTGTGAGGGTGAGGACATTTGGCGAGTATATCCGCAGGTTGATGGGTGCTGGCGAGATACCGGCATTGCGCCCAGTCTTCGACTCTGTCTCCCTCACAATCTCATCTCTAATCTTGCCAAAGTCGAAGAACTTCTGACCGGGAATGTGCAGAAACTCGCCCCACTCGTCAGCATTGTTCTCTTGATCCGTTGTCTTGGCTCCTTCGGCCGGAGCACCGTTTGGTTGCGACGCTGCGCGGTTGATGAGTTGGAGAATAAGCGGTCGCCGCGTAACGATACCGGTTCCTCGAGGCAAACTACAACACCATCAGCACGCGGTTTTGATACCGAATGTCCCAGAAGCACCTACAAGTCTCTCCCGACAATATTCTCTAACACGGAACTCTTTCCGCTGGACTGCGATCCTACGACAGCAATCTGGGGCAGGTCTATGGGGTTTTGGACCTAACATAGGCATCAGCATTGCGTTTATGACATTGCGCGCAAGTTGGTGGGAGGGAGTGACATACGCCGACAGTAGTGAAGACATCTTGTAGCTTGTTTACGAGCGTAATCAGCGTCGGGTCGTTTACGTTGATCCTGTACACTTGTCAACTGTCCGCACTACGAGGGGCTACCCAAAGACATGTGCCTACGCATTCGGATTTGTCGCCATGGTTGGCGAGGTCGAGGGTGGAGGATTCTTGCAGGTACGCTGAGTATGCGCGCAAAGGGGAGATTGTGTATGTAGGAGCTACGTATAGCGTGAAGGTTTAAGTGTCTGAGACGTGACACTGGCCTTGTTGCTTGCGAGTTGCGTAGCTGCTGCAGGTGCCAACGTCGGAGGAGCCCAAGCTTCTTACGCCACACGACTCAGCCACTGAATGCGACTTCCAAAACGTCTACCAGCAGATGCGCCCAATGACTTCGACGACTTCTTTGTCGCCACCGGTACCGCTCTGAGCTTTCTTGATTCATGGACTCACGGCCTCGTATTATATGATGCTAGTCAGATCATCATTACCCTCGACATAGCAGCCTACTAGGTCAACTGAAGTTTCCAAAGAGCACTTTATCGCCACCTTTCGGATAACTACCGAAAGTACCTATATATTCTTCTGATCAAGATGTGGGCTACAATAGTGCGTGTTGAGAGGCGAAACCACATGATGCGAAATGCGGTCACAAGACGCGGAAGAGCGTCGTCAGCGATTTCAGGCAGCAGTAATGGGCTCTTGGTACAATTTTCATACTAGTTCATGTACATGTATCAAACAGGCATGCTATGTAAAAATCCGCCTCTAGTCACATGCATTTACTCATCAGTCACAGACGCAAATTTCTCGGTCATCTTCTGTAGAAGGGCCTCGTACTGCAGACTTGTTAGCACATGTTCATGAGAGATGCATAATAACAACCTACCTTCTTGGTGACCTTCTCCTCGCCATCGCTAGGCAGTTCAAACTTCATCGAACGGAGCTCGCTCTGGATTTCTGATGTTGCATCGCGGACCTTGGGCCATGCGTGTCCCTGGGAGACTGCCTTTTGGGCCTCGTCGTGGAACGCCATCATGTTCTTCATCATCCACTCAGTCTTCCATAGCGGGCAGAACTGGTCGTAGTCCGAGTAACCGTTTTGTTGCAAGAAGTCCTCCTTGAGTAGTGTGGCAACGTCTAGCGTAATCTTGTCGCTGTCACCTAGAGCAGATTTACCGACAAGTTGCACGACCTGGTCGAGATCGTCCGATGTAGTAAGAAGCTCCTTGATGCGGTCGCGCAGACGCGGGAACTCAGGGTTGTTCTTGGCGTAGAACTTGTCGAGCGGCGTCGTGTACTTGCTGTAACTGATCGATGTGTTGACCGACGGGAAATGCTTTCGCTGAGCGAGCTTCTTGTCGAGACCCCAGAAGACTTGCACAATGTTGAGCGTACTCGTCGTGACAGGGTCCGAAAAGTCACCACCCGGAGGACTGACGGCACCGACAATAGACACACTTCCGAATCGTTCCGGGCTACCCAGAGCCTGTACACGACCAGCGCGCTCGTAAAAGGACGCAAGCTTGGCACCCAGGTAAGCGGGGAAACCTTGATCCGCAGGCATCTCTCCCAGACGTCCGGAAATCTCACGGAGCGCCTCCGCCCAGCGGGACGATGAATCTGCCATCATCGCCACGTCCTTACCCTGGTCGCGGAAATATTCTCCCACCGTAATTCCAGTGTAAATTGAAGCCTCTCGAGCAGCGACGGGCATGTTGGAGGTGTTGGCAATGAGGGTAGTGCGCTTCATGATAGGCTCCTGTTTGCCATTGACGTCGATGGTGAGCTGTGTAGAGTTAGCGCAGTACATATATGGATTCATTGGGTCTGCATACCTCTGGGAAGTCCATCAAGACTTCAGCCATCTCATTTCCTCGTTCGCCGCAGCCAACGTAAACGATAATGTCACTGTTGGAGAACTTGGAGAGCGATTGCGAAATGACAGTCTTGCCGCATCCGAAAGCGCCGGGAATACACACGGTACCACCCTGTACACTGGGGAAGAGGGAGTCGAGGACACGCTGGCCGACAATGAGCGGCTGGTCGGAGGACATCTTCTCGGTGGAGGGACGGGGCACTCGGACGGGCCACCTGTGCATCATGCTGTACTCGGTCTTGGTGCCGTTGAAGTCGAGCTCTAGGATCTTTTCATCGACAGTGTAGCTGCCCTTCTCAGCGATGCGAGTAATGGTACCCTTTGCGCGAGGAGGCAGCAAGATCTTGTGCTCGCTGAGCAGACTGTTCTCGAAGACGGTACCAAAGACATCACCACCAGTGATGTGGTCGCCAACCTTGAGCGTGCCTGGTGTGAAATCCCACTTCTTCTTACGGTCGAGCGCGGGCAAGTTGATACCACGAGGAATGTAAATGCTGTTCGCGTCTTCGGCGATACCCTTGAGGGGGCGCTGGATACCGTCATAGATGGTTTCCATGAGACCCGGGCCGAGCTCGACGGACAATGGCTGTCCAGTCCTGAAAACGGGGTCTCCAACGGTTACACCGGCTGCATGATATTAGCCAAGTCCGTTGTATGTGTGCGCACTTCTTCTGTGCATACCAGTCTCTTCGTAGACCTGGATGGTGGCCTTGTCGTTTTCGATTCGGATGACTTCACCAACGAGGTTTTCATGACCGACACGGACCTAGAACCGTCAACATCGTCTCTCGCACTATGGCGCATTCCACATACAAGCTCGTACATGGCACATCCGATCATGTTCTCGGCGATGATGACAGGACTGCGCGGATCAGTATGCGCCTCGGAGGCTGGGGTGTGGTGACATACCCGGAGATCGAGTAGATCTGGCCTGTACAGTGTTAGCAGTCTGTTCTAGTATATGCGATGCGCATATTGAGGATATCCAAACATACCATGCTCGTCCGAGTCCGACTTCTGGTCTGGCTTCTACAGTGCCCGGTTAGCTGCCGCCAGGCCCGTTGTTACGCTGATGTAGCTTACAGAAGACATCTTGGCTACTGGTGTGTCGACTTCGTCGTCACTGGCTTCCTGTAGGGTGATGTATGGCGGCTCTTGGGGAAGAAGCTCGGCTTGCGGAGGTAGCAGCGGGCTCGCGGGAAGCGGCACTTGATGTGGCTCGACTTCGTCCTTTCCGGTGGCGATGTGAGCTCCAGATATTGATATCTGGTCGATGTTCTTCTTCTGGACAAGGTCGTATAAAGATGGCCGGGTTTGCAAGCGAGGTCGCAGGCCGAGTTGCATTCAATCGATGTTGGTTGCAGGATGAGGTAGGTTGAGCACGGGGACCAAGCTAAGCTACCGCGCTAACGCCAGGCCTGGTGGGGGCATGTCTTGGTCGTCATCTGTCACCGACAGTGTCTCGCACTCTGACATTCAGGCAATGAACGATCGTAGTTGCCAGATACAATTCAGCTATTCGGAGTGTTTCTGGTCCACCGTGAAAGATACTGATGATGACTGAAAGAGCTAGGTCATCCTTTTGATATAAAGATAGTTGGCGTACGTCATAGCCGAAGCTCATGAGCTGCTCAGTTCATTGCTACATGTATCTACACGGTATTTCGTTTTGTAGGTCCCCATGCCTTCTTTGCCTTTTTTGCTGCTTTCGGCACAGCAATTCGCTGCGAGTATCTACTAGACTCGACCAGTGTGTCACGCCGTTCCCCTTCTTGTCTGTTTTTCTCCTCTTCCTCTTCCGCTACGGCAATGGTGAGCAGATGTAGACCAGTCAAGGCTCTACATGTCCTTGCATCCTCTGCCGCAGATAGAGGCTGCTCAGATATGAGAGCCGGTAAGAAACGTGCAAACAATGGTTTCATCACAAGCACCGACGCACAGCTGATGGCGAGATTTATTTCGATCGACGAAAAGATGATGGCGTAGGTACCAGCTTCTGCAAGATGTGAGCATGTACAAATCATTATAGGAGCGTTTTTTTTATACTGGTAACTTCTCCACGGTGCGCAGTATAATACACGAGAATGAGCCGTAGCAATGTTATGACGCACACGCTAAGATATCCATTAGCTTAGAGTTTTGCACACAAGCAAGCAAAATACGTACAATCCACCCAACCCAAAGACAACCTTTAATCCCATCTTCTGTCGCTTTGGCAATTTTAGTCTTCCAACAACGGGGGCAGGTAGGAGCCATATTGCAAAATCCAGCACGATGCCAATGACGCTCGATGACCAAAAGTGCTCTTCCTCGGCCATGCAAGTCCCGGGCAGTGTGACATCCCAATAGCTTCTCACCGGGTCACAAAGGAAGACATTACCAAATATACCCCAAGCTGCAGCCCCAAGAGTCAGAACAAAAAGGCCGTAGCACACCCATACCACCGGCGAGATGACCGAAAATAAGCGCATATATTGTAGTAACAACGAGGCTTTGACAAGATTTCTCGCAAGATGATACGCGATGGCCTGAGCGAGAGCGAGCTACAGGACGTTAGAATATCACCGACGTGCAAGAAAGGAGTCCCTGCCTTTAGCATGGTAGAGCGTGCTGATGGGTCAGCATTGTCTCGCTGAATGGCTGCGCCGTCGATACCGAACTCTAGGTCAGAGTTAGTACCCCTTTTTGACTTCATCGTGGAGAGGCTTGCCTCCACCAACCACGCCCGTAAAGCCGATTGAGAATATCTTTGTTCGTCAGGGATCTGGAGCCACAACAGCCTTTGCCATACTCACCACTGCAGCGGTGACTAGATAGTCTTCTGGGCCAACTTTAGCTGATCTGCACCATATCCGGCAACACCACCGCAGAGCCACCATCAGCAAGGCAAATGCAGTGAACATGACTGTGGGAATCAAAGCAGCGTAGCGGATATCTGCTAATGCTTTGTATCGCATAGGATACCAAGTTGAAGATTGGTCATGCATAACGATGAAAAGAGGGTAGATTGATCTGGGTAATAATTCAAGGACAGAGGCGTATACAGGTTGTTGTGAGGTAGTACAATGATCTGGAATCGTAAGGGCACATCTCAATTTGCCGGAACTCCAACGTTGCAGTAGGGAAAGCATCGGGCTGGACCGCTCCGTGTTCCATTGATGGGACATTGCGGCCATGGTCGATATGATGTCGTGGACCCAATGAAGCACATCTTAACAAACAAACGCTCACGTTCAGCGGGAACCGCGGTACTAAGCGTGCGGTTCCCAGACTGAAAACCCCATCTCTTTGTTCGAACAATGGACTTGAATTACTGCTGCCCTAGGCGATTTCAAGTAGATTGGATCGTCTGATCATGGAATGAGGAGTGCCCTTCGTCAAAGTGCGGTTCGTTGGCGGGGCTGTCACATGCTGAACCAGACATACACCATAGCCTGGAGTCGCGTCAGAATGATACCTCTCTATTGGTGACAACTACCAGTTGCCATGATGCACTATACCATGCGAAAGCCTGCCCTTATTATGATTGTGCCACTGTGTTTCCTAACAACCGTTCGTGAATACATCACCATCATCGCGTAGACATCGAGGGCCAGAACGCTTTTTGCGAGGCGAGAGGAAAGAAATGAACACAACGGGTCACTAAAGTTGGCTCCTGGTTGTATGGTCCGAACTAATGCATGCGGCACAATGGGGGGTAAGCTTAAGCCGAGGGCTTCTGCTGTACCTTGATAACACCACACAGATGGTGATGTGACACAAGAGCTAGTCGACGATATTTGGACTTACTAACCTCGGCGTATGCAGTGCTCGTCCACATGATAGGAGCGAAGACCGGCTTCTGTTGAGACATGAGCATCTCTCCTATTTGAATGTCGTAGACTGCCAGGGTTTGAGTGCCGTTAGGGCAGGCACTATACTCAATACGGGTAGCCCTCAATGATGTTGGTGTAGATCATGGTCCTTTGGCTGGAAAGACATGATGTGCTTTTTCTGCATCGCTGGAAAGACGGAGAGTCAGCAATGAGTGCAACAACATTGAAGCCTTCGAGGATACACGAGTAACGTGGTGTTGAGACATGACAAATCTCCTAGATCATTAGCCAAAAGAAGCCATCTGCCTTCGGCATTAGCCTATTGAGAAAATGTAAGACCTGCATCTGCCAATGCGTAAAACTCAAGCTTCTGCATCACAACGTGTAGAACGGTATCGTAGCCATAGGGCTGACGAGAAAAATATGTCTGCGTGCGTTGGCGCTACGCCAATGTGTAATTTGTCACCTTTCCACAAGAAGACGTCATGAAACATATCGAATACGATGTTTTACCCGATGCCCCGGCTGCGGAGTTCCTTGGGTGACCATGTACCTGGGTGGAGACTACCCCAACTGAACGGCAATCGAACGGCACGCCTGGGGAGCGGTGAGGAAACACGATGAATGGTTTGCGGAATCGCTTGCTTTTTCTGGCTGGTCATGAGTAATTCATCAGGATACGAGACTATGAGGCGGCTCGCGTAGGCGAGTTTTAGTACGGGATCTGACACATGCGATGTACTGTATGTAACAGCATGTCGGTAAAGACACGTAGTAACATTCAGCATGGTATGTGGATGGGTGCGTGAGGTATGACCGAAAGCCTCTACAGTACATAGCGGACGAGAGGGTCTTGCCAATACTTAGTGCTTATGTGCAAGCGTGCAGGCGAGGGTTGCGTAGGTGCCGGGTTTCGAGAAGGTCAGACCGGAGACACTAGCGGCCGTTAGCGCCGATTACGTGTAAGATATTTGGAATCAACACCACCAAACGTCAGATAGCTTCCTTGGTAGCCGCCCTCTACAGAAATTGGCGTCCGTCAGGTGTTTCGCGATTCGTCAAAGTTATTAGATTTCCTACCTCGTGGCATGCCGCGGTCGCTACTGTTGCCGCCTTCCCATAGGCTAGATGCTGCCGCCCGTCGCTTTCCAACGCCACTGCTTCATGCTCGCCGAGATTTGCTATGCGTTTGACCGTATTGCTGACGTTACGTGTCTTGTCCTCATGGCGTGTGCATCGGTATCTAAACAAGCCGTTTCGCGGCGCCGTTGTCTTGGAAGCCCCAGCCTTTATCGTGCCGGGATATATGCCGGAAAATGGACGCCGGGTAGGATTTACCAAGTACTGTATTTGATTCTGACAAATTGCTACGGGAAGTTATATTACTTCGCGGACGCCCACGTTTTTGACAGGCCAAAACATCCCTCTTTCTTAAAGCTCATCCCGCCCGTACACTCTATCTTGCACTTTACTTGTATACCCAGAATATTAATGGCTCCCATATCCATGCACCAGTCGCCACATCCTTTTCTGACGCCCACTCGCGCATCCGATATCTCAACATGGACATCGTCGCTGCCGGGACGCAGCTCCTATTCAACCACACAATCTGATCCCCAGTCTCGGTCACGGGAAGCTGCCATCGAAGCTTATCAACAATTGAAAGCCACTCTCTTCGCTAGAGCTACTAGTTCGAACACGCCTAGACCCACTTGAGCATCTTGTACTTTCTGGAGGCAATAGAGAAGCCTTGTGTGGCGTACTGTTGCATCATGAATTACGAATCATATATCACTGAAACGAACTATCCTCAACGACTTACGGTGTCCTCCGAAAATCTCGTCCGGTACTATTCTCGGTTGACGCCCAATGAAATTCCCACAGAATGTCCGGAGTTATGGGGAGCACCTGGTTATGGCTCTGAAATTTGGCAAAGAGGGTGAGCTTTGTTGGGACCTAGATGTCCGATGTAACGCATGTTTACACATGCAATAACTATGATGTTTGTTTATGGTAGATCAGTCCTTGATCTTCATCATGTTTGGGTAGAGGCTATAAAGAGACACTTAGGTTAGGCTATGCATTTTTTTCAAAATCGAATACCGCGATCCTCAGGATCTCCCCAATTGTTCACATGTTTGATCTATTACTTACCCGTAGCTATATACGCGTGGACCTGTTGTGACTGAAGTGTAGTATTCATCCGCCGACTTTCATAGTATGCTTGCTTGGTTGCGTAGAAATTCACATGTTGCAGGGCGTCACACTATCTAAGTCGAATTTTCTCAGATGTTGTGTGACACTGGCTGAACGGATGTCCATGGCTGCTCTGCGCGGTTGCATCATACCGGTAGCGCATTGGGGCCCGTGCACAGAAAGTTTAACGCGATCGCGAAAACACAAAGTTCAGCTTCACTGCAACCACGACTAGACCTTTGACTCCGTATCCGCAGTGGCTAACGAAATTCAATATGCCGTCGGCAAACACACCCAAAACTATGTCCAAAGGACTCATGGGAATGAAGGTGCGGAGAAAAAATAATGTGATCGGAGCATGTGCTGACACGCGAACAGTTCATGCAGCGTGCTGCAGCGAAGTCTTCACCCTCATCGCCCGCGACACCAAACGGACCTCCTACCAAAAAGGCACGACTCTCGAGTGGCGCCGGCGTAGGGACTTCTGACCAGGAGATTATACAGTCAGCAGTGGACGCAGAAGAAGAAAAGCGCCAGGCGGCATTAGACAAGGCAGCGGAGCATGCGGGTGAGACGAAATGGGTGCTGAGTTTCAAGGACCCGCTCGAAGGAAAGAGACAAGATGCAATGGAGGTTAGGCAAGCGGGGTTCGCTGAGATTGATGCCGAGGACGAATCAGAAGAGGAAGAGATCAAGCCCGTGAGAATGCAGTTTGGAGGTGGTGTGAAGAAGCCAGAAGTGAGTGTTGCCGAACTTGGCTGGTATCTTACTAATCTCTTGTAGATACAAGTACCTTTTGTAAAAACCGAAGGCTCGGAATCTGGGTCTGAGTCTTCATCCGACGAGTACGACTCGGACGATCCTACCGCCGATCTCATTAGGCAGACGAAGCGCGAGATGGCTGCAGAGAAACGAGAAAAGAAGAAGCACGCAGGCTCATCAAATGAGACGCCAAACGGCTTGAGCTCTATCTCAGGCGGTCGACGGTCTGGAGGTCTTTCTAGACCACCTCCTAACATGGACAATGTTGACTGCTTCAATTGTGGGCGTAAAGGACACATGGCCGCAGGCTGTCCAAAGTCGTCGACACCACGGGGATCTGCAGGCAGGGGCAGAGGTAAGGGCCGGAGATAGACACGGCATGATTTCTTCGTCTGTATTTGTACGATCGGTACGGTTCAATGATACCCCACAGAGACTTTGTCTCTTTCCATGTTCCACGGCAAATCCATTACCCGGCCTTTTCACCATTCTCTATCAACATGTACTCATCGCCGACCATCATCTTCATCTGGCTGTCGTCCATGAAGTTGTCATGGTCTCCGTTCAGAGCAGCACCGTCTTTGTCATACATGAACTTGGCCAGCGCAAGGTAGTCGGGAAAAACAAAAGTACATATGGCGTCGTAGTCCATAAGCTTTGCTTTGCCATGCATGATGTCTTGGACCACCTTCCTGTCGCGTTCTAGGTGGTACGTCTATCACGGTCTCAGCCTCGGCATCACACATCGCTGCACTACATGGCGACACGTGGGAAACTTTACAAGACTGTAGCTGATGATGCCATGTCGCTGGAGGATGGGAATGGCGCGCTGGGCATGATTGTTGTTATAGTAATCAATGAAATCAGCATCCGACATGCCATCCTTCTTTTTGATATATATGGTGGCCTTGACCACCTTTTTGAAGCCTGTGGTGTTCGCGTAACCTGCTTCGAAGGTTTTGGGCACCATGTTGGCGAGGGGTGAGTGGGTAACTGCAGGATATATGAGCTCTTTTAGTATGTGAAAAGTGGCGAAAAGCGCGCTTTGGAAGCTTGAATTAGCTAAACGGGCAGCTATACCAGAGTAATAATGTTCTGACTAAGGTCATATACAACAATAAGATGAGGGCGTGGGTGGGTAATGGCAGCCTTCTGGCGCGATAACACTGCCCTCGTACCTTATCGGAAGTCCAGGGCCCCACCACATCTCGACTGACGTTGATCACTACCGAACCGTCGGATCTCGGCCGCTTTCACCATTCAACCCATTGTTTAGGTCAGAGTCTCTATTTGACTCACCGCCTATTCAATTACGTGCGCACTCGCCTAGAGGTGCTCACTCACTAGTGCTAGTCAATTCGCAGCGGGGCCGCCTGTCGCGCTTATCCACTCGACTAACAGCTTCGTGAATGCTTCCTACCCTGGGTGCACGAACGTCTCTTGTATCACAACGTCGTCCGCTCATCCCTACATCACGGGTTGCCTGGTCAATTGTTCGGTACACAGCAGCCTCATCACATCGCTACGCCTCTATTCCGCCCGCCACCTGCTCCTTCCGGACGCGCCACATACATAGATCTCTTGGTCGTCAGACTACCACCACTCACTCTCCTGCTACCCGGAGTAGCTTTCTGTATTCGTCAACAAGAGGAAATTACACAAACAACATGGCGGAGACGCTAGGAAGAGAAGCTGGGGGACGGAACCGGATAGAAGATCTTGAACGGCCGCAACTCGACGATCGCTCCTACCGAATCATCACCCTACCAAACCAATTAGAGGTTCTTTTGATACATGAGGCTGGCACAGACAAGGCAAGTGCGGCGCTGGATGTGAACGTGGGCAGCTTCAGCGATGCGCCTGACATGCCGGGCATTGCGCACGCGGTCGAGCATTTGCTGTTCATGGGCACTGAAAAGTATCCCGAGGAAAACGCCTACAACCAGTATCTGACGCGCCACGGCGGATATTCAAATGCATTCACCGCCTCCACCTCGACCAACTATTACTTCGAGCTCTCATATCCCTCTTCTTCGCCCAAGAGCAGCAAGACTCCAACGCCAGATGCGTCACAAGTAAACTTGTCAGAGCCGAAAGAGGTCTCACCGCTATGGGGTGGACTGGACCGCTTCGGTCAATTCTTTATAAGCCCTCTGTTCCTCGAGGACACTGTAGATCGTGAACTCAAAGCGGTGGATTCCGAGAACAAGAAGAATTTACAGAATGACACCTGGCGGATGCACCAGCTTGACAAAGCGTTAGCGAATCCAGACCATCCTTACAACCACTTTTCCACCGGTAGCTACAAGACGCTTCACGACGAGCCAATAGCGCGAGGCGTGAAGATTCGCGATGAGTTTATCAAGTTCCATTCCACACATTACTCCGCAAACCGGATGAAGCTGGTCGTATTAGGTCGTGAGAGCTTGGACACGTTGGAAACATGGGTAGAAGAAATCTTCTCAAAAGTACCGAACAAGGACCTTGGCAAGAACCGCTGGGATATGCCCGTCTACACTGAGAAGGAGCTTTTGACACAAACCTTTGCTAGGCCAGTCTTGCAGTCTCGATCACTCCAGATTCAGTTTGCGTACCGCGACGAAGAGAAATATTATGAATCACATCCTTCGAGGTATCTAAGTCATCTGCTCGGTCACGAAGGCCCCGGTAGTATCCTTGCACACATCAAGGCGAAGGGATGGGCCAATGGACTTGGAGCTGGGGGCTCTACGCTTTGTCCAGGTTCAGGACTGTTCACAATCAACATCAAACTGACAGAGGAAGGCTTGAAGAACTACAAGGAGGTCACCAAACTCGTCTTTCAATACATTGGCTTAATGTGCGACAAGCCACCTCAGGAATGGGTCGTCGAGGAGCAAATGCGCATAAGCGAGGTTGAATTTCGCTTCAAGCAGAAAAGCCCACCCAGCCGGACCGCGAGTGGACTGGCGGGTATCATGCAGAGGCCATACGAGCGCAAAATGCTGCTAAGCGGCCCAGCTACAATCAAGAAATTCGACTCTGAACTCATTCGTGAGGCTTTGTCGTATCTTCGGCCAGACAACTTCAGGATGACGATCATCAGTCAAGATTTCCCTGGTGGCTGGGACCAAAAAGAGAAGTGGTACGGAACAGAGCACAAGGTAGAGAGGATACCAGATGAGTTCCTCACCGAAATCAAGCAAGCTTTCGAGAGCAAGAGCCGGCCGGCAGAATTACACTTTCCTCACAAGAACGAGTTCATCCCTACTCGGCTAAACGTAGAGAAGAAAGAGGTGGAACAGCCTACCAAGGAGCCAAAGCTCATCCGTCATGACGACAATGTGCGCGTCTGGTGGAAGAAAGACGACCAGTTCTGGGTACCTAAGGCCAACGTACACATCTATTTCCGGACACCGATTACGAACGTCACAGCACGCATCACACTTCTGTGTACTCTCTACCGTGAGCTCGTCAACGATGCCTTGGTTGAATATGCCTACGACGCTGATATATCCGGATTGGTATATGACTTTACCAATCACATCAATGGTCTGTCCATTACGGTTAGCGGATATAACGATAAGCTACATGTGTTGTTGGAGAAGGTATTGCTCCAAGTACGAGACCTCAAGGTTTCGGAAGGTCGATTCAACATCATCCACGACCGCATGTTGCGATCTCTGCGCAACTGGCAGTATGGCCAGCCTTTCCACCAGGTCGGTACATACTCACGGCAATTCAAGACCGAAAAGAGTGTGATGAACGAGGAGCTGCTACCCGAATTGGAGAACGTGACCGCTCAAGATGTTCAGCAGTTCTTCCCACAGATCCTTGCACAATGCCAAATCGAGGTGCTCGCCCACGGCAATCTCTACAAAGAAGAAGCCTTGAAGATAACTGACCTTGTCGAGAGGACCATGAAGCCGAGGAGATTGCCAGCGGATCAGGTGCCGACTCGTCGGGGTTTACTGTGGCCATCAGGCTGCAACTTCATCTACGAGAAGCAGCTCAAGGATCCTGAAAATGTCAACCATTGCATAGAATACAGTTTGTATGCGGGACATAACTACGATAGCGTGCTTCGCGCTAAACTATTGCTGCTTGGTCAGATGACTGATGAGCCATGCTTTAACCAATTACGAACCATCGAGCAGCTCGGCTACGTTGTCTTCTCAGGCTCCAGCTTCCACGACGTCTGGTCCGGATATCGTATTCTGATCCAGAGTGAAAAGGACTGCAGGTATCTGGAGGGACGAATTGAGAACTTCCTCACCACCTTTGAGAAGACGCTCAATGAGATGAGTGAGGAGGACTTTGAGAGCCACAAGCAGGCTATGATCAATAAGCGCTTGGCAAAACTGAAGAACCTCTCTTCCGAGGACAACAGGTTCTGGAATCATATCTACAGTGATTCTTATGATTTCCTACAAGGTATGTCAAATCCCATGCTCTTAAAGGATTGTCACTAACAAAGACAGCCGATGTTGACGCTGCAAATCTCGAGAAGCTCACAAAGAAGGAAATGGTTGACTTCTACGGCCGGTACATCTCAACGTCCTCTCCCCATCGCTCAAAACTCTCTGTGCATCTCCAAGCACAATCCAAGGCCAAAGAGCCCTCTCTCGAAGAGAAGAAGACAGCGGCCGTCGCTTCGCTCAAGATCATACTCGCAGAGCACAAAATCACCTCCAACGAAGAAGCATTCCAGACACGCATCAAAGATGCTTCATCTACACAGGTAATCGCAGATGCGGTCGCCAGTCACCTAACTGAAGATCTCAAGGTCGAAAAGGATATTGCGAATAAGGTTCTGGACGAGGCAAAGGCTGCGCTTGGTGTGGCAGACTCTGGCTTACCAGCAGCGCCAACATCGCTAGATACCTCGGCAGATGTCAAGAGCGTGGTTGACGCATCGCACCCTGTGCTCATCACGGACGTACATGCTTGGAAGGCAGGTATGCAAGTCAGCACCGGTGTTAGGCCAGTACGGAATCTGGAGGACTTTGTTGAAGTCGCTGAGAAGCTCTGAGCAGCAGCAGCGTTACATGATATTAGAGATTACTAGGCAAAATAGGAGGCCATTTGCTTCATAGATGATTCCAATTAGTTGCCCTTACCAACTGCCATGTCTGCGTTCCATGTGAATGTTCTTACTATCTCTCACAGGGTTGTTAGTCCCATAGAACAAAAGTATTTTTCGTCCTTCTGTTATTCCGGGCGATGCTGGAATTCGAGTTTAATACTCATTCTCGTTGCGTAAGGTGCCTGATCACATGTTGACGTTCTTTACCTGAAGCCTCGCGAAGTTCGGCCCGCCTGGCTTCCGATGACATGGTACATAGTTACTCAACCAGGCACCAACATTCTTTCACCATGGATCTACACCGTACAGCCTATAAAGCATCACCCGGGCCCGCAGGGTGAGCAATTGGCAAGAGGAGGAAAGCTAGAAAGCAAACATGTTCCGAAATAGCCTCCTAAGGGCGATACCGCGTCCCTCCGAGCTCCTCCGCAGCCCAACTACGCGCCGCTACGCAACAGAGCCCCTCGCATCCTCGCAATCGCGCATCGAGCGCTTTAACCGCCGACTCCCCAAATTCCTCCACAAGTACACCAATGCTCTTGGACATGCACCCGTCACACACATAACATCCTTCCTCATCCTCCACGAACTCACGGCTGTAATCCCTCTCTTCGGCCTCGCGGGCTACTTCCACTACACACACTGGCTGCCCCCATGGTTCGCAGAGGGCGCATGGATTGCATCCGGAGTAGAGCGCTTTGGACGGTACTTTAAGCGCAAGGGCTGGATACGCAGCGACGAGGCGCTCGAAGCGGAGCGCGAGGTCAGCGATATCCAGAACGATGGGAAACAGAGGTCGTGGATGAAGAAGCAAGGCTGGCTTTCTGGGTCCGACGACGATGGCATTGGGAGTGAGACGAAGAGGATTAGGAAGGTGGATCAGGCATGGAATATTAGTGAGGGGGGCGTTAGGCTGGTTGTTGAGTTTGCGACGGCGTATGCGATTGTTAAGATGTTCTTGATTCCGAGGATCGTGTTTAGTGTTTGGGCGACACCGGCTTTTGCCAGGTGGACGGTCGCTCCGGTCCTGAATCGGTTTCGCGCTGTATTTGGGAGGAAGGTGAAGAAGGGAAGTGGTGCGTCAGGAGCGGGGACTGGTGCTGTTGAGGGAGGTGCTCTGCCAAAGAGTGGTACTGGAAAAGGTACATGAAATCGGCATACAGATAGGTAGGTAAGGTATAGGATCATTTACATGTGTTTTGTACAACTCTGTCGGCCCCATTGAGTGTACAGGAGTTGAGGTCACGAGGACCTACCAAAGCCAAAGTAAAGGCCAATCTCTCTATCTCCCCGCGCACTTCCTAAATCTCCGTTTGTATTGCTCGTTACTGGCTCGTTACTGGCTCTCTAACTTGCCCATCACCCTCGGTTCCAAACGGTCTGGAGTCCAGCACTGAATACGACAACAACAAACATGTGTTTCGACGACGACGACGAATACAGCTACGAATCCAGGACCGAAATCCGCAATGGCCGTACATACCACACACGAGACTACTACCCGCGCTTTGGCATGTCTTTTCGCCGCAGGTTCGGATTAGGTGGCTCATACTATCCTTCGCGGTACTACACTCGCCCGCCTGCCAGCCGATACAGGAGCAGTGCATTTGCCCATCCGAACCGGTACTCTCAGCGCGTCGGCTACCCTAGAGGCATCGTCGCCGGAGGATATGCTCGGGGTGTCGTCCCAGGCGGATATTCGCAAGCCATGGTGCCTCGAGGCTATGTTGGAGCCGGTTATCCTGGATATTCTTCTGGGTATGGATATGGAAATGGGTATCAATCTGGCGGTCACATGGCTATGCCGACCAATGCCGCAATGGTGAGTCCTCTTTTCGCCTCTTTTCCTTTCCTGGTCCGATTGCGGTGGCAGGTGCCTGCCCTTTACCACACCGCCGCATTGCCCCGACGTCATTGGCTCGTGTTATATCTTTCATATCGCATACATCGAGGCTACCCCACTACTTTCTCGTCTGTCTGGCGTGTAGTCTACCTCACTCTGGCTTTCTTTTACCTCGTCACTCTTCTCTCACTACACTCCCCACTACACATCCCACTTCCCTCCTCCATTGCTTCCCCAATTACCAAGCTCCAATCAATGCAATGGAGGCATACCCAAAACCCCGCTACCAATACATCTACAACCCCCGATACGGCCAGCGCGGCCTTCTCACTTACGCCGGCCAAGTGCCCAATGGTGCCGCACCCGCAGGCGTCATAGGCGGATATGGCTACGGAATGGGCTACGCAGGCGTCGGCGTCGGCATGGGTGTAGGAGCTGGATACGCGGCGGGTGCATATCAACCTGCGGTATACAACGCCCGTTCTTACTACCCCCAACCATATGCCGCCGCCGCTGCTGCCACTCGCTGCTACTATCCGTCCAGCTACTATTCCTACCCTTATTCCTATGGCGGCGGTGGCGGCTATGGCTACTACAATTACAACTTGTATGGCTCGCTGTATCCGCTTGCTAACTTCTATACCCCTTACCAGAGGACCATCTATAACACGGTGCCAAACTACGGCTATACGGCGCATGTCTACCCGCCCGGGGCTACTACAACTACCACGACATACCATGTCACCAACAGTAGCGCGCAACCCTATCGCGCTCCAAACCACGTGGTCAGAGAGACGAGACCCGCGTACGTCCACGGTCATGGAGCCCAGGGTCTGACTCGTGAGGATATTCAGATGGAGAACCGCAGGATCGCTACCGAGCGCGGTGCGTATGATCCCCGAAAGATCAGGCCGGCCGATGCGCGCGACGACGATCCGTTTTGGTGCCGGGAAGTCAACGGCGAGTGGCACCTCCGATCGTACTACCAGATTGAGAACGAATGCCATCCTGGTCGGTGGATGATGGACGCCGATATGGGCTTCTTGGTCTTTCATCGTGCGTAGACGAGGCTGGCTCGAGACAGCCTTTAACATTGTCGACGGTGACGAGAGGTAGTTGGCAAGGGCAAGGGACAGTTTACGTTAACGACGGACAGCGTCGGACTCAGCCGAGAGGATTTTCTTCTTGTTTCCATATACATGACCTGGCATCTGCATTTTCTGGATGAGCAATGATATCCAGCATATCATAATATTGGCGTTGGGCATCAGTGGGAAGGTGTTCTTTGAGTTCCGGTCATTTGCACAAAATGTCTGGGGAATCTGTCGTTAAGGTCGACTTTGCAGTAGCCCAAAACAAATCTCATGATCATTTCTTTATATATTTTCTCCCGTCCACATTACCACCCACCTACTCAGTCCTACCCTGAAATTCCACGCTCAGTCCATCTTGATCTTCTTCATTGCCGAAACACCCGCATATCTGTTATACAAGCAACCCCACACCCACACTCTCACATCTTCTCCCCCTGAATCGTCGCCACTACCTTCCTCGTATGCTTAACATCCCTAAACTCCAAATACCAAATGCCCTGCCATGTCCCCGTGTTCAGTTTCCCATTCGTAATCGGCACCGTAACACTCGCGCCAATCAACGCGCTCTTCACATGCGCCGGCATATCATCACTGCCCTCTGCATCATGGCGATAGAGTCCCTCTCCCTTCTTATCCTCGGGTACAATGCGATCCAGCGCTGTGCTCATATCTGCGCGCACATCACTGTCCCAGTTCTCGTTGAGCGACAGCGCGCACGACGTGTGCTGGATGAAGAGGTTTAGGAGACCGGTTTTGTACGATTTTATCTCGGGGAGTTGCGAGACGATGTGGTCGGTTATTAGGTAGGAGCCGCGGGATTTGGAGGGGAGGGTTAGGGATTTTTGTGTCCTGGTTGGTGCGTGTTAGACTCGTGATGTGAATGGATAGATAGGTATGGGTGGAGGAGGGTGGGGTGGAGAAGAAGAAGAAGAAGAAGAAGAAGAAGAAGAAAACTCACCAAGACATGACAGGCGCACTCGTACAAACGTTTGGACTGGTGCAAACTACGCTTTTCCGTGGCTGAGGTGTCGGCACAAAGTACTCTGCTATACTGTTGTAGGGCGCCCAGAAGATGCCGACGAAGATGCTGGGGAAGAGGGCGATAACGAAGATGCTGACGATTAGGAAGGTGGTGAGGTGCGATGTCGTGTTTGCGGGTCCTGGTTGCGGCATTGAATGTCGGGGGCGCCTGCGGTTTATGTTTTTGGGGAACGAGTGGAGGTTAGTGAGGTGGGGTGGCGGATGACGTAGGATTGGTGGGGGTGGGAGCTGGGACAGGGGAGCAGGAGCGGCGCGTTGGGAGGAAAGGAGAGGATGGTTGATATCGGGCGATGATATAAGAGTTTTGAGGCTGGGTAAAGTACTTGATAATGGGTAGTCGAATGAATGCGGTCTATTGGGCTGGTTCAATACCACATTCCAAGATTACCTAGGTGGTTATAGTGAGCCTTGCATACCTTCACGACTCATTCTTGGCAAGGTTAAAGGCTGCGTTTCTAAGCTTCCCGTTGTTCATGATGTATCTTTTCAGCTGCTATACATGCTCTAATGTCTAAGAGAACTACGGGAAGTCGTGCCCGGTATTCAATCAAGAAACATAGTACTTGGAAAATGGACTGAGTAGCAAACCTCTTAGGCGCTTCGGATTAGTCAAAGAACGCTGACACTGCTTCAATTGAGGGTCTCAAACTGGTAGTCTTTTAACGTTTGGGCAGGGATATGTACTGTACAGTCCGAGTTGATTTTCAGACTTCCAGCTGTATTCACATTTGCTGAACAAAAGCTAAAATTTGTTGACTAGAGTCCCTCGCGAACAGAATAGTACTTTGGGGCCTGGTACCACCAGAACACACATGCATGAGATTGGATTGTGGATAGTGGGAATTCCTCAATTGCAAGACATATGTACACCAACTCAAACTACTATTGAAGTTTGAATTGCTCTATCGCTGAGCGAGCGGCTCATCGGTAACCTTCTGTGTCTCGTTGACTTCTGCTGCGTCGCCTTTAGGACCAAGTGGGTATGATAGCTCGTGTTCGGGTGTAGCCTCGAGGAGCGCTCGGTGCTTCTCATGGGCCTGTATGCGGTTAGCTCCAGTTCAGTGTAACATTCCAAGTCAGGTCATGATCTTCTAATCTTGAGACTGAGATTCGGATTCCTAGAACGTACAAATGGTAGACCACAGTATGTGCACCAGCAGATCTGGGGCTTATCGGTGTTGATAAAGATCCTGGGGTGCCCGAGAGGACCGCCTCCTCCGTCGCAAGACACGGTGCGGTCATGTGTCCAGCGGACGGGTTGCTTGTGGATAAGCTCGATTGCGGCATACGGGCGTGGCTGTACACATCCGTGTTAGCTGATATTCTCGTCCTCCACTTTGTTGTTCTTCCTATCCCCAAAACCGTCTCCTCCAAAGTTTCGCCCCCAGAATTGATTCAGCGTACCTGGTCCTCCATGATGCTCTGCTCGAACCTCGGTCCACTCATCGCAATCTCCCTTGGATTCTGACTCCTTGACCAGATACCCTTGAAGTTCGGCGCCTGTGTGACCCTCATCTTCTCAGCATCCTCTGGGGACTCCTGAAGGACCTTGTCGAACGAACCCTCGGAAGAGGTAGGTATCGCATTGGTCTCGGATACATTGGGCTTCGCGTCGCGCTGGACGGGGTCATTGGCGGGGACCTGGTTACTGGTTGTTCGTGTCGAGGCATAGCGGGCGAAGGGGCGGGAGGTCGCTGCTGCACCGCGAGAACGTAGAGCGCGGAGAGTAGTGGGGAGCATATCGGGCGAGGTGCTGGTGCAGACGGGCTGCGCAATTGCTTATGGAAGATGCCGTGGTGATAGTGAAGTTGAGCTTCCGGATATTCACGCTAGTCAACTTACATAAGCGGTCCTGCTATTCGCCTGATCCTCCACCTACTTCGCAGCCAAACACCATCTTGTTGACACAACTAAACGATTTTGGGAAATGTTCAAATACGAATATTTACAGAAGCACTAATGGATATTTGCTAAAGCGCCCATGAGGAGACTGATTGTGCTTCAGACTCAGTCCATTGATGTGGTGACACCTGTCTCAATGCCAAGCGCGAGAGGTCTACCGTAGGTGTGGGTATTATGAGAGATGCGTAGTATGACGACAATTTGGAAAGAAGAACTGGGACCAAAATCATAGCTCAGACCGATGTTGTGTCACAAGGTTGGGGTTGCTTCTTCCGAGGCAGACTCAAGATTACAGTCAATTGGGCATTCGACTAGTAGATCTATCTCCCATTATCGTACATCCAGCACAACGTATGTGAGCAACTCCCAGAACATGACGCCTACACACTGCTATTAATGCCGAGTCGGAGATCGGCTCTCCGCTAACTCCGGGCCCTGAACATCAACATATCCAATGCCACAGCCTGTACACAGCTGACTCGCAAATTCATCAACACACCAAACATGGTCGGCTCAATTCCAAACGATATATTCCAATTCTCAACTTATGCCGCTCTCAACGCCGGCTTCAACCAAGGTCAGCCACGTACGGCCGATCTTACATCTCACGGAACGCATGGCATCGGTGTATACGAAGATGGGAGTCTCATGATCCTGAATGATCGACAAGCGTACGCTCTCACAAAAGACGGCAAGGCAAAATCAGCTCCCATGGAAGCACGTCTTCCACTCGCTCTCGTCACAGTCTACCATCCATCATTTCGCCTAAAGATCCCATCAATATCGCTGGAAGGCCTCGACGAACTCGTCTCCTCCAACGATGTCGGCCCAGCCAAAGGAGTCAATACTCTCATGCCCTTCAAGATTGCTGGTCACTTTGAATCTATAGACTTCGAAGATGGCCCCAATCGTAGCGAAATTGATGGGACCATATTCGGATTCGTCGTGCCCGGTTGGATGAGGGCAATCAGTGGGCCCCGCATACACGCACATTTCCTCGATGCAAATGAAGAGGTTGGAGGCAAAGTCACGGATTTCAAAATGGCCGAAGAGGCGGTGTTGAGTTTTGCCAAATGCGGGAGGTTTCATTTGGGGTTTCCGCAAGGCGGCGAATGGGAAGAGATGAAGTTGTGAAACTTTGTTCTGGTTGTTAGGAAATCCATTGCACCTCTGTGCTAATTCTTCTGACTAAAATTTCCGTCCTCTGACTTTGCTAGTGCGGCTCGGGACATCCACGTAGTTCCCACAGTCTCCCCACACTCAAGGATCCCTGTGTCAATGATATCCATACCACCTTCATGGGCGTTTCGATCGTTTATGAGATGAAAGGCGTCATGTGTGTGCACCCAGTAATAGACTCCGGCGCCTTTGGGTATGCAATGAGAGCGGGAGGTATCTGTAGCGGCGTAGGGTATATCGTAGCGGGAAGTGACAGGCAGATACCTCATGGAACCGAGTCGACCCTGTTTAGTAGTACAAATCTGCGTATTATGCCCAGAAGAGTCGCTTACCAAGACAGCCATAACGAATAAGTGAGGAAGATTCGAATAAATAGGGGTTTGTGCGATCGGTGCTTGGTTTGAGAATGATTTACAGCTAAAAGTGAAATGCTGTCGCCTTTTGTACAGTCTGTGAAACTTCACTGCCGCCCTTTCTACTCAATATATCTGGTCTTGCGCCCTTCAACTTTCCACTCGCCGACCTAATTTGCTCAATGAGAACATCGTTGAATCAGATATGACTTACATTTACGCCCTGAAGCAACCATACATTCATAACCACGGATTTCATCACGTTGTCGTCATATGGCACAGTTACATCATCTCTACAACTACCACTATCGTCAACAGTACTGCATATTGATTCTAGAAATCTTATATCTGAGGCAGATGCCAGAGGGTACCAAAGAGAGTCAAAAGAAGATGGGTTACATAGGTAGTTTAGCGAAGAAGGTAGTGACAGTGAAGTAAATATACTAGCTCCAGTATGAATAATTCACCCAAATACTTTTTGACTATCTAGGATAATCATCACCTTTAGCAGAGCTTACACATAGACATCAGATGACTGTCTACGTGATGTTTTTTTCATCATCACGAGACATGATCTGGGACTGTGGTGTCTGGTAATTATCATTCACTTTGGGATTTACAGAATTGATCTGCGGTGGACTCGACTACATGACTATAACATTTGGACTTCATGCCTGGAGGGCTGTAGACGAAAGGCGGATAACTCTTGTTCTGCTGCACAAACAGAAGTGCTCAATTCATCGCTATCCGGCACCTTCCTGGCTAAACATACTGTCGATCCGATCCATCATTTTCAAGAGCAATAGCAATCGCCATGCAGATCGCATATCAACACGTTGCTCCTATCAAGAAACACCACCCTGAACCAACCCTGGAAATATGCAAGCAACACATGCTCACCCACACCCAAAACCCAGCACCAACCCTGTACACCTTCCTCTTACATACAAACCTACCATGAAAATATGACAAACCCACGATAATAAAAAATCACTCACGATCTCGGGAAATTATACAAACAAAACATCAGCCCATCCAAACCCCGCGCCACACGTACACCGCCCCTTTCGGCCCCAACCTCGGCGCCTCAACGGACCTCAACACCCAAACTTCGCCTAGCCTCCCTGCTGCGCCACCTTCACTACGCAAGACCGCAATAGAACGCGCCACACCACACCCTTTTCTCCTGCACGGCGCTAACAAAGTTGGGAAGGTGAATTAGATTGAAATATCTGCCTGGTAAATCGGGCAAGGCGGAAACTTGGGAGCTCGAAACAGATTGTGACGCGTGTGTGAATGGGTCCTTGTGTGATGCATCGTGCGCATGGGTTGGAAGTGATTTGTTCTGGAGCGACCAGGGGATGGTGTGAGACTAGGTGCGTTACAGGTGTGTGTGTGGGTTGTGACTCGTGGCGCGTGTAGGTCTGGGGATTGTTGGGGTCGGAGGTTGGGCCGATGTTGACGGGGACTCGGAGGTGCGTATTTGGTGGTTGATGGATGTGTGGGATTCTGTGAAGGTGATGTAGTGGGATAAGTTGAGTAAATTGTTTCTATACGACGTTCTGTGCGATGTGTTGTTTTTGAAGAATATACTGATCTTGTTATGAAGCTGTGTATACTTGGTAGTGTGGAGTCACTACTGCACATCGCTAGAGAAAGTCGTGCAACACGCTATTCTTCTTAGTGTATCCTTTTCAATAGAAACTTATTTACACGGATACTTGCTGCTTGCGCCTTTCCTAACATTGATATGAACAATACTTGAAAACTTTCCTGGAAATTGCAACGCCATCCATGCCTATCCTAGTAAACAATACAGTCTAGTGATACAAGAGAAACTCTAAAATTCAAACGCTGTCATAACGGGTCATGTATTTCAAGGAGATTTTGTGCATGCGCCAGCGCTTGGTCCCATGCTCACTTGTCTTCGAAGCCTTGTCTTCCAACATCGTCATTCTCAAGACTGAGCTCTTCGAGGAAAAATGAGGCAACCATGCCAATGGCGCCCAGACCGGCGAGTGTCAAGAACACTGCCATAAAGGAAACCCTGTATGCTTTTATGACTTCGTCGTAGAGAGGGAGTGCGCGATTGATGGTGCGAAGCTTAGGAATGAAGCCAACGGCTTCCCGTACGTTGTGCAGAGTTGCAAGTTGGGCCGGTAGCTGGCCTAGGCTTTTGATACGTTGTTGGAAGACGCTGTGGAAGACCGTTGAGCCAATCGAAAGGCCTGTCATTCCACCAAACATGCGGAAAGAAACCATGATGCCAATGGCAAGTCCAGCGTCGTCGGCATGTTGACTGGCATTCATGGGGAATGTAGTAATGGTGAAGAGTGTGCCAAGGCCCATACCTGCGAGGATTTGTGGGCCGTACTTGATGAAGCTAGAGACGTTTGGTTTCCATAGAGCAAATAGCGCTACACCGCCGACCAGACATGGCCATGCAGCGATGGTCAAGTACTTGTACTTCCGGGTTACTTCTACACTGAGTGCTCCGGCAACACTGAAGACGACAATAAAGATACAGATTGGAAGTACCTCTATGGCAGATCTGGCAGCAGTATCCCGGAACGTGGCCTGGAATGAGAGAGTCAAGTAGAGTAGACCACCGTTGATGACCGCTCCGTGCATGAATGAGCCAACGAGAGTTGCGCAGGCAGTCCGGCTTTTGAAAATTCGATACGGAAACACTGGCTGAGCCGGTCGTGCTTCGTAGAAGCCAAAGACCACCAAGATGGCGATTCCTAGTAAGAACGGAACGAGAGTCTTGTAGGAGGTCCATGGATATATGGCACCGGCCCAGGAAAGCGGCAATGAGAACAAGACGCTGCCAGTCACAAAAAGGGCCATGCCAGACCAATCCAGGCGCGAAATCTTGTAAGAGAGTGAGGTGTCGATAGCCTTGAGGTTGAGGAAGAAGAAGAGAAGCACAAGTCCGGCGAATCCAAATGGAAGGTTTATCCAGCCAATCCATCTCCAGCTTGCGTATTGTGCGAAAGCAGCTCCGATCAGGGGTCCACAGATGGCTCCACCAGCCATGGGAATCGAGAAGAGACCAAGGTATAGTGGACGTTCTTTGAGTGTGGTGATGTCTGCAAGGATGACCTCGCCCAACACATCAAGACCACCACCTCCCAATCCCTGCAAGGTACGACCGACGATGAGTACAGTCATGTTGTTGGCAGTAGCGAAGACGACGGACCCAACCATGAACACGACGAAGGAAGCGTAGAGAGGTATTTTGCGGCCTATGACATCAGAGACGCTAGTGATGATGGGCATGACGGCCACGACCGCCAAAAGGAAGCAAAGGTTAGCCCAGAAAGCCTGGAGTGTGGTTCCACGGAGATTGTCAGTAATAATCTGTGTTCCACATTAGTAGGCCAAAGGTAGAGAACGGAAGGCGCAGGTGCTGACTGGGATTGCAACCGACAGTGCTGTCGAGTCGAGAGAAACAAGCAGTACACAGATGTTCAATGCCAGAAAGGTCATATAGAACGACAGCGGTTTCTTTGCCTTTGCTTCATGGTTGGGAAACGACTCCCCATTAGAGAGAAATTGGTCCCGCGAAGTAGGAGGTGAAGACGTCTGTCGCTGGAGCTCTATTGACGACTGCTTTGCAAATTGTGTGGTCATGTTGAGGATCGCTAAGTCGAAATGCGCGATTTGCCGGTTCCAGTGAGGAAACAAATGAACAAGATGGGACGAAGACTGGCACTTTACTAGTTCAGTCTCACAGACCACACGTGATGCAATCAGGCAATCTATGGATGTTTCCGAGGTGTAATACGAAGTAAGCGCCACACATCGTTGCTGCACTACTCAGCCTCCGCAAATGCGTCGGTGTTTCGTACCCGAAGTGTCAGTCGCAGTTTATTGATTAAACTGTCTCGCGCTGTCCTCTTCAAGGCGGATTGAACTATCAAAAATGCAGAAATTCAATGCAAATTATGACTGCGAGATGTGAACGCGTGCACAAATGTACGTAAGTCCTGCTCGGGGCCGTTTCCTTTGGGCGCTGTTTGGTATTCCAGATTTGGGTTTCGTGCGAGATCCTCTGGATTCTTAATTCGCACCTGCAAGAAACTCGCATCTAGACCAATTCTCCCAGCAGGCGGTACCACGCACTCGGTACAACATGCTATCATGTCATGACTTCTTACAGGCCCGTCGCATGTAGCCTACACGTCAGCGCATACTGAGCCTTGAGTTGACCGAAAGACTCCGTGCAAGGGGATGGGAACCGGACTGAGGCTGTCCCCGGCATCTGCTGACCACCGCCCCAAGTGGCGTTATGCCGGCTGAATTGGCGCCGGTGAATTGTCACACTGGGCAAGACCCTGTCTTAGGCTTACTTGTGGGCTTATTTAGACGTCGAATTAGGGCGATCTAAGTAAACAATGACCTTATGGCAAGTGCAACTGGACTCCGGCCTCTTGCTGTGTCGAGTTCTGCATAGGTGCATTATGTCTCGAAATTTTCAAACCAGATGAAGCTGGTGGATAGGCTGACGCAGGTCGGAACATGAGTTGTTTTCGTTTCGCGGTTCAGAGCACGCCAACAGTGCAGTGCGGAGACACAGGGAGCTGAGTCCGGGAGTCAAATTACGTTAGGCCGCATGTGGCGGAGCTGACATTCAGCCAAGCGAGCTAGTATTGCTTGTCTTCAAAGCCAAGTTTCAGCGCACGTTCGTCCGTCCCGCGCCGCCCTCGCATCCACCAACTATAATCACCATACTCGCTATTTCAGCCCTATCGAGCGTCACCCACAACCGATAGGCTTTTCGCTCAGCGCATGTACCTGCACATTTCATCTACCTTGTCACTCACCCCTTTTCCTCAACTAGCCGTCAGGCTATCTACCTGCTTGTTGGCAGAATATACATATGAAACTTCACAGCCTACCGGGAAAGATCATGGTGAATCTTGAATACTTTATTGTATTCAATACGAACGGCAGCCCATATTCATAGTACTCCGTCTCCATCTATACGGTGTACTCTACCTGTTCTTAAGTTCTTGAACAAGATTCTAGCCGGACTTCCGACTCGTAGCTTGACTTACTCTTAGACACGACGGACCAAACATTCGCTTGACATTACTTCTACATTCCTTGGCCTGAGCCACACTCCAAAAACACTTACCGTTTCTGTCTACGCTTGCGAGATCGATGCATACCTCACGAATCATGGTGATCCGGTGCAGCCGTGAATACGGGCGGACCGGCAAACTCGCTCACCATAACTCACCGCCTGGGCACCGAAGAAAAGGCTTTGCTACTAAATTCAGCTCGGGCGCAGCGCGATGGAAGGGCTGAAGAATCTACCCGCCTCTGATTACCCAAAGCGCTTTGCTGGAAGTATACGGGTTGATGACGGCTTATGGCTAGACTAATAAGTGCAGATCGTGGCGTACTCTTGCCTACCACGTGTATCCTGTGCGATTCCTATGAGTCAGAATTCTTTGCATATTTTCACCGGATTTCACCAGATTTACTAGGATATGTGTCGCACAACACGCCATGGGAACGCCCGGAAACCTGGAAGTTGGGCGAAGTATCGAATGCAAAGCATGCTATCAGCATGGAATGTCAGACAGAGACCGAAGCATAAATTTATAATAACAACATTACGTTCCTCTTCCGTCTATCTTTCATTTTCTCGAAACCTCCAGTTCGCCACTCCCGCATGCTAACCACCCTACTGACATAGTGGCCGTTGCAACACCTCACTGCACATGATATCGTCGCAAACCTGATCACACACCACCCCAGGCGCAACATAGACATACAGCTGACCTGGCACCTGGAACTGCTTTGTAAAATCCTTTTCGTTCCAGCGACTGGCGCGGTACCCCGCTCGACACGCACAACAAGTCCTGCCCTGTCCGCCGCCTGTTGTCGTGCAGCTGGTGGTGATGTCGCAGAAGTTGAGGTTTGGGAATATAGGATTCCAAGTCAAGGGGCAGACGCTTGCCAAGGTATCTCCAGTGTAATCGACGCCGGATGGAGAGGCGTTTGCGACAGCGAGGGGCGAGGGGCGAGGCGGGGTGTGAGGTGAGTGGTGAGCTAGGAGACGGAAGGGTGAGCAGAGTGCTAGCACCTGTGTTTGTTCCAGCGGGCTGGCTTGCAGTACCTGCGGGAGGTAAGGCCGGGACAGAGGTGTCAGAACAATCTGCACCGAAACCGTAACCACAAGTAGATGCCGGAACAGCCGTTGGCAATACTCCGAACGACGAGTTACCGTACCCAGAGCCGTAGCTCATCATACTAGTATAAAACGGGCGTCTGGTAAGCAGCGGTTGTCCAGTGCCTGTCGGCGTTGGTAAAGCACCTGCAGACGAAGAGCTACCGTAGCAACTGGCCGGACATCCAGATCTATAGTCTACAGCAGAAAGAGGAGCAGCAGCAGCAGCAGCTACCCCTTGGCTAGCCACCGTAGGCGTAGAAGCAGAAGGTCAGTTGAATGCCGCAAAGCCGTTCTGCCGCTTGCGAAGCGCTCTTCTCAAGAATCTCCTGACGGAGGGATAGGTATCGCTCGAGTAATCGGTCCCATCGTCAGTGCCACTGCTGCCATCATCACCGCCAGCATATTGGTTGCCGTCATCGGGATACTCGGTTCCATCACCGCCGCTGCCGCTGCTGGGACTAGCAACATCGCTGGGGTAACTACCAGTGTAGCCGCCACCATTGTTGTTGACGCCTCCGAGACACCACCAGGGGCACTCGCTGTCATCGGAGGTGGTGTCATAGTCCTGGGCTCCGACGCCTGATGATGCATCTGCCACAACAGGGGTAATGAGCGGTGCATTGAAGCCTTGTGAAGTAGCAGTGCCAGGTTGAGGTGGCTGATTGAACAAGCCACTGTCGTCGTCACCCGGAAGGGATGTCGATGTAGCCCCAGAAAAGTCATCAGAAGAAGTCTCTGAAGCTGCAAGCCCAGCATCTGCGGTAGCAATATCAGAAACAATAGGAATGCCGTCGGCATCCAACAACAGTCCGGAAGACGTCGGTGCCGCCGCATCAGCATAATCTGTCGTATACGGAAACTCCAACTCCGCTGCCGCCGTCGTAGAAGCACCCACATCCTCACCCCCCATCTGTCGCTGTAGCAACACCAGTAAAATCCGAATCATCTGCAAGACCCGTAGCCGCAGCATCAACCGCCGGATCCTCACTGGGCGTCGAAACAGCAAAGCCATTCAAAAAATCCGGTCCAGAGTCTGTAGACGCAGAGTCTATCGATGCGGATTCCGGCGGGAAAGTCCAATCCGTCCCGTTGAACACAATAGCGCCGTTGGGATCCGGCGTTGCAAACGCAGAACCGTCGTCGGTAGGTGTTGTCCCCAACGGGTCGAAGACATCGGGCGTAGGCACCGCATTGGCATCATCAGATGCAACGCTAGTACTGACGATAACATCGGCGGTGCCAACGGGAAGTGTAGACATGTAATCGCTCAGCTCGGACGTGTAGTCCAGTGGACCAGGAGTGATTTCGCTACCAGACGCGTCGACAGTGACGGAAGCCGCGGCGTCGGCACCGGCGTCGATGGTAGCGTCTACACCGCCATCCGCCAGAGACGAGAGATCAGACTCTGAAGGCTCGTCTGGGCCGGGGGTAAGTAGCGGTGCTAGGGCATCGGCGGTGACGTCGCTTATAGCAGCGCCTGTGGTACTGGCATCTATAATGTCATCTGAGACCTGCTGGGCATGCAGCGTCTGTACGAGCAGCGCTCCGAGAACCAGGGCCCGCATTGTGGGCTGTCAGTAAGAAGGGTTTAATGAGAGACAGTAAGTAAGACAAGGTCGATTGGATGCACCTGAAGGAGTGACAGGAAGCTGCCTGGCTTAGACATGTTGTGTCAGTCGCGTCGCGGGAGAAGTTATACGACATGGTGTTGAATTCTTGGGATGGGCGTGTCAAAACAAACAAGATGGGTGCGTAAGCCAATGGTACGAGGTGGATGATGGGAGGGATGGGTGTATTGGAATGTGGTACAAAGACGGGATGTGTGCATTGTTGCGAGTTCAAGAATGTGACATGAAACTGCCCGAGTACATTATGAGCAGATAGATTCTGTGTAGAGTTTGATTTTACTCATTCCAGACTCATCATTGCTTCAAATGGAATGCGTTGCTCAAGCACCAACTGACGGCATATCAAGCCGCTACGGTGCGCAGTGGTTCCTCGGAAGTCTTCACACCGCATGTTACAAGTCTCTCCGTATCTCGTTGACGATACAGGGAGATTACGGTACATGGGAAGTCAGGTCCAAAGTTGGGTTCGGTATTTCAAACGTTGCTCTGAAGTCATGTTCGATTGAGGAAGGGGAGATGCATCATATAAGGGTGGAAATGGTTGGCTTATTAACGCGCATACACTGGTGATGGATGAGTGATAGTACGGGCTGAGAGACAAGTGTGGTGAATAGATAGTATAATCAATCTTATCCATTCTCATTGCAAACATACTATCCCAGGCCATGCCCTTTTCCCCCACCCAAAGTCCCATGACGGGTATCTCCATATCCACCAAACACGCCCATAATATAGGAACCCAGTGCGCGCATCTCCACCCCCAACACGCCAGCCCACATTCTTTATATATATCAACCATCCTAAACAGCCTTCCTCAACGGCTGTTCTCCACCAACCTCCAACCTATACCCCTCGGCCCCCTTCTCCGTCTCCAAATCCTTAGGCTTCGCCGCCTTAGCCCCCACCTCAGGAAACTTGAACGCATTACTCTTGCCGCCCTCAAGCCCCTGCCAAACACCCACCTTATTCCAGTTCGTCCACGTCAACGCGCCCACCCAGGGTTGTACATTCCAGCCCAGCTCCAGCACCACATCGGTGCGGTTACCTAGCTTACCCGTGATGTCGGTAATTTGGTATTTCGGCTTCTGGTTCTGCAAGTGCAGTTCGCCGATGGGGTAAGGGGAGACGATTTTCTGTTTTGCGGCCGCGCGTTTCTTGGCGGAGAGCTTGGGGAGCTTGGATTTGGGGTCTGGGTGGATGAAGTGGTTTTGGTTCCAGGGTGCGGATGAGGAGGCGAGAATGGCGTCCCAGATTATGGCTTCCGAGGGGGGTTCTGAGGCGCGTGTGGAGGGGTAGACGGCTTTTAGGTAGAGGAAGATTTGCTTCGTGTTCCAGTTGAAGAGCGTGGTGAGGTCTGTGGATTGAGCGTGTTAGCGATTACTGCTGTATGCACCGGTTGTGGTGGTAGTTATATTTGCAAGACTCATGGATGAGAGACTTACCAGCGTCCAAGTCGAACTTAATATGCGCATACTCCTCCCGCTTGGGTGAGTAGTAATGCGGTCGACCCTTGACTACTTGTACATTTCGCAGCGATATGTTGGCCGAGGGGTTTTGTGGGGTTATGAAACTACTGAGCGCAATTACAGTCGCGACTGTGAAAGCGACGGTGGTGAAGAAGCCAAAGACATTTTGGAGACGCACAAGGGCCGAGTGCATCCTGAAAGCAAGGGGGAGCGCAAGGCTCTATATAGCGAATTCTAGGGGCTATAAGAAGCAGAGTAAAAGAAAGAGGTGGGCTGTTGAGCGCGAAGCTCTAGTTGTGGAGACGTAGCTTTCGGTGGTCCCCCAAGGTCCTAACACGTATCTGGAGCTGCCGCACGGGAATCGGACCTCAGCCCTATGACACGCCAGGGTCCACATCGACGCTAGTCCAAGTCATACTCGGAGTACAGTCACGAAATATTTCTTTGACACCAGCGTAATGCAAATTATGAGAGGATAGTTGTATTATCGTAGCTACAGATAACCTGATGTGGGTATCAATACTGCGCAGCCATGTGACCTTCCCATCCTCTCCAATCGTGTCTATCTTACCCGTACTTTCTACATGCACCGTCCAAATGCTTTCCTAATGCCATGATGAAGCTCAACGCCGTAACGCCACGCTAACACGCACACGCTGGAAATACATGATTCTACAGAACGATGAATGTGTCACAGTAATCCTGGCATACTCCATCTACTGTGCAGCAGCTGGCGCACTGCCCCTGGACCCTCCTCGTCCACGACCTCCACGACCGCGGCCTCGTCCTCTGCCACGTCCACCATCCAAGTTAGCCGGCGGGGGTACGTTTGAATAGTTGCGTGGCTGGAAGTTGGGGTTGTTGGGGACGACACCCTCAGTAGGATCGGTGTTGTCGATGACGGTGAAGCCACCTCGGCCTTTGAAGCCACCTCCTCGTCCGCGCGGTACAAAGTCATTGGAGCCGCCACGGAGAGTACCACGAGGGTTAGCCCCATTGGGAGCCTGATTTTGATGGCCGTTGGCTTGACCTCCGCGGGGAGCGAAACCGCCCCGACCGCCGCGAGGTGGGCCCCCATGGATTGGTAGCGTCTGTTGTCCTTGTGGAGCCTGGCGTGGAGCCATACCTCCACCACGTCCGTTGGCACCGCCGAAAGCTCCACGGTATGAGCCATGCAGAGGGGGTGGCGTACCTGCAGGAACCAGTTGAGGACCTCCGGGAGCACCAAAGCGGGGTATGGTGTATGATGACTGGGGAGGTTGTTGCGCGCGCCTGGCAGCAGCAGCGCTAGAGTAGTGGACGACTTGCTGATCCGTCATGTTGAGAACAGCAGTTGCCGGCACAGTAGATCCTCTAAACGGAGAGCAGCGATCACCAAGAGAAGTACCGCTCATGAAAGTCGCATCAAAAACAACATCCAGCAACAGGACACGTGCTGTGCGTGTCTTTCCGACCACAGTACCCGATGATCCAATGGGTACCCTTCCAGAGTCCTGGACGTAGACAATACGGTCGCCAATGCTGAAGTTCTGGTGTCCTAGGCGCTGCTCTGCATCTGAAGGCTTGAGCAAAGCCACACGCGGCACCTTTGAGACAGTCTTGGGCTCCACCTCCTGAGTGAGATGGAAGTTTGCATCCGCCGCCTGTTCAATCAGCTTGACTGTGTCAGAGTCGAGCTGCTCGGCGTCCAAAGGTACTTTCTCAAAGCTCTTGGTCTGGACCTCTTTCAGCCAGGCTCCAATTTCCTTGACCTTTTGTTTCGCAATCTCGGCGGGGTAGAAGTCAGTGTCTTCCCAGCCATCGCCTGTCGGGTTGTTGATGATGGCAGCAACGAACTCAGGGAACTTGATCATGTACTGGGCCAGGAGGTCCATGGCCTTCTGACTGTATTCCCATCCGTTGGGCGACTTTCGAGAGTAACCCAGAACCTTGAGCTTCTTCGCCTCAAACTTGAGGTTCAAGCCTAGATTGAGCTTGAGACCGCTGGAGGTGACGTTGAAGGAAGAAGTGAGCTTGGACAAGGCTAGGGGCGGCATGTTCAGCTGCCTAGCAACAACATATGATGGTACATAAGGTGTCGACCTTTCGGCCATGCTGACAACCTCACGTCCGAAGTTTGGCTCGGGTTTCTTAAGCTTGGCGACCATGATAGTAGCCTTGTTGTCTGCGTGGCCCATAACCTGCAGAGGGCGACCGTAGGCGTAGTCTCCAAGATAGAAAGCTCGAGCACCTTCAGGAAATTCTTCCTCGATAGGCAATGCCGCCTTCTCCAGGAAGCGTTGGTCTGCGCTGACAACCTCATCGACGACTGATTGGGTTGCATACTCGACCTGCAGCCCAGCAACCTCACCATACTCCTTGATTGTGGCGCCTTCATCAGTCTTCCTAAGACCTTTGAGCATTTCCACATGTACAAGTGACTCGATTTCGCCAATGTTGATACCAAGGCGCTTGCTGTACTGGCTCTCGATGCGGTTCGCCGTCTTCTTCCAGTTCGAGATTTCCTGTGGGCCATGGGGAATAGAAACAGGCGCAGATACACCATCCTCAGGAAGGACATAGTCGAATAACTCGTCCGATACCTTGACTACCTTTGCCTCGTGGAGGAATGGGTAGCCAACATGAACCGCTTTTCCAAGTTTTCCTATTGCATGCGATACTGGCTGTCGCGGCTCGGTATCCAGAAGCGTAATAACCATGCTCTCGTTCCGACTATCTTGATTGAACACGTTGACGCCAGCAAACTCGAGCTTTCCATGGAACGGCAAAACTTTCAAGCTGGGGAAGCCTGCCAATGCATCTGCTCCCAGTTTGACGCCGTCCATAAGACCAATGTAGTACTCCAGTCCGTCCATAGTAGGAAGGTCGAAGATGTTTTCGATGCACTTGCAATGTGGTAGATCCGGGAACACACCAGGCAGGGATGATTGGTAGATGAAGTCGAGATCCTTGGCGTAGGTGAACTTCAGCGAGACTCCGAATGAGTTGCGGGCCTTCTCATCTGGTGTTAGATCTTGTTCCTTCGTAGCCATGGCCTTCAACAAACGGTCTTCCTGAATAAAGGGAATCTTGACGACCGCCTCCCAATCCTGCTTCTTTCCGTTCATGTCCAACGTGAAGTCACGGGGATAGAAGTCGATGATGGGCGAGTCCTCGTTCGTCATAAGAGGCCAGTAAGCTTTCGGTACAATGCTCTTACTGCGATCAGGCAAGACTCCCATCAACTGCTGGAAAGGCTTGAATGGTTGGCCCAGTTTGAAGTTGATGTCTGCCTTCAAACCCCGCTTAACGTCGGAGATCATGGGCGAGTAGTGATATTGGTAGTACCACGGCCACGACGCTACTCCACGGTAGTAGTAATAGAGAACCCATTGTAGTCCTTGCACATAGTTCTCAGTTAGCTTGCGGAGCTCCTCTTCGTTGCTGCGATCCCACTCGAACTTGCTCTTGTAGTAGTCGTTCTTCCAAGCTTCAAACTTTTCATCGTACTTCTTCTGCATTTCCGATTGAGCGTCCTCAGGTGAGACATCAACAACCTTGGCCTGTTCGTATTTCTGTACAATGCGTGCAATCGCTTTCTTGGACTCGTCGTCTGTGTCCTCCTCCTCATCTGAGTCACCCTCCACCAGCTTGGGCGGAGCCGTGACCTGGATATGACGATCGCCATCTTCATTCTGAACAGTCTTCCATGGAAGACGCAGCTTTTCGGCAAGTTCCTGGACAAACTTCCGGTCCTCTGCTCGGAGAGAGACGGGAAAATCAAGAGGACCCTGCTCTTTCTTCCCCAAGTAGTCATTCAGCCAGCTCTTGACCTGTGCGAACAGAGCCTGCTGTTGAGTGGTCATAACAACTGTGCCTCGTCTCGCCGTCTTCTTCATTACATCTTCTTTTCCAAGGCTCTTTCCCTTGAACCAGGCGGCGTCTGAGTTTTCGGATTCAAAATGGCGGTATTCGATATTTGCGAGTTCATCCAATAATATCGCCAAACGCTCCATGTTGATGACACCCTCCTCGTTGATGTAGCCTTTACCCTTGGGTAGAACTGTCTTGTAGACGTTGAACATGAGAGCCAACGCGCCCTCGTTAATATGCAAATGCGGAAGGTTTGGAAGGAAATCGTTACCAACAAAGAAAGCCATGAGAATGAAATCGTCAATGACACGCTCCATATCAAATGGAAAGCTAAGAGCGCCAGGCTCTTCCAGTTCTTGGAACTCGAGTTCCAGATATTCTCGAACAATGCAGAGATGCATGAGATAGAAGTTCTGATGCTCCAACTCTTTGGACTTGGTCTGGCTCTGGCGGCCAAATGTCACCTCTTCTCGCAACAAACTGAAGTGGGGGTCATGGCTGAGCAAACCCAACATGATCAGGTCGGCATCAAGGCCGTACAAGCAGTGGCGACGGTTCGGGTCGTACCCCGGCTGCGCCTTCGCCTGACGGATGTACTCCATTACCTTGTGCTCGCCCTCTCCGGGGACCTCGTGTCCTGACAGGACGACTTCCACACCCTGCCAATCAATGTCCTCGGAGACCTTCTTGTTGATGAAGTACTTGAGCTGCTGTGTGAGCTTCGCCATAAAGGCTGTGCCCGGTGTGATGCAGTTGCTGTCAAAAGCTTCCTCGGTGGGCATCTCGACGCCTTCGCGGATAGCCTTCTCCCGAGCCTTTTCAGTATCGAGAGCAGTTCGGAAACGTCGCGCACGCTGCTGGTTCATCTTGGCGCGCGGGGCGACACCATCGATGGCCATGAAGAAGAGCTGTTTGGGCTTGATCTTGCCAAACAAATGCTCAATGTAGTTGAAGATGGAAATAAACATCTGGTCCTCCGACTTGCGGGCCGTGACGCTATCGGAGTCGTTATGGGTGCAGTTGTGGATAATACCGTTCATGTCCAACTGTTGCTGTTAGTGATTTCCATCGAATGCGATCCAAAGGACTTGCGTATAAACAATCAAACTCGGGAATTCGGTTTTCCGCAATGAGCTGTGAGATGCCTGGATACCTCTCGGACATCCATCGAAAGAATTTGGGGACACCCATGGTTGCTACTACTGTCTAGTAATAGCGGAGGATAAGTGGTGAGGCGACAATTGCGCCTTGTAGGTATGTATTTGGTGGGGTGGTGGCGGTCGCAAAGCGGGCGAAAGGGAGGAAGATGATGAGAGAAAGAAGGGCGCGCAAAAGCGCTGTGAGCGAGGGGCGCTGGAGAGTATGGGGTAGTTGTTCTCGACGCTGGGGTCTTCAAAGAGGTCCAATTCCGATGGCGAAGGCAATGGATATACACACAGGCAAGGCTGCCAAGCAAGTGGGGCGCTAGTTGATCGACCCATGCCCGTTAGTCTGAACGCGATCTTTAGAAGCGCGTCGTGCTCTGACGCTTTCCCCAGCAAACGCCGCGCACGTAGCATACACCTTTACTTCGCCAAATCTTGTCAAGTCGTACTACACATTCAAATGGACGAAACCATGAGCGGTAAGTCAAACTTCCTTGTAAAAATACTCGCAGCATTGCTCCGACCACCGGTACCCAAGCTTCATGTTGCATACAGCACCAACGGAGCTGTCGCAGGTCTCTTTGGGCCCTGCGCAAGACTCGGTGTCACTCTTTGAACTACAACAACTGCCTAAAAATAAGAAAAATCCAATACTGACATGCCGTTATCAGACGCTCTCGACTCGCGCGAGATGGACGACCAAGAGCAGGTCGAGCAGAAGATTATCAACGAAGAGTACAAGATATGGAAGAAGAATAGCGTTTTTCTCTATGATATGCTCTACGGACGCGCACTCGAGTGGCCAACCCTCACCACACAATGGCTACCCGACAAGAAGCCTGTAGAAGGCACCAACATGAGCCAGCACCGCATCATCCTCGGCACCCACACCTCGAACCAGGCGCAGAATTACCTTCAAATCGCCCACTGCGAGATTCCCGACTTCCGCGTTCCCGACTTGTCAGAGCTCAACGAGGAGCGGGGGGAGATTGGCGGCTATGGCAATGCAAAGAAGCCTTTTGACTTCAAGATTGTGCAAAAGATCAACCACCCCGGCGAGGTCAACAAGGCGCGATACCAACCACAGAACCCCGACATAATAGCGTCTCTTTGCGTAGACGGCAAGGTGCTCGTTTTCGACCGCACCAAGCACCCACTGCAGCCCAAGGACGACACCGTCAAGTTCGAAGCGGAGCTCGTAGGACACAGCAAGGAGGGCTTTGGACTAAGCTGGAGTCCCTTGAAGGAGGGCCACCTGGTGACTGGTAACGAGGACACGACGGTCAAGACATGGGACATCAAGTCCGGCTTCTCCAAGAGCAACAAGACCATCAGCCCAACAGCAACGTACAACGTCCACAGCGCCACCGTAAACGACGTCCAATACCACCCCATCCACAGCCACCTCATCGGCACCGCATCCGACGACCTCACCTGGCAAATCCTCGACACGCGCATGGAGACGTACAAAAAGGCATTATACAGGAAGGAAGCTCACGAGGACGCTGTCAACTGCATCTCCTTCCACCCAGAATTCGAGGCGACATTCGCAACAGGTTCCGCAGACAAAACCGTCGGCATCTGGGACCTACGAAACTTCGACAAGAAGCTACATAGCCTCCAAAGCCACCGCGCAGACGTCATCGGTCTCCAATGGCACCCACAAGACGCCGCCATCCTCGCCAGCTCCAGCTACGACCGCCGCATTTGCCTGTGGGATCTCAGCAAGATAGGGTCAGAACAGTCGGACGAGGAGGCAGAAGATGGTCCTCCCGAGCTGTAAGTCACCCCTTCCTTCACCGAACCCCCATATGTTCGTTCTTTACTAACAACTTTCCACCAGACTCTTCATGCACGGCGGCTTCACAAACCGCATCTGCGACTTTGACTGGAACAAGAACGACCCCTGGCTCATGATGGGCGCGGCAGAAGATAACCAACTTCAAATCTTCCGCCCCTCGCGTAAACTCGTGGAGCCGCTCAAGAAGACTGTTAATCATGGAGAGGTCTCGGATTGAGCTCTTTTTCCCCTCTATTTATCTATGCCCATTCTCTTGACGTGGGCTAATGGGTCCTTGTGTGATAACAGGCAGCGGATCAGACAAGGCGTCCAGCAGACATATTCGTTGGATCCTTACCCAATCGATTTCTACAGTTGTGGCGGCGGTTGGGTTTCGTGTTCTGAGTCGCCTTGTTAAGAGAGTGGGTTGGGGCTTTTGAGTCTATCCCCTCATATTTGTTTTGGCTGACTGGCTGTACGTAACCGTGGCTAGGTTTGAATGGTGGAATGTGAAATGAGCGTGTTCAAGGCGTCTACATCAAAATCGGGTGGAGGAGTGTGATATCCTTTGCTTTCTTAAATCCAAACACCGTATTTCTCTCTACCTTTGCTACGAACCAAGCCTTGCACTGCTTCACCCCCTTGAATCACATGCACAGAGTAACAGCAATATGGATGATAATGATATTGATATTTTGCTAAACTAATCGCGCAACCTCGTATACATAGCTATATATTTTGATTTCATATCATGCGTCGTCGTTGAGCGACAAATAAACGGCCGTGTGAAGTAACTATTACTCATACACGCGTGTTCTCATTACAAAAGGGTGTGACAGACAGATGAAGAGCAGAAAACGCCGATTTCCAACCAGGGATATCCTGCGCCCGAGAAGAAAACGCCAAATGCAAAAATGTGGATGAAGTTGGATATCCAAGAACGCCGCGCCGGTGGAAGAACGTGTGATAAAGGGTGTGAAGAAGAAGAGAAGAAAGGAAAGAACGGCTGACTTAGACGGCGACTTGCTGTGTTGGACGCTCGACCTTTTGTTCTTTCCTTGAGACAGCGGCAGGGCCCTCAGAGTTGCTCTTCTTGCTCTTCTTCTTCTTCTCCTCAACAGGTGCAGAGTCGACACCAATCTCCCTTGACAAGCTCGACGGCTTCTCGATCCCAGCATCGACGGTGACGTAGGAGGTGGCGTCGCAGCCCTCGCCGTAGAATTCGGCCGGGGCAAGATCACCCAGCGGCTTGCGGTCCTCATCCATAGCATCCTGTACCAGCTTGCGCAGACGAAGACGCTTGACGGGCACATCGGCAAGGATCTCAGTCTCGTATCCGTCATCGAGGGCAGACACCTGGTTGCGGGGCTGGGAAGCGAGGAAGTCTGGGGGGGGAATGTTCTCCTTGCCACGGTCCTCGTTGCGGTTCTTGGTCTCGGCGTCGTCTTCGGAGCTGATGTCAAGCACAGAGGCGGAGTGCTCCATCAGGTTTGCGGCCTCCTGCTCAGGGGTATCCTCGTGGATCTCGAAGAACCATCCTTTAGGCATGGTCTCGTCGAGAGCGCTGATTTGTGGGGCGGGTGCCGAGACAGGCGTGGCTGCTACGGTGGGAGCCTTGGGCGTGTAGGTTGAGATTGAGCCGCTGAGTGCCGCGTCGATGGAAAAGGGCAGGCTGGGGCTGCTCTGTGAGAAGGAAGGAGGGTCGACGCGACGAAATGGCGAGCTGGAGGCGCGTCGCTTGGAAATTGCATGGAGACGCTTGTTCTTTGGTGAACCACGGCTGTTGGTGATGGGCGTCGACTTTGCCGTATTGGGCGATGATAGTGCTTTTCGAGAAGACGGGACGGATGGCGTAGCACTGTGGCTGACGCTGGGCTTGACGGGGGAGGTGAAGATTGAAAACTTGGATGGCTTCACGAATCCGGCATCGTGGCTGCTGGCCGTCTTGGATCTTTTGGTCGGGGTGGAGGCGATGGGGTCCACATTCTCGGAATCGGCATCTTCGAAGATCTCGGGCGCGCGTTGACGCTTGCCCGTAGATGGAGTGACAACTGACTTCAAGCTCGAAGGGGACGCAAAGTTGGTAATGGCTACATAACACGCGTTTAGCTAATGCATATGCATGTGGATTTGAAGCTATTTACCATTCTGCCTGTTCTTCGCGCTTTGGAGTACCTGCAGGCGAGAGGAGCCAATCTCGCCGAACGGCTGACGCGTGATGGTGGCCATGATAGAAACGGTTGCGAACGCGGTGCTAAAGATTGTGATGTAGTGTAGAAGGGAAGGTATCGACTCGTAAGACCTATTGTCCAAGTCGAGTTCGCGATGTGAAAGTGGTAGAGTGGTAGAGTGGTGGAGGTGACGGGAGGAAAGGTGGGGTTGTGAACTCGACGTATCCCGTTTCAGCCCAAAGCCCGCGGAGCAAAACAAAAACAAAGGCCTTGTAGCGCTCTGACAACTTTTCAAGAGATAATGGTCGACGATAGAGAACGTAAATGCACAACCAAGAATCTGGAGCAAGAAGGAGGAGGTAGGAGAAGGTAGCTGTAATCCGTAACTTAAGCACCTGCAACGCGTAGGCCCAATGAACCTAGCGTGTACTTCACGCATCTAGGGGCACTTGCGCGCGTCCAGCCTTCTCCACCGACGCAAGGATACCACTCCGAAACTCCCGAAACCCAGCGGAATTACAAGCTCTAACCTTTGGGACGGACTCGAGCCATGCAATTAAGTTGAATTAACTGGCTGGGAAGCGCCCAAGGCCCGTGGTAGTGCATGAATTGCGCCACGAGAACGCGGTCGCGCGCTCGCGACGTCGACGTGAACTCGGTGCCTATACCTACTTTCCGCTGCGCGTATCCTGGGCCCCGCCGCTGCGCTGAGACTTTAGTACGTGCAGAAGCACCGTTTGGAGTGAGACAGCTATGTCATAGGTGGTTGGTTAATTCGCTAGTTTGGGCTCGGCTCAGCCTCCCAGTACCACGATGCTGGCCGTCGTGTTTCGACGCGCATATATATGCACGCATCTTCCCTTTGGCGACCGCGACGAGGCGGCATATACGTGAGGTTGATGCATCACAGCTTGTCATGTACCTGTTGCTTTCTCCACTGCAGTTTGATTGCTGTAGCGCTGCTAGGACTCGCATAACTTCATATGCACCTCAAGTATCGCACTCCTCTCCATGTGTCTGATCGGAGCAAGCCCACGCGACAGTCGTTCGCATGACCCGTCCTTTTCTTTTTCCTTCCTTTTCTCTGCTTCTTTTCTCTTCTTGCCAGTGTCATCATCGCACTCCCCACCTTCAAACTCTAATCCCAGCCCTGCACGACATGCTTTCTCGGACTCCCGCTCCGCGCCCGACCCCCTACACGCACCGGAATTCCGCCCCAATTCTCGTTCAAATAAGTATCGTTTTCCTCGTCGAAGCCATTCGCATACTCTGTCTCACCATTGGCGTCCCAGCCTCCATCAACGCCAGTGGTAACTTTATGGTCGCTCCAGCTCTCAGCTTGATTGCCGGACCATTCTTTGCTTCTGTGGCTTTTTGGTTGACTCCTTTTGCTAGTTTGACTTCCTGCCCATCCTGCTTGATCGGCTTCCCATTTTGCACTGTTTCTGTGGCTTGATCGGCTTTCGTGTTCAGATGGCGGGCGGCTCGATCTCTGGCTCCAATTTCCACCACCCTGTGACTCGCGTCCACTCCCTGAACCCACGACACTGACATCACTAAGCGTTTTCAACCGCTCAAATCCATCCCAAGTCGCCTCGCTGCTCACCGGGCTTATAATTGGACTATGGGCAGGCTGGTGAGGAAAGGCACGAGGCTGGATACCGGTCCAACTAGGGTTGTCGGCGGCTTTGGGTCTGCTGTCCCAGCTTTGTTCACTAGGTGGCTTCCCGTCCATTGCCCAGGTGTGGGGATGAGGCACGTTCCACGCCGACTCGTTGAGTTTCTCGGTGTTGAGTGAGCTTTGAACACTGCCACTCTTTTTACCGCCTCTTCCCCAGCCTGCGGCAGCGTTGCCTTCCGACGCAGTGTCGGGTGCGTCTTCAACGGTAGGTGGTTTGTAGGTGGAGTGGCTCTTCATTGAACTATCATCAATTCTTGTCTTCTCGTCTCGCCACTTTCCATTCGAGCTGTGTTGGTGTGATCGCTCGCTGCCATACGCATGGCTCGCTTTTTGGTCTTCCCATGCATTCTCGAGTTGTCCACCGTTCCACGATCGGTCTGACGTTGTCTTGCTCATTCCATCGGTTGATATTTGTTCATACCCGTATGTGCCACTCCCCATTTTCCCATATGCATTTGGGCGCACATACCTGTAGCCGTCTCTCACATTCCTGCCCTTTGATTCGGGACTGATATGCCCATACCCATCACTCACAGACACAGCCGGAGAGGATATGTATGTACCTCCCCTTGAAAGCCAGCCGCTCGCACCCCCTGTCATGAGGAAGTTGGTAGGTGAGCCGATGAGTTCAGTGGCCGACACATATCCATCTTCGTACTCAGATTCAGGGATGGGTGTGAGGATCTTTGGCGGGGTGGTTTGCGATTTCTTGTACTTCTTTGTCTTGCTTTGCTTGTCCGGTCGGTCTTTCGTATGGCCTTTTGACGTACTACCAAATACTCGATGCTTTGGTGGAGATGATGGAGCCGACATCCCAGTAGAAGATGGCGGTACGACGGTAGACGCAGCTTTAACCCAAGGCTTCGGTCGCTCAATTTCAGCTTCCGCTGGAGGTCCAGAATCAAAATCTCCGTCCTTATCCACGACAATAACACGTCCGTCATCCGCCCTAATCACGAATGTCGCCCATTGAGGCGGCGCAGGCACAGTGATGCTCTCCTCCTTCTTTTTCCCTCTCTCGTTCCCATGTCCATCTCCACCGCGGCCATCGTGTCTCTTCTTGACCTGTATACCACCCAGCCCTCGGACCTTGTTCAAGTTGCGCTGCACATCCCCAGTGACGGCTTTCTGTACATGTTCGTTCCATATCTTCTCGTAGCCAAACTTGGGCTCCTGAGGCTTCTTCTGCTTGTAGAAGCGCTTGTCAATTGTCCCAAACCCAGGCGTTGCATCATCACGGAACTGCATGTCTGCGCCATCATCGATGAAGCTTCCCGTATACCCAGACGTGTCTGAGCCGCTGGAGATCCATTTCGCGACGTGGTGTTTGGACAGGCCATGGGGTGTGCGTTTGGTGAATGATGCGCCATCATCGACGTAGGACTGTGGTGTTATGGCGCTCATGGCAGCGCGGTTGTGTTGGGATGTATTATGAGGAGTGCACCATGAGGGTTCACAGAGGTAGGTGTTGTAGCCTGCAGAGCGCTTTTGCTTTGGAGCTTTGCGATTGGCGGGGCGAATGAAGAAGAGTCGGTGCTTTTGAGGGGTCTTTGACGATGGCATGTCTGCGATAGCCGAATGAGAGTGAAGGTGAAGACTAGCCTTGCTGCATATCGGGATGCGCACACATGGACGATGAACAGACTTGCGAGACATGATCATACACACGTCGAGACTTGAAAAACATTGATCGTGATACAGCATCCGTGCTGCCAATTGCTAGATATATATATGCGCACATCCAACAAACACCAACACGCACCAGCACCGACCCTCCCGCGTCTTCGAAGCAAAGACATATGGAGTAGCACATTAAACCACGGGCTACAGCTTGGCCTTTTCCCGCTTCTTCTCTTGTTCCCACTGCAACTGCACATTGCGCATTTTGTACCAGCTCCACAAACCCGCCATGGCACCAAACGGTGGAAAGACCCAGAGCAGAAAACTCCACCATCGTGGGCTCTGGCTCCGAACGTCTTGCATGACCCTCTGAATCTCCTTTTCTAGGTATGCTCTATCGTGATCGTTCCAGACTACCACGCCCTTGCCCGGACCTCTTCGCAGACAGCGCTCTGCCTTTTCGCGCACATCACCTTGACTCATCACACGGTTGCGCGCATCCTCCTCAGTGAGATGTGCGTCACGGGCTCGCAGTCGCTGTATTTGTATCGCGGGATCGGAGACACCGACAACGAGGATGGTGCCGCAATAGCGTTCCCAGCCGCTCTCGAAGAGGAGAGGGACGTCTAGCACGACGGCCCAGTGGCCTCGCAGGTACGCCCATACCATTTGTTTGTACATCTCTTTACGCACTGCAGGGTGAACGATGCTATTTAGCATCTTCCTGTCGCGCTCTTTTTCCTCTCCTCCGCCAAAGACCCTCCGTCCTAGTGCTGGCCGGTTCAGCGGGCGTCCTTTTGGTGTCGCATCGGGAAGGAGCAAGTCTGGTGTAGTGGGCGAGAAGTACTTGACAATGGCATTATAACCTGCAGTGCCCGGCTCAACTACTTGTCGCGCAATGAGGTCGGCATCTACTACCGGCAGCGAATACGGTGGTTTAGAGAGGAGCGATGAGACGGTCGATTTGCCAGTCGCGATGGAGCCCGTGAGGCCGAGGAGCAACATTGTAAGTTATTTTGGCCGTAGCTGAGGGCGGACTGGGCTTTTCAGTGTATTGAAGAGGACTTGGAGCCCAGGTCCTGGGTTGATGCTGTTTGCCTTACATGGTGAAGATGGGATAAGATGACGATTGCGGGGAGCTTGGAGCTGTACCTCGGAGCTAACCAAGCTCGGGCCGGTGTGGTGGTACCATCATCTCTCCACCACTTCCAACCTACAATAGTACTATCCACCATTCATTCCTTGGATTTCCTCACGGTGCTCAAGTTACGTTTCAATGTTCGATGAAGACTGTCTGGGATTGTTTTGCCTCCTTAGGCTACACATGCGCTGTTTGAACCTGACGACATCGAAACTTGCTGATGTTTTCATTCTTTGCCTACAGATACCTTCACTACAAACTGGTGCTTTGATTCACCGTTTTCGATCATGGCAGAAGCTGACATTCCGCGCGAAAGAGATTTCCTCATTCGATCTAATGCTTTCCATTGCATCTCACACCTGCACGCAATTTTGTTACCATCGTGCTTCTCGCGAAAGTGGTAATATTCGTCCACGGCGTGTTCGAAAGTCTCACTTGGACCGATAGTGGTAATATCCAACCAGGTTTTGTAATTGTGAATTCCAACAATCACAACAAACTCTTCACCTGTCTCAAGATTGTTGAACAGGAGGCCACCATAATTGCCGCTTCCTATGGCAGTATATTCCAAGAAACCACCGTTAGAGCCTGAAATGTTCCAACGGTTGTCCGAAACGGGGCTGTAATGTTGCTGAAGAGAAAAGCCGTTCAGCGAAACTGATCTGAAGTCCACCTTGAATGTGTACTCGGCCGGATTTGGCTGCCATCGATCGCGACCAAGGGTACGTGGAGCCGCTGGCACGATGTACAGAGTCTCTGGTGTAGGAAGTTCCTCATCACTATCGATCATGGGAAGTTCATCTGCACAGCGAATCCGATGATACACATCAGGGCGCGTTCTTTTCAGATATATGCCTAGGCGACGGTTTTCTGCGTCAACACAATTCAAGATGGCAACAAGGCTTCCCCCTTTGCCTTCCACAATAGGCAAGTTAATGCGGAGACCTCTGTTGGTCATCGAGAAATCCGTTGAGTCCTGTTTCCCTTCCACGAAGCCCCGACAATCTCGTAACTCTTCAGGGGATTGTGCGAGCGGACCCCTTTCCGTTCCAGCGCCCCGCCAGGTGAACAAAGTATGATCGGTCGACCTTTTCATAAACTCTTCCTGTAGACGTTCGAATGCCCGAGAACCTTCGCCGTACAGCAACGGCATGTTGACTCCAAGTAGTCCAAGAAGACAATACGCGATATCTTCCTCTCTTGTCGTCTGTCGCCCTGCCACCCAAGAGAGAATCTGAGCAACACTGTATTTTCCTGTGAAATCGTTCTTGAAGACTTCAGGAGGTATACGCGTGATTCGAGAAATAGTGGGAGCCAAGTTGAGTCTAGTGTCGATCTTGTTCCAGTTGCGGGTGTAGAAGACCATCATCTTGGGTGCGAGAAGCTCCTGGAGTGTCCACCCTCGTTTGAACCATCTACTCGAGTCCAGCCCCCAAAAATCGTCAACATCAGACAGATATCCGTAGCAGATGATTGCATCCTGATACCAGTTGAACATTGAGTTGATCGCCTCCGATAATTCGGCACTGCTCGTTTTATCAATGCAGCAGGTGTCTACCCAGGTGTATTGCAGTCCTTCGGAAGCGGCTTGCGCCGCGCAGGACTGTATTTTCCTGTATCCAGATTTCGTTTTCCCAGAACCATCCATGAACTCTTGCAGAGTAACCTCGTCGTTTGCATCTCCCCAAGTATGCGATAAGATCGCATAAGAGGGGATGTCCTTGTAGAAATTCGTCAGGACGAGCTCGCCGTTGTCTTTGAGCTTTATCAGACGCATGGCAAATGATTGACGAAAGAACAATCGAGGGAAGAATTGCTGGTGACAAAAGAAGATGTGTATGTAATTAGGGGTATGTGCATACGGATCGTGAATAACAAGTGTAAGCTGTGTGGGACCAGAAAAAAGGCGAAGTAGACTGTGATGTATCCGCTGCCTCTGTTCTGCGATATGTTCAAAGGTACAGATAGTGTGAGCTTCTATATATACTCATGTAGGTCACACTTAATGTCCAGTCTAGACTTGTATGATTATCTAGTGCTCCCACGAGTGTGTCTTAACCAAGTTCGTGGCGCAAAACATTCCATGATGTGATTGACTTACTTCACAACCAGTCGTGCGAAAGATACGACAGCTGAGAAGCTGATTAGAAATCTGACTCCTTGTGACAGCTGAGCGAGTACTATAGAGCTGATTGAGACTTAAGTGACTCTGAGGACTGCTGTGTATAGTATCGTGGAACCTAGGCGTGTCAGTAAACAGGATTTCATATCAGCTCGGCTGAACAAAGCTGCACAACTGAGCGCCTATCTCCAAAGCTATCAGCTTGTCGACGAAGATGCCGATTCAGCTGGGCAAGGCAAATCAATGTGCTTCTTCTGCAGCGGTGTTCAACATTGATTCAGCTCTCCAGAATCCAATATGTTCTCTTTGTTCAGCTCTAGGGTTTTTGCTGGTGGTCGTTACTGGTTGACATAGAATCGGCCGCAAAAAGGCGTCACGGGCACATAATTTACTTCTCCCCACATTTCCAAAAAAGCCCGGATCAAGACTTAGCGCTAACTAGACATAGATATCGTTAGCAACACGATTTACCTACAGCCCCACCCACAGCTTTCAAAAGAGAATGAAGAACAAGAAAAGGGTCGGGCAATGAGTAATGCATTCAACATGTTTACTCCGCATGATCACCAACTAATTACATGGTCTGCATTAGCTAACGGCCAATAGCCAATCGGCAGACCGGGGAACTCCGGGCCTAAAGCTTCCCCGCACAGCTAGAGCTAGCGTGTCAGTCATAGAGGGTTACACTGCATGGTGCCTTCCCGGACAAGTGCAAGCCATGATATCCCAAATGACATCTGCCATTCAGTTCTTTCCTCCCGATTACAGCAAAACAGCGAGAACTGTATTGCAATGATATTTGTCAGATGATTTTCATGCAAAAAACTACTGTGGCTTTGCTTGCCCAAGGCTCCATCGCTCTCACATCCCCGGTCCCGTCGTGGAAGGTTGTATCATCTTCCAAGATACATGGAAATGCCACCGAGCTCTCTATCTCTGGTATTGACACCTCTTCATGGTATACTATCGGCTCCAAGGGCACTTTAATGGCCACGTTGATCGAGAATAATGTTTATAACGAGAACGACCTATTTTACTCCACCAACCTGCAAGATGTCAATACAGCGCAGTTCCGAGTACCATGGTACTACCGCTCCGAAGGCATCTTGAGCAAAGAAGATACAGCAAACCACTACTACACGCTCAAGACTAATGGTATCTCGTCAAGAGCAGATATCTGGCTTAATGGAAAACTTGTAGCCGACAAGAACACGCAAGCTGGTGCTTATACGGGGCTGGAGTACGATATTACCGAAAAGATACAACCCAATGGGAAAGACAATGTCCTCTTGATCAAAGTCTATCCAACCGACTACAACCGAGACTTTGCACTTGGCTTCGTTGACTGGAACCCGTACCCACCGGACAATGGCACTGGTATCTGGCGCGATGTGGAACTGAAAAGAACGGGACAAGTGAGCATCAGCAGTCCAAGAGTGACTACACGCGCGGCGCTTGACGGAAACATTGATATCTTCTTAGATGTCAAGAACATGAATAAGAAGACAGGTGCCAACGGCACAATTCACTGCGCTGTAATTGACCCCGACGGCGTCGCAGCTTCAACCGCAACTGTCAAGTTTGAGCTCAGAAGCGGCCAAAAAGAGACGGCTTCTCTTCCGGTTGAAATCAATAATCCTAAAATTTGGTGGCCACGACAATGGGGAGATCAGCCATTGTATAGCGTACAGTGTAATGCTTCCACTTCCAACACACTTTCCGATATCACACCTTCCGTCCGCTTCGGCATCCGCACTGTAACATCAACCCTGAACACCGTGTACAACGACACCACCTTCCATGTCAATGGAGAGCGATTCCAAGTCCTCGGCGCAGGCTACACATCCGACATGTTCCTGCGCTTCAACGAAGATAAGTTACGCGCCCAATTCGAATACGTCCTGGCCATGGGCCTAAACACTGTCCGCCTAGAAGGCAAGCAAGAGCACCCATTTCTCTACTCGCTCGCCTCAGAAATGGGCATCATGCTCCTCGCAGGTTGGGAATGCTGCGACAAATGGGAAGGCTGGTCTTACAACGACGAAGGTGGCGGCGCAAAATGGTCGGACGCAGACTACACCATTGCAAAACACTCCATGAACCACGAAGCAGAAATGATGCAACCTCACCCCAGCATGCTCGGCTTCCTCGTCGGCAGCGACTTCTGGCCTGACGACCGAGCAACAGAAATCTACCTCTCCGCCCTCAAAAGCAAGAACTGGGATACCCCCATCATCGCTTCCGCCAGCAAACGCGGCTCACCCGACGCCCTCGGAAGCGGGGGCATGAGAATGGAAGGCCCTTACGACTGGGTCCCACCAAACTACTGGTATGACCCCTACGGCCGTCTAGGCAGCGCAGCGGGTTTCGGCTCTGAACTTGGTGCTGGCGTCGGCACCCCTGAACTGGGTTCTCTAACCCGTTTCTTATCCAAAGACGATATAAGTGACTTGTGGCAAGCACCGGATAAGGGGTTATACCACATGTCCACGAACACGTCTTCGTTTTACACTCGCTCCATTTACAACGATGCCCTTTGGGCGCGCTATGGTAAACCAACTAGTCTGAAGGATTATGTGCTTAAGGCACAGATGATGGATTATGAAGCTACCAGATCGCAGTTCGAAGCTTACCTTTCCCGATGGATAGCCGAGCGACCGGCTACGGGGCTTGTGTATTGGATGCTGAATAACGCGTGGCCGGCGCTGCATTGGAATCTTTTTGACTACTACCTGCACCCCCAAGGCGCGTTCTTCGGCGTGCAGACTGCATTGAAAGATCTTCAGACCCTTGTGTACGACTACCAGGCCAAAGATGTAGTCTTCATCGATCGGCGCAGTGCTGCACATAGGAAGGGAAAGAGTACCGTGCATGTCAACGCTCAGGTACTTAGTCTCACCGGCGCTGTGGTGTGGGAGAAGAAAGTCGACGTTGACACGAAAGGCATGGAAGTGAGGAGGATGTTTGAAGTAGGGGGTTTGGGCAAGAGGAACGAAACAGTGTTACTACGTCTTCTTCTCACGACACCCACCGGTTCTTCATCTACCAGCAACACTACCACCACCCCCTTCTCCCACAAAACCTACTGGATCGCACCCACCCCCGACAAAATGGACTGGGATAACTCATCCTGGTACTCCACGCCTGTAACATCCTTCTCAGACCTCACAGATCTGTCACGTGTCTCACCCGCAGACGTGCATGTAACATTTGACGGCAAGAAAGTGTCGTTGCTGAACAAGAGCAGTGTGCCAGCGGTTTTTCTACGATTGAATCTCGTGGATAAGGAGGGTGAGGATGCGGTACCGGTTGTTTGGAGCGAGAATTATATTACACTTTGGCCGGGGGAGAGTATGGATGTTGGTGTGCGGTGGGGAGGAGGCGGTACAAAGGAGGGGGTGAGAGTGGTGCTTGACGGGGGGAATGTGGAGGAGAAGAGTGTTGGGGTGTCTTCTGGGGAGATGTAAACAGCTATTTATTAACCAAAGATAGGCCCAAAAAAGCCATATAGATGACTATAACCCCCTTTACACCACCCCCACACCTCTTCCCTCACAACTTCCACCCCCTTCCCCTCGCCATCTTCCCCTCCTGCCTAACCGCCAAATCCGCAATAATCTCCTCACTGCCACCCCCCACAACCTGCATCCTCAAATCCCTACTAATCTGCTCCACCACCGCCCCCGGCCCCCCACCCTTCTGATACCCCGCGCCCCCAAAAACCTGTTGCGCCTCTCTATTCGCCAACTCTAAGATCCGACCCCCATGCACCTTCGCTAACGCAATCTGTCCCGCGATACTAGCGTCCTGCCACCCCAGCTCCGCATGCTGGATATGGTATGCTAGCTGCTCTAGCCACGCCCAATGCGATTCAACATACCGCGCTATCGTCGCCAGTTTACTAGCGATGATCTGGTTGGCGATTAGCGGTTTACCAAATGTACGTCGTGTATGGGCGTAAGCGAAGGATTCAGAGAGACAGGTTCTAGCTTTGCGGTTACATCCTACGGCCATGATGAAGCGTTCTTTGTTGAAATTTCGCATCACGATAGGGAAGCCGGCGTTCTCGGCGCCGATGAGGTTTGCGGTTGGGACGCGGACGTTGTCGAGTTCGACGAAGCTGGCGCCCCCGGCTTTTTGCCCGCTGTTGGGGATGCGGCGGTGTGCTAGGCCGGGGGAGTTGGTGGCAATGACGAGAACGGAGAGGCCCGAGGCGCCGGGGCCGCCGGTACGGACGGCGGTTGTCATGTGTGTGGCCCAGGGCATGCCGGTGATCCATTTCTTGTAGCCGTTGACTGTGTAATAGCTTCCATCAGAGGATTTTGTAGCGGTGGTTTCGATGTTGGCTACGTCGGACTGGGGTGGGTATGTTAGCATGCTGTTTGTCTATCAAGAGGCGTGACGAAAGGAATAGAGTAGGGAGATGGAAGTGGTAAATTAGAGAGATCACATGCCCCACCACCCGGCTCCGTAATCCCCAAACAGAAACTCGTCTCCCAAGTAAAGAGGCCCGGTAACCACATCTTCTTCTGCTCTTCCGTCCCATGGTGTACAATAGGCGGTGCTCCAATTACACTGGCTCCACCCAGCGCAACGCCCACACCCCCTTCAATCCTACTCGTCTCATCTGTCATGATCATGAAATGGAACAAATCCATTTCCCCCACAGGTATACCAGCCGGCCCCGGTACATTACCAGGACGGTATGGCTCCGGGATGTCTGCAAAGCAAAATCCCGTCTGTGCCCATTTGAGCCGCTCTGACGTGGGTGCTTCACCAGCTTCCTCCCATTCTAGCATATACGGTTTGATATTTGTGTCGATGTAGGTGCGGAGTGCATTGCGGAGCTTCTTGTGCGAGTCGTTGTAGTAGGGGGATGCGAGAGAGTTGTACCATGAGGGTTCGCTCCAGGGACCGAGGTTGCCAAAGGCTTCTATCTTCTGGGGTGGCATTATGGAGGGAAGAGGATTGTTTGTCTGTGGTTTTGCCGTCGACATTGTGTGAGTTGAATAGTATGGGAAGACATGGCTGCGCGACTACCTGATATTGATGGATGCAATTGTTGAGATGCCGCGGCTGAGAGACGCTGATCGCGCTGACTCGCATGCCAATCTGCGGGGGCGAGTAGCCAACTCGCGTCATCCGCTTTTTCAGCCCTACCGGCCCGGTAAGAAAGAACTGTAAATTCCACAGCTCTTCGCAGTCAATGCAAATCTTCGCGAAGACATTAGGCTGGAAACGCTCGAATAGCTTTCGCGTATCACTTCTCGCCATTAGCCGTTCACAGCAAACAGCGAAACAAGACTTGGACCAATGCGAAAGGGAAAAGGTATTGATGTGAACCTGCGAAGCTTTATTGATATCACGATGTTAACTACATGAAATCAAAGTTTCCGGCATGCCTGCTATTACTATTTCCGTCCGCACGTATCCTCCCGTTGGAGCGATACGTTTACCTGGTGCAGTAACCACCGTCGATGAGGAGATCGGAACCCTGGGATTGTTAGCTACTGTACTTGGGAAGTTTTAGTAATCAAGACTTACAGTGCAGTAAGATGAGGCATCAGATGCGAAGAAGAGGTAAGCACCCTTGAGCTCGGTGGCCTTGGCGTCACGGCCCATGGGGATCATGGAGTGCCACAGCTTCTGGATGTCCTGGGGAACGAAGTCGGAGAGGCCAGTGTCAATGTATCCAGGGGAGATGGAGTTGACACGGGCAAAGTCCCTCCACTCGTTGGCAAGCGACTTGGCCAAGTGTATGCATCCAGCCTTTGCGACGTTGTATGAGGTCTGCTCCTGGGGGAAGTTGGCAATGTGGCCGGACATGGAGGAGGTGATGACGAGAGATCCGGTCTTGCGCTCGCGGAAGTGGAAACCAACGGCACGTGCGCAGTTGTAGGTACCGGTCAAGTCGGTCTCGATGACCTCCTTCCATTGCTCGACGGAAGCCTCAAGGATACCGTTGTCGGCAGTCTTGCCAGCGTTGGCAATGAAGACATCGACCTTGCCGAAGTCCTTGATGACGTCCTGGACGAGCTTCTCGCACTGAGCGTAGTCGTTGACCTGGCACTTGTAGGCCTTGACCTTCACGCCGTACTTCTCGCTCATCTCCTTTGCATTCTTCTCGGCGCCCTCGGCGCGAGAGTTGTAGGTGATGGCGAGGTCGGCGCCGAACTCAGCGCATCCTCGGGCAGCCTCTGTGCCAATACCGGTAGGGCCAGAGGCACCGGTGACGATGACGACCTTGCCCTTGAGGCTGAAAAGGTCCTTGAGCTCGGTTGCTTGGGGAACGGGAACCATTGTGACGGTTGTGTGATTTGAAAATGGGTATAAAGGGATTGGAGGAAGTTTGAGTGTGATGATCAGGAGAATGGAGAGTGAAATGGAGGGGCACGGAGGGGTTCAAGTACTCTTCAGCTGCAAGGACTTAATGGACAATGTCGCGTTAGTGGTTAGTGAGGGGCGTTGGGTCGCGAGTGACGTGTGGCTCGTCCTAAAGAGCAATCGCACGTCATGCTCTGGACGTGATTCGCCAATGGCATCAAAATGTGGAAAGATGGGTTCGCACTCGTTGGCATCCTGGCCAGCAACGGGGGTGTTGGTGGCATGAATCGGACGTGACGTTCCTGCCCCTCTGTTAGTTCGCTCTAATGGAGCTTGGGCCCCATAATCTTTTGCTTCGGCGCGTCTGCCCATCGTATCTTTCCCATGAAATCTTCACTTTTGCGCATCTAGCTCTTGTTCTTTGCCGTCAATTTTTGTCGCGGGTGCATTGCCAATTCCCGCGCCTAGTTGCTAGAGCATCCGCTTTTCCGGAGACTCTGCGCCATTTCCCGCGCGCAAGAAGGCATTCATCCCAAGGTGGAACCCCACTATGCTTGCATAGCCTGCACTGTCATCCATTACCTGTTTGACAAAGACATGTTGTCGCCGCTGGTGGCATTGGATACAGGCTGTGCTGTAACGTGGCTGTCCAATCTCGCTGACATGCCATGACTAAGTCAAGTCGACCAATCTGAGGTAGACTAGGTGTTCAATAAGTGTTACTCAGCTCTTTCCCATGGCACACAAGGCTTGGTCAAAGCCGGTCCTATTCTTCGCTTTTGATTGAAGACGGAAAGACGTTGACAGGCCTGCATGTGGCGGCTAATGTGTAATGAAGCTGTTCCGAAAATCTCTGCGACGTCCAAGTCTTGATGCGGCTCCGATCGATCTCGCGTATAGTTCCAGGTTTATCATGTAATGCTGTATGTACATGTAGTGGTCGACGCGGGGCGGCATGCCACGCACTGTGCTTGCTTTTGCCGTCATCAGCCGCAGGCGTGAGCCAGACCGTTCACTTACATCGGGCCGGGGGTTCGTAGTGGAATTTGGTTTCTCCGATACCGCGTGAGCACGTGACACATGTCATCGGCCAAACCTCACATTTCATCAGTAGAGACACGTCAAAAGTCTATATCGAGCTCGATGAGCAGTTTTGGGCCCAATGTGCACGTCGCAGCCACGAACGTGACGTCTGGTAGCACATGCAGCTACTGTATAGATTAGCCAAGCTCCTGCCCACCGGGTGGGATGCCGACCTCTGATTCGTAGCCATGGTCGCTCTCACCATACTTTTCCCTACTGTATGCTTCAAACCTGGGCACTTCCCCTGAGACGCAACACTCCATCATCTTTGTCCCCCCCAACACAACTGAAGATACGACGTAGCCCAAGTTAGACACGCAACCATGGTGCAGAACGCGCTCCTCCCCAAACCCCTCCCCGCCGACGTACTCTCGGTTGGTCAGCTGCTTACAGACCCCTTACACCCGGAACGCGATTCCTTCTACCCCGACAAGGCACATTCCGAAGTCGACGACCTCAATGACTTCCACATCCAACTACGCTACAAGGACATCTACTCGGTCGACAATGAGGGTCGCTTCATGGCCAACTACGGCGCCAAGTTCGACCTGGGAAGGATATACAGACAGCCAAACCTTATCACCGTAAAGGCAGAGCAGATGGTACAATGCACAAGTCAGAGTCCCTCAAAAGCTTTCCAGGCCGTATGTGGGGATGCCGAGGCTCGCGTCTGGATGGCCGAGCAGATACAAGCTGGCAAGCCGCTACACATCGTCTTGGGCTTGACAGAGCTTAAGAATGCAACTTTCAAGCGCGCCAAACTCCGCGACGCCGGCGCCTCAAATCGCATCAACGAGATGCCCATCGAACAGGACGCAAAGGTGCCCATGCCTCTACGTGGCAGAGGTCAAGCTCATCTTGGAGGAATCGGCTCCGAGCCAACCATATCGGGTGTTTTTGGCATGGATGTACGACGTGTTGCCGCGAGGATCACTGTACCGGAGGAACCACATCGGCTGGAGGACATCGGATACCGTTGGTACTACTACGACGTACCCGGCTCAAACAACAAGGAACAGCTCATGGTAGGGCTCGGAGAGAAACTCAAGGCCAACGATCTGCGTCTGATGCTTGATCTCACCGAGGAGGATGTCCAGGGTAACCTCGATGCCATCAGCAAGCTCAGTCTCGATGCTATGAGTGCTACATCGAGCCCCATGCTGAAGCCTAGCACGCCGATGTTGCGAGGACGATCGCCTTCCCCACATCCGGCCATGCTTCGCGCCTAGACCAAGACTGGCGCTCTGCGCTGTCGTTTGAGGCGGATACGGTAATAAGCTATGGCAATTAGTCTTGAGAGTACATCCTACAATGTATGACAATGGGTATGGAAGCGACGATGAACCACGATTACGAAGCATCTCTTGTCTACACACGATATACTTTTGAATCATGATTACATATTTGGGTCTCTACTATGCTTGTATGCAATCAGCAGTGTGATAAACTAACTATCATGTACAGACGTAGAGGTGGTACAAACAATTCAAAGTAAAACGCGCTAACTTAGTACGCGGAACTACTACATGGGGTAACTACCTACCTATGTCCACAGACGGCGCATCTGCGCCACAGCACGGTGTAGATGGGATTACATTCCCTCCGTCTGCGCTTCTATCACTGTCATCTGTACCCTGCTTTCTTGTGACTTGATTTTTACATTTCGAACATCATCCTTGTGTGAGAGGGCCTCCGCAGGCCTTTCATTCACTTTTCGCCGCCGACTGTGCAGTGTCTTAGCGTCACGTGTCCTCGTGCACACAAAGCCCACCAACGTGTGTGGTATGTTTGATAACGCGCCCATACATAAAACATGACTTACGTAATCATACTATAGATTCTGGCAAGATGGACGCCGGGGAAGAACGCGTTGCGGGAGTCAAGCGCACGAGAACCGATCGTGGAACAGCTACACCACCAGAGGACCGTGCACCCAAGAGCGCGCATCTCCCCATGACAAATGATTCTATTACCAGTGCGCCAAACATGGATTCTACACCCCTTTCTTTTGAGACAAAGATTGCCATGGCGTTGCAGGGACAGGGTAATTGGCAACAATTACAAAATGCGCCTATAGCGGCAGCAGCAGCAAATTCCGGCGTCGCTGATAACGAGGTAATACCAGAAGAAGTAGAAGTTGAAGAAGAGGAGGACATTGAATTGGATGAGGACTCGGTACTTGGAGAAGACGAAACCAACGAGCCCAAGGCTGTAGAAGATGTCGTTGATACAGCCAGGAAAGAAAAGCTCGCCAAGAAGGCGCAGCGTTTCAATCAAGTCATTGCAAGAGACGCAGGCGAGGTAGTCAAGACAATCGACCTGGATACAATCCAGCCAGTACGGGAAACAGTTTCATGGGACCAAGACCCGGAACTGCTATGTTGCTACAACTGGCAATTTTCCACCACCGCCAACACAATCTTCGTCCCAGGCGAGCCCGCCAAATGGACCCCTCGACCTCTTCCCTACAATCTGGAGCGAGACAGTGGCTTCTCATTCGCAGACTACAACTACGCGCGTCGCCCCCGAGATCCCTACTCCCCCATGTTTGCCGCCCTACGTGTCATGAGACCCGGCTACACATTCAACGACATCGACGTACTAGCCGACCGAAACAACCTTCGCGTACTCCTCGAGTTCACCCAAGGCAAGGCCAACGGACCCCTGCGCCTTAACCTCTATCTCGTCCACAACACCCTCGTCATCATCCGCAAAGAATCCAGATGGTGGAAACGAAACAACGGCGACAGCTACGGCTTCAACTTTGAAAAACACTTCACCCGCACCCCAGATGACATGCAAGATGCAACAAGCCACTACCGCGCAATCCGCTACCGTATGGGTCCCCTCAACGTCGTATGTCGCTTCGAAGCAGACGCCTACGATGATGGTATCGTGTCCGACGAGCTCTCTGCCACCGAAGCCGACCTCGCAAGCGGTGGCCTAGCAGACCTCCCCCGCTTCAATTTTCCTGCACCTATCAATGTGCTACAAAAAGGTCACATGGTACCCACAGCCCAGCTCGTAGAATTAAAAACACAAGCCTACAAGCCCTTGAATCCCACGCTCGTTGCATGTCAAGACCAGCTCTGGTTCGGCCGTACACCGCTGCTTATCACGGCGCCGTACGATAAAGACACTGGTACTGTTACGCGTATCAAGCGCGAACTCGCAATGGACAGGATCAAGATCTGGGAAGAGAAGAACGAGGAGCCGTTGCGTAAACTCGTTGCTTTACTGGGTGAGTTTAGAAATGTGCTCAGGCAGCAGCCTAGAGAGCGTCGTTCGTTGGTTTTGGTTAGGGAGATGAAGGGGGGTCCGCTGGTGCTAAGGACGATGTTGGAGCATGCTTCTGGTGTTGATGGTGGGGCTCGCCGTGAATACTGGCCGATGCGAGGCGGTGGCGGAATGAGGGGACTGGGAGGTGCGCCAGTGTGCAGAGGTCAGTTCGGTGATGCGAGGGGGAGAGGGGACTTTGTGCAGCGGGGAGGTTTTCCACAGAGGGGTCTGTTTATGGGTGGGCGTGGATGCGGTGATTATGTGCCGAATGGTGATCGTGGAAACTACGGTCCGCCTCAAGGTCAAGGGCGTGGCAATTTTGGCCCACCTCAGACTCATGGAAACTACGCTCCGCCTCAGGGTCGTGGTAACTACGCTACACCTCAAGGCCGTGGCAATTATGCTCCGCCCCTGTATCAACATTCGCAAGGGCGTGGTGACAATCACATTCCACACCAACAGCGCGGAAACTACCCCCAGCAAGGTCAAGGTCAAAGTCAAGGCCGTGGACAACGGGGAGGAGGCAGGGGAGGCAGGGGCGGGAGAAGAAGCCCAGATCACGGTATTAGCGGACCGAGGCGTTGAAACACATGTATGGCGTTGGATAATACCACAGATCAGGGACATGTGTGGGCGAAGGGAACGGAGTTTCGGTATATGGTGAGATACATAGGTTAACATATGGAGGGAGTGGGACGATCATCTGACCCCAGCAATACCAATGAAGTCTATGTCGACCTAAATTCCCGCTCTGAACGCTCGTGTATGCGCTCCGAAGGCAGTACAAGCCATCGTGAAACAAAACGTCTGCATATGCACACATGTGAAGAGCGTGGGTAGACATTATAATGGCATCATTCAATTGATCAATATGCAGATCCTTCCAGAAAAAGGGACCATTGAAACCTCCGACGCTGGCAAGTGTTGCGTGTGGGTATCTATCCATACAAGCGCCAACCACCGCCGCCACACCAACGGGCCGCACACACATGATGCAAACCCAAGTAAAGCAAGACAAAAGCAAGTCGTTGAAAATGCCAGATCAAAGTAATAAATAAGGCCGTCGCAACGCAAGTCCCCAAGCACACACACTCACCCATTCCTCAAATTAGCAACCCTACCGCCCGTCAAACTGGGACTACCAGCTCTACTCCGAATCTTCGGTTGAGGCGTCGCACTCGTGCCTCTGGTACCAATACCAGGTCGGCCCACGGTTCTCAGCCTGAGTACCTCTTCTTCCTTGGTATGCAGCGCCTTTTTCACAATCGCAAGCTCAGCGGTCAAGTTCTTGACTTTCTCCTCGAGGAGGGCATAGCTACGACCAAGGTGCAACTCCTTCAACTTGACTGCTTCGCCCGACGCCGCCTTGCTTAGTTCAGCGTTTTCAGCCTCGAGGTCGGTGATGCGGGCCGTGGACGTCGAGGCTGCTGTTTGGGCGTCGCGGTAGACTTCTGATGTGTATTGTAACGTCTTGTTGGCGGTGGATGAGGCTTTTACTGCACGGTCTTTTTCTTCGACCGCAGCGGCTAGTAGATTACGCAGATTAGTAATTTCGGCGATTTGGTTTTCGGGCGAGAGGAGATGCGTTGCACGCTGCTCTGCGAGCTGCCCCTTTAGCTCGCGCACTTCTGTCGTTCGCGAGGTGAGGCGCTCGGTGAGGGTGGCGTTTTGCTTGGTCTGCGTCTCGAGCTTTGCCTCTGTGTCATGTAGTTTGTTGACTAGGATCCGGTATTCGCGTGCGAGATTCTCGTGGATGGTTTGTTGTCTGTCCCATGACTCCTCGTGTTCGCGGAAACGCCTTTCTTCAGCTTTGCGGCTTTCGTACTCTTTTCTGTAGGCTTCTTCCAGTTGGGCCAGTCGGACGCGAAAATCTGGCTCGTCAAGTGCTGTGCCAGGCATCGAGTCACTTATATGAGTGATCTCAGGTTCCTTGTCGATCGAGCTAGATACTGGCTGTGGCTGAGGCGTGAAGCGCATGCGCTTTGCGGGATCGAGGTCCTCATTATCCTGCGTAGATGTTAACATGCACCCGCTTTGTCGATTCCCAGTATCACTTACTAGTGGCCGCTTGATGCGCTCTGGTGCTGCTGGGGAGTCTGTGGAGGCCTGAGAAAATTGCGTTTGGAATTGAATGATTTCCTTGAAGCTTCCGATAGACGGTATAGGCCAGCTCTGCTCTGCCCCCTCTGTCTGGTCTTTGATCCAACTGGCGACCAACTCAGCACAGACAGTAGGTTGTGGCGTTGTGTCATCAATAGCGCTGCCAATATCCGGTCGCAGCTGTGCTAAGGTCGCTAAAATGGTATGCAGTCGATTCCTTTGGTCCAAAGACGCCAATACATAGCGCTCAATATGACCAACAGTCCTAGGAATGACGAGGTGTACTACCGGCACAACGTTCCGATCGGAAGATTTAGCCCAGTTTTTCCTCCGGATCTGTGTCGCATCCTGGACACCATCTAGACAGACGATAAGATCTGCAGGTCGTAGGACAGGTGATGTATTATTTGGAATAATCGTGACGAGCAAATTACCTACAACGTCCGCTCGATCTGCGCGGTGGTTTCTCGTAGGCATGTTGAAGTTGATGTACTCGGCTTCGAAGAAGGTCTTGAGAATCTTGAAGAGCTCATCGTCATCCTTCTCAGTGACCAGCACTAGATGTTTTGGTGGCTCGTCATCCCGCAACCTGTGGAAGAGCGTGTGTAGAAATAAAAATTTGGTGGCGTTTTCCAGTGTCCAGTCATGGACGTGTTCGACCTGCGTGGCCGAAGCCTCGTCTTGAAAGCTCGTTCCAGCTTCGGCGAATGTAAGATCGATGTGCGTTTCTATTGCCCGGAGATAAGACAGAAAGTCTTCAATCTGCGTAACAGGGTTGAAATGGCGGTGATTTTTGAGAAATTGATCAAGCACATCTTTCTTGTCTGCAATAGACTGTGTATACATGTTTCGCTGTCGGCCCTGAATGTACAAAGGAACGATGTACTCTTGCTCTGCGAGATCTACCTCATCATTTAATAAGCTTTCATTGTCTTCGTCATCAGCATCGCTGACTTCCATGTCCTCAGACACTATTGATATAGGTACTGGTGGCACTGTAGGCTCAGCTGAGACTGCGGCTTCGACCTCTACGGGCTCTGGCGGAGCAACCGATACCGCAATCGTAGTTTCCTCGGCAGGAGGTGCATAAGCGACATTTCTCAGCGATGTGGGGACGTGGGTGATAGGTGAGTGGTCTGGCACAGCTGAGGGTGATCTTGTGCCCTCATTCGCCTTGATTTGCTTGCTTGAGGGTGTCGGGGAATTGGTCGTGGTAGTAGCCAGACTCTCTGGTGCTTTGATAGAAGCCATAAATGACGCCTTGTTGAAGCGTTTCCTTGGTGTAAATGGATTTTCTGCCAACGCCTTGGCCAATGCTTCATCCAACTGCCGCTTGACAATCTCTGCAGTGCTTTCGCCCGCCATGATAGACAGAGACGATGTGCGGACAGGGGTAAATGGACGTGGAGGGGGCGAGTGTTGCGTTCTCAGAGAATAACTTGGTGAATAAGGGATTGGGGAAGCACTTTGGTCCAATGATCGACAGGGCTGATCAGGGCTCTCTTGCGACGAGTCGTGCCGGGACTCTGAACTTGCTCTGTGTGTGCAGTAGTCCTTTTCGATTGTCGGGCGTATGCTTTGGGTAGTGTCCTCCTGGGAGCTTAATTCTGCTTCAAGAAGCTCAAGAGGAATAAATTGTGCGTTCTGTTCTTCGCGGAGCAGATGTTGGGAACGGTCGGATACCGAAGATTCGGTTAGGCGTCCCTGGCTGTCCCCACGCACGATGGCTTGGTGGGATACTAGAGGCTGCGACGCGTCGTCTACCCGACCAAGACGGATTTGCACTGTATTGCTGATGGCGTCGCTTCCTTGGAGTCGTTCGGCGTTTTTATCACCGAGCACAGTAGTTGCGGGATCCGTCGAGATTGTTATGTCTGCGCTATGGACAAATCCTGTCGAGGCGCTTGCTTCAACTTGGCCAAAGCTCTGCTCGTGCGAAATATATGATTCTTGTTGTTGGTCGCACTGCGGTTGCGATGCAATTGTCCAAGGCTCGAGCGTGGTGTCTTGATGTACCGGAAGCTCGTTGTCTTGGCGCTGGCTATCGGCTACTTGCGCAACTTCCTGTTCGTCTACGTCGTCACGATGCTGGCCCGACACATGTGTCACCTCTACAGAAGGCTGCACGAATTGAAGTGTGCCTGGCTTGTCTAGTTCCTGGCGTTGGGTTTGCGAATTTTCAGCAGCCGTGTCTGGGATGGTTTCCGGTATCGATACAGCAGGCGAGGCGGCGCGCGAGGCGGCTTCTTGAAGAATGTCGAGCAGACCCTGCGAGCGCCCGTTAGTAAAATACATGTGCAAGTGTGAATGGGGTGTATTAACCGAGTCTTCTGTCACCTCTTCCAGATAGGATTCGTTGGTGTTGGTGCTCTGCTGAGTGGTGAATTCTGAGCGCTGCGTGATGGGGACAAAGCTCGCTTCACTGGTGGAGCTCTGCGAGTCTGGGACAATGCCTGAGGAGTGTGGTCGTGGTCGTGGTCGTGGTCGTGGTCGTGTTCGCAATAGCGGCCGCGCCGCAAACAGCTGCGAGCTGTCGAGATCTGTATCCTGACTCTTATCCTGTGTCGACGCAAGCTGCGAGAAGAGCTCGTAATCGTCTCTCTCTAGGCTCTCGCCGCGTGGTACGATTCTTATATGCGGCGAGATATGGGTCGAAGGAGCTGTGACACTTGCGCTGCTACCTCTACTATGAACAGGTGTTGAGGGCGCTGTAGATGAGGCAAAGCGGTCGCACTCCGGGCTGCTGTCTATAACGTGCGAGTTGCGAATGCGCCGTGATGGTTCCGCTTCTTGCTGCTGCTCAGATGGTCCCCTTGTTCTGCTTTGTTCGACAGTGCTGGCGTCTGCACGTAATGCCTTCTTCTGGTTCCAGTCTGCAAGCAGCAGCCCGTTCGCGTTGCCCTCTGGCTCCCAACTTGTCGGCCACGGTTTTCCGGTAGCTGGGTCAATCCCTTTCCATTTGATATGGTACTTTCGTACGCCGCCCACTACTCGCTCAGCCAGGATACAATCTGCCTCCCAAAATATCGGGCTTTGTGGTTCGCTGTCGCTGGAATTGACGTATTTGGGTCGTTTTCGAGGCGTCATTCGTGAGGGATTGCGCTTTCGTTTCGAGTGCGCCATCACACGCAGTGTCTACCGATTGCGCCAAAGTAGAATGTTGCAGCCATGGTGAGCAGGAGGGGCCAAAAGTGCTATCACTTGGTGCTCCTGTCGTTATTGTACCCTGGCTCTGGGTGAGGGTGAGTCGTACCCTCGGGACTATCCGAGCCTAGCTTGACTAGGACATGTCCGCTGTGAACGCGTCGCGACGCGTGGGGTGACAACATGAAGAACGATCCTGTATAACTAGGAGACATGTCAAGTAGCATCTTCACCGAATCGTACTTCATCAGAGTCTATCATAGTTTATTTCATTGCATCCTTGGGCAAGCTACAAGCACTTCGGTACTCTCTCACATACTGTGGTCTTCGCTACCACACAATCGCATCAGCCCCTCCACAAAGCTCAACCAGATAATCATCAGATAACTTTTCGCAGCCTGAACAACCCACCGATTCTGAAATGACCATCTGCCTTACCATCTGCTTTCTGCCCGAGCATTACCCCGCTCATGTCGAGTACTTGTAGTATAGAGTCGTGGACCCTGAAAGTCTCGCCAAATGAAACACCTGCATTGTGTTGCATGTCCTTGCACATCCTACTCTCAATATCTACTACGGCCATTGCCCCTCCATCCACCCCTGTTGTTGTATCCCCCGCGATGATAACCACGTCCACCTGGAGAGCCGCTGCGGTTCTGGCCGTATGCGCCGTTGTTACCATAGCCACCTCGGTTACCATAACCAGTGTTGTTGCCGTAACCTGCGTTATTGCCCTGGCCAAAGTTGTTACCGTATTGATTGCCATGCTGCGGGCCGTTCGGCGGCGCATTCATGTTTGGAGGCGGAGGTGGCCATGCGACGTTGTGACTCATAGAAGGGGGAGGCGGCATGAAACCACCACGTCCTTGTGACTGCACTGGAGGAGGTGGGGGAACGCCGAACGGAGGAGTGGGAATGCCGAACTGTCCTTGAAACTGGCCCGGCTGCGGAGCCGGTGGCTGAGTGTACTGCTGTCCGCTGGGAGCTGCCCTGGGCGGTGCCGGATACTGGTTGTTACCTGGTCCTCTACTCTCGTTACCCTGACCATGACCGCGCTGATCAGGCGCCCTCTGGTTAGGCCTAGGCGAGGCCATGCCGCGATTCCGTGTTCGATCGCGAGGAGACCTTGAACGTCTAGGACGGGATGGACTGTCATACGAGGATACGGAACTACGGCGACTGGGACTGCGACTGTATCTTCGTGAGTCTGAAGGCGTCTGTTGGCGCCAACGATCGTCTCGGCCGTCGCGACGTGGTACGGGTACGGGTACGATGGCATCTGTATCTCCCATACGCTCGTTGTCTTCCCGTGCAATCTTGATACTCTCTGGAAACCCATGAGCCTGCATGTCTTGACAGAACTTCGGAGACCATCCGTAGCCATTCGCTACTATAACCTTCTCGCCCGTGTTTTTGTCTTGCTTGACTAACTGACCAATAGGGTCCAGTGACAGTCTGTGCTTGGTCGTCTCGCCGGTTGGGTTATCGCCCGTCGGTTTGTATTGAAGATCGATATTCTCGAAGTAGTTGTCCAGCAGGTTGCGCACATGGGGGCTGGCGGGCTTCTTATCGAACTTCTGGATCTTGATCTGGGCCGGGTCGATAGGACTCCTTGGGTGCCTGATCATTGGCTCGAGCATGTACGAGGCGGGGAGCTCGTACCATGGGGCAGTCTTGTCGCCATGGTATTCTGGTAGGAGATACTTGCGCTTGGGGGCCACGGTGCCACCTTGCGCCAAGAACAATGTTTCCTTTGCCTTCTCTCGGCAGGCTTGCAGTCCCTCGGTGCTCATAAGGCTGTTGACAGTCCAGCAGTTGATGAGTGCTTTCAGCTTCCTTTCGAAGCTTGTGCCTCCCTCCTTGATGCATGTGGCGACATGCTCGATGAGCTCAAGGGTGAAACCCCAAGATTCTTGCGAAAGAAGTCCCTTCATTGCGCCACGGCGATGAAACTTGTCAGTGTGGAGCGCGTCGCTGACAATCTGTACAAGGTCCATGCGCTTGCGAATTGCTCCCTTCGCAATCTTTGACGCGCCCTCATCTACTACAATCGACTTGGCCACTGCGACCAGATAGTCGCCAAGAATGGCGATGCGAGACTTGGAGGGAGCTACGTGCTCCACAATCCATTCTGTACATTTCTACGGTGGGCGCATTAGATTGTTCCCGGGTCCATGTGATCGATGATTTCAAAATTAGATACCTGGACGTTTACACGCGTGTTCTGCTGAAGAACAGCACCTATGCAGCTGAAAAGTTGCGAGCTGACTTCGACTGAGATCGGCGGTAGACGAGCTTCGGTATCCTCTTTTTTCATTGCCTCTCTAAACTTTATCTGCGATATAGTTAGCATGCTCAGCGCGCGCTTCTCGACATCGTTGTTGGGCGCCATAACGGGCAACGTAAGGTTCGGCAAGCGGCGTCAGGTGTGTGTTGACGACGTAAAGAGAACCAAGACGCGTTGGATATATTTCGCAGCTTCGATGCCATCACGCTAGCCTCACTTGGCTAGCGCGTTTCCTACCCGGTGTAATCCCGCCATTTCGGCCATGGCAACCACAACCATGTCCGCCAACACCGCCATTCAGGACGAAGTCACGTCTCTTAACGCCATCTTCGACGAAGGTACCTTGTCACCTATTGAGCAAGATGCGAGAGTCTATAGCTTGCGACTACCGTATCTGCCATCAATCACCCTTCGCATAGAATTTCCAGCAGACTACCCAGATGCCCCGCCATCGATACTAGGCACTCAGAGCGTCGGGCAGGATGTACCCAAGGGCATGGGTAATCGTGCAGTTGAAGTAGTCAGAAATGTTCTGGCAAAGATATATCAACCCGGCGACGCGTGCGTCTATGATCTCGTCGAGGAAGCAAGAGAAGCGTTAGAGCAAGCGGAAGAACAAGGAGACCTCCAGCTGCACGACCAGCATGAAACTAAACACTCCGAGGAAGATGGATCTTCACGTGGTACTGCTGATGTATCTATCGATCTTGGACCAGAACCGCCCTGGGTTGTTGCACCTGCCCTTACCGAGAAGAAGTCAGTCTTCCTAGCTCGTGTGGCTCCGGTGTCGTCCCCCGCCCAAGCTAGACAGTATGTTGCGCATCTCTTAGCGACAGACAAGAAGGCTGCTCGTGCCACTCACAATATGACTGCCTGGCGAATCAAAGGCCCCAACGACACGAGCTATCAAGATTGTGATGACGACGGCGAGACTGCGGCTGGGTCACGCATGCTGCACTTGATGCAACTGATGGATGTATGGAACGTTATGGTTATCGTCACAAGATGGTATGGCGGCATCCTATTAGGTCCCGATCGCTTCCGTATTATCAACACGGCGGCAAGAGAAGCGTTGGTCTTGGGTGGTTATACCAAAGAGGGTAAAGACGGCGATGAGAAAAAGAAAGGGAAAAAATAGAAGCTCCAATCCCGAGACTCATGCTTGCAGCTTTTTCTTCAAATTACGGCGGTATTGTGTGTACCGCTCTGCAGGAGAAAGTAGCGGCCGCTACAAACGGTCAAAGTTAGCCGACTACGTAGGCACTAGAACGGGACAAACACCCGAGCGTAGTATTCTGAGGCAGCTTCGTGAATAAAAATGTAAAACATGGTATGGATGTCTCAAGCTGCACCCAATTGGTTGTTGTTCACAAGCCTATGAATTTCTTTCCTTTCTCTATGCAAGATCAACATCTTCCCACTACACAAACCACGTTTTTCCCACAAAACAGTCATACCGAGAGGCTGCCGAACGCCCGCTCGCCTGTGTTCCCGACGTATATCTCGCTCACAAGAATGGAAACTCTGGGGAAACATCGCACCGACGTTACTACTAACCGCGAAGGTTTTCCGAGAGAGCAAGTAACGCGCCATGTACGAGTATTTTAGCCAATAGATCAGGTCCCCTCTCTGCGCGAATCATCTAGTGCTTACTTGCACGTGCCCATCAGCATCAGCTCTAACAAAACTCATGAAGATTTTTACTCCTGTAGTTGAGAGGTACATAATCCAGATCGCGGCGCCGAGAAAACTCTCAGGCTCCACGCACGTAGATCACCCATCAGATCTGGCCCGAGACATTCAGAACAATGCCATGTTGGAATGTCACCAGTAGTCTTGCTGGAATGTCACCAGTAGTCTTGCTGGAATGTCACCAGTAGTCTTGCTGGAATGTCACCAGTAGTCTTGCTGGAATTTCATCACTAGTCTTGCTGATCAGTACTCTCTCGTAGATATGGACCTGATAAAATGACATAAAGAGATGGACTTTCTCGGAAACTCTGTTACACCACACACCATCTTAGGAAGCACCACCTACTAAGAGTCTTCTTCTTCAAAAGCATTCCACCATCATGCGTTTCATTTCCGCTATACCGTTTATTCTGTCTCTTGCTACCGCGGATTGGTACGATGAATGCGATTGTCATAGTCCGGACTCTACAGGCACTTGGGGGTATAATTGGGAGTTGACGTTCTTTACCTGCGTAGAAGGCCGCGGCAGGGTAATTATCTTCTAAAATGTCATTGGTTTAGTATACTAATGTTCTATAGTACATCAAGGAAACTGGTCGTGTAGGTTACACTAGTCTTATGTATATATCTTCTAACTTTCTTAGTGCCGAAGTGGTCGTCCTAACGGCTTCATCGGCGGCGAAGAGTGGAGTAATGCTTGCAAAAGAGCTGCCCGGGGGGGATACTATAGGGCCCATGACGTTAACGGCATCCCGACATATAACAAAGACCTTCCTCCGGTAAAACACGAGGATGCAAATTCTGTATGCCATGGTCTTCTTTGGGGGTCTTGATGGCGATATTATTGCCTAATTGTGAAACAAAGAGGAGATCTGGGTAGACCAAGGATTACGTCGACACGTAGCGGTGGTTTTTATGCATACGCTTGTTCAATCTTACATGTTCCGATATAAAAGCACTTTCGATTGATCGCTTGGTAACTATCGTAGAGTTTGGGCTTAGGTTCTCTTGAGATGATTCAACTTGCAATCACTTTCGCACTTTCACACTCAGTTCCCGACAAATTCACTCGCAGTGTAACAAACCACAAACCACAAACCACGGGCTACCCCATTAGTTCTCTTAGGCAAGTTACACTTGTAGTTCATTGTATCTAATCTACTACGACCTTCAAATCGGATAAGCCCCGTAAAGCTTTTGCAGCCGGCTCCTGGACCTACAATAAAGCACTATAAATCACGAGAAAAGAATAGGGGTTGATAAGTTTCGTTGTACTCGTCGTGCATGAATTGAACACGAGGAAGAAGCTGTTATCATTCAACCCGCTTTGTTCTTAGTAAATGACATACCAGTCACCGATCGTATCCGAGGTCAGTGCACAAGAATCACTCAGTACTGACAATGCAGACGGCACTGAATATATTGGGATCAAAGAAGGTTACTGTTGCAATGATCTACTTAACACCTTGTAAATCTACCGATGAACCCGAAAGATCTAGCAAGGAAAGATGCACAGGCTACACACAGGACAGAACATATATCATCACCGATGTAATAGACGGATTAGGGAACAAGTACTAACATATAATAATGGAAATATTATACTAGAGCGATCTAATCTTTAAGTTAATGTAATTCGTTAAGAACTTAGTTGAACGTGTCAGTACACAGATTTCTAAACTCGGACCCAGGATTACCTGAGAGTAGACGACTTGAAACATCATCTTGGTTTCAGAACTCTGGGCCTATGAATAAGAACGCGGCCAATATATACAGATTCTTATCTTAAAAACCAAGCCTATCACAGCAATGGAGAATGTAAACCTTGGAAGTGTTCGACCCCGAGGTCTGCCTGGCCGACGCGGAGGCGCATATGCATCGAGATAGAGACGACATCAGCGACATAGCTGATTCAAATGAACAAGCTCTCGATGTGAATTCTTTAGAAGTACCTAGTATCTAGGTATTTTAGTCTGTTGAGTTGAAATGACGGTCTTGGACGGGTTAACCGGCGATCACCTTGTCTTTTTTCTGAACATCTGAATCTCACTATTATTATACTTACGCTGTTGTTTCTATGTCTGCTTCAAACTGGCATTGTGATGATAGAGCCAACTGTAACCACAAGTATTGTATTCTTGTTGGTGTTCCTTCGTCCCTTCCAGTAGCTTTGACAATGCGTGACGTCAATGTGAACAAAAGAACTCATCACGCGGTGTCGCAATGCCAACTTCAATCCCAGAATCTAGAATAATAACATAATTTACCACTCACTTTCTGAGGCATTCTTGCGTTGAACTATACTCCAATCCAAACCCGTCCGTACCTTAGAATAACACAGCAAGACGCCCAACATGCCTCAACACCAGACTTGTCAACAATCAAATCAATCAATCATGAAGCTCGAGATTGGTTTGATTGACAATTTTTTGGCGTCGTGATTGATTTGATTGATTTGATAGCCCCCAAAAAACTGATTGATTGACGATTGATGGTGTATGAGTTATTACCTAATTGGGTTAGACTATTGCCCGATTTGGAGTTTTGAGTGGATTAACACGGGCAATGTCGACATTAGTGTCAATGTCGACACCAAATTGTCCGATATTGTCCAATATCGAGTCCAATATCGAGACCAATGTTGACACCATCAATCACGTCAATCAATCAATCAATCACAACTCTATAGATTGGTTTGATTGAAATTTTTTCGGAGTCGTGATTGATTTGATTGATTTGAGGTTTTTTTGGGTGTCCTAGTGATTGATTGATGGATTGATTGATTGTTGACAAGTCTGCTCAACACCACACTCACCATGGAACATTCTCCTACCCTGACCCCAAAGCCAACTTTTCCGAGTTGCCTCGTGTCGGTTTCGGTCGCGCAGTCGCCATTGGCATCGGAGCCGGCTTCATGGGCGCCCTCGTGTACGTCGCCTTCCTCCTTCCCATTCACCCAAATTAACCCTCACAGCATGACCGGCACCAACAAACTCGAGCAGCTCTTTATCCAACGTCCCTCTTCTTACGTCCCCGCCCGTACAATTGGCAACCACTTCTCCGTGTCTCCAGACTTTTACGCTAAGCACTCCGATTTACTAAACCACCTACACCACTTTGGCATGGGCATGCTGGCGGGACCTGTCCGTTCCATCATGTCGTTCTACGGTATATTGGTCCCGTTGCGGCGTTTATGCATACGGGGATTAGGCTGTTGATGGATCAGGTAGTGGAGAATAGTGCGGGCGTGAGTGCGTTGCCGTGGATCTGGCCGATCAATGAGCAGGTGATCGATTTGGTGCACAAAAGAGCTTATGCTTTGGTTACGGGGTATATATGTGACAGAATGGTTAGAGGGTTGGAGTGGTTTAATTGGTAGGTATGGGGGATAGAATGGATGGTGAGGTGCGTGTGTGGGCTGTTGGGAAAGAGTGTTTTCTAGAAGGCAATATACGTATGCTGTATACTTTGTACTCGGTTCATAGTTTCATGAAGGTACTCAATATAGCAATCGATAAATACTAGAGATTGCAAGGAAATACACGATATCGCGACTTGGAAAGGAACGTCGATGGTGATTGTAGAGGACATCGAAATCATGGGTGAAGTGACTGGTTCCCATTTAGCGGTTCTATTCAGTGTCTCCTGTTCGATAAACTGTCTAGGACACTTGATGACGTACGAATTTAACCACAACCGAAACCTGAAGGGCAAATCCAGGTGGAACTATCCTTGCTTACCAAATTGAAGAACTATCGCTTACAGGATTTCGATGAGAGCACTACCAAGCTTTTTAGACTCTTGAATTGCCCGAAATAAAGTGAGTCAACCAGTTGTACCACGTATTACATGAAGATGCGAAAGGATTGGACCAATCGTATGACGCATACACGAGAACATAGAGAATTGACTAAATGTGTATTGTGCCATGTGGAGATCTTTCTACATGAGAGCCTCCGTGTCACTCCATGAAGTCATTTGGTTAGCGCTTCGACTTACGCTTACCGTAACACGGAGTAACATGGTTGGCAAGCGAGCGGCCCACCCAAAAACACACCAAAAAGCGGAGTTTTGGCAACTCAATATCTTAACAACCACCTAATAGATTTTTCTTAAAGGTTTTACTAGAACTCTAGGATTATAATTCTATAAGATTCTATGATTATAGGGCCCTAGCTACTCTAGATGTAGAGATATAGAATTTGGAGGCTAAAAAAGCGGAAATTTTTCGTTTTTGCTTAACAACTCTACAACTAAGTTAGCTATAGCCCTGTAACTATAGAATCTACATGCTTATGTGTGTGCAGCTTCACAGTAAGATTTTAAGAAAAATCTATTTGGTGGTTGTTGAGATATTCTGTTGCCAAAACTCCGCTTTTTGGTGTGTTTTTGGGTGGGCCGCTCGCTTGCCAACCATGTTAGAATCACTTTACTGATCGACATCCCATCGTGCAAAAACAAGACGTCAAACACACTTTCTACAAAACACCATCGACAGCAGTTTAAGAAGGTATAAATCTCTGGCATAGTCGCCTCTAACGTGTTCTATTTTCTCCGAATCGCTTCTACAGAAAGGCCTTTACACAGTGACTTGCACAACCGGCCTACTTCATCTTGTCGCCGAAGTTGCTGCTCCTCTAGCAGTTCACGTTAGCGTCCTTCTAGATAGATTACACAGAGTGATGAACTAAGTACTCACTATTTACAAGGCTTACTGCAAGTCGGTTGCCAGTATATATTCCAACCACAAGATTCAAGGCACTAAGGCGAATACCAGTCAGACTTTTGAGAAATGGTCAATGGCGAACTTCATTTCACTTACACGGAGACTATTGCCGGGTTGACAAAGCTTGCAGACCACTGGTTCTCCGTCGTTTTCCTTATACTTGGGACTGGCTACTGCAGCGGCGTTTGCGGCACCAATTGAGAGCATGATGCTTAGGGCAATTCTCGGGAACTACATCGTAATTGCGGTAGAAAGTTTAATTTTTGAGAAAGTTCTTGTATGAGTCTGCTTTGCGTAGGTAGATAAATACAGGTTCAGTAACAGTGGTATTGCAGATCATTCAATCTACTATTCCATCTTTCATGGGGGGATGTGAGACTTTATGCACAAATGGCAGATCAAGCCAACCCACGGGGAACTTACTCGGGGGTAGCGTCTGGACAAATGTGCATCCTAGGAGCTGGTCTGATGAGCCGGAATTGGTTGTGATGGTGATGGATGCATCGTATCCCACACCGCCCGGTAGCTCGAGACTTAGTAACATCTCCCAGCCAACGCAAATCGTATCTGACATGTGGAAGTTGACCAATCTCATCATGTGCTACACGAGGATATCTTTGAACCAAAACACCCGCGCTGTGCCGGCGTGTCCATGTGTTAGCGCTTACTATGATACGGAGTAAAACCGTTCTGCTTGACCAGTGTCCCTCACTGCGCATCGAGGCACCAGAGATACTTCCCAACGTAGCATATTCATTTAAAGGTCATAGATTTTTGCGTTCTTGAAACGGTGGATTTCAGAACTTCTCTGTACTCTCTGGTGTCTTCCAAGGATAGACTCTGCACGTAGTGATGACTTGCACAACCAGTTTATCTCACTCTTTGTGCACAAAGTCCCTTAGATCAGCAGCACCGATCGTCATGTCTTACTAAGAGGTATTTTTGGAAGTCGTTGAACCTACGAATCGAAGCTGATATATCGCTTGGAGTGCCTCAAGGTGTAGTCATTGTGCCGCAGCAGCAGGTTCTTTCCACCATGCCTTGGGGTAAGGATAGTAGAAATGTATCTTTGCCTAGCAAGAGCGACAAATGTCTTTCTATCTCGCCCATTAGCTTGCTTATTACATGAGTATGTAGTGCTGGAACGAGAGCCCTACCGAGCTTTTTAAACACCCTGTCTCAAAGACTGATAGTAAGATATTATGGAACTTCTTCCTGATAATTGCGCTACTTTCATATGCTCTTTAGTCCCTATCAAATACTGAAGAAACATGTCGATGGCTTCTGGAGATGTATTATGATTTTCGGAGTTACTTCCGTGACACAGAATCTGCGCTTGGATCCGTCCAAGGCCTTCATATACAGTGGCATTTTTGAACGTATAAACAACTTTGGTACGAGGTTAGTAGAGGGCGTAGATCATTGTAAAATGTCGAACTGACATTCTTTTTCGCGACGTCAAATCTGCACCACGCTGAATAGGTAGTAGCTTTCCGATTCGGGAGCCATGGAGTGGGTTGTGGCTGCTACTGCATGCTTTCCGGGGTAGCCCTGTCAGCAAGCGATCCAACAGGTACCCCGCCTTTTACCTCGGCCCTTGAGTCCACGCAGCATGACACTCCAGGATTTTGCTCCTTCCGTCTGCCGTCCGATACGCATCACGCATAATCACGTGTTTCATTTCGCATCTCCTGGCTACCTAGGTATAACATGGTGGTACCGGTACATAACTTCCTGTAAGTAAAGGTAAATCCACTTGTGGCATTTAAGTACTCTCTTAAAACAGGCTTATTGCAAACGAGTATACAAGGTATCAGCAACTTTCTCCTTTTGGTATACATACACCTTTTCTGACCTACCCTCAGATAGTTGATACCGAAAGTGTCCCTACTGGAATCAGCGTGAACAATAAGAAGCGCATCGCCATGGTCGGTACCTCGGATGACGATCTACCGTCCTCGAGCAGCCGCGACCTTGTCCTCCGACATCCTACCCTGGAGGAGTGTGTCGCCATTTGGAAGAACAGTTCTGTTGCATGGGTCGAATCGCTCACGCCCTCTCTGTATCTGGAAGAGTCGTTGTACCTTACTACGGTTCCCGTGGCCCGTGATGGAGGACTGACCATCTGGATACTTGTCCACAAGGACCAAGCTCCTGGCGAGCGTCACATCCTATGTTCTTGCGAAAGCTTCTACAAGCGTTCCCTCACCAGTGACAGCAACGGTGTAGTCAGCGATAATATGGTCCACACGATCGCTAGTGTATTTTGCGCCCCACCATATCGTCGTCGGGGTTATGCATCGCGCATGATGAGTGAAATGGCCAAGGTGCTATACAAATGGCAAAAGGAGACTCTACCATGCATGGGTACTACCCTATACTCTGACATTGGAAAAGAGTATTACGCCCAACTAGGGTGGCACCCGAACGCGACGAATCTTCATGTTGAGATTCAACCAGAAGCTATCTCATGGCCGTCAATCGCTAAGCCAGTCACCGAAGAAGACCTCGAAGGCTTGTGTAGGCGCGACGAAGTCATCGTTCGATCTCGCATGGCTGTACCTACAGAAGAGATCAAGACGCGGTTCACAATCATCCCAGATTTGGATAATATGTACTGGCATTTCGCAAAGGAGACCTTTGCCTGTAACCATCTCTTTGGAAAGTTACCAACGGTAAAAGGCGCCATAGTCGGTTCACCAGGCAATCAGATGTGGGCACTTTGGGCACACCGGTACTATGGCCGTCACGACGTCGAACCCAAAAACAATGTATTATACATACTGCGCTTAGTCTTGGAGATCGACGAGACTGCCACGAGGCTTCCTTCAGATGCTGCAAAACGACCCGCTCAAGAGGTGTACGAGGAACAAGTCGAGTCTCTAAAAGCTATACTACAAGCTGCGCAGGCCGAAGCTAGTGAATGGAAGCTGGATGTCGTCAGATTGTGGGACCCATCGCCCTTAGTATCGGAGTTAATGGACCGAACTGGAATCCAGCACACTATCGTGGAACGTGGAGAAGAGAGCATTGCTAGTCTGTTGTGGTATGACACTGATGGCAGTATCGCCAAAGATACGCCCTTGTGGGTTAATAACGAGCATTATTCATGGCAGTAGGCACTGTTTGACGTAAAGGAGTTCAAGATCAGGTTGGAGATGCTAGGCGTCTAAGGTGTACCGCGCGTAGCTTGCATGACAGGTGGTCAGAGACGCGATCGGATCATTGTCAAGTGAGGTATCTTTACCAGATAATCCCTCGATAGATCGCGATAAGGTGACTCGTATCAATCCCCAGCATGTATCTTCAATCCAAGTCTGCGTTCCACTCAAAGATCGATCCCTAACCACGATACCGATGCACCGAAGACGTCATCGTCGAATCCTCAGGGCTCCTGTTTACATCAGATCTGGGCTCAAGCAGATACGTTGTAGAATATGATGGTTGAAATCATAGACCTGGTCATTGGTGGTAAGTGAGAATGGATGCTGACGCCCGCAGCTGCCGCTCCTCTTTCTGGTCCATTTTGACGCGCGGATATGCGTTTCAACCGATTATTTGCTGGCTAGCTCAACAGCGAAAATAAAACTAACTCTGAATGACACAAAGTGTTGTTTTTGTGTACTTGATGGATAAAAAAAGCAGATGGGTGGGAATAGGGCGGTGTTGAGGGCGGCACTCAAAATGGTACTATGGTACAGTCAACTGCATCGGGACAGCGACCCCTAAAACCGCCGCTCCCAAACGATGCCAAACGATGATATGGAAAGTTTTTAATATCGCCACCTAAAAGCAATCTTCCAGACTGGAAAGTACCTCCTACCTAGGTATGTTTGGGCAGGAATGTCGAGTTTCGACGCAGATTACTGACTCAACTCGACAATGCTGTATAGGATGCAGTATACTTTAGGGATGCGTCACCAGAGATGATAAAAATAACGTCTGGTGGAGGCTTGTTGTGTTACTGTCGACGTAGCTTCTGGGCTGGCGCATCGGGACGGCAGTTCTGGCCCCCACTGCGGCTTTTGCAACGATACCCTACGTGCCCTTTTTACTTAGATACTTTAGAACCACATGTTCTTAAATATATTCTCCAATCGCATATGCAACTTCCGATGCAAGGAAATGTGGTAATAGCCTAGGCAATCATGCGGTGGTTTGATGAGGCGTTCTACAGCCGTAGGGGGAGGTTGGTATGAAGGACGTGTGTTTCCAATAACAGCAATTATGCTGACACACATGAACTATTGACCCTAATTGTTCTTGGCCGTAGCTAGGTATATTGAATGGTGGGCTTAGTAACCCTGCAGGTGTTAATCTCGCTGCACACGTCTTAACGCCACATTATGCAGGGCTACTGCTCGGTTCCCCCCCAAGCCATGCTATCCGCTGTTCGATATCCGCTAACGCTACACCTCCATGCCGCTTACACATCGGCCAAATGCCGCTCATTACCTAGATAGTATGTTGGTCTTATAGGTTCTTTGTTTCCTCATTCTAAGCCACGAACATTGTGTCAGATGTGGAGTGTTAGCCTAAGCGAATAGACCATTTTATTCTCCACCACTACGCGCCGGCTAGATCTTTGATTTTACCTACAGGTACCTAGCATCCACAAGGATAGTCTGCTTCCATGGTGATCCTTACGATAGTACAACCGCGTAAGCGAGCCGAACCATGCAGCTAAGTATGGGTACTGATCGTCCAGGAAGAGTCATTAGCGAACGAATAACTAGCTATATTAAGCCGGTGCTGCACCTCGTCAACTTAAAGATTCCTGAGATACAGTCATAGCCATAGACATTCCACTCTATTGACGATGAAGTCATTAATATCTTTTAGTACCTTCGTCGCGGCGATATCAGTGCAGGCTGATGTCTTCGAGCCTACAGACTTCAATGTGACGCAGGCACTCATTGAGAATGGCGTAGATGTTTCCGCTGTACCTCAGCTCTTGAGGCTTGCCGAGCAAACTCCCCTCAACGGTTGCTTCATTGCTGTTAGTCTCGTCTTTCCACCTACTTAGGTAGTTTACAACGCTGACAACGAGATAGTGTTTTGCTTTGAAGGCTGTGTATGGAAATAATACAATACTGTCGAACCAAACTTTACCGTACAATGCCTTCCTAGGCACCTATTGGTCGGGTCAACAGGCAGACATCGAGCCATTATGCGTCTTCGAGCCAGCAAAAGCAACCGAAGTATCATCCATGGTCCTGATCTCTCGATTGACCCAATGCCCGTTTGCCGTCAGGGGAGGCAGTCATGCTGCCTTCGCAGGAGCATCAAACATTAAAGGTGGCATCACGGTCTCGATGAAGAAGTTCAATACCATCGCACCATCCATTGATGGGAAATACGCTGACGTCGGCCCTGGAAACCGGTGGTTTGATGTTTACACAGCACTTGAGAAGCATGGTCTCGGCGTTGTTGGGGGTAGAGTGAGTTTGACCGGCAATATCTCAAACACATTGCTGACACGAGTACAGATCGCTACAGTTGGTGTTCCTGGTCTCATTCTTGGAGGCGGAATCTCGTTCTTTTCTAACAAATTGGGCTGGGCATGTGACAATGTTGCTGCTTACGAAGTCGTTACGGCTTGTGGCCGTATTGTGACCGCTACTCCTACGGATTACCCCGAATTGTTCTGGGCTTTGCGTGGTGGCAGTGGCAATTTCGGCATTGTTACTAACTTCAAATTGGACGCGTTTCCCCTGGGCCTAATGTGGGGAGGTCAGCGTATTTTCTTAGAGAGTAACTTTACTGGTGTACTCGATGCTCTATACGACTTTGCTGTCACCGGCTCCTCCACAGATACCGATGCTGCTGAGATTGCGGTAAGCTTCCTTCTAGATCGAGATAACCGATTTTGTCTGATAACAAGTAGTCATTCGGCTACGTTCCTTCGCTCGGAGGGAAGATCAGTGCTGTGAATACGCAATATGCGAAACCTGTTGCCCACCCCCCAATCTTCGACCCTATCCGTGCGCTCAAACCCATCGCAGACGACACCTCATTCGGCTCACTTGCCAATCTGACTGCGAAGATGAACAACAACAGAGCAGATGAGGACCTTGGGTTACGCCAGACCTTCTGGGACATCTCTCTCAAAGTTGATCGCGAACTTTACTCCTTCCTCGTTGATACCTTCTATACGAACTTTCCCATTATTCAGTCCGTCGAGAGTATCTTGCCATTCATCTCGATCCAGGCCATCACCGAAGGTCAACTCAAAGGCATGCAAAAGAACGGCGGCAACGCTCTGGGTCTTGGTCCAGTAGACGGCCCTTTGTTCATCATGAGCATGAGTGCGTGGTGGGCCAAAGCTTCAGATGATGCTGCCGTGATGAATTTCTTCTCAACGGTCACGAAGACAGTTAAGGCATATGCAAAGAGTAAGAACTTGGACAACGGCTTCATTTATATCAATTACGCTAGTACATACCAGGACCCGCTCGCTAGTTATGGGTCGGCTAATGTCCAGAAGTTAATCGCTATCAGTAAGAAATTTGACCCGATGCAGGTATTCCAGAACCTCTCTCCAGGGTACTTCAAGCTGGGCCAGGGAGCCCCAGACAAGAATATGCCATAAAATTGATGCATATTGCAGCGAAGTAGAAACATTCGATGTAAAGAATTCACTTGTTACTATGCAACGAAACTTCTGTTGTGAAAACCCATCTAACCCATCTACCTGTCTATCAATCTAAGTACGCGACATGAGACCGCGTAGCAAGATGCTTTCGGCGAGTAAAACAAAAACAGTGCTGTACACTGAGACTACGAAAAGCTTGCAGGAAGCCTCCGCGATAAAGAGTAACTATAGATCTATGATCAAGCTAAACCATTTAGGAGAACTAGGGAAATACGCACTCAAGCAGCCAAGCGGGATTCGCCACCATCTTCCGTGACCCTATCACGAACATCAATCTTCAAAAACCGACCTGTCGCCTTAACCAAGCTGCCATCATCGTTCTCTTTAAGCACAGCGGTCGGCGCATACACCAACGCCTCACCAGTACTCAGCTCTTCAATCTGATGCATGATGTTTTGCTCCTCGTCCAACGCGTTGATATGCTTCTTGAGTGCAGAGTACCAGGTAGGGCTGCTAAAGCGATGGATGATAGTGACTGAACAAAGAGCGATGAGTTCGTTCGCCACCGTGGGCTCTTGTGTTGATATGATGACGCGGAGACCTTCGTGTCGCATCTCGCGAATAGCTCGTCCGAGGCCATCGCTGAATAGTTTGGCGCCTGGAGTATCGCCCATGTACTTGTGTGCTTCGTCCAGCACCACCATTTTCCCAGTGGCGGATGACTTGAGAAAGTTTTCCAACCCAAGCTTGAAGAGAATACAGGCGGTGGTTGATGAAAGCTGATTGTCGGATAAGTCCATGATAGTGATCTCGCCGGGCGCGTATTGCGGTTGTGGAAATCTACCATTGAGATCCAGGAATGTTTCAAGGACTTTCAGACGGTTGTCAAGCGTCTTCTTCTGTTTGGGATCGAGACCCTCGTTCTTTATTCTATTTTTGAAATCGTGGTAGTTGAGTGGCGCATTGTCACTGAGAGACTTAGTTGCCATATCGCGGAGGACAGACTCAACAATCGACATGTACCTGCGTTGAGCAAAACCTGTTAGCGCTTGTCCATATGGTAGGCTCTCAGGGATCCTCACATCGGTTTTACCGCCTTCTCATCAAACGCCATGAGCATCGTCATAGCATGGATAGTAAGGGTCTTGGCATTGAGATAGAACGGTATCGCCCTCACATTAGGCAACTCTTCATAGCGCTTTCCAATTGCTTTGTTGGAAGGCGAAACCAGTACTGTAACCTTTTTTGCATGATGGTTGTCGAAGCCAGGTTTTGATGCACCCAGATATGCAACTTCACTGATGTTGTTGCCATCGCTACTGCCATAGCTGAAAACGAGACTAGAGACCGAACCGCGAAGCCGACCAATGTTGTCGGAGCAGATCATCGAATTTTCGAGCAAGCAGGCTGTTGTATGGCTCTTCCCGCTGCCCTGAACACCACAGATAAATGCTGAAAACGGAGTGCTAGGATTGGAGAAGATTTGTGAGCTCGGCGACGACACATCCTCCCCTGCGAGACTTCCCAGAAGACCGTATTGAGGGACAAGGGTTTTGGAGAATTTTTCGACGATCTCACCGGAAAGTAAGGGTCCTTGTCGAATATCACGCTGGATGATATTAGCCTTTCCGCCATTTCGACCCTTTTTCAAGAGCAAGCTGAAGCGGTTGAAATTGGATGGGTTCCTAATAATTGTGGGCTGAACGGATGCGGTAGACCTCTCCTGCGTATCAGGCTGGCTATGATCGTTGGCTCGGATGGAATTAGTAGGCGCAGATGTGCTAGCAATAGCTGGCTGGCTACGACTGTTGGTGAGGCTGGAAGTGCTAGGCCGAGAAGCAGATACGCTAGCACGGACAGGTTGAATAGGACCGTTGACACGGATAGGAATAGACGCAGAAGCAGATGTGCTAGCAGTAGTGGGCAGACTCTGACCGTTGGTACGAACAGGAGCGCTAGGCCCAGCAACGGATGTGCTGGCAGTAACAGGCTAGGATTGGTTTCTTCAGCTCCCATACGAAGTTTATAGATATTCCGTCTCACCTCTTTACCAGACGGCGCCTTGTAGAGCGTAGCAGTGGGTGCTGGATCTTTCTTTATGAGTGTTGTGACGTTTTGCTACCGTACCTGTCAGCTTCAACGCGGCTCGTGCAAATTGATCATAATGTACCTGTATTTCATCTCGGAATGTTTTCGATGATGAAGGAGCATGAATCGTGCACTGTGTGGATTCGCTCTTGCCGGTGGGGTTATGTTGAGCATTGTTTGCTGGGAAGGTTAATCTGCCAACATTACTGCTTTCACCAGATAGTTTTTGAAGACTCTTTTCCCACCCAATGGACTGCAACTCGACGCTCGCAGTACCGTCAGCCAGCTTCGTATCCTTTCTCTTGCTTTCGCCTGAAAATGGCAGGAGAGTCGCCCCAAAGACTAATGGGGGTGCATTGCTGCTTTTGTCAATCGTTCCAAACGTGGTTGGCTGAACGAAGCTGAAAACATTCTCTCTTAGAGCCTTCTGTTCAGAGCTGAAATTGAAAAGTGCGGCTTGAAACTGCGCACTTCGGGATCCAACGCTGTTCTCAGTCGCTGCTGGCTGCTCAGAATGATCGTCCGATGGGCATTCTGCTTCTGATATTGCTACCAACGATACTTTCGGTGATGATGGTGTATCTGATGGTTGCGAACTTGATTGTTGTGGGGCCAAAGGTTGCGCAGGCGGCGTTGATTTTCCAAGTCCCAATGGTGGGGAAGGTACGGACGCTTCTCCGACAGGCTGTGAAGCAGGGATGTCTGGATCAGATGTCTGCGGTACCGTGGAAGTATATATAACCGAAGACACAGGAGAAGACGGTCCAATATCTTGCGGTGTTTGCGCGTGCGAGGTAGAGATTGATGATGAGACGGCCCGTGCGCTCGGAAGTTGCGGCGCGGAGGTCCGTGGTGGGTCGCGCTGTTGTATCTGTACGGCCCGGTTTTGCTTGCGAGCTTTGGCCCTTGCCTGATCTACTTCCTGTGGACGAGGTAAACTCTCGGCATGGCCAGGTTTGCGAAGCCTGGGACTGATTAGCATACATCAGTCAGATGTACAGATATGCTTGCCTACCAAGTCAACTCCGACTTTACTTGCGCATGTTCGACAGCGGGCTTCATAGCTAGGAGTTCAGCGAGGAACTTCTTCCAGCCAACAAATCCTGGGTTACTATCATTACCGAATCCCACCCTGTAGTACATTTCTTCAATCCAGCGACTTATTTCAATCTGCGGAGGGGAACTTGCTTGCAACGGACTGGTTGGCGCGCTATCTTGTGGAGGTGTAAGTAAACCCGCCGGTTGCTCAGAACTCTCAAGGGGCGATAATCCGTGGCTGCTACGTTTTGTTTCGTCTCCGTCGTTCTTGTCTGTACTATCAAAGTGGTTAGTATACCTTGAATTTGTAACCAAAGGACTTCAACCTACTCGGCATGCTTAGGTTCAACGGCCATGTTTGCCTCAGAGGTGTTGTAGGGGGTTGATATTTCGGCTAAAGATGATGAAGGCTGCGTATTCAGAGGTGGAGATAAACCTGCCTGTGGTATCACGCTAGGAGTTACAGCAGGCTGCGACCTTGCGACCCACGGTTTAGCTGTTTTGACTGTGAATAATTCAATCTGAGCACGCCTACGATGTTCCTGCCTCTGCCTTCTTTTCACCCAAGGAAGAAGCAGGCCGTTCTCGTCACCGTGGGTACCATGAATGCGAAGCCTACATTGCGTTAGCCGATCTACCAATTGTCCCCTTCGCTCGTTCCCATACCTCCGTAATGCAGCCAAAATTACTTTCCTACGCCAAGGCCTTCGCGCATAGAGCTGGTCTCGAACTTCATCCCAGCCAATGAAGGTTTCACTGACCCCACGAAACGCACCATTGTGATATCGCATCCAGACTGCTTGGATAAACCTTTTCCCTATTTTAGTCAATTTCATTCTGTATTGACGCGTGTGATCTTCTCCCAAGTCATCCCCAAACAGCGCTTGATCATCTTCTGCTGCCTTCATACTTTCAATCTCGTATCTGCAATCATTCAGTATGTGAACCTTAAGAAAGAGTTGATGTAATTTACTCTGTTACATATCTTTCGGCCATTCTCCGTGTTTGTACAATTCTATCATCCTTGCTGTTTGGATCAGACACGAAGATGTAGTCTCTGTTGAGTATCCGTATGGCTTCATTGCGGTTGAGAAATTTACCACGACCATTGATATCGCACTCGGTCAGGTCCGCCTAAAATTACATTAGTCTCCAAGGAAGAGGAGTGGGACTCGTAAGACCAACAAGAGCCATTGCTTCACCGAGACTATGTGTTATTAGAAACTTCTGGCAATGAAATGCTGTGGGTGGCGGCATACTCGCAAAGAAAATCGTATAGATATGGTTCATATTCTGGATAACGCTCCCTTAAAATGCGTCCAAGGTGATCAAAGTCATACGGCGTCGAATGTTGAATATCAATCACCGCGCGCGTCTTCAGTCGCATCTCATTGTACTCTCCCACGAATTTTTCTATTCGGAGCTTTTGCTCAGTAACCTCGGACTGTGCAAATCCCGAAGTACCATTCATTGTGGCATGAATTAGGTATTTAGTAGCTTCGGTTGGGGAGATCTGGCGCTAAGTAAACGCTTAATTCACGCGGTTGTAAGGAGTGGAGTGGTGAAGTTCGTTTTTCGGAGTCGTACTTACCGAGGTACACAATCGATAGTTAAGCCGCATCGCTAAAATCTCATTCCGTGACGCGACGTGGCACGACCTCTTCGGCCCGACTAACTTAATTCGTGGTTCCAGTTCGCTGTTTGGTGCATTTCGATATCGTTTTGCGTTGACTACTGCAAGATGGCCGCGTTACCATTATCAGCACGACAATGACGCGATACCCCTTATGCTATGATTTTACACATGCAGACGAGTTGACTTTCGCGAACTTGGCAGGAGCCGCCTTTGGAGCACAAGTCGAGAGGCGGTGACACAGGTAGCCTGCCAAGAAGAATCACTTCTGTAGAGACTAAGTGTAGCAAGATGGGCTTCAGTAATCACCTCGAACGGTCGGCTTATTGATACAAAGATTTCTTCTTATTCAGAGTTACGTAATCGAAGGCATTGGCATACGGGGCGACAGTGGGGGTGTGCAACACGGTAGCAAGTCTAGTAGTGTCACTGTATGGACTCGCAGGTAGGAATAATAGACGTGCATTCAGGATGTACTATAATAGGTCTAACGCTACAACAATAGCTTGTCTCTGCCTGTATAAAAATTTTGAGTTGGAGATATGCTAGGATGCAATACCATGGTACACTAGTAAAACTGTTGCAGTACAATGCAGTCAATCAAAGTGTGTCCGCGCGAGGCAGTCATCAGTGTATTCGCTGTCTGTCTGTGTGTGTTTTCGTTGTTGTCTGCTGGCCTTGCTACAAAGGCAGCAGCAGGGTCTATTTTACATGACGTATCACCATCACGTGACACACGTGAAACACGTGATCCGCTTCTCCTCATAACCGTCACAAAAACCCCACATATTTCAAGAAACATCCATCACTATCCATGGTTAGGCACACATGCGTACAAGGGCTTTTATATAAGTCGTTCCTTCTCCTGTTTCATAGTCAGCAATCTACCTACCATCTTGTGCATCAACCCACCCGAAAAGCTCTTCAAACCACTGACCACGATGAGCAACCCAAGCGACTTGACCCTTTCACAACCGTTTACTACAGTGAATTTTGGCTCAGATATCACGAGACATCTTGATTGCATTTTGCGAAACGCGGACCAACGCTCAAGAGGCAGCAATGGTGTTATCCGATCACCATTCGCCCGAGCATTGCTAGAATACCTTTTTGGAGATACACCTTTGAACCGTCTGGCTTATAAGTCTCATCCTGAGGTTTCTACGGCTGATGGACCTCTGGCTCTGATGTCCAGCCTCTCCTCTCTCCTTGACTTTTCCAAATGCCTTCCCGACCAAGACCCATGCCGCGGCCGACGTTGGAGAATGGCACTAGAACACCCCCGTTTTAGTATACACTTCTCGACGCTGCTAGATGCTGCCGCTTGCCTACCTATCGATTCACAATCCAATACCGTGAAGGTAGCGGCAGAGATTCTGCACACACTCTATTGCGAGTATGGCAAGGCAAAGGCTTCTTTGTGGCGTCGCGAAATCAGCGCTCAAGAGGCTATACCATATAAGAAAGAGAATATCTCCAACGATATCCATAATTGTCAAGTTTGGATCTTAATCCTTCAGCTACAATTCTACAACAACCGTCTGCATGGGAGATCACCTGATGATGATAATGTCAACGATGAAATGAGAGAGATTTACTCACATCTTCGTGCACCCTTAAAATACTCCGTGCACGAATCTCTACATAAGCTACGAGCCACACTGGATGTCTTTTGTGGAGATATCTGGTCATCTTACCACGATGCCAGATTGAAGTGGGTCGGGTCGCCCATTCCTGTCGAAAGAATCTCCAGTCCCCTCAAGCAAGATGTTGATGAGCGGTGCGTCATCTGCCAGGATGAAATCACTTCTTCAGGTGTACGCACGTCATGTGAACATGTCTATTGCCGCTCTTGCCTTGAAACTTGGGTCCATGTCAAAACGAAGGGTAGCCACACTTGCTGTGTTTGCCGTGGAGAGCTCTTTCCAGAGCCCAAATACCAGTTTAGTAATGAGTGTAGTCCTAACTGTGAAGCAGAGCTGGACTGGATTCAGGAGAGAATAAGAGATTTTGATACTATGTGCAGAAATCTTGCTGAGTTTGAGGAGGAACTCAAATTCGAAATGGAGGTATGGAAAGAAATGGGTACGAACAAGGAAATACAGAGATAGTTCGCAAGGTCAGGTCAAGACTTACGAAAGCATGACTCACTTATTTCCCTCGAGTACTTCGTCAGTTATTGCAGAAAGAGCTCAGTATAACCATTTTTTGTTGCTCACATTACCAGGAAGGTCCTCAATCTTTGCGCGCATGTGTTTACTGGGCAGATTATCGAATAGTCCAAGGCTTGTTGGGGAGAAGACCATGTAGTGACCTTTAGTAATTATCACATGCAAAAGACATCACAAAAGCATACATGAACAAATATAGTAGTGATAAAACATCTTCATTGCTGCCAGATGGAGCCGCTGCTGCTGTTCAGGCATGGTGAACCAAGCCTTCCACTACTAACCCCGCCTATTCTAATCCGGACTGATCTCATAATATGAACAATGTATATATATGTACTTTCTGTGTTTTCCATCCCTAGTTCATCTCCACCAAGTCGATGTCGCTTGCAAAAGCTGGAGTGTATGCGGAAAACCGCTTACGCGCCAGGAGTGCGGCGGCAGAGAGGGCGACCACGCTCAAGGGTGTTGGGGTCGCAGGTCAATCGGTTGTCCTCAATGCAGGTCAATGCTGAGCCACCTATGTGTGCGTTAGTTTTGGGTGTTGCAATTCTGGCTTGCTTGAAAACTTACAGTTGTTGATGCTGTCAGGAACGCATCGACCAGTCTGGCCGTTGACATTGCAGACATCCTGCTTCAAGCTTGCGTTGGGAGCACAGCAAGCGCCAGCGGGGACAGGGCGGCCGGCATTTTGAGGCTGAGGTGCAGCAGCTGCAAGAGCGGAAAGGGCGAAAAGGATGGCGGTGGTGGTGAACTGCATATTGAGTGATTTAGGTTTATGGTCTCGAAATGAGGGTGATAAGGCTGTAAATGATTATGATTTGAATGAGTGACCGGCCAGCGGAAAAAAGAATGAAAGAGGCGAAAGTGAAAGTGGCGTAGAAGGCTGAGGTTGAAGATGCTGATGGGGCTTCTTTCCAGGCGTCCCAAGGCACCTCTTATACATCTAGAGAAGGCTGATGTCGCCGAGGCACTCCAAAGTCACGATGCATGCCCTGGTCAGCAAAACCATCCCTTCGCATGGAACAACCACCGGTAGATCATGGCAAGACAAACACAAAACAACGAACTCGGTTATTACGGCCTCGAAAACACGGCTGAGGAACTGAATCGAGCCTGGGGAACCAGCGCATGAGGAACCAGATTCCCTTGGCCACCAAGCAACCTAGCAGGAGGCATATCACGATACGCAGATCATACAGGGCCGCCAGCAGATTCGAGTCCGTGCTGCTTCGCAACGTTGGAAATGATAGCGCGAAGGAAGAAGATGTGAAACCGTCATGCTGTCGTACCGTTTGGGTGGCTGGTGTGAAACGCTAGCTCCCGAGATGCGGGGCTTGTGCGCCATGACCAGCGCTTCGCTGAGCGGCACGGTGCTCCGACAGCTCCGACAGGAGCTTGACGTGCTTGACATTCTTCCAGAAGGAACACCTCCCGTTCGTTGGTTTCATTATATCCCTCTCTTACTATGCATATTCACTTGAAATAGGTACCAAACCTTTGCTTCAAGGCAGAATCAAACAGACTATCACTCTAGCGAAACGATCGCATGTACAGTACATCCACCCTTAACTACCAGGTAGCTCTTGTTCGAGTCATTTTGCTCGTGCTATGACGTCCAAATGGCCAGCTGTGATGCTGAAACGCGGCTCTAGCCGCTCAACGTGGGCAATAGTCCTTTCCCGCTCCGTCTTCCAATCCACAGGTGTCGATGACCTGATACCAGTCTAATTTCTTGTCCCACACGAAAGCGGCATCTTCTCAGCTTTTCCGGCATACCCGTTGTCCTCCGCGCGATTCCGAGACGCTTCAGTGCATGCGCCACTTAGCAGGTTTGACGTGCCTTCTGAACCGCGGACCAAGGTCCAACAGAAATCGTCATTATGTTGCCGGGTCCGGCATGGAGTCTCATAGTAGTAGAGGCATTTCGGAATGAGATTATCTCCTCGCGAGGTATTGATGCTGGACGGCCTTACGCTTCTCAATGATGCCGCATCCATAGCGGATAGATCCCATACATCGATCTCGAGTTCCCAATGACTGAAGGCTAGAACGCACAGTAGTCTGCTGAGTTGCTTGGTGTAGTAATGAAGTGTCGACTGAAAGCCGTCTAGGCCTGTTTGAATAGGTAGTTTCGGCAGTCGTCTAGTGATAGGTTGCGTCTGGTACAGTCGAACAATGTCCAATTTTTTCGATTGATCAGAAAATAGATCAGCTAGCTCGTGCTAATGCACTTGCAACAAAAATCACAAAAAGAAACTCTGGAGCTATGGTTCCAGTGGAAAATCTGCTACAAGGCGTTCTAGTGCGCCAGCTTGTGTAAGCTCAAGCCATGTATCCAGAGAAGTCAACAAACAAAACAACCAACATTTGAGGCGTAGATGTTGATTGATTAGCTCATTTCTTAGGGTTACAGTTTGTTTGTTTGAGTTGATGAGACTGAAGAGCCAATTTTTGGTTGCTTGATTGATTGAATATTGATAGACTTAAGGTTCTGAAGGGACGTTTCTATGACAATTCTGCAGGCGGCTCTTCCCACGTTCCTATCGCAAACTCTTCCGTGAGCTCCTCATCAGTATGCTTTGCTGCTGTTGTCGTGCTTGGTGTTGTAAAACCTGCACGAGTCCACCGTTGCAAGCACACCAAAGCAGCCAGTAACTGCGCGCCAATTTTCCGCCTTTGTGGCTCAATTATATCGCCAGTTCCCGCAAAAACGCGCTCACAATCAGAGCTGGAGGCGGGTATAGTCAACACGTCGATCGCCAATCGTGAAAGATGTGGATACTTCGGCTTCAACGATAACCAGTACTGTACAGCTGTTGGACCCTCCTTGTGTTGATCAGACGTCCATATAGGCTCTTTTAACCAGCTATCGTACTCATCCTCCACCTCCATTGTATGCTCGCCGTCCTCATCTAGTATAGCGTCGATAGCGTCGTCAAAGCTGCTCATGGTAGGTTTTGGCGCAGGGGTTGGTGTTGTGGCAGCAGCGGCAGGCTTGTAGGCAGCCCAAACCCGCAGAAACTTCGCGTGCGCGGTGCTCAATTGTGTAGGTTTGTTGCGCCAGAAGCGCTTAGAGTATGTTTTATATCGTGGATATAGTGCCGTAGCTGCGTAGTAAATGGGACTTTGGAGGATCTTAGTAAAGTAATTGCTCGCTTTTCGCCTCGCGGCTCGCAGGTTGATCGGGATGTGATTTTCGGGCGCCTCAGATGGCTCGTGGTTGACCGATTCGTATGGCCGAAGGCGTGCATCCAGCTCAGTTATCACACTCTCAAATACTGGGATGACCTCGTAGAGTGCGCCAAAACGGCCACACTTGCCGCGGCCTTGGAGGCGATCTGTAGCAAACTTGAGCGGCTGCAGTATCGCCATGTACTCAGTAATCACCGCCCAGTCAGCCGCCGTAAGGCCGTCTGACCTCATCCACCGCGGCACATCAGGCAGCTTGTTTCCTCTAATAGCTGCCTGTTCGTCAGCCTGTTCAGTCTCGCGAATGTGGTACGTGGCGTATGCGTTGATAGCTTGTTGGAGCTGAACTCCGCGCTTAAAGCAGTCGTAATAGCTGTTCCAACGTGTAACACACGGCTTAATTGGCTCGCGAGTGCCGCCGCTGGCGCCTGTGGGCATGCTGTTAACTGCCTCGCGTTGGCAATCTTCAAAAATGCTCCACTGCTTCGGCGGGTTGATGTAGTTGATAATATCAAGATACACGCCAAGCGGTCCTTCTTTCCGCCACTCCTTCATGTAAAAATCCTCCATCTTTGTGTTCTCCAGGGCGTTGTTATACGCGTCAGCATCCCTCCCGAACATAATCGTTTGGCCAACAAGGTTAAGTATGTGGCAAGCGCAGCGGAGGCGGCGATCGGAGGCAGAAAAGTGGTACATCGCGGCGAGTTTGTTAACAGCGGTGTCGTTATTGTAAGCGTTATCGAGCACAAAGTAGCCGAGTTTGCTGCGATTGATGCTGAAGGATTGCAGGGATTTTGGTTACAGCGTCAGCTATCGCCTCACCAGTGTGGGCACCCACCAGCTGCGGCAGCGCGATGGGTAGGTCAACTATCGCGCCCTTACTGTTGGCGTAGTGAGCAACTACAGAAAAGAAGCCACGTTTGCCGCCTTTTGTCGTCCACCCATCGAAGCTTATATGTACCTTGCTCTCGGCTTCAGCCAACGCGCGCACCACCTGAGGTCGTAGCCAACTGTACAACCTCATCACGAACGCTGACACGCTGTTATGAGACCTCCATAACGCCGCCTCTGCCTCAGGATTAGCAAGCCTGATCATCTTGCGAAAAGCCGGCGTCTCAAACTCGCGGAGTGGTCTGTTGTTGTCGACCAGCCAGAGCGCAGCTGCTTGCCGAAATTCTTGTACGTCGAAGTTTCCTATAGTCTTGTACGCCTCTAGACTAAATTTGACACCGCTTAGAGCTGCCTGACGAAGTGATTGTTGTCCATGTTTGCGGAGAGGTTTGCTTAGGATTGGACCGTCTTTGCTGAGCCGATGACCAGGTTTATCAAGCTGGAGGTGCCCGTTGGCGGCAGTGGTTGACTTCGTTACTCGGTGTACACCATTAGGTAGCTTATGAATATGACAGTACTTGCACACAAAGTACAACTCATCTGGGTGGTGAGTACCCTCCTTCCAGACACGCCAGCCGTGTTGAAAAATCCAGCTTGCCTTGCCTCGTGGAGTGCTCAGCGGCGCGACAAACCCCTTTAATCGCGACCAATCGACGCCCTCAAAGTCGCGAAAATCGACGCTCACAGCGCTATCCTCCTCCACCGAAGCCTCAGTGGCAGCGCTAGAGAAAGCTAAAGGCTGTACAATAGAGTCCTCTGGCTTATCAAACATTAACTGCGACTCCCAGGCTGGCTCATCAGTGAGCCGAGAGGCTTGTGAGGCAGCCAAAATAGGCAGTGGTGATGCCCGCCGAGGGCGCTCCTCGGGTTGTTGTACAGGCTTACATGGCGGTTCAATAGCCCGTGTGGGCGGCTCGATAACTTCTGTAGGCGGCTCTGTAGGCGGATCCGGCGTACTTTCTGGCAGCTCTATCGGCTGGGTTGGCTGGCTGCCGTCACCCAACAGCGCCTTGAGCGTAGGTTTGCGCGTACGTTGTGCTCGCTTGAAGGGAGTATCAGCTTCTTCGGCAGCCTCGGGCTTGCGTTTTGCTGGTATAGAGGGCATGGATAAGGCTAAAAGTAAGCCGGAGCCGCGAGAAAGTAAGGTGTTGTTAAATGTTATAAGCCTGATGTCAGTAGCACTAGGAATGGAACATGTGTGAATCGTGTTGTGTATTGTGCTACAGGAATTGAGATCTATGTCTCTGCCAGCTAGCGTTGTGGGCGCTAAGCCTCGTACGTACTAGCCTGGAGTGAGTGAGAGATGGGATGGAACCTAGGTCATATAACTTTGTCAGATTTTTATGGATGGGATCAAGTGTATTGTCTGTCTCTGTCTACGGCTCTGTCTGTGGGAGGTGGCCTCGCCTCGGGCTTGGCAGTGCTAACGTGTCTGTGCGCGTGATGCCCATAATCGCGTGCCGCACACCCCACCAATATCGCGACGACGGCAAAGTTGAGGCTGTGCAGCCACGTACAATAACTATTATCGCGAGATTTTCCGGTGTATTGATCTATAGACGTAGCTCTACAACTTTGTCTATCTATATTTTGCCGGAGTATTGACGGCCCGGCCGCGTCGGGTGGTTGTTGGTGGGGGAGCCGGTGCAGCCACCTCAGCCAGAGTGCCACCGCCAGCACCACCCACGCGTCGTTTTTTTGGCTGTTGCTTTGCAGCGGGCTTTGAAGCCTTACGCTTGCCCGATTGGGGTTGTTGTATAGCCTTTGCAGCGTCGCGATCGCGTCGTTTGGCGTCAAGTTCGGCAGCCTTTACAGCCTTGGCTTCATCCCGCACCTTCTTTGCCTCCTCACGCGCCGCCCGCGCTGCCTCTTTGATCTTAAGTTGATAGATCCTGTTGTTCTCCTTTGCCTCTTTCAACTCTATCTTATCAAGTAGCTCTTTCTCCTTCTCCTTCTCCTTCACTAGCTGCCTGAAGCGGGCCTCTCGAAGCTTGCACGGCGACCACCAAACTGCCCCTGAATGGAACGCTTTTCGCTGCTGTAGATCTAGGGGAGGTTCGTGCCGATTGCGGGGCTTCTGGTGAACGTGTAGCGCCGCGCGCAGTGCGTCCTTCTCGTACTCGGCGATCTCTTTGGCAGCCTGGAGGCGGAGGAGTATTTCTGAGAGGTTGTTGGCCGCAATAGAGCTCGGATCGTAGGCCTGATTAATGAGGTTCGTGATAGTAGCTCTACTCACGTTCACTAGTGGCGGCGGTGCTGTTAGTGTTGACTTTCGGAACTTTTTAAGTACTACTTCGGGATCTATAGGAGCTATCCCAGTGGCTTTAAATGCCTTCAACGCGTGCTTCTTAATGAAAGAGGAGTCCCAGGCAGGCTTGAAAAGACGGTAGAAGTCATCCTTCCTCACAGCTAAGAGACCGTGGCTCGCCTGGAGGTAGTGCTGCAAGCTGAGTGAGTACGCGGCTGCCAGAGGTTTGAACATTACCACATCGAGTGGCTGCAGCGTATGGGTACTATGGGGGGGTAGTATGAGTAACATAATATTGTGGGCGATCGCATAGTCAATAAACTCCATAGTAACGTGACTCCCATGGCCGTCAAGGATGAGTAAGCGTGTGTGATTGCCGGCCTTCTCCTTCGTATGGCGATCAAACACCTGTTCGAGCCATGCCAGGCCTACCTGATCATTGGTCCACCCTGAGGGACTTGAGGTAACGTAGACTGGATCGTCAATTGCGATATCATCAACCCATCTGGCGTACATGTTGCCCGAAGTAGCTTCGTATATAATCGCGGGCGGTAACGTACTCCCATCAGCACATATAGCAGCGATAACAGTGATCCAATCTCTGTTGCCGTCCTGTATCACTTTCTTAAAGCCCCCAGTCTCATATTTCTGCTTACTAAACACTCTCTTACTCCTCCCCGTCACTCCAATAAGGAATCCCTTCTCATCCATATTATATACATCCTGCGCCCGAATATGGTGCTGAGCCATTTTAGTAGATAGTAGATCAAAGTACGACTCGTACTTGTATACAGAATCAGCCCGGTGGCGATTGCGGTCCAAACCAGTTGACCAACGTGATATAATCGCGTCGGGATGACGGTGAAAGAAGCGCGTCACCCAGCTTTGGGAGGTAGCCCTTCCGGCTATAGCACTAGCAAAGTTCTGGATCATAGTCCTCGTCGGTGGTAAGCCAGCCTCAGTAAGCTCGTCAATGTGCTCTAGAAGCTGTAGCTCCTGGTGTGGGTGAAGGAGTTGCTGATTACGTGATTTGGCTTCATTTGAGCCCCGGATCTGTTGATGGCGTCGCGACAACGTAGAGCGATCAACACCAAAGCGGCGCGCAACCTCAGAGTATGTAAATTTATCTCCGGGATCACGCGATTCAATAGCTTCAATCGCAGCGTTGATACAACTCATGGTTGTGGAGTTATGGGTGGTTGAAGTGGTAAGGGTGGATTGGTGTTGATGTTGCGGGGTGTGCGGCACGCGATTATGGGCATCACGCGCACAGACACGTTAAGTCCCGGCGCTAGCCCTGGTTTGGGGGTCTCATGTCCTTCCCCAACCACCATCGGCTCGATCATGGAGCAAAACCTCGCCTCAATCTGACAAACTTACACGCGAGTAGGCTTAGTAAGCAAGATCCAACACTAAGAATTCGTCGTTGAGCAGCTATCCCAGAGGCCTCACCTAGGTATCCCCCTCCCTCGCTTACTATCAAACAACACCAATCCTATCAACATTTTGTTCTCAAGATTGGTTGATTGATTGACAGAAATACAGTGGCTAACTGTTGGTTAGTTGGTTGGCTCCGAATCAAACAAATCAAACAACAATATTGATGAGATATTGATTACTGACAACCTTGCATGTATCCCACGAACAGCTGCCCCCTGGTAGTTCATGCTAGACTCCGCAACAATCAATTCAATCCGGTCACTCTCCTAGACCCACTTACCTATCTAGGTAGGGCTTAAACTCCTATAGGTAACTACTAGGCTTAAAGCGGTAATCAATCAATCCAATCTGAACCTTCTAGGACCCACTTAATTGATTGTTGCGGACTGTGGTTCATGCCAAGAAGACTAAACAAATACCCTGGGTTTATCCAAACCCAGTTCGCCAGCTCCATGATTCGGAACCGGACCAGAAATTAATCTAGAACATACATTGGCGTAAAGAACGTCTTATGCCTCAGGCATAGTGCGATGTCAGATAGTAAACGTAGGAACCAAGCTCTCGGACAGTTTTCGTACTTAGCTTGACACTGAAAGGCAACTGGATCGATCTCAGGTTGATATAAAGCACCTCAAAGTCTTCTTCTGACTAATTGCACAAGATTGCAGTCCATGTCCAAGAAAGAAACATTAAAAGATATAAGATTAGCTACAGTTGGTCATTATTCTACAATGAGGTGTCAGAAATGGGCCATGCAAACCTTATCACAGAAGGCGACAATGCTAAAGTCACCGTAGTATCCCAAACATCACCCCACTTTAATTTTTGTTGTTTATTCTTGCAAATATCCAATTCTATTGCTCTACAAACAGCGCAGTTGCGTTCTTCAGAAGCTAATAAATTCGATTAGCTGGGCAGAGTAACCAGATAGCTGACGCGGCAGGAACGTGGTAGGTAGACTTCGGTGCACAAGGCAAATGTCGAAAACGCTCGGTAAAGCTAAAGATGCTCACCTCTTTCTGAGTGTGGTATATGCACCTCATCATATGCGCTGAGACTGTATATTTGGTATCGACAAGCTACGCTAGATCGTAGTGTTTGAAATGCGTTGCCTGGAGGTTCTTGGCACACTAACCGAAAGCAGCACATGCACTTGGTGTAGGGCTCGGCCTCCCCGAAGTTCACTATGGAACGCAAGAACAACTTCACGACCAAACAGCGGACAAGTAGGAACTTGTCCGAACCTATGTGCAGCACAACGGATCGTTGTACGTTGCGATTACGCTCCCGACTGACCAATAATTGCCATTTCGCCCAGCCTTCCGTTGATTATTAAGATGATTGACAAGGTAATCCACATTACTAATGTATAAACGCCTCTTCGATACGCATTAATCGTTCGTCCGCGTTACAACCTCCATCGTCAAAGTATCTAAGCTCTGAATTTACAATCGGGTTCCACAGGGTTCGCTTTGGTGTTGCCTGCGTTTGACTGGTCTGGTGGCTTGCCGAAGCCTTGGAAATGACGCCCCTGCTCGGCGATTGTCCGGCTCCACATTCAGCTCTGCTGTCACCTCGCCCCCAAAGTCGCCATTACAATGTCTCTCAATATAAAAGGAAGATGACATCATGTCCGTGGTGTTCACCGGTGGACAGCGTATAAAGATAGGTACAAAGCTTCGTGGACGAGGAGCACATAACATATGTTAATCGGCACTATGGATCGTTCAACAAAACCAAGCTTCAATTTTGTGAACCTCAAACACCCCGACGATCTCAAGAATGAGGAGACGCAGCTTCGCATCAGGCGTCTGGCTATGACCGAGGTGGGCAAAGCGCGAAGGAAACCAAAAACAAAGCGGGCGCGCAATGAGCTCGTCCTCGAGTTTCGAGACCCATCTGAGGGCCGCATAAACATCGATCGCTTCGGCGGTGGCCAGCTCGACCCATCTAATCCTTATCCGATAGAGCTTGACGACTCTGCCCGAGCGCTACTTGCAAATGGTAATTCCCTGTACCCCATGTGGATTGCCTTGGTATTGACCGGACACAGTCTTCAGTGCTGATGACAACGACCACCCATCAGTACTCCGCGGTTCATGGTATCCAGTTGGGCTGAGCGACGCGGCTGCCTTCCACAACATGTTGGCCAACTCCCAGAACTTCCTTTTCCAGAAGCGCAATGGGTATTTTCCTTCGCAGGATGATGCAGTAGCACTGAAGCATCATCACAAAGCCCTGCGCCATACGACATTGATTATGAAAGATCCCGCTAAGCACAAGAGCGATGAGGTGATTTGTGGAGTGGTTTCTTTTATGATACACAATGTAAGTAGCCAATCCTCCGGGCATGACTGAATGGCTGATACGTGCAAGGCTCTACTTGGAGACTTTACACACTGGCAAAAACACAGCAACGCGCTGGTTAGAATGGTGGGACTTCGAGGTGGATACGATGCTATAGACAAGGAGCACCTCCGACTCACAGTGAGCTGGTGAGAAAATTCGGATACCACCACCTAGACTTACATGACTGACCCCAACGTAGGGCAGACCTCATTGGTAGCTTCTACCAAGATCACCCACCTATCGTCCCAATGCCACAGCAATGGATCGCAGACTCCAGATCTCCGTCTAATTCTCCGCGGCCAACTAATAATGCTCCATCTTTGACTTGGAAGCAGCAACTACCCATGCATCTAGACTGGATCACCATCTTCGATGATATCGTTCAGCTTATTTCACTTGACCAGACGTTCAACGAGAAGCAATTGATGTTGGCCATTACGAGCGGTAGTTGGATGGAGCCGACACTATACCGGCTTCTAGCTACACGCCCGCTAAACCACGGAAACGACCGAGAACAAGTGATTGAAGAAGTCTGCAGGTTGGGAACACTTCTATTCCTATCGCCATTCTGGAGAGCACTAGGTCAATCCCCGGTACGGACATCCGCCATCTCTCACAACCTTCTACTTGTCCTCACAACGAACATGACCGAATGGAACGAACTAAAGCCACTGCTTATCTGGGTCATTTATTTCGCCGCGATCGAAACGAAAGATCTCGCCGAAAGGAGCCAATTTGTGTTCATGCTTGGCATCCTAATGAGCGGCCTGCAGCTGCAAGAATGGGATGACATTATGCACATAGTCAAAAGCGTGTTATGGGTGGATAAACTTTTTGCAGGCACAGATGAGCTAATCCGCGACGAGGTCATGCAGATTGTCAATCACAATCCCATGACTTTGCTTCCCGCGGATACTCCACCGGGTTTCTTGGAAGATTTTGGGGCTGAGATAGAGTAGAGCTAAGCTAGATTGGGAAAGAAGACATCCTTGTTATTGCATATGTTACTAGCCACGATCTAATCACCCTGCTCAGCCTCGCATTCGTAGCCTTTTTGTCAATGCGCTAGGTGAGGGCTAGCATTTTGGTCTGCGCATGGACGGTGAATGGAGCAATAAACGCGACATTCAGACTGTAGCAGGGCATATTGAATAGGCAACAGCAGCAACACGCCCGCATATGGTCTTGACCCCATCATTTGTATCTGGTCATGTTGGTCAGCTATACTCACTGCAGAAAGACACTCTACAGCACATCTAGCACGGTAATGCTGACTTAGTACCATTGTACCCATCGATTACATGCTTTTGATTGGAGCTCTACCGAGCTTTTTCACACTTGTCCAATGCTGACTTGCCTGTTACAAGTCGTGGTACCACAGTCACGACGTCTAGATTCTCTCTGGATGCTCTATAAGACGCCTACACACTGCGCATAGCTAGCCATGAAAGACTCTATCCCTTGACCCCCAATTTTCAACGACACCAGCCAAAATGGAAAACCTCCCCACCGATCACTTCGTAAAATCCCAACAATTCGTTCCCACCGTCCACCGTGACGTGTACCCGGCGATCGATCCCACACAACCCTCGCTCTCCCAAAAGGGCAAGGTTATCATAATCACCGGTGCCAGTCAAGGCCTAGGGGCTCGGGTATGTAACCCATCGAATCGACGTTGCTCAAGCGACTCTGTCTAACCAACGACTAAGGCTTTTGTGCCATCTTTCGCCGCTGCAGGCGCCAAAGCGATTGTTCTCGTCGCGCGCAGTGCAGAGAAACTAAACGAAGTGGCTGCATCCGTCGCCAATTCCCATCCTGAAGTCGAGACACTCGCTGTCCCCACCGACATCGGCAGCCCCGAATCAGTAGCCTTGCTGTACCAAAAAGTGAAAGAGAAGTACGGCCACGCCGACGTTCTTGTCAATAATGCCGGTATCTTCAAAGCCAGAGCGCCAGTCAAGGATGTTGACGAAAAGGCTTGGTGGGATGAGATGGTACCTACACAACCGCCCTAGCTCATCACGATGAACAAAACTGACATTTGATTCAAGACACTCAATATACGTGGCACCTTCTTAATCATAAAGTCCTTCCTCCAACAACTACCCACTCCCGAGACACCCGCGAAAATCGTAACCCTCATCACAGCCGCTGCCTATGAAGTCTTCCCCTCATTAAGCGCGTACGGTATATCGAAACTCGCTGTTCTTGAACTTATGACATATGTCGCGGCTGAGAACCCCAATGTTTTTGCTGTGGCCCTGCACCCAGGTATCATTGACACGGAGATGTTGATTGATACATTCAAGCGATTCGCATTGGATACGCCGGAGCTTATCGGTGGTGTTGGAGTGTGGCTCGCAGGCTGGGAAGGTGTTGATAGGAGGTTCTTGGGCGGTAGATATGTGAGCGCGAATTGGGATGTTGAGGATCTGGTGGCAAGGCGTGAGGAGATTGAGAAGGAGGGGCTGTTGAAGATGTACTTGAAGGGTACGCTGGGCGCGGCGCAGTTTGAGAAGTAGGATACGATGAAGATTGGTATACGTAAAGAAATTCGGGTTCCGAGATAAGCCATTTGACTACAAGGTGGTCATCGGCTCAGCCTTCCACAATCAACCTCTTTATTGTAACGGCGGCATCCTCTTTGTCGCCATTGAGCCTTAGCTCTTCCATCAAATCTGGCTCACCAAGTAACATCGCTTTCGCCGCAATTTTCCATCTCACGATGTTATTGTCATCATTCACCGGCCGAAGGATCCAAAACCTTAGCGGGATGCAGCCTACGTTGACCAGATCTGTCGGTATCGCTATGCGAAGATCCTCTAACGGACCACTATTGTAATTCTCGTTTCTGAATATAGATGTCATCATCGCTTGACGACCATCGATAGTGCATTGTACGCGAAGTGGCAGAGTAAAGCTGACGTAATACATGGATCGTGGATCTGTGACCCATGTTAGGAAGAATGTTGCTTCTTCCGCATTGAAGACTGAGGGCGTTGGGGTGTTCTCGGTTATGGGTGCGCCAAGTTCCTCAAGTAGTCTCTGCGCCGGTATCCGCAATGCCTGGTTAGGCGCAAGGTCCTTGTGTGCACCCTGGTTGTAGTTGGGCTTCACGACTTCGCGTTTCAGCTGCTCCCATAGCCTGGCTGTAAAGTCGTGACCGTTCAAAATACAAGCAGCGAGAAATCGTCGTCGGTACTGGTCGTTATCGCTGGCCGATTGAGTCTTTGGCGAATATGCTGATTGGCTCTCTGGTACATCTTCAGTCACATGCATTTCTGGGTAGGTAATCGGTATGATGCCAGGGAACACGTTGTAAGTGGGCGGAAAGTGGTCTTCGTCGTTTACTGTTATCAAGGGTCTGTCGAAGAAGATTAAATCGAGCTCGATTTTCTGCTTCGATATTTGATGGATCCCTTGAACGCCTCCTAATCGGAATCTAGGGATCACTGTCTCTCCCGATGCGATGCTTTGTGAAAGCCATGAATCTCTTCCGTTCAGATTGAGCGGTCTGCTGTCCATCATACTCAATGGATACGTTTCTCCTGCAGCGAGTGCCAGAAGCGCACTGAGATACAGGACCTCCTCTTTTCTATTCAATGCTTCACCGGTGTATGCCAGAGCACGCTCGCCCATGTTGAGCATGATACTGATACGATCGGCGGGGTTCTGGCATCCTTTCTGTGCGACACCATTGTGACCAGACATGATGCTCGGCCTCCATATAGTGTTGTCATCTCCCACTCGAGAAGCATCCTGATTGATGAAGCCCGTGAAAATCGTCCAGCCTTGGAAATACATGGACCCAAACTTTGCCTCGATCGGCAGCAGGTCCAGTGCAGCAGACATTATGAGCTGCAGGTTAATCCATTCCATCTTCACTGTTGAATCACCTGGACCGTTCATGATAAACATGGCGTTCCGGAGAAGATCACACTGTCTCCGGTCGGTCCAGGGCTCGTTTGTGTTGAACTCATGTAAACACCAAGCGCGAGTCCACCATCGCGCTTTGTTGACCTTTTTGTAAAAAGATAAAAATTCTGCTCTTGCTTCATGTCCAGGTAGCCAGCTCCTATCTGAAGCTGTTGTGTGCAGATTGTATACTTCACTCAAGCGCGCCTCTGCATTTGTAAGCTCCACATCTTCTAGCAGAATGAGTAACCGCCTGCAAGAACGATATATAACATCCATAGCCGCAACTGATCTCTGCTTATCAACAGAATCATTTTGATCAATACAGATCTGGTCAATCCATATGCCTTCGCGAGGATGCCCCTTTGCACGTAGAATAGCATCCACAATAGGTTTGCTGAATGGCCAGTGGTCGTGGGGCGTGTACTGTGGGTACGGAAAGTCGTCCACATGCCAGCAATAAGAGATTGCCAGGTACTGACGTACATAGAGGCCGTTATCGAATCCATGCTTATGATGATTGGGGAAGATGAGGCGAAATGGCGTATCTAAGATAGTCTCAGATGAGCGTGGAGAAAACTGACCGACAACATCGGGACACCACGTCGTGAGGTTTCGAAGCATCAGTTCTGCTTCAGGCTGTCCCTGGTCAAGCTTGGACATGCCATATTCAAATATCTCCGCCTTGTTTTCCCTGGTCAAGCTTAGCCGGAAGAGGTTGTCGCCAATGTACCCAATGTCTGCATCCCTGGGAGCGGCAGAGGTCCCCGAAAGTGCCAGCTCTGCTGTGTTATCAGCCATTTTGGAGTTTTGGACCTGGGATGAATTTTCCGCTGGCCGAGAGGGCCAGCAGAACGATTGCAAAGGCGGGGTATGGCATGCCTGCTGTTGGATGAGAATAGCGAGGTGGCAGCCTCGCGTATGCAGAAGCCTTGGGATGGCCATCTCCGCTAACCCCGCCCCGGCCTAGCGTGCCAAGCATAGCCTTGATCAAAGAGAAAATTTGTCGCGTCCTTCTCTTCTGTTTCTTCACGCACCATCAGACAGTTCAACCACCCATCTCATCCGCATCTTTACGTCTTGTATTGATGCGACCCGAGTCTTCCTATTGGGTGATTGCGATATAGCGCTGCGGAGAAGGAACCAAGTGCTTCATTAGAGCTGGCTGCGCATTCTTTCGGTTGCGCAGGCGGTGTCATAGAAGCGGTACATACCACATAATACTTCAACCATTTTGCGTTGCATCGAAAGAACCATGAACACATGCGATGCAGCGTATGCCACACTACTGATGGCAGCATCAGTATGATTCGTGTGGTGCAAGAACTTTGTCCTCAGTCCTTAGCAGTGCCATTTGGGCTCCATGTGGGTCGCAATCTTTCAGCTTGTTGATGCACTCGTTTCGTGCATGTCGTTCATCTCGTGGTTTCCAGTTCATCTCGTAAGTTTTATATGGAGTCGAGCTCGCACAAATGTGCTTTCCAACATGTCCATCAGTTCTACTGCTTGAATATGTTTCATCCCCTCGCTTAACCTGCAGTGGGCCCCAGGACATAACGACGTCAAGGGCAACGAAAAAGCCGACACGCTAGCAAAGGAAGCAGCTAAAGAGAGACCAACAACATCGACCACAGCGAGCCTAGCCTACTTAGGCACAGAAATCAACAAAATACAAAAAACAGAACAACTGATGGAGTACAAGAGGTATACCGACAGGCCCACCAAAAACAGAAGCTCCTACTCAAGGATCTTCAAGCTCAACACACATACAACAATCAAAGTCCCGAAGGGAACACCAAGAGAAATCTCGAGCGCGTTCTACTCACTCAAGCTAGGACATGGATACTTCAACTCCTACCTTAAGAGATTCAACAAGAGAGACTGCAATCTATGTATATGCTACAAACCACAAACACCACAGCATCTACTTCTAGATTGCAAACAGTACAAAACACATAGAAATACACTCAAAGAAGCAATACCACACAGACCCATCACCCTCCCACTCCTCCTCCAAACAAAGACAGGCATCAAAGCTACTCTAGCCTTTATTGCAAGTACTAGGATTGGCACGAGAAAATGGCACCTTGGGCAAACCACCGAACAGACAGACACTGTATAAAACTACAAAAACAATATTTCCTTATCTAAAAGAGCCCGCTGCTACATCTCTTTCTATTCACCACACTGCTCTTTAGCACCCGCGCCAATGGAAGACTAGCTCTGAAATTGGAGTACGCAAAACACCACCCAAATTGTACAAGACCCATAGAAACTCCACAACGACCATCATACATAGAACGGCTTAGCCAAAGTCCTACATAGTCACCGACTGATACAGGACTCTAATGGAAATATAATAATAATAATAATCCCCTCGCTTAGTCATCCCAATTCGTCGAGTTCGATTGCTTTTGCATAAGAGCGCGCAGTCATGTGCGAGAAGGGCAGCCAAGAAATGACTAATAGAGCAGGAAAATGTTTGAGATTGTTATAACGTTTTCACTATTGTGTGAAATGAAAAGTGAGGCTACTGAGTATGCTCCGTGCTCGTCTACCATTGTACAGTCGACCCGAGTCACCTCAAAAACTACCACATCCAGAAGTCTTCAATTGATTACATCGACGCAGCAAAGTTGCGATTATGGTGAACCACTACCGTTGCTGGCCAAAAGAGGAAATTGGGCAATACGCGATTTGATGCACGCGACTGGACACACGGACCTAGGCGGGACATGTGAGTGAAAGAGTTGGGATATAAAAGAGCCTTCTACCCTTGCGACACACGCTTCCGACATGATCTCTATGCACCTTGCACCTCCACTTCCCACCTGGTACCCAATCTACCAAAGCCTCCACTTGCGAAGTCGCAGCCGAGTACAACGACCGTTATTCAAGGATGACTTCCTCTACCTCCCGCCTCGAAGACCTACCCACGGAGATTTTCGACCACATCTTAGGCTATGTTCTCTGTCCGCAGACCACGCTGGAACAGGGCAGGTTTTTCCGTCGATATCATATTAGCACTGCCATCCTTCCAGTCAACAAGGCCATCTATGCGCTTGCCAAACGCTACCTACACTACTCCATCTCGTGGATCCGCCTAGATCTCGATTGGGATACATTTGCGATTGATCCGTTATGTATGCGCATACCGTAAGTCAGCTCACGCAATGTTGAGCAACTATCACCGAGGCACTTTGATCGAAGTGCCAGGACGATGCCATCGATGCATCCGCACTATGAACACAGACCTAAGATGTTTATGTGCTGATCATATCACAGATACATCTTAATCGATCTCAAGGAACCGAAAAAGAAGATTCCAGACGTCTTCAGCGGCGACCCTGGGTACCGATCAGTCGAGCAAGACGTTCCCCAAGGTCGCATTCACGCGCGCATCATCTTCCCATCCACTGAAACCGCAACACAGAGGAAGATGAGGACAGTGTACCCTAACTTGCGAGGCCAACCGTACATGCGCGTACTCGTGCTTGAGGAAGATTTGAAGCTGTACCTTGCCTGTGTCCGTACAAACGACCTTGCATACTGCGACCGCAACCCGTCACGTGAGAGCTCGCAGATGGCGATTGGCCACCACGGAATTTCATTCGACATTCGCGTCACTCAACATCAGCAGACCACGAAATACAAACACCTCATCGACGAATTCAAGATATTCTCCGGCCTCTATCATCAATGTACAATTCTGGGACACGAGGACCGGGCGCATGCTTCACATGCTGTGGAGAGCATCCAGTTATCAAAACGCATATCGAACGGCCAGCTGAATATCTCGGAACATAGGTCAGAGACGGAGTTAGAGGCTGTTTCCCGCATCCTGTACTTGAAGTGCAGAGGTGATGAACTCCTTCGAGATGGACATCCTAGGCATGCATGCGTTTGCTACGTCAACGTAACCAAGGTTTTGTCAGCTTGGCAAACTCATAATCCTGCAATATCATTTTGTACTACGCATCCGAGAATCTCGCAGGTGTTCTTCGTCTCAATTGCCATTAATCATGCAATTGCATACGTCGCTACTGGCTTGTCGACAAATATTGTCCAATATCCGGGCGTGAGTATGGATTCGTGGCTCAACACATTGTACCACCATGTTCAAAATCAGGGTTTCCAGGGAACCCATCGATACCTCCAAGTCAAGATGGTAGTGAGCATTTACCAATTGTTCATCATACCTGAGACGGATTCTCTTCAATTGCTGTCCCACATGGAGGAAACTTACTTTGCATCGAGCACCTATCATCACGACTCTTGCGATTGTGAAGAAGCATTATGCGAAATCTCCAAGAGGATGCGTCAATTTTTTGACGCCACAAAATCCATATCTGACGCGAGGCGATTGCGTCACATTCCCAGATTCATACAACACCTGCATGTATCTGCTAGGAAGCTCAAGTTGCAGCCTATGAAGTGGGCAATCCACGAGACACGTCTCCCCGAAGGTCTTCGGTCGAGGATGGAAAAAATGCCTAAAGCACACGTCGAGAAGGGTAAAATGGTGATGGAATCGCAGGCCTTTGTGGTACATATTCCGGGGTTCAACCAGCCTAGCGACATCGGCAATGATGCTACCGAAGCGGGGGTAAGGTACTTGATCTAGGCATGTCTAGTCTAGGTAGACATACGACCATGTCTTGTATGGGGTTTATTTGGAGTCACATACAGTACTACAAACATGCGAATGAGAGGCTTAATGCTATGATGGACGCAAAAGACGGTAATTACGATTGGGTATTTCAAGTACAAAGCGGTCTTGTAGATTAGCAATAGCTATCATACCTATGGCAATATTCAGAATGCTATGTATGTCTCATTGATAAAAGCCCAGGAATGCTAGTATGAATCAATAACAACAGCTAAGCAAACACACTACGTCATCAAGCCCTTATCGGCACTGACAATACTGTAGTACTTGCCACTACTTCTAACACGCATACCTTTGCCATACTTGATCATGACAAGGAAGACTGCTGACGCAGCCATACCGACAAATGCCGATGAGATGAAGCAATTCTGGTACCCCAAATCCCTTAACCAAGGGGTAATACTATGCGTGGTTAGCACCGAACACGACTATCGGGTCGCAGACTTACCCATAACTAATCGCAAATGACATGGTATTGCGGATCAGAATCACCGTCACGATGGCATCCCCACTAATGTCGTGGTAGCTATCGATCATGTAGTTCACGCTTAGTGTGACACCAACAGACGACGTAAATGCCACACATCCCATAGCAAATACCAGTCCAAACCAGTGTATACCATGTGCCGCTCCAACACCCCATAGGATCAAGAAAGCCGGCACCATGATCAGACATGCTGCGAAGGGCCATAAGCGGTGCTCAGCTTCCATAACGCCGTTGTTCCTTCGCGCAAGTTTGATCGTAAGCCAGTCGCTCAAGCGCCCGGAGAAGACCGCTCCAAAAATGACACCAATACAGCATGATACGTAGCTCAGTCCTACCATAGACGGTTTGAAGTTGTAGCCCGGTCCGCCAAGGATAATGGACGCGGTAGCGTTGAGAACGTTGAACCAGATGAGGTAGGACCCGTAGCTGAACCCCGAGTAGAAAATGACCGGCCAGCTCAGATACATCAAACTCCGCTTAGCACGCTCCAAAAGGTTTGTTCCAGGCGAAGATTGCCACACCGACAATTTCTGCGCAAAAGTCTTCGTCGAAGCGCCCTTAACCTCCCCACTCGCACTCGAATGCGCAGTCTTCGCCTCAGCCCTCTCTTCATCGACGTCATTCTTCCCACCGGGCCCCAGCTCGCCCGTTCTCACAACTACACCCTCAATCTTTCTCGTATAATTCGTCTCCTCCATCAGCAGAAACAAAACCACGAGCGTACACGCCAGAAATATCGCCGGCCAATAAAACACCCACTGCCAGCCCTGGCCCTCTGAGATGAACCCACTAATAATCGGTGCGAAATAATTGCTTCCCGCGAGGGAAAAGGCGTAGAATCCCATGTAATACCCGCGCTGATGCGTGAAGTAAACATCAGTCACGGAAATCTCTGGTAGCGCTTCCACGGGCGCAACGAAGAAACCTGTTAGTATACATCGAGCTATCCATTCGCCGTTGCTTTTGACATATGCACTGTCGGGGTATTAGCATTCGCAAATTTGTTGCTTACAACTCGGAGGAAGGTGGAAGCGCTTACCTCCATATACTCGTCCCGATAGCCCCAGTAATAGAAAGTAGGAATGTAAGCCTCTTCCCGTACCGCAGAGCGAACGGCTGCCAGAAGAGTAGACTCCAGCCTAGAAACAGGAACATGTATCCCGTGCCTTCGTTCAGTGTGGATACGGAGACGCCTGAGGCTTCTGAAAGAGGCACGAGGACGGAGTAGACGGTGGATACTGCTATACCTACCATCCACGTGTATCTTTGATGTTGTTAGTTCGGATTTGCTGGAAGGCGGGAGAGACCACGGGACACGTACAGGTTGACGCATATTGTGGATGTGAGTTTGCGGCGCGGAGACCAGTTGAGGGGGTCGTCAGGGTCGTTGGATGGGGCTGGATTGAGGATAATTTCTCCGTCGCCTGCATGGCGGGCTTGCATGCTGTGGTCTAGGTCCACGAGATGGACTGTCCCTGGGATGTTTGCCATTTCGACTGTATCACCTGTGCCAGGCATCGTTGTGATGGCTTTGGACCCAAATTCAAGCGTTTAATGTTGGCGATTTTGAACCTTCAAGATGTCGCAGCATACTATTTACATGAGCATACAAGAGTGGGGTTGCATGTGCCTGGTTTTGGAGTAGTGTTGGGGTACGGCAGGGAGTCTGCGGCTGTTGTGCGTCATTCCAAGGCTGGTCTTGTTATGTCTTTGCTGGGTATGTCTTCTATCAATGTCTCCTATCTAAAGTTTCCCTTGCGTGAGACGATAGCAGAGATAGAGGTTGAGACGGCCATACAGTTGAAAGTAGCCTATCTCCTTGCCTGCGGCCCGCCACCTGCATGTTTTCCGTGAACGGCAGGTCCGCGCGACGGAGACAATGTTGAAAGATACCGGATTCACCGCGGGAGAAGCACCATCCGTTAAGAACTACGTCGATGAATTCAATTGGATAAAATATGCCGGTCGTTGGAGTGGCTTGAAGGAGGAGCCCAGTGAACAGCTCATGTGGGGCATATGTATGGTCACGCTAGCGTGCTTCGCGGCATCTCTCCGCACTTCAACACAAATATCGTTATCAGCTCACATAAGGGGCTTTTGCCACTGTAGCTGGATAACTCCACGATATTCTGCGGTTGATATCGAGTCCTACGCTAGGGGTGGTAGTACTGCACCGTCTTTATCGGCTCCATCGTATCTGCACAGCAACCCCTCATATGTCTAGCCGGCGAGATTCCGAGATATGACCACGGGATGCCTATTTACGCTACTTCCTACATATTGTACGTTTGGCTCGGCTAGACCCGGTAGTTCCGAAATCAGTGTCTAGATAGATAAGACTATGATAAAGCTTCATACAACAGACTTTGCGTGAGTTTTCCTCGTTAACCATTTTGCTCCTCAAACATGGCCGTCCAAATCGCGCCTCTCGCCATCATTGAACCCAAAGCCTTACCACTAGGTACACCAGAATATGAGATGAAACGTGCTGCCCTACTCGAAGCCTTTGCGAACAAGGTACCACAGGAACTACGCCTACCCGATACGTTCTTCTCGAATCCACCGAAGGATGTCTCGGGAGTGCCGGCCACATGCGGGATACTCACACCCGCTGAGATCGACATCACTGAGAAGTACGATGCAGTAGGACTGGCTGAGGCCATCGCCTCCCGCAAGTTGACTGCAGTCGAAGTAGCGACTGCGTTTTCCAAACGCGCCATCATCGCACATCAACTTACATGTTGCCTGACGCAATGGTTTATGGAAGAGGCCATCAAAAGGGCGCGAGAGCTAGATGATTATCAGCAAAAGAACGGAAAGACGATCGGACCATTACATGGAGTGCCTATCAGTATCAAAGAACATGTGCCAGTTGCAGGCACGTATTCTTCGCAAGGATCATTCAAGAGTATGCGATTCACCGAGAAGGACTGCCATATGGTAACATTACTAAGAAGTATGGGTGCGGTGTTCTATTGCAAAACGAACCAGCCACAAGCGATTATGCATTTAGAATCAATATCGCATTATGGACGTACTTTGAATCCTTTCAACACTGACCTCAGTGCTGGCGGATCATCTGGCGGCGAATCTGCTTTGGTTGCAATGAAAGGATCAGTGCTTGGTGTAGGCACAGATATTGGAGGTAGCATAAGAGGCCCCGCAACATTCTGCGGTATATATGGCTACAAGACTACTTCCTGCAGGTTACCGACATCGGAATTCGTCAATTATCCATCTTCATCTGAGCTCCAAATCTTGGCTAGCTCAGGCCCATTGGCTCGGAGTATACGGGATATGCATCTATTCATGACTTCAATCTTGAGCCAGAAGCCATACCTGCAGGATCCCAAGGTTCTTCCGATACCATGGACAGGCATCAATACCGAGACCAAGAGACCGCTGAAGATCGGCATCATCGAAAACGATGGCTTCATCGAACCACAGCCGCCCGTCAAGCGCGCCATAACATGGGCCCGCGAGCGCCTTGCCTTTCTAGAAAAGTCCTCTGCCATTGAAGTCAAGCCATTCACACCTTACAACGCACCCGAAGCCTGGAAGAACATCAGGCGCATGTACTGGCCCAGCGGCGGCAAGCCAGCAAAAGACTCCATCGAATCAACCGGCGAGCCCGTCCTGCCTCTCACCTCCTGGATCTGGGCCGATGCCGCACCCCACGGCATGCTCGACGCCGAACAAGTCAACCATCAACGCTCCATCCGCGACAGCTACCGCCTCGCGTTCGCCGATAATTGGAACGAGCAGGACGTGGATATCGTCATTGGGCCGGGATTTGTAGGGCCGGCTTCTGCACACGACACGGCGTTTTACTGGACTTATACCAGTTTGTGGAATTTAGTAGACTATCCCGGTGCAGTGGTGCCGACGCCGATTCGCGCGGGGAAAAAGGGAGAGGAGCAATATGCGAGTGATTATGAGCCGCTTACTGAGGAGTGTAAGCGCGTCAAGAAGTTGTGGGATGTGGGTGATTTTGAGGGTGCGCCTATTGCTTTGCAGATTTGTGCGAGGAGGCATCATGATAATGAGTTGTTTGGGGCACTGGAGTTGCTGAAGGATGCGCTTGAGCTGTCGTAGTGATGTATTGTTATGAGCAGTTCACGTGTAATTGGTATTAAACAGATATAGCTTCATGTCGGTCGAGGTGGTGTGACAATGCAGGATCCCGCGTACACAGGCAACTTGGAGTCAAAATATATGTCAAATATCCCAATTGTTACGTATATGAAAGTCAAGAAGTACGAGATCAGGCGCGTTCATATCATATTAAATGAGACTTGACGCAAGTGTTGGCAGATATGAAAGAAACAAGAGTCGCGGGTGGAGCCGAGGCTGCCGAAAGCGGACGGGCGCGTTCTCATGACGGAAGGAAGGCCATCGCTCACACTTCAATTCGTCAACAAACCGCACGCGCATGCCCAACTCACGACCTTCACAACAAAGGATTTCCCCTCTGAAGATGTCACAGTCCTAATACGACTTCGCGCTCTCAACGCGCAACCATGGACCAACTACATATTGCAGAGCTTAATCCCGAGCTACCTGGTATCGAAACGAAGCACTTCCGAGCTAAAGTCACACTGATATGGCCCTACTCGTCCTCAGCACGCCAGTTTGCCCTATTACTCGTTGAGCCTGACCTCCGCTTACGGCGAAAAAATGGACAAGTACGAGCCCGGTTTTCGGGGCCGAGTGCAAAGGCGATTGCGACAACGGGCGTGGGGATTGGAGATGAAGTTGTGTTGAGCCTGCAAGGCTCGCAGTTTGTACGGGAAGGCGTAGTCAGTACGCCGGGCAAGAGCATCGACTGGGAAATATCGTATACGAACACGGTAGTTGCTCAGGTCTGTCGCAATGGCGTTGAAACGGCAAACCTCGAACTTGTCGACGTTGCGCCTACGCCTGCGCCCGCATCGCCAGTTCGTCGCGTGTCTTCAGGGGCTCCAGGGCCTGCGCTTCAATTCGAATCACCGGCTTTTCTCAAACATGCACGGCTTTCGGATGGGCCCTTCTTCGAGGCACCTTACGATCCCTTGGCCGAAGACGACGATGAGGGACATGACAAGAAGCGGCGGAGGAAGTCATTTAAGAACTGGAAGGCATGGACATACAGTGCAAGGACGCCTTCGCCAGAGAAGGAGGACATGACACTGGACGAGGAGCTTGATTCTTTCTTGGCATCGCCTAGCCGGCCAGCACAACTTCCTCGGACGCCTGTATCGCCCTCCAAGTTTGAGGTGCTCTCGGTTGCAGCCGGTCATATAGACACCGAGCAAGAGCAGCGAAAACCGGAGGGATCTATAGGAAATGCCGTCGTTACAGTAGAGGGACAGGAAGGAGAGGAAGCGGCTGCTCCCCCTGAGGCAGAATTGACACGGACACAGGACGAAGCCACCCGCAACACCGACTACTTGGAACTTTATGATGGTCCCGACGAAAACATGTCGTCGGACGCACAGTATGCCTTTGGTGGCGACACTGAGGTGGACACTGAAGTCAACACGGAGGAGGAAGACCCAATACAAAACCAACCTGAAGGAATCAGCATGAGCACCACCGACGAGGACACCGAACGCGATGAAAGTCAGCATGAGCGAACTGAAGACGTACTGGCTGATATTGAGTGGGCAGCCGGCGAAAATAGGGCCAGAGATGATACAGAAGACTTGACGGTCGAAAATACTGATTTCGAGATGGTAGAGGTACAGCAGTCTTCAGTTGCTGCGTCGGGACCCGTTTCATCGAGTGGCGCCCCGAGGATTGTTATGCCACCTCCGACACTACCTAACCTCCAAATCGATGTGCCAATTTTTGTGGCGGTGGGTCCGTTGACCCCGATCGGCAAGGAGCCTGCGAGTCCAACTCTCAAACCCTTGGCTGAGTCCACCCTCCCACTACCATCACCATTTCCTGGCGGGTCAGATGTTAATGCCCTCTCATACTTTGACCGCACCATTGCCAGCGAACAATCTGCGCAAGCGGAGACCCAGGTGAAAGAAGAGGAAGACTTGCCAAGTGAAGCAAGCTACATCGGCGAGACTTCCTTCTTCAGCTCTATTGGCTCATCAAGGGCATCCGTCTTTCACCCAAATCACGAGTCTGCCTTCACACCCGTGCGGTTCACGTTCGGTATGGATGGCGCTTCACTTTCACGTCCCATCTCTCGCGGCCCGATGCAACTGTCTTCGCCTGAACCGGAAGCTCAACCAGAGAAAGAGAGGGATACGGAGCTTTCCACATCAGCACCGGCTACTGTTACAGAGACCATTGCCGAAATTGCTCCAGCAGAAGAGTCATCTGTGGTAATCGAGAGGGCACCGAGTGTCGATGCGACAGACGATCACGTTGAGCTCGCTGCAGCTGAATCTCAAACCACTGCAGTTGAGGCCGTTGCAGCTGAATCTCAAATCACTGTAGTTGAGACCGTTGAACCAGAAGTCATCGAACTCTCCTCTGGCTCAGAAGACGAGGAAGATGCAAGCGATTCCGAACTCGATCCTGTGGTATCGCAGCAAAGTGCCACTGAGCAAGCTGGAGAGGAATCTGACGCGGCGGATGATGTACAATCCGTTGCTGAAGTTGAGGAGTATATCCAAGAGGAGCAATGCATTGAAGAGGATCCATCTGCGAGTAGACAGCACTCCATTGTAGACCTGGGGTCCCCACCTGTAGACAGCAATAGACGCAGTTCTACGACCCAAGATCAACAGGAGGCGGCTACCTCCCAGGATCATGAACAAGACCAGGACACCATGAATATCGACAGTCATAGTGAGTTTGTAAATCCGGATTCTGCCACTGAAGATTCCAATGCCTCTGAAGCGCCAAATGAGCAAGCGGTTACTCACACCTCTTTCCAGGACCCGGAAACTAATATTGATGACGATACGTTCGAACATTCGTTCGAGGCGACCGATGATTACCTTCAGGATGCCTTTCCCATGGATCATATGTCACCAAAACAAGAAGATCAACAGCCAGCTGGAATGGAACATCATTTGGAAATCAAAGTGGAGTCCATAGAAGAGGATCCTATAATGCAACCGGATGAATCGAATTTGCAAATGGCCCCTGTAGACCGTAGTAATACACCGACTGCGTCTGCGAGCGAATTTGGGGAGATGGAAATGTCGCCAGTAGCTACGATACCTACCAGGAACACCAGATCGAAAGCGAAGATGTCCGCATCACCCATGAAGGCGGAAGCACCTACCCACAAGCGCACTACTCGATCAACAAGGAGCAAAGCTACGATGACTTCCCTTGCACGGTCAGCCCTCTCACCTGCCAGGACAAGCACTCGTTCAGCCATGTCACCTTCTCAAGATGTTACGCAGACCTCACCGTATAGCCTTCGCTCCCATTCAAATCTCCAGTCACCGGTAAACACTCTGTCGTTCGCTGACATCACCACTTCTCATAAAAGCCCACGGAAGCAAAGTTCACGAATGAGTTTTGGTGCAATGTCGGATGCTGGTCCGTCTCAGATCGAAGAACGTGATCGATTCATTTCCAGTTATCAACCATCACAGGAGCTGGGGGCATCACAAGGAAGATTTTCCCAAGTGACCTATGTGAAAGACTCGGAGGAGGAGGGGAGTGTTAGGACTGAGCAGTCTATATCCACTGTCATTCCTTCTGATGATATGGATGGCATTGGGGCGCACGGAGACAACACAGCTGCAGAGCAGTCACTAAGGCCGTTGCCAAGGTCGAGGAGAAGAGGAGAGAGCAATGATGTTCAAGAGATGGCTAAGGTCAGGAGCAGTAGTCCTGCGGAGTCTAATCTCTCCTTCAACACACAGTCTCTTGCCAGTAGTCCAGCTAGGCGACTTCGGTCTGCTGGATCGACTGCAGCGACACCCAGCCCTCGTAACGTTCGTATGACGAGGAGACAGGCCTATGAAGCATCATCCGAGATTCCAGAAGACGTTTCCGACCAAGGAACACTCAAGACAAGCCAGAGGTTACACAAGCACGTGTCGTCCGGAAAAGGTGGCGGCAGCAAACGCTCGTCGCAACTAGAGGTTGACGACCTTGCGCGCCATTCACCACGCGCAGACAACGGCTTCACCCACAGTCAGAGGCCAGCCAGTCGCAGGAACAAAATTAGCACACCACGGGAAACGCAGCGAACGACTACGGGCTCCCAGCTCAGCTCCATCAGTGCGCCGCAGGATCAAGACACCATGCTGACGCCTCAATTCACTCAAGCCACTTCCGCAGGTCTCCATTCCCTCCAAAGCGACACCGAGACCAAGGAAGTAACATCTCGCTCCGCATCCCCCACCCTCATCGACGCCTCTTCGCCTCCCCCTTCCACAGAGACACAGCCTTCAATTGGCCTCTCTACACCCCTCGCCTACTACACACCCCTAAAAGACCTCGTCTACTTCCTCAACCGCTCTTCCCAATTCCACTCGGCCGCCAATCCCGACGTCCTCGCCCTCGTAACCTCACCCAGCACCGCGCCCGAGAAGGCGAAAAAAGGCCCAAAACACTGGACTACCACCTTTCACATCACGGACGCTAGTACCTGGGCTGACACCGGTACAACAACAACTGTACAATGTTTCCGCGCATATGAAACGGCGCTGCCTGAGGTGCAGGTCGGTGACGTGGTACTCCTGCGAGCTTTTGCAGTCAAGAGCTTAAACAGACAGCCCATGCTGTGCAGCGCGAATGAGAGCGCGTGGTGTGTATGGCGCTGGGGCAAGCCCGTGTGGGGTGCTAAGCGGGGTGCATTTGGCGAGTTGAGGGCGAGAGAAGAGGTCAAGGGGCCGAGTGTGGAGCGTGGGGAGGGCGAGTGGCGCGAGGTGGAGAAATTGAGGATGTGGTTTTTGGACAAGGTGCAGCAGGATTTGAGGGAGAAGGAGGAGAGTGGACGGAAGACTAGGAGTAGAGATAAGGTGGCTGGGAAGACGGAGGCTTGAGATGGGAACTTCACTCGAAATAGCGGACATATGTAGAGGGTATACAAGAACCCCATTTACTTTTATTCCTTGTCATGCTATCATTTCTCATAGTCGACGCAAACGGCCCTCAGCCCGAGCAACAAAGTCACCCAGCCCTTCTAACGGACTCGTCTTGTGTCCCGAGTTGTCATGCAAGCGTACCTAAGATGGAACACTGCACTCTACTTCTCGTAAACCCAGTCGTGCTGAGCGCTCTTCCAGCTCTGCACTTCACCCTCCTTGAACCAGAGAGCAATCTCCTTCTTGCCGTTCTCGACGGAGTCGGAGCCGTGGCAGACGTTGCGGCCAACGTCGAGGGCGTAGTCGCCACGGATGGTGCCGGGCGCGGAGGCGAGGGGGTTGGTGGCACCGAGAATGGAGCGGCCGGTCTTGACGGCGTCGCGACCTTCCCAGACCATGGCGCAGACGGGGCCGGAGCCCATGTCTGTTGGAATGTTAGTATGGTGATTGGGATTAAGAGAGAATGGATGGAACGTACAGGCAATTAGACCGGGGAAGAAGGGCTTGTCGGAGAGATCGGCGTAGTGCTTCTCGAGGTGCTCCTTGGAGGGAGTCACCATCTTGATGGCTGCGAGCTTGAAGCCGCGGTTCTCGAAGCGGGTGATGATGGGGCCGATCAGGCCACGCTGTTGAGGGTGTTAGCTGTGTTGTTTATGCTTTTGATGGCAACACCCCGCTTTCCAATCCCAATTGTCCTCATCTCAATTGAATGAATCGAGGACGACAGTGGAAAGCAGTGACGCTGCATTGAAGAATACACATACCTGAACACCATCAGGCTTGACAGCAATGAAGCTATTTGTATCCGTCAGCCCATACCCTACACACACACACACACACACCCAAAGCGGAAAGCAACCACCTACGTTTGCTCGGTAGTCATGTTGGCGATGAATTGGTGTTCAATGTTTTGTCGTAAACGGGCTCTGTCCTTTGGACCTAGTTTCTGGAAGATTGGTGGATCGGGAATGCCAGAGGGGAATTGAGGTGCAGAGTCAGGGGACGTGGCCGACATCTAGCTGTGGTTTTTCTACACGGGCGGTGGGGGGTTGCTGGCCGGCCGTGAGCTGTCTAGTGGGGTAGCTTGTGCATAAAGTTATGCCGCATTTGTGCATGGGCGAGGACCTGGACCCTGAGACTTGGCGCGTGCGAGGTTGAACACGGCCTTGAGTGTTGAACGTTGGTTGGTGATGGATAGCTGTATTCTTCGGTGATATTTGCGACAGCGAGTAGATGTGGTTTTCGCGCTTGGATTCTAGAGGTTCGTGGAAACGGTGGTAATACGATGTAATTGTGTACCATCTTCGCCATGGTACCAAGAGCTTCGCAACCACGGGATGAAAGCAACGTTAGATTACAAAATAAAATGCAGGGCTCTACATACTCTCTTTCAAGAAACCACCATTATGGCAGAAATTGTTCCAACCTTCACGGCCCTCCAAGCAGTCGACCATTCCTCGCCAGCATCCAACGAGACGCTAGCACCTAACGGGCCGAAGGTTAACGTGGTCAAAGCTGCGATCCAGTCAACTGCGGCGTATCCCAGACAAGAAGGACACTGTGATGCTATATTCACGGCTGGCAAACGTGGAATTCAAGAGCTGCCAGTCATGAGCACAAGGCGTCAACGAGGTCCCCGGTGGACTTCGCTTTTTATGCTATTCGCGTTGTTATGTTGTTTGTTCGTGCCTGCTGGTAAGTAGCGAAGCTCCCCATTGCACACATCTATCCCGATCGGCTACCATGCCCTCGTCCTATGTATTTTCAGCCTGCTAACAGTCCTCAGAATCTGTAAAGCACGAGAACTTCAAAACTTGCGACCAATCCGGCTTCTGCAAGCGCAATCGTCAATTCGCTGATGACGTATCCGCTTCGAGCTCCTGGAGCTCACCCTACGTGCTCGATCCCGCCTCGCTCACCTTCAAAGACGGCCAATTGGATACTATTGTGCTCAAGACACTGAAGGAGGGCGAGGAGAAGGTCCGACTGCCTCTTACCGTTACATTCCTCGATTCCGGCGTTGCACGCGTTACCCTCGACGAGGAGAAAAGGGCAAAGGGCGACGTCGAGCTCCGACACGACAGCAAGGCGAGGAAGGAGCGATACAATGAGGCTGGCCAATGGGCTCTCGTTGGGGGGTTGAAGCCCTCTGCGGGTGCTGCTTTGAGCCCTGATGCAGCGGACGGATATACAAAGGTCGTCTACGGCAAGGGCAGCAAGCATCAAGCTATCATTAGACACGCACCTTTCGGCATTGAGTTTCAGCGAGATGGCGAGACCCAGGTCAAGTTCAACGAGCGTGGCTTCATGAACATCGAGCACTGGCGCCGGAAGGTCGAGAAGCCTCAGGAAGAGAAGAAGGAAGGTGAGGAGGAGACCAAGGAAGAGGAGAAGAAGGTCGAGGAGACGGGCGAAGACGAGAGCACATGGTGGGATGAGAGCTTCGGTGGTAACACCGATAGCAAGCCCAAAGGTCCTGAGGCTGTTGCGATGGACATCTCGTTCCCTGGCTACGCACACGTCTTTGGTATTCCTGAGCATGCGACTAGGCTATCTCTCAAGACCACGAGGTATGTGCACTCCAATCAAGCTACAATGCAAAGCTGACATGTCCAGGGGCGGTGACGATGCATACACCGAGCCATATCGCCTGTTCAACGCCGACGTCTTCGAGTACCTGATCGACAGCCCCATGACTCTCTACGGCTCTATCCCGTTCATGCAAGCTCATCGCAAGGGCTCGACCGTCGGTGTCTTCTGGCTCAACGCCGCCGAGACTTGGATTGACATCACCAAGAAGAGGAACACGGCCAACCCACTTGCACTTGGTGTTGAAGGACATACTGATACTCAGACCCATTGGATCTCCGAGAGTGGCCTGCTGGACGTTTTCGTTTTCCTTGGACCGACTCCCCAGGACCTCACTCGCCAGTATGGTGAACTGACTGGTTATACTGCCATGCCTCAGTCCTTCGCCATCGCCTACCACCAGTGCCGCTGGAATTACGTCTCTGATGAAGATGTCAAGGATGTAGACCGTAGATTCGACAAGTTCAACATCCCCTACGATGTCATCTGGCTCGACATTGAGTACACACAAGAGAAGAAGTACTTCACCTGGGATCCTCTGACCTTCCCCAACCCTGATACCATGCACGAGCACCTTGACAAGCATCAAAGGAAGCTCGTTGCCATCATTGACCCTCACATCAAGAACACTCACGACTACCCCGTCATCGACGAGATGAAGAAGAAGGACCTGGCTGTGAAGAACAAGGACGGTGCCCAGTACGAAGGCTGGTGCTGGCCTGGCTCTTCCATGTGGATCGACTGCTTCAACCCTGCCGCCATCGACTGGTGGAAGAGTCTCTTCAAGTACGACAAGTTCGTTGGCACCGCACCCAACACTTTTATCTGGAATGATATGAACGAGCCATCGGTCTTCAATGGCCCTGAGACGACTATGCCCAAAGACAACATCCACCATGGCAATTGGGAACACCGCGACGTGCACAACATCAACGGAATGACTTTCCACAACGCCACGTACCAGGCCATCATGGAACGTAAGAAGGGCGAGTTGCGCCGACCGTTTGTGCTAACGCGTGCCTTCTACTCTGGCAGTCAACGCAGCGCTGCCATGTGGACGGGTGATAACCAAGCGGACTGGCCTCACCTGGAAGCTTCCATTCCCATGGTGCTCAACCAGGGAATTTCCGGTTTTCCATTTGGTGGAGCAGATGTTGGCGGCTTCTTCGGTAACCCGAGCAAAGAGCTCTTCACTCGTTGGTACCAAGCTGGTATCTATTACCCGTTCTTCCGCGGCCACGCTCACATCGATACTCGTCGTCGTGAACCCTACGTTGCTGGCTCCCCTTACACAGAGATTGTTACTCAGGCTCTTCGTCTGCGGTATCAGCTTCTGCCTGCTTGGTACACTGCTTTTCATGAGGCTCATACAAGCGGCGCTCCCATCATCCGACCCAACTTCTACGTCCACCCTGACGATGAGGCTGGTTTCGCGATCGATGACCAGTTGTACATCGGCTCTACTGGTCTGTTGGCCAAGCCAGTCACCAAGGAGGGTGCTGATAGCGTCTCTGTCTATATTGCAGATGACCAGCCTTACTACGATTACTTCGACTACACCACGTACCAAGGCAAAGGTCACCATACCGTCCCTGCCCCTCTAGAGAAGATTCCTCTTCTCATGCAGGGCGGCAACGTCATCTCGCGCCGCGACCGTCCCCGTCGCTCCTCAGGCCTGATGAAGTATGACCCATTCACGCTCGTCGTCGCTCTTGACAAGGACGGCAACGCAGACGGTACCCTCTACCTTGACGACGGCGAAACCTTTGACTACGAAATGGGCGCTTTCATCCACCGCCGCTTCAACTTTGACGGCCCCCGCCAGGTCTTCACATCGTCTAATCTCGACACGAGCACCAAACGTACCGTCAAGTACGAGAAGTACGTCAAGACCATGGAGAATGTGCGTGTAGAAAAGATCATCATCGTTGGCGCGCCAAAGGCTTGGAAGGATAAGCATGAGGTCGTCGTCATGCAAGAGGGTGAGAAGGAGACACAGAGGAGGAAGCCTGTGCCTATTGAGTACCATGCCGCTGAGGGCAAGAAGGCGGCGTTTGTGATTGTGAGGGATCCCAAGGTTTACATCACGAGAGGGTGGAAGGTGGACTTTGGCGACAAGGGAGCCGGGCATGAGGGGCATGGACATGCGCACTAAGTTCAGTATGGTTGATGAGCAGTGAGGTTGACAATGAGAAGAAGAAGAAGATCTAAAGATGCATGTTTTGATGTGATAAGAGAAAGATGTGGTAGCTAAGACTAGACGAGATGGTGGAGACGAAGTCTTGTAGACTACGAATAGACGACATGAAACAAAAATCAAGGTCTGTGGCGCTTAACATTGTCAATTTACTCTTCACTTGCTCTTTTGGATCAACAAATGGTGTTTGTGCCTTGTGTATGAGAGTGTGCTTTGATGTCCAGCAGACGATCCTTGCATATCGTCTTGGACTTTGCTCCTCTTGTATCCCGGTATGTGTGCCTTATCTCATCTCAACCCCCAAGTGCACCTTTCTTCCCTAGCAACGTGCTAACTTTGATCCTCCAGGTCTGCACGCGAAGAACAGAGTTCCTAGAGCGGTTCGATCAGAATACACCCTCAAGGGAAAGAGTCACTGCGGCGCTTTAGAAAGCCGGCTCGCGAATATAGAGATACTTTCTTGGTATAACCCTGGCCCGTGATAGATTCGAGACGAATCATGTTGATCCCAACATCCGTCGGAAGCTGTTTTAATACCATGTGCAGCGACTGACACAAGTGCTTCGATTTGACAGGATCTTTCGTCAATACTATCGTTACTGACGCGAATTGAGTTGACATGATGCGAGAGAAGAAGCTTCGGTGTGCACGGGTAAGGAGTTGAGTCGGGTAATGGCGTAAGTCGAGGCGGATATGTTGCATTGCCAAGAAGTTTCCGGGAATGGTCATCACAGGAGATGATATGAAGTTCCACCTTGCTTGTGGTTTGATCGTTGGTAGATATTCCCCAAGGATTTTTCCACATTCATCGTCCATTTCGGCGCGCACTTGACGACAGGAGAGATAGAGGCCGTGGTAGGCGGAGAAGGGCGTCGTATCCGGTATAGCCATGTAGCTGTAAATTTGCAGTCGTGTCTCTGCCGGAAGGTCCAGAAAGGACGCCATGGTGTCTGAGACTCTCGTGAATTCGTGCTGGTGACGCCTCCAGTTTCAGTGGTGATGGGGGTAGGTACTGCAAAAGGGATTTCAGTGCGAAGGCGCTGAAGGAAAGAGAAGAAGAGTAGTGGGGGCGGATCGGGTGGTTGTTTAGGTGGTGGGGGACAAGGCACGTGCATTGCTCTTTCCTTCTTTCACTTGCAAGTATTCAGCGAAGCTCAATCGCTTGCAGATCCCGTGGCCACCCGGTTCTTCCGTTGGTAGAACCCTATGACTTCCTTCACTGACTAGCGCGGCACTAGCGTCACTCCTCTCACTATGTAAGAGAACCTTCCCCCATAGATTCGTAAACAAAACAACCAAGCAACTGGTTGTTTCTGTTCAACCGTGTTAGTGCGCTTCAACTCACAAGAAACAATGGCGCTCTCAACAGCACTCGACAACATTTGTCCCCCTGAGAGCCCTATATCAACGATGTCACAGGCGACGGCTCCTCCTAGTCGTGCGTTCCTCGACTTGCCTGCTGAGATTCGCATCTATATCTATTCCAACATGGCAATACCCTATGACAATTCATTCTGGTACTACCGCGGTCTGTACATGTCATGTAAGCAGGTGCACAAGGAGATGGACAAAGACTGCGGGAGGATTCTGCGCAAGCATCTCGAGGGCATCAGGGACTCATGGGAGGGGTTCCTCGGACTCGACTTGCAGATTCCTGATGACTTTTCAGGCATGCACCATGTTGTCTTGCGTATTCCAGAGATATTCATCCGTCTGTCATCCGTACACAGAAACCCTCCGAGCCGAACTTCCTTCATGGACTTGACGCCACTGTTCACTCTACATCTCCAGTCTATCATCATGCGCATCGAGAAGCCGAGGAAGGACCTTGTGTGTATACTCAAATTTGGAAACATGATCAACATGACTGGAATGATCTCGTCACTTTTCCCTAAGGACTATTTCCTCTACGATCCAACCGACCAGGCTAATACACGTCGCATCATGCTTGATACTACATACATGCCGCGATCTAAGATCCAGGCTGATGACGTTATGCGGGTCGAATCACTGTATACACGTACTGATATGGAAGCCCTTGCTTCACCATTAAGTCGCTATGTGAGCGTAGGGTGGGAGACTTGGACCATAAATCTCCCCAATGGGAAGAAGATTGTTTTCTGGGCCAAGGATGTGAAAGGAGAGGAACGGGAGAGCACACAGTTGTGGACGAAGATGGCATTTTATAGGTGGAAACTCACTCCACATCGTCGGCGTCCGGCCTATTCGCAGTTCGCCCTCATGCTGCGCTGAGCAAAACGCTACACCCCTTCTGAGATACGGGAATTGGAGCTTAAGTTTTCGAGGAATACGTATCTGTAGCGGTGTGAGGAGAGGAGGAGGACTGCGTTACATTGTGTAGCTATGGAGGAACTGCAGCTATATAGGTGTGTGTGATGAGAAAGTGTGGTAGCGATAGCCGTACCCAACTCTCACCCAAGTCGGTCTTGGCAAGGCCCAAACCGTTACAGTATCATATGAGATATTAGTCTCAAGGAGATGGTAGAGGCAAAGCACAGCTGGAGAAGGAAGACTAAGCGATACAGACCAACACAAATCAGGGGATCATTGAAACAGAATTTGCACAAGGAAAAATCACATACAGGAATCAAAATTATGTAAGACTCACATAGTTGAGCTAATGGTATTCAATGATCTTCTCAAGTGCCTACGTCCCACTGTGCACCTATGACCTTTCCAGCGCAATGGCAAAGTCGTGGCAATTACGAGAGCTACACTAAACATTTTTCATCGTTGTAGTGACAGAACCTGATCTATGTGCCCATTGAGGCTCGGTTTGAGCAAAGAAAGTGATTACAAGAAACACTTAGACTAGGTACTGCCGCTGATATCAGGGATGAGCACGGCGTGGAATCCTTATGACCGGCAGGACCCATGTTTACATGTAATGTATATCAAGGCATTCTAAATAGCTGGAAAGCCGATGATGGCTGCTGTTTGCATTGTAAGATCGCCCGACGCAAGGTTGATTGGTACCTTCCATGCTCGGTCACTTGTCCCCTTCCGCTGCGGCGATGCGGAATGTACGACTAACACCTCCAGCCCAAAAGACTCAGCTATGGCTACTGTATGCAGAAAGATTACGTAGCGACCAATAAGCGTCAACAGAATGACTCCCATCTCGTGTATCTCATTGCAAAGAGTGAACAACTTGAAGAAACGTTAACTGCAACACAAATCGCCAGACTCCGCAACAATCAATCGGATCGGCATGATTGATTCCTATCTAGGTTAAAGGCTGCCTAATGAAGTAATTCTTTAACCTATATAGGAATCAATCATGTCAATCGATTGATTGTTGCGGAGTCTGCAAATCGCAGTACCTGAGTCTGAAAGGGAAATAGACCTGGAACGGTACTTGCAAGAAGTAGAGCAAACCCAACACTACTGTGAGTCAACCATCTCCAGTATCGATGGTGAACCATCTACCCTAGATCCCGAAGGGTATTCGGCAGACTCCGCAACAATCAATCGGATCGGCATGATTGATTCCTATCTAGGTTAAAGGCTGCCTAATGAAGTAATTCTTTAACCTATATAGGAATCAATCATGTCAATCGATTGATTGTTGCGGAGTCTGGTATTCGGATGAAGATGATGGGCCTTGTGAGCCCGAAAGACTAAATCTCATCAACCTAGACGAGGTCAAGAAGTTCATTGTCGAATCAGGAGCATATTCCCAGTTTAGAACAAGCTTCCGTAGCTTCCTGTTTCCCCCGCAAGAGGTTGTGGATGTCGAATCTCGGCGGACTGATCTGATCAAGAGCGCGACTCCAATACCCTATCGGCTTCTTTGGATCTGTGTAGGTCTTCCTATCTATTGTAAGCTGCATTTGATTGCTGATCTACTTGAAGAGTTATGGTCACGAAAATTACGACTTCATCGAAACAATTCCTGGCTCTATGACCAGACTCGCTGATCTTTTACAAGCCAACGGAATCCAATCTCAGCTTGAGATATGCCCAACAAACTCTGCGTTCTTGGAACTCTACAATATGTACCTCCTGCTCCGTAATTCGGGTGTCTATTCCACCAAAACAGAGATGAGCGTTCTACACTATGTGTGGAAACAAAACACATCTTATTTATTCACTTTAACGCCTACAAGTATTCCTAATCAAATCGGCTCATCTGTTACAGCTCTGAGTGGACAACAACACACACAATCGGTCAATACAGTGTCGAATATGGGACATCAGCCAAGCAAGACTTCGGGATCCACTCAAAGTATGGCTATGCAGCACCAGCAAACATCGACAGGCTCTCAAGAAGACTACGTAATGTTTTGCTCCGATGAACAAAGCTGGTTAACCACTCGGGATGATCTGAATGTGTATCAGATAAATTCTGACAGAGAGCTCTTTGACTCTTTTCGAAGCCGACTTGAAAGTAGAAAACACTGGATTCGTCGGTTCATCAGCTTGAAAGCCATCCAACGTATCTCCTTTGTCAAGGTAACCAACCCTTCGTATCTCCATTATGATGTTTGAAACAAACGAGGCTTGGACTAATCGAGGATCAGTTTGCCATGCGTCAAAATCAAGAGGTCGACCAACTCCAGACCGATCAAATACCACCTCCTAAAGAAACTCACTATGATTTTCACGAGCGCGTCTCAGGCTACATCCTATCTATCGGCAACAGATATTTCATGCATCGATTTTCCAACAGTTCTCACTGCGGAGACAGCACATAATGCTTGGATCAGATTCCAAAGCGCTTACATGGGCGGCCACATTATGGCTCCGCGCCTGACCATTCTAATGCGTGGGGACTTTACTGTCACGAGACTTTTGATTTGGGTAGACTATGTCTTTGTGGGCTTTTCGCATTCCTGATCAATCTAGTATTGGTGTCGCTTGGGCGGCGAACAAGAAGAGCATCCAGGATGAGTTCGCTGTTGCTACGTATATCCTTGCACTAGAGGCGCTGATTATTGGTACGGTTCAGATGGGGATTGGATCGGAATGGATCTAATATAACTATACAGACAGTTGCCGCAGGACTACTTATGGAGATTGCTAAGTTTCAAGTAGAGATGAACAATTTATTAGAGGTGGCACACGCTAGCAAGTCTTTAGAAGCTGTAAAGATTCTTAGTGACCTCTTTCCTTATACCACATTCTTTACTACTACTAACTACTTGTCGGGACATGCGCGTACAGCCAGCCCGGCGAGTTTTTCCGGGCCGGAAGCTTGGACCACTACAGTCCGTGCGCACCCAACGAGCCACCCCAACAAGATCAGACGACAAAAAAGATAAGGTTATTGAGCCACCCACAAAAGCTATTATCGTGAGATTTTTGGGTGTATTGATATATTGACGCTACTAAAGCGTTTGCACTACTTGTATCTCGCTGGTGTCTTAAGTTGGCGCTCGCGCAGGCCAAATCTAGGTGGGGAGGGCGCCTCAGGCCAACCAGCGTCAACCCGACTTAATAGAGCAACAACATGACGACGCTTTGTCGGTTTTTTTGCTAGTTTATGTGAGGCTTCTCGCTTACGCTTATTTGCTGTATCGCGACTTTTTTGAGCGGTTGCAGCTTGTTGTTGTCGCTTTTTAAGTGCCCGTTCGGCAGCTTTCTCCTCACGCTGCCGTAACTGCTCGGCATCCCTCTCAATTTTGGCTTGTTGTCGAGCCACCTTTGCAGCTTCTTAAGAGCGCTTTTTCTCAGCAGCTTCTGCTGCTTTTCTCTCTTTATCGCGAGCTTTTTGGAGTTGTAGCTCCGGGGCTTCGTCCAGTTCTGCGGCCTTGCGCGCGCGGACGCTGGCAAGCTTCCTGGGACTGTAGAATACAGCTCCGCCGTGCCAATCGTCGCCCTCTTGAGTAGTCAGTGTTGTTGATTTAGACGGGCGGGATCTCATGAGGTTAAGTTCAGCGCGTAGCTCCGCGTTTTAGAGGCGGAAAAGCTCGTTGTTAACCTGCAGCGAGTGTAGGCCTTAGGACAGCCGTTTAGCTTCAAATTTAGCCTTGTCAGCCACCGCAGCGTCAAAATTTTTGCGCAGTTAAGGCTAGGTATCGCCGTCGCCTTGCTCTCTAATTCCTAGCTCGTTATCTTGTTATTGTGGTTAGTTGTTGAAGCGTTGAAGTACCGGGTCTACGTCCATCGGCCATACGCCTGTAGCTTAAAAACTCTTTAATATAAGATCGTGAGTTATTGTAGAGCTCTAAGCTAGCCAAAAGTTGCTGTAGAAGTCGCGTTTAGTGATCCTTAAGAGGCCTTAGGTTCGCTGGAGGCGTTGGGTAAGCTCCTTGGTGTAGTGCTTCGAAAGCGGCGAAAAGAGCACGACATCTAACGGCTGCAAACTGTGTGTAGAATATAGTGGATACACTATAACTATAATGCGTTTAGCTTCACAATACTCCAAAAAATCAGGCGTGAGGTAGCTGGCGTGGCCGTCAAGGATTAGAAGGCGCTATTGCCGGCGAGCTTTAGCTACTGTATAGCGTTCGAAGACCTGTTAAAGCTAGGCAAGTCCTAAATTATTATTTAACTATCCCGAAGCTGAGTGGGATACGAAACCTAGTGTTTTTCGGCCAACAGGTCGTTAACCTAGCTTAATTAAACCCTAGAGATGCCCTGGTAGATAAGAGTGGGCGGCAATGCCTCTCCAGAAGCGCATACGCAAGCCAGCAGCGTTACCTATTCTCTGTTGCTATCTCTCATCGCCGCGGTACGCTCCTTTGACTCATAAACTGCCTTAGAGAAGATCCTCTTCCTGCGGTGGGCGATACCGACAAAGAAGCCCTTCTTATCTATATTGTACGTGTTGCGCTCTTCAATCCTATGTTCTCGCATCTTGGAGTGCAGCAAGTTGAAGTACAACTCGTATTTACGCTTGTTGTCAGCTAAGTGACGCTCACGATCCATACTGGTGTCCCATTTGGTGATGAGCTCGTCGGGATGACGGTGTTGAAACCGGGTAACCCAGCTATCCGAAACCTCATACTGCGCAACCGCGCTGCCGAAATTTCTCAAAACACTCCTTGTAGGTGGTACGCCGTCTCTTGTAGTCCCTTCTATGTATCCGATAAGCTCATCCTCTTGTTGTGGGTTGAGGTTTCGTCGATGTTCGGCCGCCTCTGTGCCCTGGGGTTGCTGTGCGCCCCGGTGCCTTCGCGACAGCGTCGTTCGATCAACTCCAAATATTTTTGCAACTTGGCGGTACGAGAATTTATCTCCAGCCCTACGCGATTCGATATATTCAATCGCTTCTTGAATCGGGTCCATGGTTGTAGAGTTATGACGCGTCGCAGTTGGGTGGGTTCATGAGGCAGCGGGGGTTGGGGTGGCTCGTTGGCTGAACTGGCTCGTTGGGTGCGCACGGACTGTAGGTATTTGTGGTTTTCGAAATACCTTGAGCCGCCTGGATCTGGTTAGCTTGGTGCCCAAGAACATCAACTCCCATAGTAATTTGTTAGTAAATTAATGCAGCAGCCGTTTCCCACCTCCAGAAGCCCATGAAGCTAGTCCTGTACTCTAAATCGTTCGTGTATAGCGTTTTGTTTGTGTGGAGCTTGTTGCGAGCTCAATCTAGCTGCTGTTGGGATGCCGCCCAAGCGCCAGCGTAAGCCGAAGCAGCCATTCGATCAAGGCGTTAACCCGTCCTCCCAGAAGCGTAGAGCGCCAGCAACTAGACAAAATCCTACCCATTTAACGCCTAAACGTGTCCGCCGTGAGGCGCTGCCGTCGCCTCCAGCGACTGCCCCGCCGCGCCGTCAAAGCCCGTTGTCCGAGCCTGAGCTGCAAGCCACCCAAACAGCTGCCTCCGCGCAAGCTGAAGATATCGTTGGCGAGGATGAGGATACTTTCGAGGATGGAGATGGCGATCCGCTGCCTGAGGATGAGGATGAGATCGCTGCTAAGGGCGCTGCCGGTAGTGTTGAGGATGAGGGAGAGCCAGCGTACCGACGTCAAGAAGGCACTCCATGGCTGCCTCGCTCATCGCAAGCGCTAGAGGATGAGGTTAATCCTGTACTGCGCGTTAGGTGGAGGGCTTGCCTTGGTGGTGATATGGAGAAACACTTTATTCCTGAAGCTGCCGATAGCGAGCACGGCGTACGGCTGTACTCGCTGCATTTCGACGACCTATGGCAGTGGGTAGATGACGTTGTTGCAGAATTACGGCCAAAAAGAGCGAAGATCTCATCTGTTTGCACTGTTGTTTACCCAGCTAAGCAGGCCAAACGCGAGCGCGCGATAAAGCGATTGCGGCGAGGTGTTGATGCAACGTGGAATAGCTTTCAGCGCCTTGTTGTAGAGGTTGATAACTATGTCAGCGAGCCAGTAAACGTCGATTTCGAGCTCATCTTGGCTGAAATTCCAGGGGAGCAGCAGCCGTTGCCAACGGTTGTCGACGGTCCTCGTCGACGCACCGCAACGGTGATTCAAGAGGAGGGGCTTGCTGGTGTAATAGCAGCTGAACAAGCAGGTAGCGGGCATGCTATTGCTATCCGGGATAGATGGCGCTGTACAGATACCCATTGCGAGAACTATCCTTATTGCTGCTGGATGGCGCCAACAGCGAGGCAGCCAGCGCGCTTCGAAGATCACCTCTTTGTCAACGGCAACATTATCTCCATGTGGGCAAGAGCAATTACAGCGAGAAGGGCAACGTACGATGAGCCATCTGATGATGTACGGCTTGCAATTTTGAGAGCAAAGGACCTGCGGGTGCATGAGAAAACGCGCAAGTTGCGGGCGGCTGGAGATGGCGACGATGATATCAAAAGCTTAACAAAACTGCTCATCGTTGGACAGCTTGAGCGGATGAACAGGCAACCTCAACAGGAGTCTAACTTGCAGGCAGCTGCACCAACGATAACAAGAGCTGAGGTATCTAGTGCATCTCAGTGGGCGCCTATCCGATATGATCATGAGCAGGAGATTAACGAGCATACTAGTAATTTCTTTAACTACCTTAAGTTAAAATTTCCTACAGTTGGAGAGGACATTAACGAGCTTTATAAGACTCTTGTTATTGACGGAGCTATGGATATCAACCTCTTGATGCAGCCATCTGGTGATATCTTGAAGTTGTGGACGCAGCATTTCAAGCAGCCTTCTGGCTGGTTTTTCACGCTACAAAACACTGCAAAAGAATGGCAAGCTGGGTACCAGGGTCTCACAGATCGTAACTGGAGACGAGTCGAACGTTGTAAGAAAAGAGAAGAGATTGCGCGCAAGAAATTGGTGGTTGAACCGTCTAGCAGTGTTGTGGAGGATGATGGCGAGAATGCTTGAAGCTTAGTGGCCTGAGCGTTTTTGGTGACAGCGGCCCGTGCCCGCTATAGTGTTGAGGTTTTTCAGGCGTTTCAAATGCGCTGCAACAATAGTCTATTTGGATAGCCCTATGTACAACACTACAACGTTATGCGATTATAACAGGTTAACTTCCTAAGATAGTTCTATATGTATAGAAATAGCTCTTATTTTTTAGAATTATTAAATCGCTTTTGTGGGTTGCGCATTAAGGTGTAATCGTTCGCATTTGTATGGTATCATCTACCTATAGAAACGTACTGTGGCATCCATTTAAAAGCACAATTAATAGGGATAGCCACACCTATGGAACCAGCTTCTGCAGTTAATATTACAGCACACCAGCTGCGCTGCATACTCAAGAAAGACCCCAAAGTCAATGAAGTTCTCCGCTTGCGCTGAATTCCTTTTCATCCACCCCTTGAGCTGCTTAAAGCTCTTCTCGATGGGGTTGAAATCTGGTGAGTATGGCGGCAGATACTCAAGGAGTACTCCAGCACTTTGGCAAAGCACCCGTACACGCTCTGATCGATGGATGGAGGCGTTATCAAGCACGATTACTGAGGCTGGCCCTGGGTGAGGATTGCAGAACGGCAGCACTTGAAACTCTAAGAAGTCTTCTAGGATCTCAGATGTAATCGCGCCTTGAAAGATCTTATAGCTTATGTAGCCATCTATCGTCATGGCTGGCAGCAGCGACCACCGTTCTGATCGCCTGAAGCTGTGTGATAGCTCCACCGGCTCCCCGATTGGAGACCAGCCATACTTGCGGTCGCCCGTACGCTCATTGCAGGCGCTCTCGTCCAACGCAACGATCTGCTCCGCCTTATAGTGTTGCGCCATCCTGGCAAGATAGAGGCGGCGGAGTGGCTCACTCTGCTCCTTTGCCCGCTTTGTTGCAAGCTTGCGAGACCATCTCATCTTCTCTAGCTCTCGGTAAACGCTCGCAAGGCTTATCCTAACGTCGTACTCGTCGTACAAGAAGTCCCTCATCTCATCCATGTATGCGCCCGGTGAGCCATTGAGGTATGCCTGAAGGCCTTCGCGCTGAGCTTGCCGGAGTATAGATGGCCGCCCAAGTCGAACGCAGCGCGGCGGATAAGGCACGCCCCAAAACTCTAAGCTCAACCTCAGCTTTGCTACTGTGTTACGGCTCGCACCTGTAGCTCTAGAGATGGCTCGATCACTTTCGCAGGCAGCAATTCGGTCGAGGATAGCCTGGAGAACAGCGGGCTGCAAGCGGTGGCCGGTGCCTGGCATCGCGATGAGATGGGCTCGAGAAAATTGCAACACCAAAAACGCGAGTCAGTAGAGGCGATCGCAGCAAACAATGAACTTCAAATACGTTGTGGGTGTTAGAAAGCGTGGCTGCATCGATTTACTAACAAATTACTATAGGAGTTGATGTTCTTGGCCACCAAGCCAACCAGATCCAGGTGGCTCAAGGTATTTCGAGAAACACCCATAGACCAAGCTTCCCGCTCAGCTCGCACCTGTACATATGGAGATCTCTCCACCCAGCTCTTGCTCACTACTAAGAACAAGAACAATCACAATCATTTCAACTCGTTGCAACGAAGGTGATTCCGATACCTTAGCCGTATCAACACTACTAATAAATTTATTTTGAATATTCCTCATATGATAGAGCGCAAGCTTTGAAGCCTTCATAGTCCCCGCTCATGCAGGTATCGCCAGACACGGGGTATGTCCTGATATACTGCGGATTCATAAACCCTGGAGATTGGCAGGTCATCGGAATTCCGGGGCCGTTGCCTCCCGGAAACGATTTCTCTGCTTCTATACACTACTTGCGATCAGATAGAGTTGGCATGATATAGTTTATCAACACTTACACAGAGCATATAGCCACGATGCCCGTTTTCCCGTAGGGGCTGATTTTCACACCATTCTGCTGGCGCTCCCTTTGGTCCAGGAGTAGGGACTCCACAGCAACCATACCCTACATCACGTTAGCTGTTGCTAAAAGTATTAAGGAGGTGCTGATCTAGTGAAAGCGTACCTTCCCATTGGGCGAACACTTGGTCGATACCAAGCAGCGTAAGGAATGCAGTAGAAGCGATAGTAGCCCTCATCTTATAGAGTTGGCTATATGAACAGTTCCAGTTGTTGTAGGTGTTTTTTTGATTGTTGTGAATGTTTCTGTATCCGTTGCAGTGCGAAGGGGACGAGTTACCTTATAGTTACAATCAGTGACATTTCCACTGAAAATTATGAAGTAGAGCCCCGGGGCGAATAGAGTTATTAATGCAATGCATAGGAATATGGAAAGTGCAGCGTTTCGTTGGCCAAGGTGGGTTAGATCGTCGTGAAAGCTGCTTACCTAGGTACGAATGAATACGAAGGAGCATGCTACAGCCTGCGGGAATTGCTTGTCCTGATCTAACCAAAATAAGATGATCCCATTGGAATACAGCGGAAAACGTCCACACATCATACTACCGTTTGCGGGGCTGTATTAACGACTACCTGGGTATTGTTCAGACTATTCATAACTGTCTCAAGCTTACCTGATGATAAGCAGAACGTTGAAGAAGATCGTTGCAACTTGGGGCTGCCAACTTTTAAGTAGAGGACGTATCGGGAAACCTTCCAAAATATTTTGCCGATCTTTTCGGTGTTGAAAATATCCGCCAAGATGATGCGGAGGGTAAAGTTGGCTCACAGTATGTTAACAATTCGAAGGGCTGTAACGGTGTCTATTCCTAGTTAGTATCGCAGCTATGGCTTCTTAGAGCTCTGCTTACGAAACCCTAGGAAAATGTAGTGCGATGTATTCTTCACCACTATTGTTACAAAACTTTCAGTTACTAGACCAGGATCCACCCAGAATGTCACGATAAGCCCTGAATATGAGGTCTGTCGTTTTGGGAACGGCAGGTCTAGCAGCTCGCCGATTGTCTGATATTACCTAGGTATGTCACCAAGGTGCATGTCCCCAAGGTGCATATCCAAACACAGTGTTTTCCTATACTAGTTCGATTCGCAAAAGCGACCTAAACGACCAGCTGGAACGGGCGTGTAGGGCAGGGGTGAGGTCTGGGTCCATGCTGAGGAGGTGTATCTTGAACCAGCGAGGCTTTAGACTTCGTCGTCAAGATTGCGGAGTCCCAGTGTAGACAACGACATCATCAGCGCCACCTTTCCTCGCTTAGATGGGGATGATCGCGCTACGGCATGTCCCGTCTTTTATGCCAGAATGATCCGTATGACTCTTCAGGGACTAGGGTGGGTGAGCGAATTAACGTCAGCATCATTTGTCGGTATAAGCCTCCGGTGTTGGCTTTGGGTAGAAATCTTTTGCCAAAATTTGGTGATAAAAACGACCTACCTCAGCTCACGTTAGTTGTAAGCCTGTCAATGAGGCATAGCTGCGGCCTTTCGGTCAAAGGTAAGAAATCCTGGAGCCACTGATGGATAGCCAAGTACGTCAGACCGACCAAGGCTCGAATTCAAATCACTAACGCTGTGATCACTGTCGAATCTCTATAATCATGCGGTAAAGACGTAGGTAGAACACATACTGACAAACCGAACATGCATCTTGGAGACGAGTCACAATATTTCCTCTGGCACACAGTGATATATGGTCCTAATACTACAACTAATTAGACCTACATACACCCGATCTTGTCACAATTTATAGATCTACTGTATGGTCAAAATTGTAACAAGTAAACAACGGACGAAGATTTACGAGTAGTAACAGTGTACAGGCAGGGCTTGGAAACCATTCTTAGCTAGTTAGCAGAGTCTTCGCTATATTGTAAAATATCCCAGATCTGTGCGTTGTCCAGGTGTCAAGGAAGAAGTCAAGGAAAAGTTGAAATGTGGAATTCACGAAACCCAGACCGCCAACATTACCACGATCACGAGAGGAGCCAGTTAGAGTTTCAACTTTTAGAATATTGGGAGTTGGGAAGTAGCAGTACAATAGGAGCGCTAAACGCTTTGCCACTAGTTCGTTCTTAAGTTCCTTGCGCAATTGGAACCATTATAGGTCGTTCAATTTTACCCATGAAAATAAGGTGTTGCGCACTTACTAACTTACCTACGTAGCAGCAAGGTGCCAACGACATTTAATCGCCAATAGCCAATTGTTGGTAGTATTCGGTCAGAATACCAGCCTAAAAAGCGGGAAGAAAGTGCGCTGGCGGAACTGGATATCCACAATGCAGTCTTGAAGTTTGCATTTTCCGGGTGATGTGGTACCGGATCTGAAATTCCCATCATCACTGATTGCACATCTCTGCTCTTGTGCGGATGCGATTGTTATATTCCTAGGTTTCATAATTGCGGTATGTCCTTCCCCTATGGACGTAAGCGGCCCCGAGATAGGTATACGCGTCTGGATGCAACCTCGGTAGATTCCATCCCTTGCGTTACATATATCCAATCTTCATAAGCGAAGTCATTAGTCGACCTTGAAGGATAAGCCAAGTTCAGATCCAGAACTCATATGGTCAACATGACGTGATGCTTAGCCAAAGTAGGTCGTGTGCTCGTCAACCATGTCCCTCTTGAGTCATGACCGAACCAATCTAGTTCAGACAAATCGGTTCTACAATGCTCGCTCCAGGGTTAAATTTACACTGGTACACTCCACCTCCTCTTCTCCATCAGTCTTCCATATGCCTTTCCACTAATATCCAGTAACACAACAGATCGCCTCTTCTTCTCTTCGTGCGTACTATAAGAAGTACAATACTACAGCACATCATGTACATACGCTAACATTGAGAAGTGGAGGAACCCCATCGAATGGAGTAGCATAGCAGCCACAATTACATGGTGAAAAGAAGTCTATCCACTCAAGCTCTATAACTGGATTCACATTCTACGTTGTTACTTACAAGTAGCACATTCGTTAGTTGACGGTGTATTCATAGAAGGACTTCAGAAAAGTATATATGCTGAAAAAAAGCTACTACGGGAATACCCCTAGTGGTACTTGTGCCAGGCGTACATCTGAAAGGTGGTAACCGTGACGTGAGCCTCATCTGACATTGGGCTTGCCACCGCGCTGACATTGACTCGACATGGTGCCAAGATTATCGCCGTTGGTAAAGCGGCAGCACTAGATTCAATCCTGAGTTTCTAAGGCTGGAAGTTCCTCCTTTTATGACGTTACCAGACTTGCTATCAGTCAGTTCAGTCAGTCCGGAGACCTCCGGACTGACTGAACTGATGTTTGAAGGTCACTGAACTGGACTGGACTGAACTGACGTTGCCGCTGCTGTGGACTGACTGAACTGAACTGAAGTTGCTGCTGCTGTGGACTGACTGAACTGACCTGGACTGATCTAAACTGACCTGGACTGATCTAAGCTAAATTAACTAATATCAAACTGGGATAGCTGCTCTTGTATTTTTGAAATTTCTTCCTCTGATAGTACACCTGCTGGCCCATAAGTAGACATGGTTGCTGGCTGTATACCAAGCCTCTTCCAGCTCTTTAAACTCTGTAAAGCTGCGACAAGCTCTGGCTTCATATGGAGTCTCCGCGTGCCTAACATGTCGCCAAGCTCGCTGAATGTCCGCTCGCAGTCTGCTGCTGCCGCCGGTATTGTGAGTATGTTAATAGCAAACTTAGAGAGTAATGGAAATTGTCCAGCAACTGACTCCCAGTAGAGCAGCGGGTTAAGCGATAGCCGATCCTCTTCAGCTAACGCCGGTTGCCGCCTCCAGATCTCATATTCATCCTCCCTCAGACCTGCCTCTACCTGCCGCAGATTGGTCTCAATCGACGACTGCAGAAAGGCTGATCGCGACGATGACAACCCTAGCCGGGGCTTCTTTTGCGGCGGCGTTACTGCGTCGGCTACGTCGACCGCAGCGTTGCTCCGCTCCTGCCACATTCGCAAGAACGCCCGATGGTTATTATCAAGCCAGCCATCGCGATAGTGGACGCCGTCGCGGGCGGTGATATGGGTGTTAGGCACCTTCCAGAGCGCCGCAAGGTGGTTTTTGTAGTGCGGGTAGAGGATCGTAGCGGCATAGTAAACAGGCGCGTTATCGAATTTTTCGTAGTACTCGGCAAGCTTACTATGCGCAAGGTTAACGTGCGTAACAAGATAGTCTTCGGGCGCGTCAGGATCTTCGTAATTAATGTCCTTAAGGCGGTCTTTGAGAGCCTCAAGCTGGTCAAGAAGCCATTCAAACGTTACTAAAACCTCCCATATAGCGCCGTGCCGGCCGTGTCGGCCGCGGCCTTCAAGCAGCCGTGTAGCTTCCGCAAATGGCTCGAGGAGTTGGATATACTCCGTAATCGTCGCCCAGTCCTTGCCGCTTAGGCCACCCTCGCTTACATATAGTCGCGGCTGCGCAGCAGGCAGCAGCTCGCGGTTCTTCCGGCGTCGTGATGGTGCTGTTGCGGCACTGTGCTCCTTGAGTTTGAACTCAATATAGCTGTCGATAGGACCATGTAGCTCGGCTGCGCGCACAAAAGTGTCGAAATAGCTATTCCAGCGCGTCTTAACAGGCTTAACAAGTTGCCGGATATTAGCTGTAACGCCTATCGCCTCTGCCTCGTCACGCTGTAGGCGCTCTAATAGCTGTCGAGTTTGCGGCGTGCAGATAGACGCGATTACGTCAAAAAGGACCCCAATAGGGCCGTACTTGCGCCACTCATCCATGTACTTTTCCTCGTCGTCAAGGTGAGCGGCGTCGTTCTCGTACGCGCTACGATCTTTACCCCAAATTACTAACTGCGCGCCTAGGTTGAGGATGTGGCAGCAGCAGCGCAGCCGCCGCTCGCTTGCAGTAAAGTTGAACTCCTCTGCTAAAGACTCAACCGCAGTATCGTTGTTGCTTGCGTTGTCAAGCACAAAGTATCCGACGCTTGTGTCGTTAACACCAAATAGCCGCAGTATTGTCGCCGCTACTGAGGCAATATTATTGCCAGTGTGCGCCCCGTGGAGCTCAGGTAACCCGAGCAAGTGGTCAACTAGCTTACCCTCGCCGTTAAGGTAGTGTACGCAGAGGCCGGTGAAAGCGTACCGTCCGCCAGTTGAGGTCCAGTTGTCAAAGGAAACGTGTATGAGCGACCGGGCTTCGCGAAGGTAGGCGGCAACGGCTGGTACGTACGCGTTGTACTCAGCAATAATATGATCGCGGAGCGTCTGGTGGCTACGCCAAAGGAGAGCTTCCGCTAGGGGACTTGCGGCCGCGATCATATTTCGAAACTGCGGCGTCTCTATTACGCGTAGGCTCTGGTTGTCAGCAATTACCCAGTCCTTTAGCGCGTCTTGAAACCGAGAGGATGAAAAGCTTGCCGCTATCTCATTAGCAACCTCCTGGGAGACCTCTACACCTCTAGACCTCATTATGTGGACTTGTGATTTTGCGAGCGCGCCTATAATGTTGCCCTCCCGGCTAGCAATTGGTATAGGTCCGTTAGGTCCAAGTGAGTGCCCAGGCCTGTTGCTTGAGAGGTGTCGACCGGCATTTGTAGTGCTATCAGCCTCGTAGTAGGCCTCCTGTTGCCGCCGTTGCTTGTGGCAGATCTAGCAAAGCCAGTAATTCTTCTTGTGCTTGCGGTGCCATACGCCCCAGCCGTGGCGGTAGATCCAGCTCCTTACTGCGCCGCGACTACGCTCTGCTTGGCGTCGCTCGAGGTACGGTACGCGCTTAAAATCAAGCCCAACGTAATAGTTATCGTCGTCAGCTAAGTCTGCATGTATGGCTACGGGCTTGTTGGGCTGAGCCTCGCTCGCAGTATCCCTAACAGTGGGCGCGTTCGATAGCGACGGTAGAGGAGAACTGCACTTATCGCGTTCGACAAGGCGGCGGAGGCTTGAGCTCGAAGGAGTAGACATGAAGTACACTAAATTATTTGTGGCTAGAGTGTTGTAGCATTAGTTTGCTAGAGTAGGCGCGACGCGTTAAGGCTGCTATGTGGCCCTAGCGCAATTAGCAGAGTGTAATTGGCTCGGGTATTATTTCTAACCTAAACGAGACAAGCGTTTTCCTATTTAAGACTAGCGTCTGTCTTAGTTGCAGCGACAAGCCGTGTTCTAAGCAATACTAGAAGTTGCTATCGTGACTGCAAAACACGGCTTCAAAGAGCTAGATTCAGTCCTATTCAGTCCTATTCAGTCAGTTCAGTCAGTCCAGAGGTCTCTGGACTGACTGAACTATTATCTAGAGGCCTCCGGACTGACTGAACTGATATCCGGACGGAACGAAGACTGACTGAACTGAGTAGACTGACTGATAGCAAGTCTGGACGTTACCCATCTATGGGCCCCAAGAAAGATCATCGAGGAGGACAGTTGCAGCACTGGGAAGGATAAATGGCCTACTCAATATTGTAGGAGTCATGGACACTGTAAACGATGTCGATATACTTCCAGATGAGCATTGGGACCATGTATTCGCCACAAACCTGACCGCGCCTGTAAGTCTGATGCGAAATGGCTGTACCTATATGATCAAAGCCGGCGGCAGGAGCTTAGTAAGTATCTCCAGCAAAGCAGGCGAGTGTGGTTTCGTATACCAGACTTGCTATCAGTCAGGTAACTCAGTTCGAACTGACTGAACTGACTGCCAAGACTCAGTTCAGTCAGTCAGTTCTTGAGGCAGCTGGACGTCAGTCCAGTCAGTTCAGAAGCCTCCAGACTGACTGAACTGACTGACGTTAGACTGACGTTAGCTGTTTTTAAAGCAGTATTTTAGAGTTGTGAAAGCCACATTTAGTGCGGCTTCGAAGCCGCGCTAGTCCTAGATATAAAGACACTAATCCTATATAAGTTAAAGCATCTAGCTTTAAGCTAATTAGAGTTTGCGGAAATGCGCTACCCGGTGCGCACCTAGTAAGCCTTTCGCGTCGCGTCGCGTCGCGTCTGCTATACACACGACGCTAGACTACTGTTGCCATAATACTTCTTGGTGTACTTCATGTCTACTCCCTCTAATTCAGGCCTTCGCCGCCTTGTAGAATGCGACAAGCGCAATTCTCCTCTACCATCGCTATCAAACGCGCCTACTGTTGGCGATACTGCGAGCGAGGCCCAGGCTGATGAGCCCTTGGCAGTACAGGCGGACTTCCCCAACGACGGCGACGACGACGACGACGACGACAATTACGACGGGCTTGATTTTAAGCGTGTGCCGTATCTTGAGCGGCGCCAGGTTGAGCGTAATAGTCGCGGTGGGCCAAAAAGCTGGATCTACCGCCACGGCTGGGCCGTCTGGCACCGCAAGTACAAGAAAAACTACTGGCTTTGCCGGTACTGCCATCAACGACGGAAGCAGGAGGCTTGCTACGAGGCTGACAGCACTACAAACGCCGGCCGACACCTCTCAAGCAACAAGCCTGGACACTCACACGGACCTAACGGACCTGTACCAATTGCTAGCCGGGAGGGCAATATTATGGGCGCGCTCGCAAAGTCCCAAGTACATATTATGAGGTCTAAAGGGATAGAAGTATCGCAAGAGGTAGCAAACGAGATGGCAGCAAGCTTTTCAACCTCTCGATTTCAGGACGCGCTGAAGGACTGGGTAGTCGCGGACAACCAGAGCCTTCGCGTAATAGAAACGCCGCAGTTTCGAGCCATGATTGCGGCCGTGAGCCCGCTAGCCGAAGCTCTCCTTTGGCGTAGCCACCAAACGCTCCACGATCATATTATTACTGAGTACAATACATACATACCAGCTGTTGCCAACTACCTTCGCGAAGCCCGGTCGCTTATACACGTGTCATTCGACAACTGGACTTCAACTGGTGGGCAGTATGCTTTTACTGGCCTCTGCGTACATTACCTTAACAGCGAGGGCAAGCTAGTTGACCACCTGCTTGGGTTGCCTGAGCTACACGGGGCGCACACTGGCAATAATATTGCCGCTGCAGCAACAACAATACTTCGGCTATTTGGCGTTGACAACGCGAGGGTTGGGTACTTTGTGCTTGACAACGCAAGTAACAATGATACTGCAGTTGAGTCCTTAGCAGAGGAGTTTGGCTTTATCGCAAGCGAGCGGCGGCTGCGGTGCTGCTGCCATATACTCAACCTAAGCGCACAATTAGTAATTTGGGGCAAAGACCGTAGCGCGTACGAGAATGAAGCCGCACACCTTGAGGAAGAGGAGAAGTACATGGATGAGTGGCGCAAATACGGTCCTGTTGGCGTCCTCTTTGACGTGATTGCGTCTATCTGTACGCCTCAAACTCGACAACTACTAGAGCGCCTACAGTGCGAGGAGGCAGAGTCTCTAGGTGTTACACCCCACATCCGGCAGCTTGTGAAGCCTGTTAAGACACGCTGGAATAGCTATTTCAACACGTTTGTCCGTGCAGCTGAGCTACACGGCCCTATCGATGGCTATATTGAGTGTAAACTTGAGGAGCATAGTGCTGCAACAGCAACCTCACGACGCCGGAAGAATCGTGAGCAGCTCCCTGCTGCCCAGCCACGGTTATATATACGCGAAGGGGGTCTAAACGGCAAGGACTGGGCGACAATAACAGAATACATTCGACTCCTTGAGCCATTTGCCGAAGCTACACGGCTACTTGAAGGTCGCGGCCGACACGGCCGACACGGCGCTATATGGGAAGTTCTAGTAACGTTTGAGTGGCTTCTTGACCAGCTTGAGGCTCTCAAAGACCGCCTTAAGGATGTAAATTACGAAGATCTAGATGCGCCTGAAGATCATCTTATTACAAACGTTAACCTTGCGCATTGTAAGCTTGCTGAGTACTACGCAAAATTCGATAACGCGCCTGTCTACTACACTGCTACAATACTACACCCGCACTACAAACACCACCTCTCAGCGCTCTGGAAGGTGCCTGACACCCATGTCACTGCCCGTGACGGTGTCCACTATCGCGACGGCTGGCTTGACAATAACCACCGGGCATTCCTGCGCATGTGGCAGGGGCGGAAGGACTCTGCAGCCACTTCAGCTCACACTGTAACGCCGCCGCGTAAGAAGCCCCGGCTAGGGATTTCAACGTCGCGATCAGCTTTTCTACAGTCGTCAATTGAGCAAAGCACACGGCAGTTAGAGGCAAGCCTTGCTGAGGATGAGTATGAGATATGGAAGCGGCAACCAGCGTTAGCTGAGGAGGATTGGCTGTCTCTTAATCCGCTTCTATACTGGGAGTCAGTTGCTGGGCAGTTCCCTATACTCTCAAAGTTCGCTATTGACGTCCTAACAATACCAGCAGCAGCGGCAGACTGTGAGCGGACTTTCAGCGAGCTTGGCGACATGTTAGGCACCCGGAGACTCCATATGAAGCCAGAGCTTATTTCAGCTTTGCAGAGCTTGAAGAGCTGGAAGAGGCTTGGTATACAGCCAACAACTACCTCAGCTTCTGGGCTAGCGCGCACACTATCAGAGGAAGAAATCTCAAAAGTACAGGAGCATTTATCTCAGTTCGACGTCAGGTAACTCAGTTCAGTCAGTCCAGTCAGTCCGCAGGCCGCGGCGACGTCAGTTCAGTCAGTCAGTTTTAGTTTAATTGAAAAGTCTTGGCAGTCAGTCCAGTCCAGTTCAGTGACCTCAGGACGTCAGTTCAGTCAGTCCAGAGAGCTCCGGACTGACTGAACTGACTGATAGCAACTCTGTCGTATACACGAAGCAAACCTGGATTTGTAAGATCCGCTGTCCTACATGTCGAGCATAGCAACTGACAGACTTGTAGATCGGAGCAACGAAACAGGTCGCCTTCCAATATCGGGCAGATCGCATTCACTACAACACATTTTCTCCTAGTACTAAGATGAGCTCATTCTTAACGTGTCATCTAAGAAGAGCTCTGACAATTCATAGGCGTGAGCACAAACATCCTATCGTCCATCGATCAAACGAAGTTTGAACTAGAAGGGTTGGCACTCGTGAAGCTTATCCACAAGCTAAGCAAGTTGGATAAGACAGAGTCGGGCTAGTCCAGCCTCAATTGCATGCCAGTATACTGGCTTTTCTTGTATCTGATCTAAGTTCTGAGATTGGCGGGGCCGTCATTCCTGTCGACTATCATTGTAGCACTCTTTAGCTGACCGCTTTTGTTTTACTCGATATGGAATAACACTATACATTGTGGTGTAATAATACAATGGTTACACATTGATTCCCCGCAATGCGCTTCAAGCAGCCTTTGTCCGCAATTGCACACCATGCCAGCTCTTAATCTCGTCCTTCAACACCTCATTGACCATTTTGTGCTGCTTGATCACAGTCAAGCCCTTGAACTTTGGTGACTCAACCTCAATCGCATACATTGACCCGCATCCGCCGCTGATATCTTGGACCTACATGCATATATTGTTAGCTAAAGTCCCGGTTCGGGGCATCACTGATTGGTTCGGCATGCCGATGGTGTTTGCTCATATTGGCCTCCGTGTCTCGGCAGATATGTTGTGCGTTGCGTCTCACGATACTCGGCGCTATGCTTCTCATATGACGTGCATGCTCGCAGTGCAGTCATCGGTAAAAGATACCGGTATTACAAAAGTAACACGCTCCTATGTTCGCATATGCGCAATCTCCGGAGACGACAACGCGGGGAAGCGGTGCATACCTCTAGCTTCACGGGTTCCAGCTCGGCTTGTATTTTATTGAAGACGTGCAGCTCGGCCTCGTTCAGGTAATCCGGCGCCTGCGGGGTTGTGTTTGCTGATTGCGAATACGCCCGGATGCAAGGTATGGCGAACCGTGTCTGTTGCGATAGGCTGGGTCGTAGGGCTGAGACTTGCTGTGTACTATGCAGTCTGGATGCGGATATTGTGACAAGGCGCGAGCCTGCTCGTGAGAACGGAGTTCCGGCTACGGAAGTTAGACGGCGAAGCAGAAGGGCCCTGGATGGTGCCATTGTTGCAGTCTAAGGTCCTGGAGAAGCAAGTCAGGAGCTGTAGGTTACAGGATGGCATAGGTTGTGCCATAGATACCGCAAACTTACTAATCCTGTGTCATGTGTTGACGCGACGTCGTGACTGACGTTTGACAATATCGTAAAGTCCAACATCGCGAACTCCGTCATAGGTCCAAGCTCTGACTAGCCACCAAATCACATGCTTGGATTACTAAGGCGCACCGAAAAGTCGTGTACGCAACACCGTCACAGTGCTACAAGCTTCACCCTCGCCGAAAGCGGACGGATGTTTTGCTTACACAGCTCAGCTTTGCGGCGAATGTTTGGCATTGGAGTCATCCCAGCACGCCTTTGCAGCACATGATATCGCAGCCTAACCCGCGCACAGCCAGCGTCGCACGAGTAGTGCATAACGCCCCGAAAAGTCCGAAGTACCTCCAAGTACCTCAATGTACCACCAAACCCAGACCATCAGCCATTGCCAATTTTATTACCAAATGCATTTCGCAAGATTTGCACACTCGCACATCACTCCACCAGACGCCTTTACTGCCTCGAGCGGTGGGAATTCCGTCTCCACAGTTTCGCCTGCACGGCGTTGCTGATGGTGGAGAAGGCGTGACATACCACCTCACAAGCTTACACACCCTTTGCGCAAACATGATCCAAACAAAGGACCTGGACCCCTCTTTCCCAAGACACAAGCGGCCGACATCGTTACAAGACCCTGATCAGCGAGGTGCAGCTCGCAACGCATAGTTTCACATGTTGAGGACAGGGTTGCGATCGCATCCAAGCACTACCCCTCCGGAAAGAGGTCCTAAAAGGGTCTTTCGCAAGCCAGTGGGCTGCTTCGAGCCAAGCTCGGCGTCAAGTGTACGCCACAAGCAATAGCCTGGGCCATCTACGCCCCAGACTGATTCGCTCAACACATTGAGTGTTAGACTTGGGGCGTCGTCATATCAAAACCACCACACAGATTTGAGAGGCATGAAGATCTCGTAGATGCAAGAGATGACGCAACCCGAACCCTTTCCGCTTCGTGCGACGGTACCGATCGCACGTCATTTGGACTAAAGGGTGACATCGGGCCTAACGGACTAGCAATCGTGTGTTGACTATTCACGACGGTTGCGTATGTCTATTGTGTGACGACGCCCACGAGCCAATACTTTAGGCAAATTGTTGGGTCGCGTATGGATATATCGTTCCAAATTAAGAGTTCACAAGACAGCCAATCAGCTTCTCTAGCCTCATCATGCTCAATCACCATAGAGTAGCAACGCGGTGAACTCCTCTCTGGCAATTTTAGATAATGCTTCTGTTGCCAAGTATAGCTCCAGATCGTACACAATATCGATAGCTGTTGCAAGTTGATAGAAAGAAGGCTTTGTTGGGTCAATGGCATAGGACTGCCAGACGGGTTCCTGCTGATATTCATTTAGCAACCACGATATTGCAATATAGACCTCAGAATGTGTACTACATAGCAACGTTACTTGTAGGCGAAGCAAGAAATGATCAAGTAGCAATTACAGTCCTAACGCAGAGCATTATTTCCCTTTGCCTTGTTTCACTGCTTAGACTGTCGATATGCGTGTCTTGCTCTGCATCAGTGTCTTGGCCGCGCTGGCAACAGCATTCCCCTGCCCCCAAGAGATCGAGGACCTGTCAACGCCAGCTGCACCCCTCACAGACATCTTCCCCGCATCGACGACCACGATCCCGGATTCAACGTCACTCAACATTCCAGTCACTGCCGTACCAACAATTGACCCAGATGATGATGATGATGATAAGGGCGCAGTGGTGCTGAACAGCACCAGCTCCAGGCGGAGACCCCACACTGAACCCATCCCCATCTTCACAAAGGCATGCAAGTGTAATTTGGCCACGGCCTTGTACCCGTGCTGGGCAACCGACGCGCTGCAGGTAAGTAAGCCGTGCTTCATGACGGACATGAAAGATACGATGGATACGAGGTATACTGACGTCTCACCCATCTACACAGCGCTGCCACTTTGAGGAAAACTTCTCATATCAATGCTACATGCAGGCTGCTGGCGGGTGTGCATACCCGACTCGCATCGTAAGCCACCATCTCTTTCTCTTTCTTATCGGCCAGTGCGCATTGAACAAAGGGGTTAACACAGTAATCAGTGTAGCAGCCTTTACCTACCGACACCCAAGCCCGGGCCCAACCCCTGCCAGTTACTACCCCGTCCTCCTCCTCCTATCATAACGAGCCTACCTCTTATCACCGCTTTACCTACTTTGAACTTTACGTGGCCGGCCGTACCGACCAAGATGATCACGTTGCCTGCGTTGAACACGTTGCTTTAGACTAAGACGGAGGTCAGCAGGAGGATTGATTTTAAGGATGCAATGCTATGCGCAATGCTTTTCTTTCCAAAGTAAGCAACTTGAGCGAAAATAGTAAACTCCACCGAAGTCGGTATACACATGTGATGCTGGGATCAGGGAATCTAAAAGCCACCATCTCAGGCAGTCAAACATAAGAGGCCGACCTCGGTGTCATATGATCTATCTATCAATGCATCCATGTTGGCAAGGAAAAAAAAAGGTCACACTGCACTGCAATCCTCCCCCTTCACCGCTTGAAGCAGCCATATTCCTTCTTTCAGATGCAGGTTTCGACTTTTCTTCTCGAATCCAAAACGCTACATGTTCAATATTCGCACACCTCCTCTTGCCAAACGTGCACGGAGTTGATAGTCTCCACATGCTACCCGCACTGCACATGCACATCCCCTCCATCCTCTATCCTCACTTCAACTATCCACCCGCACAGCAGCGGACGCGCTTCCTCGCAAGTCCTTAGCCTAGCGCCTTGTCATCCGTGCCCCGTTGCTTCAGGCCGTCAAGCGTTCCAGTGTTCCAGCCCGAGTAATCCCGACTGTCACTACCGCCGCGGTGGGAGAAGGGATCCCTTCGCACCGCGCGCGTAAGACTTACCTCAGGTGGGGGTGAGGCGGAGGACGTGGATATGCTTGGGTGCACGGTTGGCGCATAGCTAGTCGAGAATTAGATGGTGAAAATAACAAGTGCATTTTTTTGTGGAAAGGCTGGTGTTGATGGTGTGAAAGTGCGGGACCCACATTCAACAGTTCGAGTTTGCTGTGTGGACTAGTCGCCGTGGGGCATTGGCGTGCACGCGCCGCCCATCATTAGATCTCAATCTCCACGGTCAATGTGAAGGGGGATGTCTAGTGGAGCATGGAGTGCAGAGAGCCGGAGGGTGGTGCGGAGAGTGGAGTCTAGAGTTTGTGGGCCGGTAGTATGAAAGGTTTCATGTCATATCGGCCATGTCCGACAGGCCCCATAGGTTTGCGAATTTGATGCCACGAATATCCTGCTGGTGGTGTAGGCGCGGCAATTGATGGTGTGCGAGATCCAGCGTTCACCGGGACCCTGACGGACCCTGATCACCTTTGGGGGTCTCAGTTGAGCCGCAGGGCATGAGTATGTGTACGCATTGTCGGTCTTCACACCAAAAAAAGGGACGAAATTCGGTGAGCGGTGCACATCGGGTAGATGAGACCCTCACAAGATACCTGAGGGTGTTCTGGAAATGTGACAGCTGGAGGGGCCAACACCCCGCTGAGTGGTTGTCCTGGTCGCGCCACTGCACGTCGAGCAGCAACCGCCGTCGCGTGCTGTACATGTCAACGCACCCCGCAGTCTGAATCTCCGCACAACTGCGGCCCAGAGATGCACGTTCGTTGAATAGATCGGCAAAGTTGCGCAAGCATGCACGTAACACCCACCTGTCTACATGGTCGTCTTGACTCCGTCTCCACGGTTGTCACTTTTCCCAGGCTCTTGCAGCAGCCTCCCAACGGCCCGCAGTGTGGACTTGTCGCCCATCTCCTAGCCTATCTATCACATAATATTCCAATACGGCTTATCGAAGCCCGGAGACAATTCCAGCATGGACCCTGAGCGAGGCTCTGGAGACCCTGCTTAATGCGCAGCCGCCGGAGCTATCGTATAGCGCAAATTGACCGGATCGTGGCTGGTCGACGACGGCAGACAATGGTGTCTGTAGAGGGGTAATGGTAGTGCGAGGGAGTGTTTGTTGGGACTTCGCCGCCCTGGTCCGTAAGCCACAAACACACCGTTGCGGCTTAACAACGGTGCTACTCTCCGACTGATCTTCGAGATAAACTAGGATCTTTGTCATGTCTAGTCGTTGATATGTGTCAGGCGTCGTCTGGGACCGGTCCTGTACTCTGCTCGAAACGTGACGCCATTGTCAAGTGTTTTGTGGAAGATTGACGTGTTTTGCGAGTTAGTGAGCGGAGAATTGTCAGACCTGCCAGCATTGGACGTGACCTCGGGAGGTACTTGGCAGCCTCGTGGCGCTAGAGCCGATATGTATTAGCACACAAATGCACGTGCATCTACGCAAAATTCTGCCCCTCATGCTCGCTTCAAGGATAACCCGAGACGAGATCGGCACTCCTCCTACACCGCGGGGGCTTTCTGCAACTCTCCACAGCCTTGCGACAACATTTCGTCAAACGAAACAACATTTTGCAACCCCAACATCGCGACCCGTCCCGGCGCTGCGAATAAAAATTTTCACCATGGTATCACACTGCTTACTGGTCGGCTAGTCAGCCACAATCCTTTATCCGTTTATGTCTACCGACACATTCCGCTGCACTCGCCACCTTGCGGAAGGACAAAGATATTCGGACTCCCAGATGTTCGGCCTGGAATCGGAGGAAACGCCGAACGAGTGTTTGTGAACAAAGCCATCCCAACGATATGACCCGATGGCGTCTACGTGCATAATGTACTGTTTGATGACTAGCTATATGTGTTGATATTATTAGTAACCATCGCATGTCGTGTGCCGACACAGCGTACCTAGTAATGAGTGAGGCGACATGATAACACTTTGGTTATGGCTGACATGTTCACAACGGCTGACAAAGAATGGTGAGATTGCACCAGTGTCAGCCGCCTCTCAAGACTTCAACCCCGCATTCCACACTACCTTTGGGACCACCACCGGCCATGCCACCCTTCAGTTCACGCCTCAATGGCAATCCTTCACATCTACCAGCCACTACAAGGGTTACGCAGCCGTCTATCAGATTAGGCAACCCGATTTAGACTTCCCATCGCATCTGGTGTATGGAGGGCAGCCGACTGGGAGCGGGGTGCTTTTGTTGAGAGCGAGCCTGCATGTGCGAACCGACGGCTCCTGCAGGCATTACGCCTGCACACGTTGTGTGTATGCAACGCTCTACACGCGAACTCGACCGTTCAGCCTGGCATGTAGTGGCCTGACCGCATGATAAATTACTGTGGGTTATGGAGATGAATCATGGCACATGTGTGTTTGATGTTGGAAAGGTGGTGTAGCGCGCGTAGGCTTGGCCGCCGATAGCCAACCGCACAGACAGACACAGAAGGTGCTCGCGAAAGAGCAGGGTGCAAAGATAGGATAATGAATAAATTGTAAGACCCAGGCTGGAACAGTCTGTCATACTTCACGTGAGGTAAGATGCCGATCTACCCGCTATCAATCACCGGGACAAGGCGCGCCTCGGCTGCCAGGCGTTCGTTCGTATCACTTATCACTCGGGATGCTTTCTTCTTCTATGCGTCGGCCAACATGCTTGATGAGATCGATCATGCCACTAATAATGCGGGGAGACAGGGTCAATATGGCTTCATATGCGTGCAAGATTTACCCCGCGATTCCAAGTCTTGGTAATGTTGCGGTGAATTAGTATCAGGAGTGCGCCTTATCCGCAAACACCAAAGAGCGTAGTTATACAACATGAACCGTGCAGAGTGCTGGATACAAATTCGCAGCCGCTCGGTGCGACGGCGCGTCCAAGACTCGGCTCTGGGCCTTGAAAACTTGAGCAAAGGCGGATGGTGTGATGATGATTAGTCGTCATGTTCAACAGGGTAAAATAGTGTTTGATGGCGCCTGTCCCCCAGGGGATCTTCTACCCCATGGAGAAGGGGTGAGAAGGTGGGTGGTAGACTACTGCGCGCTGAGATAAGGGTGTGGACTTGGTGCCCTGCATATGTCTTTTCTTCTGGGGCTGAGTTGAGCGATTCCAAGTGGTCTGGACGTCACCCTCCGTCACACTCTGTTGTTGGTACGGTTCGACATTCGACATTTGACAGAACCATGGAGAGTCGAGGCAGCTTGGACACCGGAAGATTACACTAGAACATGTTTATTGGCCTAGTGCTCGATTAGAATGCCGTCGGAACATTTGTAGGCTACCAGAGCATGGACAGCTACTCGAGTCGTACGGCGCTGCCACGTGCACCGCGTTCGCGCCATGGCAGCGGTGGAAGTCTGGAAGACCAATATCCGAACCAAATTCTCCGCGACGATACTTTTCCTAGCGTTGGGTCGGATTACGGTAGTAATGACGGTTCTCATCAGTTTTAGCTTGTTTGCCGTGGGAGCCGCCATGTCATCTATCTGTACAAATCGTGCTAGGCCGTAATGTGCTGGTCCAGTTTGTGAGGTGCGAACAAAGTTGATGATCATGATCAACATCGGACCTTTGCTGGATATTCTCGGCGCGTGGCTTACTGCTTTCGGCCCGCGAACTCTTGGGACGTGGGGTGGGGCACGGTTGTGGTTGGGGGCCATTTCCCAATCCGACTCCAAACAGTGCGCGGATGCGACGGCTCGTGCCCTGGTGGACTTTGAGTCACCGGTGTCCACATCTGTAACAATTTTGAGTAGTGAAGAGTCTCGCAATGGGCTACAGCGATCGTGGGGAGCGTGATGATGGAGGGGGAAATGGCGGTGAGGGCTCGTACGAACAAGCGCTTGCGACTCCCAGACGTCAATAGGCCGGCACTCTTAGGCGGGCCAAGCGGGTAGAGTGGGATGTACGATTTCTACTGCAGGCGTGATCGGAGAAAGAGTGAGCCTGACATCACGTATCGAGATTTGCCTTGGAACCGGCCTTTTACAACAAAATCCCGTGAGAGTGGAGATGCGATTCTAATTTCGCGGTCCGTGGCATGCCTGAGATTACAGTAGGTACGTGTCATTCCACATTCCACATTCCACCCGCAGCAAGTCATCGTGATGGACGACGCTCAGACCATTGCGAGTATGAATTGTGGCTGTTTGCGAATCTTGCTGGAGGCTGACCAAAGTTGGCAGTGCCGGCAGACAGCGCGTTTCTGGTGTGAAATGTGGCCAGGTGCCGGGCTGCAGCCACAGTCATTTTGGCGTAATGAATGCGTCTTGGTTGGCACCCAAGTAGTCCAGCCGGAGACGGTCATTAGTTTTGTAAACTCTCTTCGTATGCCACTGTCATGACCCCATCACGGCGGGTCATACGATAGACTGACAGGCCGCTTAGCAGGCAAGCGGACCCGTTAATTAAGAAAAAACATTGGAGCAGGGTGACGGCGAGGACGCACTCCTGAAAGGTAGACCAGTGGCCGGATGTGGAACCATACCCATGCGGCGTCGCATGCCTAGGAGAAGCGTCGTCGTGGCCGGCAGCAGAAGCAGACGGAGGGGAAATTGCAAGGCATACTGGCCTTGGATGGGATTTGATTTAATACATAGGAACTTGACGGATGCGAAGCTGACCAGAATGGCATTACAACAGCCTGACTCTCGTCCTCCGCCTTCGGCCATGTTCGCGATGTGCGGACGGTGTCCGGAAAGTAGATTAGCGGGCCTGGGGAGTTGGCCAAAGCCCCACTCGTTGAGTGTGCGGGGATCGACATGGTGGAGAGAATCGATGATAACATGGCACAGTGCGGGCGGGCGGTGAGGCTGGCGGCATTTCCATGACGCTTGATTGGATGATGCGCGCAACTTTCTGCCGGACAAGACCAGCAATCTGACATGACGCCAAGTGGGGCACGCCGGGGCGCTGGGTGACAAGGAGGCTAGCGCGTCCGGTGGGCCTGAGTCTGGCCAGGCTTGAGACGTCGCGACCGGACCATTTGGACGTTTCAGCGAGTAGATGGTCAAAATCCTGTTGCCATAGTGAAGATAACGTTACGAGAGGCATGGAATACTTGATGAGAGCGAGATGCCGCCGGCCAGTGAAGCTGCTTGCCAAATTACGGAACGACCCGCTTGCTTACTCTCATGTCCTGCTTGGGTCCAAGGTTTAGCTATTGTCGGCATCATCCAGCGTAGCAGTGTTGTAGGGGACTTGGCGGCAATATGCCAGCTCTATCTAGGGGTCGTAAAAACAATTTTGCCTCTCAGCCACTGCAGCGCCGGCCATGATGCGCGCCGCGTCTACTGTGCTCGCCGTAAGCAGAGGTTCAACGGCCAGGCGTAGGCGCGCGCAAAGCCGGCAACCGTGGTACGGATTAGGTGTCCAGGCCTAGGCACGTTTGCCAGGAGGCACCTTATTCACGACGCGTATATTCTGATTCGTATCTATCGTCGCAGACTTTCTTAGCTGCATGCGAGGCTCGACCGCCAGGTGTTGAGAATGCGGGGAAGGCAGCAAGCCTCGCGGCGGTGCAGGTCACAACCAATTGCGCACGACTCATGCGGCCACGACTGGCCTCGAAGCCTTGAACATTGTGAGAAACAATGGGGCAGTCAGCCATGCGATTCAGCCGAGTGCCAGTCTGCGACGCGTATTTTGCATGGCCTGAGCAAAGACCCGCCGCTCTCCGGATGACGAAGATGGGGTACATGCGGGTTGCAGTAGTAATTAGTGCTTCGGCCATGGGAATATCTACGAGACGTGAATTTCGGACTGAAGGTGGTGAGAGGTCGGTTACAGCAGCCACTTGTAGCAGGGACCACAGAACTGCGACAAGGATTTTCGGCTAGCTTGTTGTGGGTGGTGCGACATTTGATTGGCATTTTGCTCGACCGCCTTTTGCAAGCGGCAGGCGGTACCGGCGATCTCGCTGTCTTGAGCGTCGAGGAGGGGGGTAGGGTAGGAAATATTCATGGGAGGGCGGGTGGAGTGTGAAAAGCCGCACCCTTATCGTTCCGACGATCCAGGTACCGCGCCAGTGACTACAACACCGACCGACTCTGGACGACAAGCTCTGCAGGTTGTTGTTGAGACGGCGGGAAACATGGCCGTTTGCAGAGTGAACGGTTCGCGCGATAACAATGACATCACACGGACCTCGCTTGAGCCTTGAGGGTAGGCACAGGCACGTGCACGCATTGCCAATTCCGTCACAGAAGGGCCCTGCACCTGGCTTGAGCGTTGCTTGCGTGCTTGCGTGCTTGTTTGCTTGCTTCCAAGCTTGCTTTCTGAGTCTGAGTCTGAGTCTGAGACCAGGTGCCAGCTTCCGCCTTGCAACGGCTGGCAAATTACGAACAGGAGTGTTTGGCATTGGCATTGGCATGCCATGGCCAATATCCGCCGCCCCCCCACGGCTGCATACGACTCGGCCTTGCTATCTGGCCGTGGCTGTCTAGCAAGACACGCGCGGCCTGTTGCAGCAGACAGCAGACACCAAACAAGCAGATGGCAGACAGTACTGGTACCGGTATACAACCCATAGCGTGTGGGTGCCATGTAGCCGTTTCGAGCTGTGGCCGTGCTGGCGGGCGGGAGATAAAGAGCATCATGTAGTAGCTAAACCCGCCGACGCCACTGCGACGCCCGCCGATTGCGTTGCGGCTGTAGTCCCAAGTACCTTTGTCTCTCGCTGCGCCGCCGGCTCCTACACACACTGCTTGTCGCCCCCCCTCGCACCGCCTGTCTCCGCTCCCGTCGGGCTCACACTGCAGTAGTAGGCCGACTAACTAGCAGAACCGGTTGCTGTGTGCTTGTGCGAAAATCCCTGGTCAAGGCCCCGGTCTGTTGGGGCTGCGCTAGAGCGCCGAACCCACGTCTGCAGTGGTGCTGCAGCTCCCTGCTCACGCCCCCTGCCCAAGTCCGAGCGCCCAGGCCTCGATTTCGCTACACATCCCGGTCCAACGACTCCCCAATAGTCGCGGCCCTGCACGCTCTTCAGCGCTACCGCCCTCAACACTCTTCCCCATCCCTCCTCTTCAACACTTTCGGGCCCATTGTAGCCACCAGACCCTTTTAATAGGACTGCCAGCTCTCTCCAACCATATTTTTGCTTTGACACACGACCCTGCCGCCTTTCTCTTTGCACTCGCAGCCGAGCCCACGCTTCCTGCCCAGAGTGCCCTGACCCATCGTACCACCGCCTCCGCCTCCGTCAACAACACAACGGAAGGCACCGGCCTCCCTCTCAACACCCACCCACCCACAACTTTCGGTCCTTCGAAAGCCTCAAAACCCTCTCGACTCCCTTCCCAGATCGAGTCGACCGTCAATCCCGACGTCATCGCAGCTTTCGCTAGCTGTGACCCCAAGAGTCGCTTTTCCTACCCGCTTCCCACCCGAGCGAGCTTTGCAAGCCGTTCCTTCACCTATATCTGTAAGTCCACCCACCACCACCACCACACTTCCACTCCACCGCCACTTCTTCCTTCCGCTTGCTACTACCATCACTCGACGTGGCACGGGGCATTCACTGCTGCATTCATCGTTGTCACCCGTGAGCTCTTGCTGACAGCCAAAGACTTGTTATAGTAATTCTTGTAATGCACCCTACGCCCTAAGGCCCCTCCACAACCACAACCCATTCGACCCGCTTCTTTGACTTGTTCGAAGCCGACCGGATGCCTTACACTCCCCCTTCCCAGAGGTCGCCGGCCCCCTCCATGACCAGCAGCCCTACCCTAAGCCGGAATCATTCCTACATCGACCAGCCTCCCCGCTCACCAGCGACCTCGCGACGCCCATCGCTGCCCCGCTCCGTCTCATCCACATCATATCTGGCAAAGTCGCGGCGTACGCCATCGTTTGAGACGTCGGACAACACAGCTGCCAATGGCAACTCAACAAAGACTAGTGTGACCAAGACTGAGGCTAGCCAGCATGGCCCTTCCTCCAACGGTAGCCTTCGCCCGTCTCCTCCTCCTGTGAACAATCTTCTGATTCCATCAGGTGCGATCACAACTCCTCCTGACTCCTCGGACGACGACGAGCGCGGCCGTAGCATGGCCGACCTTCGGGAACTGCAAGAAGCACTACAACACATTGACGTCAAGAGGATGCCATCACCATCACGAGAGGCCACGGAGAATGTCAACGACCGGAGGCCACAACCACCTGTGACACTGGCACGTTCGCTCTCCGCCGAGGCACGCAAGATTGCACACTCACGATCATCAAGTGAGATAGTATTGTCCCAACACATGATCCATCCCCTCAACACCGACCCCATCATCAGCTCTTCAGATGGCAGTGACAACGAGGACGACGAGCTGCGGATGAAACCGCCGCTGCTGCGGAAGAAGTCGGGCGAGCTAGTCAAGCCTGCTCTCCGCCCTCCTTCGCGCCGCCGCCCATCAAGCATGCCCGGCACCCCGACCTACTCCAAGGCCGTGCACTTCAACGAAGAGATTGAGCAGGTCCGTCACTTCCTCCAAGTGGATCGTCCTATTGCAGTCAGTGCAGGCTCATCGCCCGTCGAGACCTACGATAGTGAAAGCGAGTACCCCTTCGCCGAGGACACACGCTCCAAGACTCCGGAGTGGGATATCAAACTCATGAACTTCCCTACCTCCGAGTCCTATGAGCGTCAGACTTCGCCTGTTCGTGTTGAGCGCATCTTCCTTGCATCTGACCATCAGACACTGGTTGGCAACATCGCTGTCGCCAATCTGTCCTTCCACAAGCTTGTCGTGGCTCGCTTCACACTCGACTACTGGAAGACCACATCGGAAGTAGTTGCCGAGTTCAACCAGGACGTCCGCAAGAAGCAAAAGGAAGATGGCTACGACCGCTTCAACTTCAACATCAAGTTGGCTGACCTGGCCAACTTGGAGTCAAAGACTCTACTGTTGTGTGTGCGTTACCAGGTCAATGGCCAGGAATACTGGGACAACAACAACTCGATGAACTACCAAGTCGACTTCTCCAAGAAGGCTAAGCAGCAAAGGAGCAAGCGTCCGACTGCCAGCCTTGGTGCCGTTCCTCGCAGCAGGCACTCACCCCTGGCTCCTCGCCCACGCTCTATGCCCGCTGCCTCTTTCGATGATGACTTTGGCCACGAGTTCGAGACCAAGTTCCAGTTCGGTAGTGGCCGTGCCGTCATTCCTGAACCACCTAGCACGGCTATCAAGCTGAAGCCAAGGAGCAAGCGCGGTAGTCTGTACCCAACTCAGGCTCCTCACTCGCAGGTTACCCAGGCTTTCGCTTCACGCTACGACTTTGGTGCTTCGCTCTCCGCTGCTCTTTCCACTGCTCAAACTGCACTGGGTGACAAGAGTGGACTGAGGGTGAACACACAGGACAAGATGAACAATGGTTACTTTGATCGTCCGGCTCCTGCAGTCCAGGCGCCTGCTACTACTGCACCGATTCCTGGAACACGACCGGACTCTCTGACACTTGAGAAGCCCGATCTCCAGTCAGCAGAGTACAACGAATTGATCCAGAAGTTCTGCTTTGTACGTTCTCAACCTCCGCCTCACCACCCAGGTAGTTTAGCCTAGACGAAAACTGACTCGAATGCAGTTTGGCACACCTACTGGTAAATCCTCTCCGAGTGTCACCACACCTGCCACCAAGCCCTTTCACGCAGACGGAGCCACCGATTACGCATTCAACACCGGCAGCAATCAGTCTTCCACAACCAGCAGTCCAGCATCGCCCGCCATGCCTCTCATGGTTGACGGTGCCAACGACTCTGTCACTTACCCACCTTACTCACCTCACTCACCCGGCCCTATGACCGGCTACTCTGCTGAGGACCACTATGGATCTCAGTACCAATACGGTTACTCTGCGCCAGGTGGCGTCTTCAACGAGCACAGCCAGACACCTCAGGCTTGCGTTTAGGACGTCGCTCCTCTACCTACAAACCACGGGGTTACCTTCCCCGCGTAACGAATCTCTTTGGACACGAAGTACGCTTACGACCTAACTGATCGGACGAGTGGAGCGGGCACGCTCACGAATTCTCTTCACCACGGTACGAACGTCGTTGTGAGCCAGCGATCAGCGTTCCTCACGACGTCTTACTCGAGACGGTCGTTCTGTCAGCATAATCCGCATGACTTCCTTGCTGCATTTCCACGTTGGCTTCTTGCATGTCTTTTTCCATCGGCGCATTTTGGGTCTCATCATGGTGTTCCTCTACATTTTTATCCTTTCCTTATCTTTTCTCTCACCAGGGACTGGTTGTAATGCTCAATGAGCGACTCCACTCTGGGTCTGGCGTTTATTGACGGTCGCTTCTGACCCGTGGGTTCGTAAAAAGCTTGGTTTGTTCTGCATTTTGAAGCGTTTTCTTGTTATCGGGAGGACAGGTTGATCCATTCCTCGTATATAGGCGGTCCGACGGGCAGAGAATGCGAGAATGTTGCCGTTGCAAGTGTCTCCAAATTGTATCGACTGTCGTGTGCGTATCATCTTGTGTAGTCTTTGTTTGTATGGGCGGTTTGGACGGGTATCGGTTTTCGTTGCGGAGAGAGAGAGAGAGAAAGGTAGACGTTCGGAGGACATGTACCACCCCTATATACTAGCAGCAAATTCGAAGCATGGCATAAAACTCACGATGTCTCCACTCCCATCCACCCCGTGATCACTTTGTTACCGCCGTCGTAAGCCCATTAGGCCTAGGTCTGTGAAGCTCGTCCACCATGTGACCCTCGTAAACATTCTGCCAGGATGGTAACATCCGAGAGCCGTTGACCGCCTACCGCATGTTGACTGCCTAGCACTCGATTGGGCATGACGGGCTACTTTCCAACCTCATCTCGCCAAAGCGCCCTACTTTCACAGCACAAGTCGGTTCATTCACAACCGAGGTGAGGTATCGTGACTTTGCCGCCAACCACCAGTTGTGAGTCGTCATGTCCTTCTTGTTCGGTAGAACGCAAGCGCCCCCACCGCCGCCAGTGGTACCGCCGCCCATCCCCCGCTCTGGTCCGGAGATTGATGCGACGACTGTGGCATCGCTCTTAGCAGTCCTGGCCCTACTCGGCGGCGCCTATGGAGCCTCTGTCAAAGTGTTGCCGAAAAACACGACCCTCAAGACGCGCGTCTTATTCATCTGGCATTTCTTCGACGCCCTAATCCACTTTGTCTTTGAGGGCTCCTTCCTCTGGAACTGCTTCTTCGTCACGTATTCGCTGCCGACGACCTTTTCCGCCGCATCCCGGAACCCTCTTCAAATCACCCTCTTCACTCCCCCGGACGTGTACTGGCTGGGCCGGAAGGATCTGCTGTATGGCGCAAACTACGGGACTGGGCCGTTCAGTCGATTGTGGCAAGAGTATGCAAAGGCGGACAAGCGATGGGGCGGTACGGATTTGACGGTTGTTGCGCTCGAGATTCTAACGGTGTTTGTGGCGGGTCCATTGGCGTGCTGGATATGCTACTTGCTCACCAAGGGTGAGAAGAAAGGCGTGCTCAAAAAGTGGTTCTGGATGACGATTCTGGCAACAGGGGAGATATACGGAGGTGAGTCACGTTTTATTACTACACACCTACCCATACCCACCCATACCCATACCCAACACAAAACAACAACAACAAAACGGCTTAACGCGCGTCCGTGGCTTCTTTCCTTTTTCCGGTGAACCACGGATGGGCATGTGAAAATTGTGGACGCTCGCCTTTGTTCACAATTGGTGAGGCGGCATAGTGGGCCCCGGCCCGAGATGCGATGAGACGAGCTCTCTGCGTTGTTTGCGAGTATGAGGCTGACACGTGGTTCACCGCTACATTAGGCTGGATGACATTTGCGCCTGAGTGGCTGACGGGAAGCCCTAATCTCGACACGAGTAATTGGATGTATCTGTGAGTATTCCTTTGTTTACCATTATTCGGTACCCGATTTGCTCGTTCATGTTCTCTTTTCCCATATTTTTGGAAAGAGCACTTGGAAAACGCATGTTCACGGACGTTTGGTACCCGTTTGCATGACTGCAATTTCTTCGACACCCAATTGCCCCGTCAAACACGTCTTCCTACCCTCCTCCACTTCTCCTTTCTCAACAAAAACGTTGCGTGCCTCACACATGCGTCTCACATGTGTTGTTGTTCGTTCGTTCGTCCCTGGGCCTGAACAGCTCGATGTGCTGGCCCTGCATACGCGTTGGCGGGCGGGTACGTGTGCCGTCATCCCGCGGACCCACATCTCATCTCTCGACCACGAACCGGCACAGCAAAAAACATGAGCGATTATTTCCTATATTCGGTTTTACCATGTCGCTTCACTTTTGCATCTTTCTTAGACGATAGGACTAACCCTATATGCCCAGTTGGCTCTATCTAGCCTTCTTCAACGGCCTCTGGGTCGTCATCCCAGGTTGGATCTTGTATGAAGCCTACGCAGCTATGAGCTCCGCAATGTCGCAGGCTGAGATGGTTGACCTTGTCAACTATCTCAAGAAGGATGACTGAGGTGTGCAAGTATCCACTGTAGTGGGTGGTGACGCTGCTAGTGTTGGGCATGTTGAGCGCGGCCAAGTTGCTCCTCGAGATCATGGCGTGAGATTCTTTGGCTCTGGGGTTGTCTCCCGCCGTATCTCTTATGATTACGCAGCGCTAGTCGGCCATTTGCGGCAGATATGAAATGTAGGATCGATCGTGGTTGGAGTTGGCGGTCGTATCGTTGGTTTTGTTGAGGAGACTAGGGGTATCCGTCCAGGGTCGATATCTGAACATGATAAGGAAAATTGCGAATTGATGGTATTTATTGAGCGTATTACAGGCCCGTGGGTATCTTCTTCGCGCGATAGTCCTCCAAAAGTCGTAGATACCTCTCAACTTTGATGCAGCGTAGCCTCTTGATCCAAGTGTAAAACCGGTGAGCTCCAAGAGCTAGAATCCAAAACCCACCCGCGGTCCCACTGAAAGAATACTTCCCCAAGTTAATCAATGTGGGCATAATGACAGCAACTGATACTCGAGAAAACAGTATCAGTGTCATCACCCATGAGAAGCCTTTCATGTGTTGTTCCGACGCACGGTACTCAATCGTCGCTTTCAGAAGAGCCGCCTTCTTTTTCAGGGTTTCCTTGACTTCTTGTTCGGTTTTGGCTGCGACCTGCAGTCTTTGTATACACTTGGTGTCGGCGTAGAAGTATCGTTGTATGTCTGCGAGTTGAGCGGCGTATTCGAGAGCGTTTTGCTCTAGCTGCACCAGCTCAGAGTCACCACTGTCTGCAGACGAGGTCATGGGCAACGTGAGTGTTCGATTCATGGCCGTGAATTCAATAGCTGAAGTTGATTCGCCGGTGGCTGCCGAGCTGAATTCAAGCGGTTTTGTTTGGAGCGGTACAGTTTTGGACTCTAGCTTAGATCAGCGAGTGGAATACAATGCGGTTGTTTCAATACTCACCGCTATATAGCTCTGCTGCTGCGAGAAATGGTAGGGCGAGAAGAATCAACGGGATGATTTGACCAAACCCCATTGACGAGTCAAACTCGATACCATTAATTTCCCCGAGTTCCAGGCGGAACATCAACATCTGTACAAACCCGTAGACCATCATGAATATCATTGGAAAAGCGAGTGGAAGCAAAGATTGCCAGTGTCTATGCTCTGCATATTGGTAGGTCTTGTTAAGCCTACGCCAGTGCTTGGTGTTGGCTGGGACTTGCATTACACCCTCCAGCAGTCCCCGGCGTTGGGCAGCAAAAAGCTCTAGCGCGAACTCGTTTTGGACGTAGCGCCATTCCTTGGTCGACATATGAGGTAGATGTAAGTTTTTGGGATGTCTCCAGCGGCTCCAAAGCGCAAGTACATTCTTCGATAAAGCACCCAAACCAATCAAGTCTTGATCGCCATAATCGTATGTTCTGAGAAGTGCAGCCTTGTACTCAAATATGAGAAACAGTACCGTCATAACCCAAGGCACAAAGTACTTGGAAAGTGTAATCTCTTCGTCGCTGTATAATTTGACCGAGCCTTGGACATGGCATTGGACGGGGACAAGACTATCAGGACTGTTCTCCATAAGAAGTACGACAAGGAAGCTGTACAGGAAAAGGGCCATAAAGGCAAGCATTCCGATTATTCGGACGTTTCTTAGCATCGCATGTTGTACAAAGTATTGACGTAGACTATCCAGCGTTGCCAGATGCGTAGTTGTTGAGAACCAAGCCAGTGCGAACGCAACTCGGAAATCGGGAGGTGTCAGCGTACATTGATTTGTGACAGCTGCAATGAGTATGGCCAGCCCAGTGGCAAGCTGTTGATCGCTCAGGGAGAGTATGAAACTATTGAGCGCTTCTTCGCGCTGTTTACGATTCAACTTTTGTCGTGTGTTATTTCTCCTTCGAATTTTTGCTAGAATGAAGCGGAAAGGCTGCTTGGCCAGTAGTTTCCAAAGAGCATTTTGGAAGCCATGAATCAGCCAGGTGTCCGTATCGGTTATGTAGCTTTCAGCCATAGAATCAGAAAAGTATGCGAATATCACGGCGCTGATCGTCAGAAAGGCTGACAATATGAATGAGATGAGGACCTGCCAGGAACCATGGTGTTAGTTTGTAAACGCCGAAAATGAGGCAACGTGTACTGCATAAGATGGGAAGGCTGCGTACACCATAGCCTGCAATGTCTGGATTTGCTTGAACGGTAATGTTTTGGGCGTCGCAGATGAGGTTCCCGCCGCATGCCATAGTTCGTGCGATTGGATCTTTCTGCCTTGAGGATGTGGTTGGTAGAGTAAGAAAGCGATGCCGCTTGATGATCTTGTAAGCTTATGTAGTGAGGCTGAACGCCGCCCACATGATTATCCGCACGTTCGCCTCATAAGCGCCTGCCTAATATGCAGGAAGACGCATCATTCGCCTAGACGCGCAAGCAATGATGCATATCCCGAGGGGAAAGTCCCCATCGTGGAATCGAGTCACACTGCTCCTACAGGGGTTTGATGCTGGGCATCTTACAGTATAAGTCAAGAGTGTGAGAAAGAAGTCAAAACACCCGGCAGTGAGTGTCTAGGTAGGATCGGAACCATAAAGTGCCGAGAGCCGATGCTTGTACTCCGCCCTGGGTCACACCTTCCTCAAAACTCTCATGAACATCAATTCATGGGTCCATCACAGAAAACATTCACTTGTGCTAGCTACAGTAGAAACATAGTGGTGCGCAAGTTGTATTGCATATGTACTTGACCAAGTCAAGATATGTGTATGTACAAGAATTCAAGCCTTTATAAGGCTTTCAGGTAGCCAGCGGGGATTTCAGCGTCAAGGGAGCTATTTAAGAGCTGTTGACAGTGATGGAGGCGGAACCAGAGCTCTGGTATCCCTCAGTAGCAAGGATTTGATAGTTGTGCTGTCCAAGCTGCTGTCCGTACTTGGCCCAAGCATCAAAGTGGTTCTAAAATCCCAAGTCAGCAACAGTTGTGTCAAGTTGTTTCCAAGAGATGTGCTTACCTTGACAGTGATGGTGCCACCGACCCTCTTGCTGGTACGGACAGACCAGAATTGCTGGAAGGTCTGGGTACCGTCGATGGAAGGCTGGTTGTAGCGGGTAGTCTGGAGGATGTCGTATGTGCCACCGTCAGACTGGACTTGACCCTTCTTCTGAGCAGCAGAAGCGGGGTTGTAGGAGCCGTAGGCCTCAACGATGTAGTACTCGATGAGGGGGCTGCGGGTCCATCCGTAAAGCGAGATGTAAGAGTTAACGTTCTGGGCGTTCCAGGTACCGCTGTAGGTGACTACACGGGCGGATCCAGGGTTCCTGTGGTGATGTTAGATATCTTGGCGAGGATTCGGGCTCTCAGAGAGTGCCTACCATCCCTTGCCAGCAACAAAGTTACCAACGTTGTTCCACTGGACATCGTAAGAGCCACCGTTACCGTTGTTGTAGGTGACCTGGCCCTGTCCATCGGTCCAGAAAGAGTAGAAGAAGCCGTTATTCATGCCAGTGCCGGCGGGGGTGGAGCGGGCAGTCAAGTTGGCAGACTCGCCTCTGGCTTCGGCATCGAGGATGAGACCGAGAGGTGAGGCGAGAGCCGCGGTGGCACTGCCGAGAGCGAGGAGGATAGTAGAGAAGGCAACCATGTTGTTGAGTCAAGTTGGAGATGCTTGGTGCACATCTCTCCTGCACAGTCGACATCATTATATATCATCTGAAGTCTTGGTATTCTGATGCCAAGCAGTAGAGGTCATCGGTGAGCGGGTCGCCACCGGCTCGAAACAATCCATCCAAATTGAAGGACATGATAGTTGCTTGCGTAATGGTCTATGGCTGCTGCTGCGGGTGTGGAGAACTGCCTGGTACCCATCGACGCATAGTAATGTGGAGCCGTACTACAGATTAGGTCTTACCACCGGTTATTCGGGCCCTAGAGGCGCGGGCAGACCCGTCCTGACGTGCTAGAAGTCGTGGTTTTGAAACGTGAAACAAGTCATTTCCGTTATCCATGCGGCGGGCGTTTACTGTACGCTCAAGAAAGTGGGGATCGACAACAGTGGAGCGTAGAACAACTTCATTCGTCTAGAACATTATCGTCCCACAACACTCAGTATGGGCTCCTTTCATGCCATCCATATCGCTAGGCATTCCGTGGTCGCAGTTTGTGTGCCTGGTCGCGTGCTTGCGGGTATTGCACAATTGCCGGGCCCAAACAAGCTCATCCAAGAACTGCGCCAATAGGCCAAGCATGTTATCAAGCCAATCTATACCGTCACCACTAGCTTGTTCGGAATCTGCATCTCTCGGCTTGTGAGTGCGCCAGGTGACTGCAGGTGATATATTTCATCGATGGGGTTGTCAAAAGCATTTTCGCCCAGGTTCCAAGCATTTAACCGGCTACTTAGCATTCGATCATTTTTCTAGGCGAAGCCGTCATGTTTGGCTTCTTCGACTCGAAGGCTCCACAACATTTACATTGCGCCAAGACGCTTGGAAGGCGGAGAAAAGGAGGCAAAGGCTTGTGGTAGGACAATGCCAAGGTCGGAGAGAAAGGTTTAGCCCACTTGATATTAATTTGCTACCACCCCAGCCGCATGAAGAAGCTGCGGCGAGCAAGAGTGTCATGGGGGGGTATATGGAATATCGAATTCAATATTAGAATACGACAAAGGGAGAGAAAGGGTATCAACCATGAAGACGTTAACATCAACGTCGGTCATTCCACAACTGGTCGATGACCTGGAAAACTGCTGTGACCGATTTCATCGTATCAGTATTAATGTGCTGTCCAAAGCGCTGTTGCATCTTGTCCGGATGCCAGCGTACACGCTCAGCCTTTAGCAGCCCGACTGGGTCTTTCCGCCACGCCCCGGAGCTACGCAAGAAGTGTTCGATTTCTTCCTTGGACACATGCTTTGCCTTGCCCGACAAAACGGGCCATGGGATTAGATCAAGAACCTGTGCTTCAGCCTGATCTCCTGATGGATGAGCGTCCTTTAGACTGTCCCACTTGGCTGTGTAGTGGTCCCAGGCTGCTTCTGCCTCCCTAGCCTTTTTACGCTTTTCGCCCCGGCGGAGACTCTCTTCCATACGCCGCCGTATGTCCTCCCTTTCTGCTTCCTCACGCTCAAGTTCTTCGTCGAGCTGGCTGCGTTGCGCCTTCTGCTTTTGGCGCGCGCGCTCTCTGGCCTCACGCTCTTCGACAATATGCTGATGGCTTTTCTCCCACATCTTGTTGCGCACATAGTCTGCATACTCCTCTTCGGTCATGCGCTCTAGCTTGCCATCTGGTCCGGGTTTTTCCATGGGGTATATGTGGACTGGCTGACCATATACGCCTTCCCAATATGCGGCACCTTCATCGTCGGCAAGCGCATCGAACAGTGACTCACGGAAGGCCTCCTCGGGCGCAGCACCTGGGGAGCGCGCCCTCGATTCCTCCAGGTTATCATATAGTGATTCGCGATGACGGTAATCCGGGTCGTAGTAGGCGCCATCTCTTGTAGATGTGGGATGCCGTTCGTCTCGCGACGTGCGATGTTTGTGCTTATGCTTACGCCTCGAATCTCGGTGGTCTCGTTCTTCATCGTCGTCTTTGTGTATTCGGCGTTTCCTCGGCAACTCATCATCGGCTCCTTCGTCTTTGTTCTTGCTGTCATGACGTCTTGAGCGACGCTTAGAACCGGATTTGAAGTGGAAACGTGAGGCTTTAGCTTTGTTGTAGAGGCTTTCCGCCGCAGTAGCGTCGCTAGCCTGCTCCTCCATGGTGAGGACTATGGTGGATCAACTGCCAGTCATGCATGAGTAATATAGTCTTGGGCGGATGTGAGGGCGACTGCAGTCTGCAGCAAGGTGTATGCGGAGAAGTCGCGGAGGTGCTGATGATTTCACTGGCTCAAGCGGGCCTTGGCATTGCCTCTCGACTTCTTGGTCGCGACGCGCACCTCAACACCAACAACACTCACTTGTCATGTCACTCAAATTCGGACTCAACCTAAAGAATAAGGGCGCAAATTCCCTTGGGAAAACAGCGGTCAAGCCGGGCCTCGGGAAAAAGAAAAAGCCACTGCTCGACGATGACGACGAGGAAGATGTCAAGGGAAAGGGAAAGGTGGCAGATGATGCGCAGGAGATTGGCGAACTGAACTTCGACGATACGCTCGCCGCCATCTCATCAGGATCATCCAAACTCGCGCCCGCCAAAGCAAAGAAAGGCCAACCACCAGCGCCTCCTTCTAACAAGCCAAAACCGAAGGACCATGACCCGACCACCATGACCTACTCCGCAAGCGCCGCCGAAGCTGAAAAATGCGCACAAGAAGCCCTAGAAGCTAACCCTACATTGTACGACTATGATGCCGCTTACGAGGCAACACAGGCCGTGCTTGCTGCCCAAGAAGCAGCCGAGCGCGACGACACGGCAGAGCGGAAGCCTAAATACATGGACGCACTCTTCGAGTCCGCGGAGCAACGGAAGAAAGATCAAATGCGGGCGCGGGACAAACAACTGCAGCGCGAACGCGAAGCCGAAGGCGATGAATTTGCTGACAAGGAAAAGTTTGTAACTGGCGCGTATAAGATACAACAGGAAGAGACGCGCAAGGCCGAAGAAGAGGAAAAGAAGCGACAAGAGGCTGAGGAAGAAAACAAGAGAAAGTTCGGTATGCAAGGATTTCATAAGCAGATGCTTGCAGAGCGTGAGAAGAGACATCAGAAAGCTATGGAGGCTACGGCGCAGGCTCTCAAGGACGGCGTCAAGCCTGTTGTGGAAGAGAAGAAAGAGAAGACGGATGCCGAAATTGTCGAAGAGCTTCGCAAACAAGGCAAGAACGTCATACTCAACGATGAGGGCCAGATTGCAGATAAGAGTCAGCTACTCAAAGCAGGACTCAACATTATTGCAAAGCCCAAACCCGCATCTACGCCTACCACCACTGCAGCGCCAAAATACACTCCACCTACACATGCGAATATCAAAGGTGGCCGGAATGCTCAGCGTGAACGACAAACTGCTATGATAGCAGAGCAAATTGAAGCTGCAAATAAGAGGAAGGCAGATGAAGAAGCAGAAGAGCAAGCTAAAATAGAACACGCACGTAAGAGCCAGAAGACGGCAAGCGATATCAGTAGTGCCAAGGAAAGGTACTTGCAAAGAAAAAGGGAAGCCGCCGCAGCGAAAGCTGCAGCAGGCAAATGATATATATAATGATACCCTATTTAATAATTGCATGGTTGCTGCATCTCATCAACTAAAAGACATGCCTCGACCTCCCGACATCATTATTGAGAAGACGAGATATTAATCTGGAGGCATGTCATCCATCTATGTGATAAAAACACATGAGCGCCTATTTCCCAGTTCTTTCCCGGGTGTAAGAATCATAGAAGTGACCATCCCTTATACCATATTATGCCAACACTTTAGTCCAATTATACCAACTCATTGAATTTCAGTAAGAACATGAGCAAATGCTTAGGCGCGACCGCAGTCGGCGCTTACGTAATACACACCAAAGCTCGGCATGGTCTTGCCCGCGTCATATCAACCTGCCCCAGATCTCGGCACTCGCACATCCTCGACCGTATTCGTACTTCCCCGTAGCGAGTCATGCAGCTCCAGGCCGGACACATGGCTTCTCCATTTTTTCCACGCGACTGCGGCTAGACGCTGCATGTCCAGTATTTCAATCTACCTCATGCCCGCATCGAGCCTGCTCGTCTCGGGACGCTCGTCTCGCACCGTTGTGCCGCCTACACGCATTGCATACGATTGAAGATGCCTTCTAAATCACGTGGTTTAAGGACCTCAACAGGTTGGTAAGTTTCCAATATCCTTGTTGTCAAAGGATTGGTGGGGCTCTCATGAGCTTGAGGCAAGGCCCATCCCGTCGCTAATGACGGAATGAAAACGTCTATGCAATGTAAAGGCAGATGAACATTTTAATTCTTTGGCGACACAACTTGCTAATTCGAAATAGCCTAACATGCCGTAAGCGTCGGGTCAAGTGCGACGAAGGCACTCCGACTTGCAAGAATTGTGAGAGAGTAGACCGCGAGTGTGTCTATGCTGAGAAACATTCTGTAACTCGGCGGCCGCGAGCACTGAGTACTCGCAAGGCAGACGAAGCGCCAAATGCCACCGAGGCGCTGCCATCAACTAGCGATGCTGAACCGGCGGCGTCGGTGCCGGCGGATAGGATAAACCCAGAGCCGGTGGATCCCATTCAATCATGGATTCCATTCCCCACAGCACAGCCGGAGCTTACTGACCATGTCATACCTGAAGACGGTTTCTTCCTTGATGATAGCTTGTTCACATTTGGGGATAGTCTGACGCCCAATTTTGGACCTGTCGAATGGTAACGTTGGTCTGACACTATAGACTGACAGGAACTAACGCTCAGAAGGTATGACTTGCTCGCGGAAGACGCGATCAACAATATGCAGGGACAAACTCCGAATACTCGCTGGAACTTCGATGTCGCCAGTCTGTCACGAAGACAGTCCCCCCGACCTTCAGTTGCTCTACAAGTAGGCGATAATCTATTTAGTGACGTGAATGCTCAGGCGATCACTATCCCGACCCAGCCCTGGAATACGGAGACGCGAATCGAACTTAAAGGAGAAGAGGTGATTTATTACCAACACTATGTCAATGTGGTGGCGCCAGTCCTGGATTTGTTCGATCCAGAGAGACATTTCGCCAATGTGGTTCCGCACCTCGCGTTGCGTAACGTGGGACTGCTTAAATCCATATTAGCTGTAGGTGCGTGCCACATGGCCCTCTACCAGGACCAGAGGACTGGAAGCGAAGCTGCATCTCAGCCACAACCTGGCACGCCCGCGTCGACTATGAGCGCCCCACCAACCGCAAGAAGAATGGCTGAACAGTTTTACTACGAGACGCTCCATTATTTGTCGCAAAACCTTATGTACCAATCATACACTGTTTCTCGTGAAATTCTCACGACTGGTATCATGATCTCGACATACGAGATGTTCGGAACAGCTAGCAATTCCGATCATAGTAATTGGGACCGTCACCTAAGAGGGGCTTTCTGGATTCAAAAGAATTCTGGTACAAGCGGCGAATCCGTTGACGGTCTACAACGCGCAGTCTGGTGGGCATGGCTTCGGCAGGATATATGGGCCGCCTTTCGGACAGGGCGGCCGGCCTTGACAATACATCAACCAAAAATCCCGATGTCTGAGCTGTCTTCAGAAGGATTGGCAACACGCATCATATATATTGCTGCTAAATGCGTGCAATTCGCCGCAACTCCCAAACAAGGTGATATCACTGGATATATTGAAGCGGGAGAGACCCTGTTGCGAATGCTAGATGCTTGGAAACGTATCCTTCCGCCCTCCTTCGAGCCAATTCCGGTTGCGTCAACACCGCAAGCAACGTCACCAGCCTCAGCGACGGAAGTGAGCCAGGTGACACCCATATGGATACATCCCCCTGCACATGCTGCTGCTATTCAGATGTATCATTTCGCAAAAATCATAATGATTCTCAACCAGCCGTCTACGGGCGGACTCACGATGTACCAGACGCGCTTCAAGCTTCTCCGCGAGAGCACTTCGACGATCTGCGGAATTGCTATGGCGGAGCAGGCTCAGAATCTGCCATCGGCTTTTGTCAGCTTCCAAGCTATATACGCAGGTTGGTACAACGGATTTACTACTCATGCACTGCACACTAACATTAAGATAGCCGCACTTTGCGCAGAGACACAGGATCGGCAACACGAGATCCTAGAGATTCTCAGAGCTGTCTTGAATATCAGCAAATTTCCTTCAGTCACGATATTGGACGACTTGGTCAACGTTTGGGGTAGTGGTCCAAGTTAAGTCAATCTAATTGGCGGATGGCACAGGATATTGAAGCCATGATATTGCAGTTTCCAAAATTTCACGCGTCTCATATAGCACGACCTGAACCCACCACTGTGTGAGGTATGTCGGATTACCAAGTATACCGAATTCACCCAGAGACTCATGTATCCGGGGCTCTGCCTTCGGGGAATGGTATGACGACTTGCTAGCTTGATCTCGTCGCATCGAGCACCAACCAGATGTTTTTCGGTCCGTTTGTGATTACACTAGCGCACTGAATTACCTGTTTGGGACTATCCGGTAGCTAGTACGACTGACATCATCATCTTGCGGAAAGCTCGAGAAGAGCTCGGTAAAGACACTTTGTGGCTGGGAGTTGAACTAGACAAGTAGCGATCGTGTGCTCGACTCGCTTGTATACGTTCCAGGTACACTGGCCATGGCCTAAAATTCCCCGTAGAGTACTGTCAATCAAAAGCGATAGAGTTAACAAGCTGGCACAGCCCTTCGAAGTACCAGTTTGATCATCCTACTTGATGCCGATTGTGGTGTTCTATTAAAAGGTCCCATGGGGGCTTTCTCAGACCCCATCAATCATAAGCATCATCGTACAACCGTCCTTGGTTCTGATCAACTTGGTCATAAGGTTCCAGCTTTTTGTGACGCCAAATGACAACTTTCTGACAAAGGTTCAAGTGTGACGGTCATGACATTTTAGAGTCAATTTGTGGACCTATGCGACATGTTGGTTCTACTCGAACTCGAGCGGTCAGAGTTGAACTCACTTCGTTGAGTATTACAAAGCATCTTATCGATCCCGTGCATTCAGTATAGGCTTCTTCAATCTCTTCTGGCGTACTGACATGCATAGACCATCTGACCAGTACTCGTAGCTGTCTACACCAAGATCACAGCAATGTAACAGCTCTTGGGCGAACGATGGACGTCTAATCAACTCCAACACGCGCCTGGACAAATTAGGGGCAATCAAACAGCCACCCACAGAAAACACAGAACCTTCTCACTTACCTAATCGCCTGAAGACGACTACAGGCTAAACACTGCCCATTGCGCGCATGCGGAAGCTACCTCCCCAGATCACAGCCGCTATTCGTCATGTCTCACACTCATGCTGACGAACGCGGGTGGCCGCAGCACAGCGTCAGCACCTTAACCTTCCCCTCCGGCTGCGGTAATCCCGTTCCAGGGACTTACCCCACAAAACCTGTGTTCAGACTTCATATCGATAGAGTTGCTCGAGATGAATACTGAGGGCCTTGCATTTCGTTTGCTAAACGACAGCTTCTCACCGGGTCATGGTGTACAGCCGCGAAGGAGTCACAGTGTTGGGTGGCTGCTGCATGACTTTGTACCGATCGTGTGGATTGTGGGGTATGAGGAGATGGGCTTATGGATCTTTTGTGGAGATTGCGGGTGTTGCACAAAGGAATTGAGTTCTTGGAGTTGTGGCATGGCAGTAGTCACACTGGATCCATGAAGATGTGGGGTAATATGCTTGATATTCATGGAAGATACTGCCCTGATCATGAGAGTAGTGGTAACGATGCTCACGAGCATCATATAAAGACTCAAGAAACTCACTTCAAACGGACTCATTTCTCCTCAAACCGAAAACTCACCCTACTCATCTACTTACCCTTTCATCTTCCGCAATAACGACAAACATGAAGCCCGCAAGCGTCCTCATCCCCCTCCTAACCACCTCCACCACCCTCGCCGCTCGCACCCTGCCCCCCTCCTGGTCTTTCACCATAACCTCCCTCCTCGGCCCCGGCTGCCCCGACACAGACAAAACGCCATCTCCGGGTGGTACAGTCACACGTCCAACCTTTGGTTCCAACACGGTCGACGGCACCGAGATCTACTACTGGTTCATCGCCTACCCATGGATGCGCGTTGACCTCCAACAAGGCCCGCGACATACATGGTGCGAAGCGACGTTGGCATATAAGGAGTACAGCGATGCGGGTAACACGGTGGAAGGAGAGGCATACAGGTTGAGGCTGCATAAGAATGGGACGAGGGGCCTGGCGACGTATGAGTTGGAGGAGGGGGTGATGTCGTATTGGGATTTTGCGTATTATGAGGGTGAGGGGCGAGGGAAGAAGGAGGTATGTTCATTCCGACTTTACAATGACAGTATGTTGTTATCGTTGTTGTAGTATAGATACTAACTCATGTGGGCATATAGATTGCTGATACTATTACACTCAATGGTCCTACGCAATCTGGACAGTACGCCCAGCCGCTTTACTCGAATATCAGTTATCCGCCTGAATTCATCCCGCAGTCAAAGTGTGGAAGTAGTACGTTTACTTTTCGCACGGAGATGTTTGTGCAGGGTGAGGCGGGGAAAAAGGGCGTGCTGGATAGCGAGAAGACTACTAGTGAGGAGTTGGGTGTGCAGTATTATGGTGCACAGCAGGGGTTCAGCTATGACTGGGAGAAGTGCTGACTGATGTAAGCTGGGGTTGGTAGAGGGCGGGGAAGATGAAAGGAACCGTGAATGCCAAAGAAGTTTATTTAGTTCATTGACTTGTTCTATAATACAAAAAACTTTTGTCTAATCTATACTTTTGTCTATGCCTCTTTGTCTATGCCTTCTTTTCCAATGCCTTCGCTAATGCAATACTAATGAAATACATAAATCGTAAGAACTGAGAGCAAGCATTCTGAATGCCTCTAACCCTGGTGCTTAAGCCGCGTGGACAGCAATGAAGTCTCCGTCTATTCAGGTTTCAGGAAACGACCGGCCTGGCTAGAAATTCGTGCCGTCAAGGTAGGCTGCTCAGCAGAAACACTGCCATAGGGTAACCTCAAATTTTCCATGATGAACGCAGGCTGGCCAATCTGCTGGAAACCATTCGCTTCCCAGCCCAACATGAGCGCCATCAAAGCGAGGCGATGGCAGCGGCAAGGATGAGTTAGCCGAAACGCATTTTGGATATTGATGGTGGAATGGATGAATTTGTATGAATTCAGTCGTTGCTTACCAATGTCGTTCTTAACGGACAAGTAGTTGAAATTGATATGGATGAGATTGTGCTGGATGAGATCTGCGGATAAAGGAGAAATATCTAGACTAATATAACGAATGTGAGCGACTCCCTCCGTATCGCGATCGATATGTGTAGTACGAGGTTTTCTGTTCTCGGTGAGGTTTTTTGCTATTCGCACCGAACGCATCTTGGGAGTATGGTAAGCTGACAGGTACTGATCTGAGCGTACTTACTCGTGCGGCCGAATTCCCGGCCGAGGTGCGTTGCGTCATTTCTTTGACGAATAATAATCTTTCCTCTCCCCTATAAGGCCGCGACAGTACACAGTGACATAGGATCTTTGTTGAGGCGAGGGGCGATGTCATCCCGTTGGAAGACTGGGTCACGTACCCTCCATACGCACACCATCTGCAGATTGCTACTAGCATCACTGCATCTACTCGGTCGAACTACTAAACAGGCAGATCGCGAATATGAGCTGAGTCAGTTCGTTGGCGGAAGGAGGTGAAATGAACAAGGAAAAAAATCCTGTTTGTTTGAGGAACATTTGGGCGAGAAAGAAGATAGAGGAGAAACGATGGAGATGATATGATGAGAAAGTGACAAGACGATTCCGGATATGACAACGAAAAGAGTCATGTATTGATGATAGTATGAGAACAGGTGTTTGTGAGCTTGAACACTCAGAAGTTCAGTACGCAAAAGTATAATTCGGAGGATGAAAAGGACAAAGCTTGGTATAGAGTACAGTTCCATAATGTACATGATACTAGAAAATCTGCAGTATGTTACACGTTATTCGCTCATATACATACGTACGATATGAATAAGCTCATTACCGCTCGGCCAACATGTTCTTGATCGCTCGCCAGTAACTACCATCTACCTCGCTCCTCAGCTCTTCCTTAGCCAACCACTTGAAATCCTGAAGACCGAGCTTGTTCTCCTTCAGGTTGACTTGACCAGCCATGATGCGCGCCTTCATGAAGAAGGTCTTGGCGCCATACTCCTGGAGAGAACCTGACGGCCGCGGCTCACGGTAGGTCAATTGGTGGTGGCCGATTGGCACGTGGCCGACGAGCCAGGTGTTCATGTTCACACCTCCAGCCTGGGTGATGATGCGGTTTGCCGCCTGGATAATGTTAGTAATCTTGATCTCCCATCCGTAAGTAAAGTGGGGTCATACGCCATGTAGATGCTCGTCATTTAACCGATCCTGCGGAAATTGCCATTGCCCCTCCTTGTTCTTGACCAAAAGATACAGCGTCCGCTGTAACGCGCGGTTCAAGCTCTTGGTGTCGTTCTTCTCGTCTGCCTCGGTCACTCTCGACATTGGCTTTTCAACCGGTTCACGCTCCATCTTCTTTGCGCCTGTGGTGTCTGGCGCATCTTCTAGACCGGATTGCTCAGCGTCTTCCAGCAGCTTTCCAACCTGGTGTTCAAAATTGCTCTCCTGTGCGCCAACAAGAAGCTCGTCATTCCACGCTTCGGCACCATAACCCTGGTATCGTCCGATATCGCGTGCGGGGGTGAGGCGTTGCTTCATCTTTCGCTTCCATTCTAAATCGGCAGGAGTCCGCTTCTTGACATAGAAGTAACGGGTGAATGGCAGGGCCAATCGCTCATTGAGACGTTTCTGGTAGAGGAAGAAGGCGGCCTCGAAGGGATGCAAGTCGCGTGTTATTTGTGGTGGGCGAGACAGGACGACACCAGCATTGACAGCGTAGGAGGTCGACGGCGAGACTTGAGCGACGGGAGGGATATGCTGGGCAACCTGGTCCTCAGTCTGAACGGCGGCAGCGGTGGCAGATGCGTAGGTGCGGGTGAGGGTGTCTCTACATGAGCGACATATTGATTGACCTTGGTTCGTCAGCATTCAGGATGCCTCATGTCCAATTGCCTCGCATACCGGCTCTTGAGACCAGCCGCCTCGTCGTTTGTTGTCCGGCGTTCATGTCTCCCCAATTCCTTTTGCCGTATTCCGATGCTGCTACGGCTGCCCACTCGACATGTAAGAAAAGTTCGGGGAGCGGAAGTGCATTGGGACTAGCCCGCATTACCTAAGCAGCTGTGCCAATAACTTTTCTTCGCCGCCCCCAGACGTAGTTTTCTTCTCTACGGCACCTATCCTTATCCCCAGTATACTCTCACTGTCATGAGATCCTGGTCATTTAACGGTGCCCAGAGGGATTCGAGCAGTCTTTTTCGCTAGCGGTACCTTCACAAATCCTAAGGTGTACGGCTAGATAGATTTTGCTCACATTCTTATGCGCGTGAAGACATGATGCGTGAGAAAACACGATTCGTTGATTGATAAGAGAATATACCAGATTAGTTACTTTAGCAGCGTCTGTGTTTCCTAAGAGCTGTTGGAGGCGTTGGCTTACTGAAGGCCATCTCGTTGGAGTGTAAATGCACAATATGGGTGACCTTCTTGTCTAAAGCCACAGCTCTAGGCTGAGGCCCTTGGCTGGCGCAATGCAGACTCACTGTATATCGTTCATGATACTGCGCATACCTAGAAGGTGACATTCAACTTGTCATATCGTGAACTGTCGGTCTTTCCTTCCCCCGATACTCAAGTCTTGGCATCGAAATTTGGGATTGGACGCGTTCTTGCCGCGCAGAGCTTCGAACAAGGTCCACCACCACAACCTTGATACCCCTCACACACGGCCGAAATGTCTCTCTCGATACCTAATGCCCCCAACGCCGGCTTGTTCAAGCAAGGCTACCAAAAGTATGGCCATCTGCAACCCCGCAACAACTGTAAACACGCAACTAACCACCCCGCAACAGCTACGACGCCGAAGATGGCGCTGTTATTCGCAACATCGATGCCTGTCGGACGATTGCCCAGACGGTCCAGACTTCTCTGGGTCCCTATGGCCGCAACAAGATTGTTATCAACCACCTGCAAAAGATGATCCTTACCTCGGATGCGGCAACCATATTGCGCGAACTCGAGGTCGTACACCCCGCGGCCAAGTTGCTTGTTATGGCCAGCCAGCAGCAAGAGGCGGAGATGGGTGATGCGACCAACCTGGTTATTGTATTGGCTGGTGAGCTGCTGAAGAAGGCAGAGGAGTTAATAAGAATGGGCCTCAAGACAAGCGATATTGTTTTGGGCTACGAAAAGGCACAGCTTGCGGCTCTTGAGACACTGGAGCGTAAGTGAATAGAAATCGTTTGAGACCCGGACAGGACTAATTCTATACAGAATTGGTATGCGACAAGGTCGAAGACATCCGGTCACAAGATGAGCTCAGCAAAGCGATCCGCACCGTGGTTGCAGCCAAACAATCTGGCAGCGAGGACTTCCTTGCCAACCTCGTCGCCGAAGCCGTTCTCGCCGTCCTTCCTAAGAACCCTGCCAACTTCAATGTCGACACGTCCGCGTAGTCAAGATCATGGGTGGTGCTTTGGAGCAGAGCAAGGTCGTCAAGGGCATGGTCTTCGCGGAGGCAGCAGATGTACGTCACAAAGGCACAGGCCAAGCAGTCGAGTCTCTCATGTCCAGTGGACATTTCGCAGACCGAGACCAAGGGCACGGTACTGCTACACAACGCCAAGGAGATGATGGACTTTACCAAGGGCGGAGGAGCAGCAGGTGGAGCAGATCATCAAGGAGCTCTACGACTCTGGAATGCGCGTCGTCGTTGCCGGATCTACCATTGGCGAACTGGCACTACACTACCTCAACCGCTACAACATCCTCGTCATCAAGGTTCTCTCCAAGTTTGAGCTCCGCCGGTTATGCAGAGTGGTTGGTGCTACGCCGCTTGCTCGCCTTGGTGCCCCCATGCCAGACGAGATGGGCACTATCGACGTTGTTGAGACCATGGAGATTGGTGGTGACCGCGTCACCGTGTTCAGACAAGAGAACGAACAAACAAGGACGGCAACTCTTGTGCTACGTGGTGCCACACAAAACCATCTCGATGACGTAGAGCGAGCAATCGATGATGGTGTCAACGTAGTCAAGGCCATCACGCGCGACGCTCGATTAGTACCCGGCGCTGGAGCCACTGAGATGCAACTTGTCGAGAAGATCAAGGCCATCGCAGAAAAGACACCGGGCTTGGCACAATACTCCATCCGCAAGTATGCTGAAGCTTTCGAGGTGATTCCACGAACACTCGCTGAGTCAGCTGGTCTGGACGCGACCGAGGTACTTGCCAAATTATACGTTGCACACGCCGCACAGAAGGGCCGGAAAGATGATGAGTGGACGGTTGGCGTCGACATTGAGAATGAAGATGGTTCTGGTACCCTGGATGCCAAGGAGGAGGGTATTCTGGATCTGTGGGTCAGCAAGATGTGGGCCATCAAGTTGGCGACCGAGGCAGCCAGGACAGTGTTGAGTGTGGATCAGATCATTGTCGCCAGGCAAGCCGGTGGACCCAAGATGCCAGGAAAGGCACAGCAGGGCAACTGGGACCAGGACGACTAGAGTAGAGTTGCTGGGAGGAAACACACATAACGACATGAAATAGAGTCTATGCTATTGCAGCATGGAAAGAAATCAACTCTTATACGTCTCCTCAATCAAGTTTAGGTGTCTCCATTGTCACTCTCAAATCAGAAGGCTCCGATAGTCATTGTTTTGTATTCTTCTATGACGCTAGGCTGGTAGTCTATAGCCTGCGATGAATACGTATGTGGGTGCAGGTTGAGCACAAAACTCCGGGTATCGTTTTTGTGAAGCACAGCCTCCCCATCTACCCAAACGCCGTTCCGTGATCCAATCCGTCGTAAAGCACCATACCACCATACCATGCTGCAGTCAGTCATGGCTGTCTGCCAAGAATATAGAACCTGGGAAGCAGGCTACACTTGCCCAATGGGCATGCCAAAGTTGAGAGGCGGGGTTTTGAGTCGGACGCCGTCGACGACCGAGGCGGTGGATGATTTGCGAGAGTCGGTGGATGATTTCGGCGAGTTGTTGGACGACCTGCGCGAGTCGGCCGATGCCTTCCGACTCAGTGGCAAGTCTTCTTCGACGTCCTTTGCGACGGGCGTTGGCTCAGGGGCATCCTTCAGTCTGCTGAACCTCTCCTGGTCCTTGGCCACTTTTTCAAGCACATCGTCCAGGACGTCCAGTGCAATGTGGTCACTAGCGCCATCGACGGGGTTCGTTGGCAGCATGAGCGGGCCAATCAGGGACTCGTCTTCGTCCGGTGCATGCACAGGCTCCTCCACCGCTTCCTCCTCTGCAGGCTCCGGCATATCATCTTGTACCGGTGAGAAAGAGCGGGGAAGCAATGGGGTGTGGCCTGCATAGCGCTTGTTGGCCTCGGGAAGCGGGGACATTAAAGCATGGCTCGGAGGTGGTGAGGGAAACACCTCGTCATCCAGCTCGGAACTAGGCAGGGAAATGCGTGTGGGGATGCCTGGGCGATTGTGTCGTCGCTCCAGCAGCGTCTTGAAGGAGCTGTTGGGGTCGAGGCTGCCGAGCTGGGCGGCGGTGACGATGTTGTCGAGGCTTAGCGGCTTGTGTGTTGCAATCATTTCGGCGGGTGGTGTAGTCGTGTCTGGTGCGGTAAAGAGAATGTCCGGACGAACATCCATCTTTGTAAGGCCCGCCCAGACGGTCTGTGTTTCGGCATCGCAGTATGGCATAATGATCGAATCAAGGTGCATAAACGCTAGAAGACGATTAGCCGGATTCTGCCTCTCTTCTAGAGGCACGGGCAAACCACGAACTTCATGCACGTCGCGGATCAGGTACCAAGGCCAAGGGCTGGGAGACGGGTGTCAATGGCGCGTGTGGGGTGTTTGAGGTTTGAAGCTTGCTTTGACCAAGTGACGGGCAAACGACAGCGAGCGAGGAGGGTTTTGTGAAAGGACGCGTCCATGCGGGTAAGTTGCTGATAATAAGGGCCTCAGTCTAGCGGGTGGGCCGCGCAGACGCAGACGCAGACGCAGATGCAGGTGCGGGTACGGTGAAAGGGAAACAGCGGCCTGCATCGAGCATCAACACGTCACACGTCATAGCTCGATGCGTGTACCTGGCGTCGACCGCCGCCCCCACCACCACCCCCGGTTGCGCATCCCCATCCCCATCCCCCCCTAACTTAGCAGCCAGCACAACGCTGTGCAGCCACGGCGAATGCACTCTGTGCCCTCAAACGCCGTGCATTTCTGTCATCCTCCGTAGCTTGTCTCTTCTTGTTTCGACCATATTGGCCTCCCCGCAGACCACAGACGCCGTATTGCAAGCCGCCTGCTTTTGGGTTTGCCCGTCTCCCATGTGCATGTCATCATGAGGCCTACATCTTGGTTGATGGGACCTCGGATCACGTTACGTAGTTGTCGTCAGCGGCTATGACCGGCGCCATCTCGCAACACCGTCATCTCGAAAAGCACCGCATCTTCAAATCTTCGCCATTTTAGTCGACTGTAGCCACATTTTGCATAACCCAGCCCTTGGCGACATGAAAAAAAGTCTTCACGTGAGACCTTATTGGCAGCGCCTCGGACGAATCGAGACCCAGGACCTGGAATCCTATTCCGCCGTGGAGGCGAAGAGGGGTAACCAGCTCGTTGCTCAAAATACGTCTTGAGATAGCCTGCAGGACCCTTAAGCTACATAGTTCATCTTGGACCCTGTATTCATCTTGCCTTCGTTTTCATAATTTATCTTCCGATTTTCCACCCCATCGTGCATATTACGCTCTTCCCAATCAGGACGACTAAAGTAATCACTGCAAATGCCACCACCGTCCCGCTGCCCCTGTTAGAGTCAGCTATGGATGCGTTCCCGTACATTGCACCCCATCTCAAGTACTCGGGACTGACCAGGCAAGAAAGAGAAGGAATCGCACCAAAAGCAAATCTCAAAGCCGCAAACATGAACCAAGCTAATTCACCCGGCACCAATACGGCGCAAATGGACCCTATCATAACCGCCAGGAAACACGAAACTATGAACAACCGCAGCTATGCCATACCGTTTCCTGGCAGTTTGAATAATTCCGAAGATGACCTCCAGCCCTTTCCAGACCCTGAGGTGTCTTCGCTTCCTCTGGATACAAAGCCCGGTGCACGAATACACTACACGTACTATCCAGCATCAAAGCCCCATGCCAATCACCCCAACCCATTTTCGCAGACGCTTATTGTCTTTCTTAATGGGCTAGTAATGCCGAGAAGCTCCTGGGACCCTACGATTCGAAGTTTTCTGGAGAAGAGAATCGTTAGTCGGCTACCATATCCTGGTCTATTGAGTTACGACAGATATGGGCAGGGAGATTCAGATCCCGACCCGGACGACAAAGACCCACCACCTTCACACGGCCATGACGCCATATCCGCGGTAAAAGCACTGAAGCAGTTTACGCTGCAAATATGGCGCGAGCATCTAGACATCAACAAACCCACGCGGTACCCCTGTTTAATCTTCGTGTGCAACAGCATCGGCTGCGCGCTCGCCCGCCTCTTCACACAATGTTACCCAGGTACGGTATCGGGCCTGCTCTTCCTCGACAGCATCATGGCAAATTCGGATTACCAAGACTTCTGGCCCAACCCCGATGCGCCAGACTTCAACCCACACACGCTCCCCGATGGCGTCACCGAAGATGAAGTGCGTGCGACGCGGGAAAAGTACAGGCGCATGTTTCACCCCGACGTGCCGAGTCAGGAGGGCTTATCACGACAGAATCTGCCGAAGTTGCTCCCGCACGCGGACGGACCGAAATTGGAGGGGTATCTGGGAAAAGGTCCTTACCTCACCGTCGTAGGCCATGATTGGGAAACGTTTGCGGAACAATCGTGTACGTGTTCATGACGCAGTTCTTTTTTCCTCTTCTAGCCTATTGTTTTGACAAGAGACTAATACTTTGCTGCAAATATAGACACGGGTAGTCTTAGGACTCCAAAGATTCTCACTATGACTTATGCCAACCCCGCTTGGCGGCGCTACAACGAAGGCCTTTGTAGGATTACGGACGAAGGCAAGGCGATTGGGCCCATTACGGCGGTACGATGCGGCCACTTTATTCACCAGGATGATCCCAAGTTTGTGAGCGACGAGATGGTTAGTCTGCTTGATCGCGTGGTCAATCGCGTGCAGCAAGTTAGTAAGAGAGAGTGAGTGGGGTAGGGTGGGGTTGTAACTTTAATATATGCCCATGACAAAGTGTGTGTAATGGTGGTGGAGATGTGTTTGCTTGTTTATAGCTGGATTGGCATATATTATGCTACAAAGCATGGAAAAGTCCTTCCCATTCCCCGTTTCCATCCGTTAGCCTATGACATTTCTCCCATATCTGCGCAAAGAACGCCTCCCATATGTACATGAGTACCTTCTCTCGATATACGTAGGTGCGAGAGAGCTATCAATGTATTCCTGTGACTCCGTCAAATGCCCATCCATCATTCCTATCCGATGCTGGCCCGTCCCGTCGTCGCCTTAAGAGGCCCGACCGTGTAGCTGCATAGGAGCCGGCATGTTGCATATCCAAAGCGCAGCTGGCGTTCTTGATCAGAGTGTCGTACCCGATCGTCTTCCTTTCCTTCAATGTAGCGGCGAGCTTCAAAGCTCATAGTCGCAACCCTGCTGTTCGTAGCGCTGGTATCCAAAACGACGCCCAAAGACAGCCCAGTATACGCCAATCATGCGTCCATTGTAATGTATCCCACATTACACTCAGAATGTTTTCAGGTTTCAGAAATCGTCCATGTCGCCCATGAAGTTATCGTCATCCTTGTCCTTGTCTTGTGTTCTACCCCTCTCCACCTGTGAATGAGTCACAAAATCATCGTCTTCGTCTTCATCTTCAACCTCCTCCTCCTCCTCCTCCTCCTCGTCTTCGTCTTCCTTCTCTTCGAGTAGAATCCTCTTCTCAATGTCGCCCAAACCCGCCTTGTTCGCGGCCTGCATCCTCACGCTCAGTGGGCGATTCTGCATGTAGCTCTCCATGTAACTTGCGCCCAGACTGCTCGGGTAGCCGTAGCTGCCCACCTGGTTTACGTCATCGACGCCCGAGCCGTGCAAACCGCCTACGTAAGTATTGAAATTTGGGTCTTCGTCGGCGAGCTCGTCGCTTTCGAGTTCGGCGGATGTGGCGGTCGAGTTGGGGTAGATGGGCTCAGAGCCGGCGGTTTCTGGGATCGACTGTGCGTGCTGGCTCATAGGTGGCAGATCGAAGAATGAGCGTGTTGCTGTTTGCGCGGCGGTGAAAGGTATGCTTGGGGAGCGCGGAGAGGGCGGTGAGTGGTCGGCTGCAATTGAAATGGGTGCTTGAGCTTCAGAGAGCGCTTTGGTTGCTGAGCGAATCGCATTGGTCATTGGGAGTGGGAGGCTATGGTGGACGGCGTCGCGGTGCTCGAGATAGACAGGTGTCTCTGGTGTCGTGAGGCGCGGATCTATCAAGTCGTCGAGAGAGGCGGTTGAATTGGAGGCCGATGTAGCTTCGCTGCTGGGTGATGTGAGAGGCGGCTCGTCGACAGTATCTGCTGGAAGGACAGTGTGGCCGTCGATAACCAGACTGACTCTCTTGCGGGAAGATCGCGACCGGGGCGTGTCCTTGTGGCGCAGGGCTGACTTCTTCATGGTGGAGCGCTTCGACTTCCTCGCTGCTACTGCTGCTGCTGCTGCTGTTGCTGCTGTTGCTGCTGTGTCTGCGGACTGCTTCTCTTTGACGGTCTCTCCCAGTGCTATGCCATCCATGTCCCTAGGATCCATCCTGGGCTTCCGGTCCTCTTGGGCGTGCTCGGCATCTCTCGATGCGCCCGCCTCGGATATGCTCGGTGCGCTGTAGGCACGATGCACAATCTCGGGCCTCGACAACTTCTTCTTCTTCTTCTCGGGCGACGTGTCGCGTGCGTCGAGTAGTGGCAGGAACACTGGCGTGACTAAGCCATAGAGCTCCTTCTCCCGCTTGTGCACCTTGGTGTGCTTCTTCTGCCTGGTCCTCTCTTCGGGCTCCGGGTCTGGGTCAGGCTCAGACTCCCTCGGGTCGGGCGACGTAACAATGTGCTCAGCATTAGTAGTGCAGGTGCCTTGGGCAGAGGCTGATTGTTGATCGCATTCCATTGAGCGGTACCGGTTAACAAGCTAGGCCCGAATCAGCCACCTCGCACGCATTGTCATCAAAGAAAGGCAAATGGATGGTACCTCTTGCTCATGCTGGCGCAGTTCTTGCTGCTTGGCCCTAATATAGTGCTGAATGTCCTGCTCGAGCTGCTGGCGCCTCAGCTCGACACTGCGGGCCAAGCCATCCAATTGCTCTCTGGTGAAGCCTGGGACCTCGGCCAGAGTCGGGTCGGCGTTGAGAAGCATGGACTGGGTTTTGAGAGTATGTGAGTCTTCTGATCGGCGGGATGGGAGCCGCTTTGGGCGAGTGCCGGGCACACAACTTTGGGTCCTTTCTGTGGTTATATAGAGCGGGAATTGTTATGAATACTTGGCGGCACCTGAGCAGCGTCAGTCGCACTCATGGCGGGCGGTTATATGCAGCGCCGCCTGCGATTGTCGCAGTGGCCCGTCGCGTACCTGGAATCGGAGACTGACGCATTCGGAATCCAACGGGCGATTGGACGGGAGCGAGGTCACAGGACTGCTTTGCTGTGGCTCACGCCAGGCAACGGCAACGGCAACAACAGACGCTCACGCGGACGGGCGGCGGCAACACTCGCGGGCGTACGGGGCGGAGAAAGAGGCAAAGACAGGACTCTAGATTCTAAAATCTCTGCTGTCCTCCGACGGTCATGAGGGGCACGCCGCCCATGGATCCCATCTGAACGCTTTTCACTCTGGTTACTATCAAACACCCGCTTTGCCTCTTCAGACCGGTAGTGCCGTGGGGCTACTCAAACGCGTGCAGAGATCAACGGCTCTAGAAGCGTTCGGCGTCGACATAGCCAACCTCGACGCTGCCACAACACGCGTACACGCCCCGGCTCTCTCCAGCCGCCAGCACACTGAGCCTGTGTGCGCTTTCCATCGCCTTAGCCGTCAAGACCCCCACTTTGCGCCTGTTATCGTCCTGTTCACATGCTCCCGACCAGCCAGCGTGAACGGCTGGAGGGGTTCCCCGATGCAACACTCGGTAGCGAACGTGCACCCAGCTCTACCGATCAATCTCCGCGCTACGGGGCTTTAATTTGCACGTGCGCCAAGCCTTCCGTTATCATGGCATATCACGTGTTGTGGGTCCTTCACTTTATGCGTGTGAGAGAATTAATCTCGTTATCATGTCTCTCGAACCAGGCGCGACTTCCGTCAGACATACACACGTAGCGTGGCCCCCTTTTTAGGCTACGGGCCGGTGACAGCTAGCAAGCGTAGTTCGATCTAACAATCAATCAAAAGTAAAAATAGAGGAGAGTACCTGGTTAGCCTCCAGCAATAGTTCGACAGCTAACCCCTGGAAACTGCAAACATTAGCGCGTCAGAACTGGCACGACATCACGAGACTTGAGCAATATATTTCCAGTAGGAATTATGGGTAACTAGACATGTTTGAAATATATACCGTGATTGAGAGGTTCTGGCATAAACTAGATCTACTTGAAGATGAGTCTGTTTTATACAAAGGTGACAAGACTCCCATGGCTTTAATCTTGGTAACAGTCGCCCTGAAGCACGCTTTTCCCCGTTGTATAGGATGCAATACAATTACTCCGACCACAGTCCTAGGGTCTCAGTTCCATGACCAGCTGGCTCTGTCTTGCTAGTAGCCCCGATATAAACTGTTGTAGACATGGACAATGTCACTAGGTCTGGCGGCGATTTTGCGCTCATCACTTCGTGCTATAACCGCCACATTCGTCTATGGCGCGGACGAAAGATGGCCGAGCATGGATGAATGAGGCCATGAGGCGTCTCCAATGCGCGTCTTGGCGAGTGTTTTCTTCTTTGCCATCCGAAGGGTTTTTTGTGAAAATCACCCCCCACACCCTCAGTCGCCGCTCTCTTCTTCTTTTGCCTTCTCTTCCTCCTCTGCCTTCTTCTTGTCCTCCCATTTCTGCTTTTTTTCCAGAAGTTTTTGCAGGTTTTTCGCGCCGTTGAAAACACCATATGTCTTTGCATTACATGCCGCACATGTAGGATCCTTTCGGTATCTCTTCAAAGCGCACGCCTCGCAAAAGTAGTGGCCACACTTGGTTATGATGGGGGTCTTGTACGGCTTCTTGCAAATGAGGCAGGCAAATGGTATCTTCTCCAGAAGCGCAAAATCAATGCCATCTTCATCCTTTTCTTTGTTATCCTTGTTCGCAGAGGCGACAACGGTACCTCCTGGCTTTTTGCCCTTGGTGGACATTTCCCACTCGCGATCCAGCTTCCAGCCGGCCGCATAGTCCTCACGGGCGTGGAGGAACTTGCAGTTGTCGCCGAAACCACAGAAGCCTGTCTGCTTGTAGTCCTTGCATACATCTGGGGTGTAATCTGTCACGGTGATTGTGCGTATATTCGTTGATGCTTTCATGGGCCCTACTTGGCGATTTGGGGCGTCGGGATTCTTCTCGATGAACGTCGTGGGTTTGGTTCGCGTGGTACCGAGCAGATTCTTGGAGCTGAGAGCTTCATCGGCATCCTCTTCGTACCAGTTGGATTGCTTGGTCGCATCATTGCTTGCTTCTATTACTGCCGAGCGATTCGCGGCGTATTGGGTCGTGCCCTCTACTTCTGGCTTGATTTGCTGATCTGTTGTCGATGCTTTGAGCGCGTTGCTGTTGACCTTTCGCCGCTTCACTACGCGCCCATCTTCGCCTTCAGCCTCTGACCCGGACGAGAAATCTGAATCTGAGTTGGGAGGTGGCGGCGCGACTTTGCGGGGCGCAGCTTTTGCTCCTCGCTTTTTGAATTTGACTACAGGTGTGTCCATGGTGTAGGCCGGGGTCGAATGAAAGGCGGTTGGTAGTGAGTGAGGTTGGCGTGGGACTGAGCGTGTAAACTTGCACCAAACGTGTGGCTGAGAAATCACAGCACGTGACGTAATCTGGGGAAGTGGCGCAATGGATTGGGTCATCTCAGCGCGTCGGGAGATGCACCGAGATCATCGTCAAGTAATTTGGAGCCGTACTTCAGTACCTCCAACAATGCCATGGTTGTAGCGTTCGGGCCTTTGGGTTGGGATTTGAAAGTGGCGCGGTAATGGCAGGATATTCGGCGATGCTCGTCCTAGCAGCAGTCGGACAAAGACGTGAACCTGTGTATACACAAGTTGCAAACATGTGCATCCCAGTAGCACCACTGGCCAGACTGAGAGTACCAATCTGTATCAACCACCCCTTTCATGCCTTCAAGATATCCCTGCTATCAGAGAATGTATGGTACTTGTGGTAATGCGGCGCGCGCCTCGGAATCCTTCTGATCCAATCGCGTACACAAACCGCCTTCCTCGGCCTAGCAGTGGTGAGGGGCCCGCTGCACGCCTACGTAGTCAAATGGAGACGTGCATCAAGTGCGCAGCTGCTGCGGCTGGCGCGAACCTACGGTGGGGTACATGAACCTGCACCTCTATTGATGTTGTGGGTGCACCTCTGGCTTGCTTGAAAGCGTGAAAGCGTCAACGCGCACGGTCGCTTCATTTCGCTCTCTGCACAACATCATCCGCGCTCTCGTCGTCCCTCCTCCGTCGCCTCTGTCGCCCCTCCAGCCCGTTCGGCATTCCCTTGTTGTTTCTTTTTCGTTGTCGTTCCTGGGCTCTGCCTGGTAATGCGCCTTTGCTTCTTTTCTCTAGTCTGACCCCTAACGCCATCGAGCACCAGCACCAGCAGTCGCCGTGCTTCCCTTTGCCTGCCTGCGCGTCATCCTCCACCAAACGTCTTTGTGCATTCCGGCCTCGCCCTGGCTGAGTGAAACACACAAACGACTCTGCTCACTGCTACCACCGCACGCATCCACCCCTTTTCGCCGCATTCCGCGCTCCTTGATTGCTCCTTCACCACACCTACTACCTACACGCCAAGCCACGCCACGCCCGCTCCTATATCTATCTCCCCCGGCTCCGTCGAAGCGAACGAATCTACGCGGGCAATGGGACTGTAGGACCACACGATTAGCGACACCATGGCGGCAGCAAATCCTCCGCCGGGCGCGCTCTCGGTGGAGCACCGAAATGGCTCTGACCCGTTTCTCATGGCACCGCAAGACAACCACCGCCAACGATACTCGGCCTTTGATAATTCGCAATTTTCCCTCTATCTCAACGGATCGCCCATGCAAGCAAAGCGGGCCCTGCAAGCCCATTTGGCCGAGACGACGCGCCGATTGCAGGAAACATCGCATCTCGGTAATGCGCTCGTCCAACAGCGGAAGGAGCTCGAGGACAAACTGCAGGAGGTCGAGCATCAACAGGAGGACAACGACATCGGGCCCGAGTTGCGCCAGCGACTGGCTGAGCTGGAAAAGGAGTTCAACGAGGTTGGCAGGGAGACAGCTCGTGCTTTTCTCCCAAAGTCCCGCGTGCCCAGCGGCGAGACGGACGCGATCGGCGGCGCTTCGATCTACTCCAGTGAATCCGTCGCCTCGCCTACCAAAGTGAGCGTCCCGTCGCGAAAGCAGAGGAACCAGCAGCCGAGCCGCATTAATGATATCGCCCTGGCAACTGAAATCTCTACGTCTCTCCTTTCTCAACTCAAGGAGCTCCAGGCTGTCCTGCTTGAGAAAGATGAGGCCCTCAAGGCGGCTGATCTTGACAGATCTCAACTGGAAATTGAAGTTGAAGGCCTGTCTCAACGTCTCCGTACCCTAGACGAGAGCGAGTCGCGACTCAAGGATGTCAACTGGAATCTGGAAACTCAAGTTCGCGAGTCGGAAGCGCAATCCAAGGCGGCGGCGGATAAGGAACACCGCCTCAATCATGCGCTCAACCAAGCTCGCTCAGAAGCGTCAACACTGGAGAGGGAAGTTGAGGAGCTGAAGCAAATGTATTCGAAGCTCAACGACGACCATGTCAACAAGACCAAGCAGCACGAGACAGAACTCTCCAGTCTCCGCCGTAGTGCCGCCATGGCTGAGACTGAGAAAATTGCAATGCAGCGCAAAGTCGAAGAGCTCACATCCAAGAACCAGGAGCTGGCAAAGGCTATTTCGTACCGTGCAAGATCTGAGGAGCGTGGCCATGACGACAACTCATCTGGCGATGATGATGGTGCAAATGATGATGATCGAACTCCAGAGCACTCGCCTCCCGTATCTCCAGCCAAGGCTACTCCCCGTCATGGTCAGCTCGAGTCGGAGACCTTGAAGCACTCGCTCCAGCACGCTCACCGCATGATTCAACAGCTCAAGAACAACATCCACCGTGAAAAGACCGAGAAGATAGAGCTGAAGCGCATGCTTCAAGATGCCCGAGACGAGCTGGACACCACGCGCTCTCTGGTTGGACCCGGCAGTGCCACTAAGCGAAGGAAGAGCGATAAGGAAATGTTCAAGAAGCCCGCTCGCCCCGACCGTCTTGGAGCATACCGCACTGGCACACAGGAGATTGTAGAAGATGTCGAGGACGACGAGTGGGAGGAGCAAGAGAGTGTGCTCGAAACTCCAAGTCGGCCTCCGCAACAATCAGGCTCCGCACCAGTATTGGTTCCGGTTGGATCTAGGACTGTTGCATACAATGGGTTTGAGACTGCCAACGAGACATCAGATGCTGCTTTCGAGACCGCCAACGAACGCGACGGCATGACAACAGAGTCAGATGCATTCCAGACCGGGGCCGAGACGCTGGACGAAGACAGCAGTGACCAGCTGACCGAGACCGAAAGCCCTACCAAGGCTGCTACACTTCGTAGTCGACCATCGATTGCGAGTGTGAATCGCATGAACTCCTTCCGGAGTACAGCATCTGCTTCTGGTGACGAGGATGAGATCAACTTCAGGACACCCATTCTCCATAAGAATTCTCGTTTGAGGTTGAGGCCGAGGGACAGCAGCACCCGCAGATCAACACCAAGGGGCGTTCCAGACATGTTTGTCGGCACACCGCCAGGGTCGAGAGATTCTCCTGCTAGCTACATCAGCAGCAGCAACGAGAATACTCCTGCTCAAGGCAAGAGCCTCTTTGCGGAATTGAATGACCTCAGTGGGGACGACGACGACGGCAGCTCTGTCGAAGGTACACCCAGCCGATCCAGTGTGGTGTATGCAGGTCACTCTTCGCCAGATATGCCGAGAAAGCCCATGCTCCAGAAATCAGCCATGCACTCTGACATTTCAAGACCGATGATGGTAGACTCAGGCATGATGACTGAACCAGATGTTCCGCAGCCCGTTACACTGTCTTCAATTTCTAGCCAGACTACGGAACCTCAGCCTACACACCTACCGACATTGCAAATGTCCTCCTTACATTCACAGGGCACCAGTCCACGAGCTCCACCTCGTCCCGATCTCCGTGTCTCTTCCATTTCTTCTCAAGGTACTGACCCCAAGCGTGCGGTCCCGCCTACTCTTAATTTTTCAATTGTTTCCGGTCATACCACGAGTCCACGCGCTCTCAAGGTACCTCAGCTGGCTGTGTCTTCCTTGTGCGCCCAAGGAACCGAGCCACGAGCTCCTATCGCACCGTTACACGCGTTTTCTTCATTGCACGCACAAGACACAGCACCGCGAGCGGTACCTGTTACCCCCTTAATTATGTCATCGGTGTCTACCCATGCCACCGAGCCTCGACATGTTACTCCCCCATCCCTTGGCCTGTCAGGTTTCTCCGCACAAGGCACTGAGCCTGTTGTGCCAGTGGTGGAAAAGACAATCGCTCCTTTACTAGGAATGTCGTCTGTCTCTCACCAGACTACAGAACCGAAAGAGCCTTCTGTATCGAATCTGTTGATTCCAGGAGCGTTGTTGACATCTGCTATGTCCACCCAGTCGACGGTTCCCAAGGAACACAGTGAGGCCGAGTCAAGCGTATTTGAGTCCAAGTCAGTCTCTGATGAGGCCTCGCATACACCTGTGCAAAGCTCTCACGAAAAGGAGCAGCATGTACCTCTTCGGGTGTCCAGTCTGTCTGCTCAAGCGACTGAACCCAGAGATGTGCTGCAGAAGCAGGCGCCGTTGATGCAAATGTCAATTCTGTCATCTCATGCGACCGAGCCAAGAGAAGTACCGCAGAAGCAAGCTGTGTTGCTGCAGATGTCAAATGTATCATCTCATGCGACCGAGCCAAGAGAAGTACCGCAGAAGCAAGCTGTGTTGCTGCAGATGTCAAATGTATCATCTAATACGACCGAGCCTAGAGATATCCCCCGGCCAGCCCTGTCGGTGTCCTCAACAGCATCAACACAGGCAACGGAACCGCTCGCGCCAAGCCGAGAGAAACAACAGTTTTCTCTGGTTTCGTCACATGCTACGGAACCTTTGATGCCACAGCTGCCAGTTCTGCAGATGTCCGGCTTCTCTTCTTGGTCTACCGACCCTGTCGAGGTGCCTAAAGCAGCCCCAAGACAATTATCCCCAGTGTTCTTCCAGGGATCCAGCCCTGTAGAGCCCTCAAGACCTGCACCTCCCTCATTCTCTGTGTTTTCATCACAGACAACTGAGCCGATTGCACCAAAAGCATCGGCTCTCGCGAGCTTTTCAAGTGTAACCGCCCAAGGCACTGAGCCTGTGCAGCCGATACAGCAGACGCCGCAAGTATCGGCCATCAGCGCTTTGCAGACGGAGCCCGTGGATGCTTCAGGCTCTGTCCACCAGTTCTCTGATGTGCGGACTGTTCATGATAACCAACCTGAGTCTCCAACGCTACCAGCGTTCCTTCCGTCTCCAGCACCTCGTCCGTCCACGGCAAACCGTGTTGAGATTCCTGCCATGTCATTATCTTCTCTCGCTACTCAAGGCACTGAGCCATTATCGCCGTCAAGACCTGTAACTGCCCAACGAGCGGTTGTAACGTCCTCGACAACTACTGCTTCTCAGACGGAAGCAACGGAGAATCAGGATTCGACTATGCCTAAGCTCAGCTATTTGAATACTGTACAGCCTTCGAACAGGGGTACCTCTTCCGAGACATATACTTCCCCCACTGAAAGCAGAGATGCTCGCGTCCCTCTAGGGGCTTTGAGTACCAATGCCGTACTTAAGAGACCCCGGGCACCAATGGCCGACGGTGGCACCCAGACCATGGTGTCTGCTGAGCAAATCGACAAACTGCTGCTTGCCCGTAGCCAGCGATGGAGTAGTCTCATCAACACAGCTGCAGTTGAGAGGGCTCTGTCAACCCCCGAGTCACCCACTCGGAGAGAGGCAAATGAGTCAAATCGGAACCTGAGACGTCCTGGTAGCTCTGGAAGTATGCGTTCTCGCACTGCAACGCCGCCTCCGCTGCCTTCAGACCACAGGGAAGCTATTGCTGCAGCATCTCTTAGGCCCATGTCTCCGGGGAGTCTAGGAACAATGGGACCACCCTCAAAGCCGGCGTCGGCCTATAAGAAACGACCGCACACGCCTACTATCAAGACAAGCAGCAACACCCTCACCCCCACACCCAAGACTGGCGGAACCACGCCCCGGGTGCGTCGACAGTCACATCGAAGTGGAGCATCTTCACCACTCAGCCACCGATCATCATTGTCTTCATTCACCTCTGAGCTGGATCAACGCTTCAATATACCGGGCGGCCCATCGTTTGCCGCAAATGAAATACCTACCGGTGCCACAGATAAGCGCATGATCCAGGCGATTACTCAAACCATGATCGGCGAGTACCTGTGGAAGTACACCCGCAAGACTGGGCGTGAAGGCATGTCTGAGAATCGCCACCGACGTTTCTTTTGGATTCATCCTTATACAAGGACGTTGTACTGGAGCGACCGTGACCCTCAAAGCGCCGATAAGTCGACACTGAAAGCCAAGAGTGTAGCTATCGAGTCTGTTTTCGAGGTTGACGATCCCAACCCTCTCCCTCCTGGGCTTCATCAGAAGAGTTTGCTTGTCATCACGCCTGGCAGGTCGATGAAGTTTACCGCAACCACGGGTCAAAGACACGAGACATGGTACAATGCTCTGAACTACCTATGCCAACGAGTCGAAGACAGTGGAGAACAGCCAGAGAAAACGGTGCCACCGGTGCCACAGCTGGAACAGGAGAGGGAATCAAAGAAACAGCCCTCTGGAGAAATTGATACCGAGTTCAACGCCGGATACGGAAGCATGTCGCGACAGACGGGGCGTTCTAGAGCATCATATGCCATTCGACACGAAGCTTCTCGCGAACACACTCAGGTACCCACGATCCGGCAGTCAACTGTGAAACAGCATCGTGCATCGTCAATCGAGCCGCCGGCCCACGGTTCTATCGGCAGGTTCAGCATGCTCCGTCCTAGCGTGTCTGCTATGCGCGGATCATTTGCTAGCCGTCGCAATAGTAGGACTGAATCAGCGACGTACGAGGAGCCCAGTCCTTCGGCTCTCGAGCTAAGCCGTGACATCTACGAGCACGTGCAAGAACGCGATGAAGACTACATCATGCCTAATGTCCGAGCGTGCTGCGATGGTAAGAAGGCCGAAAACCAAATACTGTATTCAGACTAACATCTGCAAAGGAAAACATGATGTTGCACATCTCCACCAACATACGATCAAAGCTCGACACTCCAGCGCCTCTGTTTCCAAGCCGTCACTGTTCTCCATGAGCTCACGCGCACAATCACGAACGGAATCCCGCACAGAATCTCGTACAGAATCTCGTACAGAGTCCCGCACAGAAGGACGTCACGAGATGGAGACGGCAAACTATGGAGCTGGTGCCTAAACTCCCTCCTACACCTACAAGCATTCCTTTACTACCCCTTGTGCTTGTGTCGACGACACAGCACTATACTAGTCAATGACTTGACTGACAGTCTTTCTTTCCTTAGCATTATCCATATCTCTTGGGGATCGCCCCCATTTTCCTATGTATCTCTCAGCTCATCTTTGGGCATTCGGACGTCACACTTCGGTTTGGATTCGGATTAAACAACAGCAAACCAATACTAGATGTGGGTTGAAGGAGCTTTGGGCATGGCGTTCACGGATTAAGCATTGCCTATTGGATTTGCGCAGCACGCTCGACTAGGGGTGGAGCTGTACATTGAGACGACCTGACGCATGCCCTTCGGACTAGAATCCGACTTCATTCCATTCGTCTAGACTCGTTTCTCAGAACGTTTGTAATTCGGGCTTTATATTCCCTACTCACTCTGGAGTTGTCCTGCCAGCTTTGTTCTCCTATATTGTTAGCATGGTGGTGTTAGATAATGTATTACTCGCTGTTTGAGGCGCATGTTGACGGCCAGCTGTTAGATTGATAGGGAACGAATCAATAAAGACGTAAATTGGAAACATGACAAGTCGTGATGTTGATGCTTATGACTCAGTAGTAGTAGTAGTAGTAGACTTCTGGTAGTTCATGATGGATCGGGGACGAACAAGGAAATTCCCCGTGGGCTACCGTGGATAAGAAATTGCTTATGCGGCAAGGGTAGGCACGATCTGGGGCCAAGCTGGTGAATCTAGGCGAACAGCAGGTTGCTCATACAACTGTGAAGTGGGTTATGATAGCAAGTGGGCTTGGATGTATGAAGTTCATGCATGTTGATGGGCGCCCCTTGGCCAGAACGCCAAGGTGCGCCGTGCGTCACCCACAGGTACTAGCGGTTGAAACACCAAACTTTCGCTCCAGCCTACGCGTTTGCCATTTTGTTTCCCCCCTCGATCACACCAACATCGCCAATCGCGAATCACGGATTCTCTATCAAACCTTTCTTTCTGCGACTGCGGGCAGCTTCCTGTATATTTAATAAACTTGCGCGCAGCGCGACCCACGCTTAATACGAATCACCGCGACAGGGGAGAGCGCGACACAGCACCCTACGTGCCCCAACATCCAACACCAACACAAGACACATCAGAGCCACTTTCCAGCCACGCTTGACCTCCCATTAAACCCATTCATCACACCGAGACACAACCGCAACAATGGCACGAAACTCGGAGAAGGCGCACTCGATGCTCTTCCGCTTCCGCGCAGCTCAAGCTGCCGAGGCTGGAATCATCGACATCTCACGCACCCGCCGCCCCAAGCTCATCACAGCCGTCAACCAGATCCCCGTGTGCGAAAAGTGGCGCGGCCAGGTCCTCAAGGAGATCTCGCGCAAGGTGACCAAAATCCAGGATGAAGCCCTTTCAGACTACCAAATCCGTGACCTCAATGACGAGATCAACAAACTCATGAGGGAAAAACACATGTGGGAGAGCCAGATCAGGAATCTGGGTGGGCCTAATTACATGAGAGGTGGGCGGGTACTGGACGAGGAGGGACGCGAGGTTCCGGGAGGAGGCAAGGGATACCGATATTTTGGACGAGCAAAAGACCTGCCGGGTGTAAAAGAGCTGTTTGAGAGGCAGAGCAGACCAGAGGATGACATGGACAAGGGCCGCGAGAAGAGGAGCGAACTCAGGCAAAAGGTGGATGCGGGCTACTATGGCTACAACCTGGACGAAGAGGACGGCACACTGCTCGCATACGAGAAGGCGAAGGAGAAGGAGGCATGGGATAACTTCATGCTACTCGACGACGATCTCACCGACAAACCTAGCAAGGCGCAGAGAGAATGGATGGAGATACCAGGCGACGCGGGTGATGGCGTGCGGTGGCGCGTACCCACACTCGAAGAAGTCAACAACGAGCTCGTGGAACGCAGGCGAAGGAAGCTCCTCGAGAAGCTCGGCTGAAAGCTTGATTGCACATACATTTCCTTTGGAGTTTTGCTTTGGCGGTATAACACTACTGTACAATAGAACAGACTGCGAAATTTCCACGGGCAGATTTTTCTTCCCTGTTGTCGCGAGGGAGAATACAAGGGTCGTAAGATTGATACCCACCCTTCTTTTCGCCGGGTCAAGCGGTTTGCGTCAAAAAGAAGCCTACATATGTATATCAGGGTCATGCATGGGCTGGAGGACATGAGCAAGAGCAAAGTCCGCAGTATAGAAAGCATGTGCGAAACGTTATAGAATAATACTCGTGCCTGTGCTTAATGCGAATCGAACGAACTATGACAGTGAAAAGGTGCTTGGGTATCTCTTATTCGTATATGTTTTCGGTCTAGAGTAGTCCTTCATCCATGTGCCCGTTATTTGCATACACGACGCTTCTTCATTCCTCCTGTTCCCCATTGCCTACAGAGAGCGCGTTCGTCTTGCACATATGTGTGTACTGTCCCACGTCATACCAACGTGCACCCAGTCTTTCCTTTTTTGCTTGAACGAAGAAATCACCTTCGTACATTCAGCTCTTGATGAAAAGTGTCGTCCACTACCAAGCTTTCTTCCACAGCTCAAGTCGTAAACAAGGTATCTTCCTCTCTCAGATACTCGCCAATATCCGCTTGTCTAAACGTCACAATACCCGTAGGATCCAACTTGCGCGCCTCAGCCGTCGATCTCGCACTTACTCCGAATCCCTAATATCGAAAGTCAGCCCAATTCCTCTCCCCTCAATCTCTCTCGCCCAACTTACCAGCGGTGTATCATTCATACTCAACACCACAACACCCTGATGTTCAGGACAGTCCTCGCTCCACCTCCCCACGTGCGCCTTCAACACATTGCCGCCGTACAAAAATGGCATCTCGCCATTCTGCTTAACCCAGACCTTGTAGCGGGCGTGCGGGGCGATTACACTGAGCGCGGTGATATGGAGGCGGAATTTTCCTGTTTTTGTGAATTTCCCCAGGCAGATTCCTAGACTGAGGAGGTTGTCGCGGGCGACGCTTGTGGCGAGGTTGGCGAGGGATTCGCGCACGTAGTAGCAGCGGGAGCCCTGGAGGTGTTAGATTGGTGAATGGTGGATTTGGGGTTTTTGGAGGTTTTGGAGGGAGACGAGGTGTTGCAGATGGTGGTGATATGGAAGGGCGCATAGCTGTGTCCACTGGGCTACTTACCTGTACGCGGAAGACATTGCGATCGTTGCCGCCAGTTGGGTCGGCAATGAGGTTCGATATACCTTTTCCGCAGTATGTAGCGAGTTTCTCGAAGAGGACTTTAGTCTCTGGTTCTGTGAGGGGACGCATCTTTGTGTATTGCGGGCAAGTTTGAAGCTTGGTATAGATTTGGATGGTCTTCGGCGCAAAGTCGTAAAGTTCGAGATTCTCTGCCTGTCCCCGAAGAAAATGTGGAGCGGAAAAGCGGCTAGTCTCCGCCCGCCGGCGTCCTACCGCCAAAATTTCAGAATTGTTTGCGACGGACTCAAACACGAGAACACCAATTCCGTTCCCACTTCTATATATCCGGTTTCTCTGGATATTTTCTCTTTTGCGAAATCATGTCCCGAGTACCGGCTCCGAAGAGAAGAAGATTGTCGCCGCCGGAAGATGGTGCGCGTGCGAATGGAGCGACAGAGGACCACAAGGCAAAGTTTCTGAAGAATGCGGCCAAATGGGATCTTGAGCAAGACTATGAGACGCGGCCGCGCAAGCTGAAAAAACAAAAGGAGAATAAGAGATTACCAGTCAAGACGACGGAAGGATGGGTAGCGGCGGCGCCCACGGCACAGGATGTCAAGGACGAAGAGTCGGATAGTTTTCTAGGATCTGGAAGCGAGAATGAAGAAGTCGCCGATTCGGACGTCGAAGAAGTTGAGGAACAGAAGCCCAAGATACCCGCGCGGCAACAGATACTCGAGGCGAAGGAAGAGCTTGCCAGGATAGCGAGTTTAGTCAATGAGGACCCGGAGGAGCATATTGGGGCGCTCAAGACGCTGCAGGCGCTTGCGGACTCGGAGAACATTACGGTCAAGAAGCTGGCACTAGCGACGCAAGTTTCCATTTTCAAGGACATCATTCCAGGGTACAGGATACGGCCGTTGTCGGAAGAGAAGATGCAAGAGAAGATTTCAAAGGAGGTCAAGAAGCTACGGCAATTTGAGCAGAAGCTGGTTTCGAGTTATGAGGCATACATCAAGCATCTAGCAAAACTGGCAAAATCCAGTGGATCGAACAACGAGCAGATTGCTAGTTTAGCAACTGTTGCTATTAGTTGCGCCTGCAACTTGTTGAACTCGGTACCGCACTTCAACTTTCGCGGAGAAATACTAAAGATCTTGGTCGGAAAACTAAGCATGAGAAAGGTGGATGCCGACTTTGTGCGATGTAGGGAGGCGATGGAGTCGCTGTTTGAGAACGACGAGGATGGCAATGCTGCGCTGGAAGCTGTCACCATGCTCACGAAGATGATGAAGAGTCGGAATTACCATTTCGATGAAAGTGTGCTGAACACCTTCTTACATCTGCGACTGTTATCCGAGTTCTCCCAAAAAGCTTCCTACCATTCCGTCGACAAGGCGGAGCAACCAATGGTCAATGGCAAGAAGCTAAAGCAGAAGCGCGAGTTCAGGACGAAGCGGACACGAAAAGAGTTGAAAGAGAAGAAGGCAATTGAGAAAGAATTCAAGGAAGCAGACGCAGCTGTAAGCCACGAAGAGCGCGACAGGATGCAAGCCGAGACACTCAAAATGGTCTTTGTAGCCTACTTCAGAATCCTCAAAGCCCGCTCTCCAAAGCTCATGGGCGCCGTGCTAGAAGGTCTGGCACGCTACGCACACCTAATCAACCAAGACTTCTTCGGTGACATCCTAGAAGCCCTACGCGACATCATCGCAACCGCCGAACTCACAGCCGCCGCCTCCATTGAAGAAGATGAAGACGCCTCCGATGACGATGACGACAATGAAGCCCCGGACCGTAACCTTACACGTGAATCCCTACTCTGCGTCATCACCGCCTTTGCCCTCCTCGAAGGCCAAGAAGGCGCCAAAACAGCATCAGCACTCAAACTAGATCTCAGCTACTTCATCACCCATCTCTACCGCACTTTGCACCCTGTAGCCCTAAACCCAGATATCGAACTCAGCTCCAAATCTCTCCATCTCCCGGACCCCAATGCCGCAACCTCGCATGCCGACACGGCCAAAATTAACGTCCAAACTACCATTGTTCTCCTCATCCGGTCGCTATCCTCTATCCTTCTGCCTGCTGCTTCCATCCGCGCCGTCCCGCCCCTGCGCGTCGCTGCATTTGCTAAACAACTCATGTCCATCTCGCTGCATCTGCCGGAGAAGTCGTGCACGGCGATGTTGGGACTGCTCAACCGCATCACAAAGACGCATGGCAAGAAGGTGGCGCCGCTGTGGAATACAGAGGAGAGGAGAGGCGACGGTGTGTTTGATACGCTCAAGGCGGAGATTGAGGGTAGTAATCCTTTTGCCGCGACGGTTTGGGAGGGCGAGATTCTAAGGAGTCATTTTGCGCCTAGTGTTAGGGAGGCTGTTGGAGGTGTGGAGAGGAATGTGCTTGAGGCTAGTAAATAAGGGGTATTGTTGTGGAGGGTGGGGGATGATGGGTAGGGCGTGGTGTTGTGGGTGCGAATATACTCGTTTGTTACCTTCGCATAGATGATATGTCGCGATGTAAAATGAAATAGGCATTCAGGGCTTCCTGGTTGTTGTACCAAGCCGAGTTCCACTACCCTTATTTCTCTATTACACAACGTTACTAAGTATGAATACTCCCATTCGCTGAAGTAGTGAAGACGTTTCTCAATCATACTATTCTCATGTTGTACTGCAGTGGGCTACTGAATTCTCGGTCCGCTAATTGTTAGCGTGGCTTGTACTTTGTGCGGGGTGCAGTTTTAGCGGCATCTAGACATCGAGAGAATTGAAAGTGTCACATGGTAGCGGATGTCCCAGCCTGGTGTTCGGGTCGGATAGGGCTGGAAGGGGTGCAGATAGTTTTGGTAGGTGGGATAAGTCTTAGGGTTAGCCCCTAGGTAGTATATACGATTCTTTAGCAACGATGTGGATCCGGTCAAACCCCGAAGTACATGTGATAGAGTGTCAAATGTCGCTTTGCATAGCGATCGTTCGGTCACAAACTGGAACTAAGAGGTCAAGGTCCTAACAGGATGCCACACTTGCATCTCTCGAGTGCCTTCAAAGATCTAAAGGAAGACAAATAATACGGAGTTCCATTACAGCTTCGTTCAATTGGTGTATTGAATCTGGAAGCCGTATGCACGTCATCGAATGGTTGCGCTTTCCCCGCCTCGAGCTAAGGTAAAGTCTTGCTCAGCCCCAACACCCATCCACTCACACTATCCACACACCACTTCAAAAGACGCTCTTGTAAAGAGTATTGCCAAGGACTGGTAAAGTTTGGAATATGGTCCGATGATTTCTCTTTCAGCTTGAGCGTGTCTGTCAGGCTGGAAGACCCGATTGAGACATCAAGCTGAGAAGAAGCACGGTGTTAGTTAGATCGCCTACATGCGCCTCCGCACGCCTCAACGCCGTAGAACCAACAGCTGAAAATGGATGCGACGCATTGCTAGTGTAGACTTACGAGAAGCCGAGCCATCTAGATGTCTGAGGTTCAAAGCAAGTCGATTACAACTGCCTAAGTAGTAAATAAGCATACAAATGGATCCGTGAACCACTATATGCACTAACGTATCATTTCGCAATATTCACGTTACCTTTCGGGTACACTACATGAGGCAACATGTGAACGACTTCCAAGAGCACTTCATTGATGGCGGCTGTTATCTCCACCTACGGCACGCTAGGCTGCGCCCACGTTACTAGACGCCAGAAAAAAGTCGACTTCGCTTTCACAAGAATCCAGCACTCATGGTATTTATCGTTCCTCTCCGCTTCAGTGTGCTGTTGCGTTGCCCATCGTTCCCTTCTCATCTGTCTTGTCTACATACACAACCCAAAGATTTTTCGGGGCATACAGAGTAGCAAAAATGTCAACAACAGATCTTCATTCGAACCAATGGTATCGGATGTCAACAGCAGATTCTCCAACTCATTATTTCTCTTACGAGGCCATAGCCGGTATCCCTAAGGATGAAAAACAACAAGGCACGGAGTGGCAAGTGCTTCGGTTCAATTCTACAGTCTGGGTGATACGCTCTCATCTTGGTGGAGCCGACAGCTACCTAGGTGCTTTTGTGAACAGCAACGATACTGAATCACTCACCATGGTTAAAAATGAAACGTTGGATGACAGTGTATATTGGGAAATCACGTCATGGGGCGACGAGTTTTGGGCTCTTTCCACCTATCCTACGCTTGGAGAGCATGACGTCTATAAGAGACAACAGTATACGACGACGACGTCGATTTCAGAGCCTATAGAATCGGCCGAGTTCAAATGGTCCTTTAAAAGTGTCTCTTTCATCAATGACGCTGCTTTCTCTGGCATATATGTAAGGGGTGCTCTGAGCAATGGCAGATGACAGTACTAATATTCTCTCAGTTACCAGATTCTTCGATGACAATATCGGATATCTCCGCTCTGGCTTCTGCCACCGCTGGCGTAACATCTTTCTCTTCCGCCACCTCTTATCCAACATCTCCTGACAATACCGCTCCGCCCGGAGGTTATTATACGTACTCTCCAGGGCTCTCTTTTACTGTCAAAGCTGCCATTGGCGCTGGGATCGGCATTGCAATACTCATCGGACTCATCCTTCTGGGCTTTTGTCTGCGTCGGAAACGAAATCAAAGAAAAGCATGTGAAAGTTCAGAACCGGAGGTACAGAACCACAAATTCCTGCCTTCCACCAATAATGATCTCAAGTACAACACCGAGACCGTTTACGAAGGACCATATAACAATGTTGAGTTGGACGCCCCGGTATACTATGATCATAAACCCGCCACCGCGAACGACTACAAGATATCAAACAGCAATGTCGCTCTAGCAGCACCGACAGACCTCAAACCAAAGTATAGTACCGCGGAAATTCACGAGTTGCCACATGGCGATGTCGCATCAGAAGCGCAGTTAAACCAACGTCCGGCTGAAATGCCCACTGTTGTTTATCAGGCCAAGCATGAACTTGAATAGCGTATGGGACACAGCTTTGGTTTTATCTTTGTATTGCTTTGGTAATAGTTGTGAAGACGAGGAAATTAATGCCAGCAGCCGACATTTGGTTAGCCTCTGCAGAGATGGCGTGTATTTGAAGAGCCTCGTAATGACTTCGACACGCCATCGGGGTTTAGTCACAACTAAATATCACAATTGAAATATTGATACCGAACGTTATCGGTGTTCCGACTATGACCCACTTAGATTCTGGACCTCTTTCACAGCTTATCACATCTTAAGGTCTTTCGACCGCCGCCACTGGTGAAAATCGTCAAGTACGTACTCACAAACGAACTCCAATAACCTCTCGATCCGCGACACCTCCCCAACTTCGTCTCAACATCATCCTTACGGCACTCTCCCTATGGCCGTCAGAGTAGTTACTCGGCTTTTCTTGCCGGATCGATCCTCGCCGTATGCGAAAGAGAGCTTGGAGCACTTTGTTCGTAACTCTTGCTAGCGGGATACATTCGGAGGAGCTAAACTAGCGGTGTTGGTATCAGGGGTAACCACTTAGGGAAATCATGCTATTTCAAGGCTTGGTGCTGATCATCCCAGAGGAAATTCCGGCAACCTGGTAAGACATGAAGATCGCCGCTTGTGTAAGGAATGATATTTCCACAACAGAGACTCTTGTTTTCCAAAGTCACAGAGCTCACACCCAAAAGACCACGTCGCTCCATGCGCCTTTGCGCTTACGTGAGAACACGAACAGCCAAGTCCTCGGTGGTACCTCTGCGGTAAGCACTGATCGCTAAAATGATGTGCATCCAGTTAATCAGCGCGTGCACAGAATGCTCCGGGCACCCATGAGGTAAGTATAATCTAACTCCCGTTTGCCGAAATGATCGCCGTGTATTTCGATAGTTGCTTCCAGCCTTCCACATGGTCCCGGGTAAGGCACATATCGCGATAGGTCCTAGCTTCGGTAAACTTGTCAATCAACAGACCCCTCTCGTATACAAAGACCTGCTCGTATTCTTTGGAAAGCATACATACGCGACCTTTGTCATTCGATGATTGAGAAGAAAGGAGCACAGCCGTATGGCTCCCAACAAGACATGTTGATCATTGATAATGGACATGAGAATGCCATGTGTCCGAGAGACCTCCGGCAGGAGATTGAGAGATTCTTAGGCTAAGGTAGAGAGCAAGAGGAGTGAGCGCTTCATCTTTTTATTTTTAGCCCCGTACCCCCGTTTTTACGAGGTATGACATACCGGTACATATATATCGTGTTGGTATCCCCAATTTATTTTTCCCGTACGTGTGATCTGGAAACTGAGAGAGACAATAACAATTAAAGCTCTTGGCCCGTTAACATCTGTCGTCGTCCCTCCGTTGTTATTTGTTATTCGTCATGGCACCTACCAACCTCAGGGCGTTGTACGCCCTCCTTGTGTCGCTATCGCTACTATCTGTACTCTGTGCCGCAGGCCCAGTGGAAGACCTACTCGCAAAATGCCGCCCCATCATGGATGCGCATGTCGCAAAGTCGCAAACATGCACAAAAGATAAAGTCCAAATACGACGAGAATGGTAAACATCCCTCTCTCTCGCACTCCCCAACGCAACTCTACCTAACAAACCATATAGGGGCGACCTCCCCGTCTCTAACAGACACGCCTACATCAACGCCGTAAAATGTCTAATTAATCGCCCATCTAAACTCCGAGACTGTCCCGGCTGCCGGAATCGCTACGACGACTTCGTAGCCATGCACATGAAAAGAACGGGCGACATCCATTTCACAGGAAGCTTTCTGTCTGCTCACAGACTTTATACCACGGCATTCGAGCACGCGTTGCAGACCGAGTGCGGATACAATGGTACACAGCCGTACTGGAACTGGGGCCGATTCGCAGATAACATAGACGCAAATCCACTGTTCGATGGGAGTAATAGTAGCATCAGTGGCCAGGGCCAACACCAAGAACATCCGTCTAATCGCTGGAGGCCGGCGGGCAAGGGAGGCGGGTGTATCGCTAGTGGGCCGTTTGTAGGATTGCAGGTTAACCTGGGGTATGTTTCTCTCCCTCTCCCTCTCTTTGCAATCTTTTTCTTTCTTCCGCGAGGACGCTCTGAATGAAATGGCGACAAAGAGACTGACATCTTCTAGACCCATAGACCTTGCGGATGGCGCGGATAAAATACCCAAGAACTCTCGTCGAGACGGCCTGGGATATAACCCTCGCTGCGTCAAGCGCGACCTGACCAGCTACCTGACCACTCGGTTTACCCATCCCCAACAAATCGCCGATTTCATTACGAAGCACAAGGATATCAAATCGTTTCAAGACGACTTCCAGGCTTTCAATGGTATGCACTCGGTAGGGCATCTGACGATTTCAGGGGATCCGGGCAGTGATATGTATGTCTCTCCTGGAGATTTGTAAGTAAACTTCCCTCTCTTTTTGTACACCTTTCCATGCCACGGCAGTGGTGATTTGAATTTCGCTAACGGTGAGCGATGGTAATAGACCTTTTTGGTTTCACCATGCCATGGTTGACCTCGTTTGGGCCCTTTGGCAGTGTCAGGACTTTGAACACAGACAGCAGGTTATGGCGGGTCCTGCACACAGGGACGGTCCTGGACCTCAACAGACTCTGAATGATACGATTGATTTCGATGTGGTTAACATAGGAAGGCCTTATAAGCTCAAGGAGCTGATGAGCACAGTCGATGGGCCATTTTGCTATCTGTATGAATGATTAGCGAATGGGAAACCCTTAGTATGCACGGCAATATTAATACTCAATCATATTTAATGCTAGAGCTCACCTTCAATTCACGTCAACACAAAGAACACGCCCGTGAACAGATGAATAGAAAAATAATGTATTGATGGTCCTCAGATTAGCTCTCCTGCTGTCCTCAGAAGGAACCTCGTCTATTCCCCATCAATCGGTCTTTCAACCTCTCAACAAGCAACAGTCGGGCTCCTCAACTCGACTTTGGCTTTAATGCCCCCACAGGGACATCATCACTGGACCCCTTCTGCCCGTCTGTAAACGAGACTGTGAAAGCTACCCACCTAAACAGCACCGCTACCTGGACCCACTAGCCCCAACGACAAAGACCACGCATCCCCACACTCAAGGCGCTCGGATTGAAAACTACGTGTCAGTCATCACAAGCGAACTCGTCCTCCAAACCAGTAGGCAAGGTAGCACGGCGCTTCTAACCTTTTACTTTTTCCTCAATGCGCGGTGGGGAAGGTCAGGGCCAGGGTCCATGGTAAAGGTGAACCCAGTAGCATCGCGAAACCACCTACGACCATCGCGGTGCAATGATGGCCTAAGTGATATGGCTGCATCTAGTATGATGGCGCACTCCCTCTGATTTCCGTTCTTGTTTGTCATGCAGTGCGACGCAAAAGATGATTAGTCCTTGGCATCGCCTTGTGACGGAGGTTTCTCGTTCACTGGGATCTAGGCGTGTTAGCTTCGGTTTGATCGCTATAATCACGCGCTCAAGTAGAGCATATAGAACAGTACTGGAGACTCGACGAACAACTTGTGGGTACTTACTCGCTGCTCAGGTTGTGGGTAGTGAGGGAAAGTTAGTCGCGCAGGCAGCACCGAAGTAAAGCAGGCGCGAGATCACGGGACACGCTAATGGCACGCTAGTGACGTAAGCGTTCACAGCCCAGGGCACCTTTCCACACGATTCGACATCAGTGCCAAACATACCCGAATAGGAAGGACTGACAGGGGCCTTCTATAGCCCCACAGAATGCGGGATTATCTTCTAAGTATATATACCGTCACCCGAACCACCTTGAGTTCTACTTCCAAAGTTGTCCACCGCTTGTCATCCATATCAACAAGCACCGAAAATGTTGGCAACACGTCAATGCGCTCGATGTAACCAGTAGAGCATAACAGCGTATATACATTCATTATAGATAAGAGCACCCAACATCATGGCCGCTTCCAATACCTCCATGTAGCCAGGCCACCTAAATTGGATGCTAGAGCAACCTCAACCCAACTCCGTTTGCTTTCATCGACAGTCTGTGAGCGCAACTATGCATAGAACTGTTATTATGGGCGGAGACACGACAACGGGTTTGACAAAATAATGGTGTAGTTTTGATTCTAGTCGATATATGTTAGGTGGAGTAGTGTGACAATATACTAGGGAATGAAAAACGATATGCGTGCCCCTTTCCCGACCGCTTTTTCCAATAACTCCATCATCCAACCCTGTACAGCGACGTCCAGTCATTCGCGTCCCCAACTTCGACGCACCCATCAACCTGTACCATGGGACGGGCCTGCCACATGGCAGTCTTCTTGCCTTTGAACTTTAAACATGAACTACTCTTCTCCTAGAAACGGTCTCTTTGCCTCGTCCTGTAGATAGTGTAGCCAACATATCCACCAGTGATGGCCAGACCGAATAGGACAATCTTCATGAAGAACCACGTCCAGCTTCCACCGCTGCTGTCGCTCTTTCCCCGATACGTAGATGAAGCGGTCTTGCCGCCTGCGGTTCCCGAGGCCGGGGCGGCGCCAGGGGTTCTCTTGTAAAGGTTCATCGACCTGACACTGATGATGTCGTGGTTGTCGGAGAGTTCACCAGTTTCGGCGGAGAAGCCCAAGTAGGCGACGGGCGGGACTTTGAAGTTGGGGATCTCGAAGCATTGTGTCCATTCGTCCTCGGACTTGTATTGGAGTTCAAGACGAAGATATTGCTCTTGGAAGTAGGTGAGGCGGGCTTTGGTCGCGACTTGGGCGTTGCGAATACCACGGGCCTAGTTCAAAGGTTAAAAGACGTAATTCCTGTACGCGACACAGTACATACAGAGCATCCAGCGATCTCATTGGACTTGCCATCGTTGTCCTTGTCGTAGGCTGTGTTTCCATCACCGTTCATGGCCATGATATAAGGAAACACAGTGCCTGGGCGGTTGTTCTTGTAGGTATCGAAGAAAAGACCGAGGCCCTCAAACTTGTCCGTATGGCCAAAGACATTTCCTGGTTGTGCACGCTGCTTGGTGAGCCACATGGCAAAACCATCGCCGTAAAGGTTCCCCTGTCCGTGGATCTTGAACTCGAATGTGATCTACTCGCGTCAGCTCCCAGTATGAGTGATTGTATAGGGTACAACGCACCTCCCAGTTGGTAGCTGTGAGCGGCACTCGGGAAAACAACCAGCCATCGCGAGAGGGCTTATCCGAAGCGAGTCGAATGTACTTATCAGTTCGAATAATGGTGTCTCCGCCAAAATCCCACCAGCGGCTTTGCATGTCCGAATCGAGGTATGGCTATACGTGGTCAGAGTTTCGAAAGTCGTCTTGATGTGGGAGACAAGACTTACGGGCTCGAGGCTGTGTGTCCGCAACTATATCGTCGTTAGCAATATATCTCCAATATGTTCGTTCGAGTGGCAGCAGCCTACCGAAATGGCCTTGATATCAGGATCCTCACTCAAACCACCTGATCGCGCCAATGCGCCCGTCAAGCTTCCCGCCAGCAAGCATAAGCTTGTCCATGGCCTTGCGAATAACATGGTGGTCGTCGCCTATCCCCAAGGTACCAACAGAGTAGTGACGCGCCGAAAGAAGGGCCAGAAGTGCTATGGGAGGAAAAGAAGGGCGCAGAAGGGCGACTTGGACTGAAGTTGGTGAACACTGGGGTCGGAAAGGCCACTCTATCACCTCCGCGTGTGGAGCAGGGGTCTTTTGGGTTCCGCGAAACTACGCTAGCGAGCACCCGCCGCCGTTCTTGACGTCGACAACGGAACTTTTCAAGACGAAAACACAAAACTCTCTCCCCGCCAACCTTGTCGCCCTCCGACGAACCGCAATTCGCTCGACACCACAGATACATACAATCAAGCAAATGGACTCATTAGGCGGCATGTCATCTTACCCCAGCGACCCGAAGACGGCGGTGATGCGTCAGGTGCAGCAAGAAGCTGCCATGCAGAATGCGCGCATGCTTGTTGAGGTATGTATTCTCTCCCATACTGCAATACTTACCGCTCTTAATTTGCAATTCACTGACAAAAGTGCAGAAACTCAATGAACACTGCTTCGAGCGCTGCGTCCCCAAGCCCGGTACCTCACTCTCAAAAGGCGAAGAAAACTGCTTCACAGCATGCATGGAGAAATATATGAGCGCATGGAACACAGTCAGCAAACAGTACGTTGGGAGGATACAGCGCGAGAGTGCGGCTGTGGGTAACCAGGGCTTGTAAATAGCTGGCATGACATCAGGCCGCAGTATGGGGTTGAATGTGTTACCATTACGATATCCAGGACCACATGTACGAGTATGGGATGACAAGGTCGATGCGACATGCATTGGGTGGTATGATGATGAAAAATGTACTATAGAATGTACAACTAGCTACAGGCACTTTACAAAACCTGGTATATTGCCGCTTCACCACCTGCCATGTACACCGCTTACATCTTACCCGCCGACTTCTGCTTCTGGGCAAATTCCCTAACAAAGACACTGCAATTGACCTCTTGGCACAGCCTCTTCCTCCTCTCCGGGCTCAACTTGGTCGCAAACTCCAGTCCACTCGCCCTCTCTACGGCCTCTAGCGGTACCTCAAAGTCTGTCAAGGGCTTGTGGCTCGGAATGACGGCATTTGGCAGTACAAAGGCACCCAATGCTACCTTGCCGCCCAGCTTTCCATCTTCGGCGAATATAACCTTGTAGAAGTGTGTGGGTACGGCGACGTTGGGTGGTGAGCCAATGACTTCGTACGAGACGCGCCATTTGCCGTCGGCCTCGCGCTTGGGGAGATATAGAGGTCCAGTCACGACGCGCACAGAGGGGTACGAGTGCGTGAGTCTGCGGCAGAAGTCTTCAAAGTGTGCCCAGTAGTCACGGTTGAAGCCATCGCCTACTTGGGGGCACATGTTGCTCAGCGCAAAAGTAGCGTCCATGGCTTCCTGACTCCACTTTGCATCTGCAGCGGGCACTTGGTGACCTCGGTCATAACCACTTCGGAAGTAGTCCTTGAGCTTTGCACGGAACATTTCCGGAATTGTGATATCCTCGACGAAGACGCTGTGCTTTCGGTCGGCTTTGTTTTGTGCTAGCGACTCGGGCGTAATGTGCTCGGCAACCCATGATGGATTTCGCGTTCGTCGATCGTAGGATGATGTGAGCGAGGCGGCGGGGCGGAGGTCGTTGACCGGGCCTGGGAAGCCATATTGGAAGAGGCCGTTGGGGTCTACAAGAGGACTTCGGACTGTAGCCGCGGGTGAGGGAATTACAGGAACAGAGGATCCTACTCCAGATCCCGCGCGACCAGTTACCGTGGTTGTGGTTGTGGTAACAGATGGTGTCGACGCAAAGCTCTCCTTCTTCCCCGAGTACAGTACCGCCGTCGCCGCTGCGCCGGCTGCTGCACTGCCAGCAGCGACGATTGCGAAGGTGAGTTTTGACATGGTGGATACAGCCGATCCGCGAATACGTGGCTCGAGGACTGCCGGTGCGCGTGGAGGCCTCTTATAAGCTAAAAGGCACTCTCACAGGTCCAGGGCCTTGGATAGCGCGTGAGAAGTGTCTCAAGACGCGTCAACTCTGGTTCGCTGGCGCTTTCTCCCAGTGGTCATCTGCATTTTCTCAGACAGTGGAAAGAGATGCCAGGTTCCGCGCTTACCGCATCTACGCTAGCGTCGACAGCTCATACCAAGACGGATGTGAACTTGAATCCTCTACATCACTTGGAAGTCATCTGTCCTGCCTACTTTATTCTCACAAAATTGAATGTCGCTTTTTTCCTACTTTTTACACTCTTAACCTCAGGCTAAATGGCTATTCTGTTTTAGACTGGGTGCACCTTCCCACAAACTCTAAACCCAACTGTCAAAATGCCTTCGTGGGTATCGCGAGCCACCGAGAATCACAATGCACAGCTCATCACCACAGCCGCCGTCTCCGGCTTCGTTGTTGGCAGTGCGATTCTCGGTTTCCAAAAGGCCCGACGTATGATGAGAGTGGCAGACCTGAAAGCATCCATTCCAGAAATCAGTGACGACCATCGCTCGTCGAGAGTAAGTAGACCTACATCACATTGAACTTGTCGGAGAAAGACGTGTACATGTTCAGGCAAAACAGCTGACTTTCAACAGCTAACTGAATATGGTGCCGCTTCAAAGATCTTTGCGCCAAGTAAAGAAGATGAGCGAAGTATGGCACTAGCTGCAAGAGCGAGGAAAGGTGACTACGATGATGGTACGAGATTGTATCTTCAAAGTGTCGATTCAAGTTCTCACCAGATTTATAGATTTAATCCTTGAACAGCTGGCGAGGAATCGAGTCTTCCTCACAGATTCGGGGCTCCGCAAGTTACGCAATGCTTTTGTGGTTGTAGTCGGTTGTGGTGGCGTCGGCTCACATGCAACGGCGGCTCTGGCTCGCTCTGGATGCTCCAAAATTCGGCTCATCGACTTTGACCAGGTCACATTATCTTCTCTAAATCGACACGCTGTAGCAACTTTAGCTGATGTCGGAACGCCCAAAGTACATTGTCTCCGAAAGCGACTTGAGCAAATAACTCCTTGGACGCACTTTGAATGCCGGAACGAACTTTTCAGCGAACATACTGCGGCGGCACAACTAGCGCCTCTGAACGGCCAGCAACCGGATTTTGTCATTGACGCCATCGACAACATTGACAGCAAGGTGGCACTTTTAGCATACTGTTATATGAACAACCTCAAAGTCATTTCCTCCATGGGTGCAGCCTGCAAGTCTGATCCTACGAAAATCTTCATCGGCGACATCTCAGCCAGCACAGACGACCCCCTGTCAAAGACCACTAGGAGAAAACTGCGGTTGAAAGGCGTCAAGGACGGCATCCCAGTCGTATATTCCACTGAGAGGCCCGGCCCAGGGAAAGCCGAACTTCAGCCGCTCTCTGAAGAAGAGTTTGCGAAGGGCAACGTCGGAGAGTTGGGTGTTCTTGCAGATTTTCGCGTGAGGATTCTACCGGTCCTGGGAACTATGCCAGCAATCTTTGGGCTCGCAGTCGCAAACCATGTCATCCTTTCAATCGCTGAGTACCCTCACGAATACCTATCGGCAAAGTCCCGTGATAAGATGTATGACGGCATTCTAGGAGCTCTCCAGGGCGCTGAGGAACGTCTAGCTCGTGCATTGTTTAACGAAGACCCTCTAGGTCTCAAAATCCCCATCACCCAAGCCGATGTGGGCTACCTGGTAGAAGAAGTTTATAGTGGGAAAAGTATAATTAGTGGTGTATCTACACGCTTAATTCTGTCGAGATGGAAGAAGCCGGCTCAAAACTTCGTCGATCAACGTACACCTGGCCAGAAGCACAGTTCCTTGAGGATGAACGACTTGGTGCTCATGACAAAAGAAGAGGCTAGCAAGCATGAAAGAGAGGTTTTGAAGGGCCAAAAGAGTCTAGAAGAAGTATACGACGCCGCAACGATTGAGCGTGTAAACAAGAGGTTCGCAGAAGAGGAACGATTTGAACGTTTCAGATGACGAATAAATATCACGATAGCATGAAAACACCAGACTCATCAAGTTGTTGTTGCTGCACTACAGCGGCTACAGCAGAGTTTCAGTAGGTACAGTGGCACCACATCCCTTTCATTTCGATCCCGTGACATGGAGACGAGACCCCATGAAGCCTAAAACCGTCTCACTAAGCCCGTTAAGCTGTCGACTATTTGCATCGGTGGGTCCTCCGATGACATTTGTCGTTGGCCCGATATCCATCGGCCGACACGTTAGCGCACGACACGAGGCCAATGGGAGTAGACCACACTCCCGCTATTGGTACTATACCCGGTCGATAACTTTTTTCTCCATGACGTATCGCACCAATTGACACTACGAAGTGCGGCTCTAGACGTTGTACTACGGCGAACAGATCTATGACGGACTAACGCGGTTATCGCAGCCAATGAACTGAGCGACAAGGGCCTGGCCAGATGGTAGCTGGTTCCACAATACAAGTGCTGTCCGCGTGGAGAAGCTTCCAGTCGGCAAAGCTATGGAGAACGTCATACGAAAAGATTGACGGAGATAACGGCAGTAGCATACATATAAATGTTCGTGCAAGTCACCAGGTAGGGAACGCTATTTAACTCACAAACCCAACTATTTCAACTCCGCATAACACACTACCTACCAACCAACCGTATACAACAAGATGGCAACTGACACCAAGTTTGAGGGATGGCTCGGAAAGGACAAGGATAGCGTCCAGGGAAAGATGGAATGGGGCCAGTTCGAACCAAAGAAGTGGACAGAGGACGACGTCGACATTGAGATTTCTCACTGCGGTATCTGCGGGTCAGATCTACACATGCTGAGCTCTGGATGGGGACCTACACCATACCGTACGTCCAATTCTCCGGTCAACTATGTATTCACGCTAACATATTCAAGCCTGTGTCGTCGGCCACGAGATCATCGGCAAAGCCGTCAAGGTCGGTTCAAATGTCAAGCACGTCAAGCAAGGTGACCGTGTCGGTGTTGGCGCGCAAGCACGTTCTTGCCTACAGCCAGACTGCCCAGACTGCTCCAACGGCATTGAAAACCACTGCCACAGGGGTACCGTCAACACCTACGGCAGCGTCTATCCCGGCGACGAGGGAAAGAGCTACGGAGGATATGCTACACACAACCGTACGAACGGGCATTTTGTCATGAATATCCCTGATGGCTTAGATAGCGCCGATGCTGCACCTATGCTATGTGGAGGTATTACCGTCTACTCTCCATTGAAGCGATACGGTTGCGGACCCGGCAAGACCGTAGGAATTGTCGGTGTCGGCGGTCTAGGTCATTTCGGTGTCCTCTTTGCCAAAGCCCTCGGCGCAGACAAGGTCGTTGGTATCAGTCGGAAAGCTGAGAAGCGCGACGACGTTCTTAAGCTCGGTGCTGATCTTTACATTTCCACCGACGAAGACAAGGACTGGGCTAAGCACAACGCACAGAGTCTCGACCTGATCATCTGCACCGTTTCCAGCGCAAAGATGCCTCTAGATGGTTATCTCGGCCTGCTCAAGACCCATGGTACTTTCATCCAAGTCGGAGCTCCGGATGGTGGGGAACTGCCTCCTATTAACGCCTTCACCCTGCTTTCTGGTGGCTTGAAGGTCGGAGGTAGCGGTATTGGTGCGCCTTGGGAGATCAAGGAGATGTTGCAGCTTGCGGCGGATAAGAAGATCAAGCCGTGGGTACAGAAGCGACCGATGAAGGAGGCTAACAAGGCGGTTGTTGATATGGTGGATGGAAAGGCTAGGTACAGGTATGTTCTGGAGAACTAGATCATAGACGACGAATAGATAGGATAGAACTGGGAGGTCGAGATGAATAATGATGATACCAAACGTATACCTATTCTATGGTAATCGTTCAAGCTTCTAGTATTCGAACATTCTTCATTCACTGACCAACGTGAACATGGCTTTTTTCGAATACCCTCACTTTTGAAGAATGTCTCAATACGGCGTTATAGCTGCGCTCGAATTTTCATCACCATGTCCAAGGAGTCTCCCTCCTTACGTTTGGATATATCTTAATTTCTGCTCCGCGCTGTGGAGGCGTTAAGCGTATTTAGGTACTAGGCACTCACCCAATACACCATCAAAGCCACAACAAGAGCCAATTGAGCGACTCAAGTCTCCATACATACACCTGTAACACGAATACCAGCGCAAGAACAACAACTCGAGATAGTATCCCAGTGTACATCTCGGCCCCAGCTCGGCGAAGGCCCACGACTCCACATTACACATATCTCCAACTCCCCTCTCGACCATGCTCTCCAATAACTCGACGCCGCGCGTACTTTTCGCATCGGCCCTCAACCGTAAAAGATCATTGACGACGTTCTAACCCGCCCCTCACGTCAGCTTTTTCTTCCCTTATGCCGAACCCCACTCTTATTCCCCGCAATACTTAACCCTCGGCCTCTGACGTCTTCTGTCAAACATGGATGAACCATGACATGTGTATACGTACATAAAACCCACAACCGCCAACGCATAGGACACAAATAAGCATTCCAACCCGCGAATTCCTCCCCTCCTTCTTCTCTTCTTCTTCTCCCTCTCTCATCCAAAACACCCAGATTCAAAAAAAAACCCCCCCAAAATGCCACCCACATCCATCATCCACGTCCCCCACCTCGGCGGTATAACAGCCTCGTACCGCCTCTCGCAACCCTACAACGCCAAACTCCCCACCCTCGTTCTCATAAACTCCTTTACTACCTCCTCGGCCCTCTACGACAATGCCTTTTCCACGCCCGCACTAACATCTACCATGAACCTCCTTGCCATCGAGCTCCTCGGCCACGGCGGCACACGTGCACACAAGACGGACAATTGGACGTACTGGGACACGGCGATTATGAATCTGCAAGTCATGGAGAAGTTGGGGGTTGAGCGGGCGTTTGTGTTGGGGACGAGTCAGGGGGGTTGGGTTACGGTGCGGATGGCGCTTTTAGGGGGTGACAAGGTGAGAGAAGATTCTCGTTTTGGATTTCGTTCTACATGGGGAGGGAGGAGATGTATAGACTTGTTGAACATGAAAAAAAAGCATACTAACAAGTAAACCCACCAACACACAGATCCAAGGCATAATCCCCCTTGGAACATCCCTAGACTCTGAATCCCCCCGTTCCCGTGACCTGGGCTGCTGGCACGCCGTCGAACCCCTTGCCGAGCGCATCACAGGCGAGTTCGGACCTTCTGCTGCTGGTGATGGTTTCGCGCCCAGCAAGGACTTTGTTGATTTCCTCGTTGATGTCGGTTTCGGGAAGGCGTGTCCAGAGGATGTGAGACGCTTTTGGGAGCAGGAGATCAAGAGGAATTATCAGGGCGAGGAGGGAAGGAAGAGGATTCGCATGGCGGCGATTAATTTGAGGGATAGGGATGGGCTGCATTTGAGGTTAGAAGATGTGAGGTGTCCGGTGCTCTGGTTGCATGTGAGTTTTTTTTTCCTCAATTCAATCTAAGTTGGGTGGTGGAGGTGAAGGTAGGGAGAATGGCCAGCTGACAGCATATCAGGGAACGGACGATGCGGTATACTCTGTTGCAAATGCAAAGGAAGAGATCCAATTATTTACCAATTCGCCCGAGGCAAGGCTAGAGGTTATCCAGGGCGGACAGCATTTCCTCAGTGCTTCGAATCCAAAGGAGGTGAATGAGCATGTCGTAGCTTTTGTGAACAAGTACAACAAAGCTGGGCCCTTACTATAGTGTATACGTAATCTAGCGCATATCAACAAACGTACAGCCACCCCCAACCCCAACTATTTCAATACAAGTAAAATACCAGTATTATGGCGAACCATACAAGGCCGAGCGACCCATTCACCAAAACCCCTCCATCTTTCTCGCACCACCTCTATCCATCTCTAACGACCCCGTTATACTTTCCCTGCGCCACAACACTTCTCCGCGGAGAATACTCCGCTAGCCCCCGATATTCCCTACCCACTGTACGCGCCAAAAGCAAAACGCTCCCACCACCGTTGGCTATGTGCATACAGGCCCTCTAGCGCCGGGTCAGCATTCCCTAGTATGAACCAGGCGGCATATGCGGGAGGTCTAGGAAAAAAACGAAAACGATCCCCCCAAAAAAGCACTGATGAGATATGCAAGGAAGATGGTGGGTGGCGGGACATCTTCTTTCCATGAGTGTATACCGTAAAGCAAAGGGATGGGTCAGGCCAAAAAGCAAGATCTCACGATTTTGCCAAAAGCGGAACAAAAAACGCTAGCTACAGCTTGGTGGATCGACACTACAGCTCTTTACGTGGCGTGTTCGTTTCAATAACGCAATCACCTGGGTGACATAAAATACTAAACCGTGTGGGTAAACACCCAATAGACGTGTCTGGCGACTACAGTGGCTTTTTTACACTAGTATGTCCAGTATTTTATGACACCTGGGTGCAATGGAGTGAAGATGTGTGTTCCGGCTATGTCGCGGGCATCGCGCACGCCAATTTTTATTGCTCCTGTCGATCTGGTGGCCGTTTGAACTAAGGGGGCTCGCCGGGAATGATCCCGATTAGCAGTTGTATATCTTGGTAACGAGAGGAGACGACGTAACAGCTGCGGGGCTGACAAGCCCCACCCCTCAAATCCAATTGCAAGATAGTGAAGGATCCGCGATAGTCGCTGGTAGATCGAAAAAAGAGGAATGCGAAAAAGCATCGAGATAAAAGCTGCAGCACGTATGTGTTGTAGATCGAGAGTACGTCATGAGCTATACTTGACCTTTCACTTCCATTATCTTGACACCCCTGTCAATCTAGTGTGAAGGACTCTAGGTATGTGTGACCGAGGACGGTAATGGTGTATCCCAATACAGGCAACTTGAAGTTGCTTTTGGCATGCGGCCAAAAAGCCTTGTTGGCAGATGAGGGGCCCGTGGTGGCCAATTTCGTTTACCCCGCCTCTCCTCCGACTCTTTTCTCAACTATGGTTTGCACGGTTTGCGGATGCGGGATACTTTCCCTTGCCAACCTCTCGGCACTGTCAACGGCGAAACGGTCGCTGTCATATAAATGGTCTCGGATGGTTGCCGGACATGCTACGGAGTTTTCCGTTTGTCAAGCTGGCCGATTGCCATGATGAAAAGTGCGCAAGATGCAATGGTGCATTTGCACCCGCCGCCCGTTGAGAGTATACCAAAATAACACACCAGTGATGGAGCTGATAGCAGGTGACGGAAAAAAGCACTGAGGTGAGTTGATGGCCCCCCGAGTGGGGTTCGAGAAAGAAGCAGATAAAGTCGGAGAACATGGCATGTCGGCGTTCAACGCGAACGAGTACGATGGAGGTACAGATCTGCATCCTCAGCTGCGAACAGTCAAGCAGGGCACGTACCCGCAAGCCCCTTACGTCCACGTCCTCAACAGGAACAAACCCCCGTTTTCTTTTCCCTGTGTGACTGGCCGCCCTCGCAACCGTCGACGCTTTCGAAGGTGAAACTCGCTTAAGACCCATATTACGGGATTTTCGGTGTGGGAGCTGGTTGGTGTGACTACACCGGGATAGCCGTTTGTTACGGCTACCCCTGTTGATCTGGTGTGGCTGATGGGTCGAACCGAAGTTCCTCCCGCTCGCCTCGCAATGGATACAGGACAACCAACATCATGCGAAGGGTGCGTGCGTTGCGATGCGAAGGGCTTGCAAAAATCGGACAAATATGACAGGGGAATGTTTGACTATCGAGCATCGGCCGTGGTAACAGCGAAAGCAGGTTGATGAATCTGTCGTGTAGCGTAGTGGCCAAACCAACACGCGCTGATGCCAGTGCTCGAATTGTGTAATAGACATTACCAAAAGTTTGATCTCGAAGACGTTGGTATCAGGGATGAGGGGCTGATTGGATTGCTGGGACCAGATCTAGAACCGCAGCAGTGGTACTGATATTTGCTTTTTTGCATTGTGGACCTGATGCACTTGACATGCCCCGGCATGAATCGAAGACGGAAAAGTGGTAATCGGGCCTCCTACAGCGATACTTCACCATTTCGAGGTAGGCAGTATAATGGCCGGCATATGACCGCTTTGTCTTTCTCAACAGACCATGGACCAGTTGCGACCCGTTCCTGCGCGTTGCCGCCGGCCACGGGTCGCAACCTGACAAGGCGTTTGCAATCTGCACATGTGGCATGATAGTAAGACTGGATAGATTGAAGAGGTTGAGATGGTGTTTGCGGGTTGTGAAGCATGTCTTGAAGAGACGGGGGGAGAGCGGCGGGATGCAGCTGTTTCACATGCTAGTCAGTTCGGGCTTGTTGGCTTTCTGTTTTGCTCCATCTGGTGTCATGTGGGGAGGTTGCAATGTGACGTTGACCAAGGGGAAAGTCCAGACGGTCATTGTGCATGACTTGCTTCTGGTTTGACGTCAGAGTGCCAGTGCTAGTTATAGGTCGGCCGCCGCGTCGGAAACAGCCGATGCAATTCCAGTCAGGTACGACCCATCGCGTTGGGAGAGATGCGAGATGCGCTTTATTGACTGTCTCATATACCTCCACAACGGGGCATGTACATGGCCCAGCTACATGTCGTAGATTCTGCAACCACAGTGGTCAGCGTCGGCTGCAGCGCTCGATAATTTCCGGTCGGCAAAGTAGCGAAGGCGCTGGGCTCTCTTGCCGCAAAGGCACGTCTCAATGTTTCGATATTGGACTTGATTATCCGGCCACACAATTGCCGTCCGGTGACACAGAACCAGTCGTCTTTTTGCGCACAAGCGAGCGGGTGGCTCTGGGGGAGGAGGACGTCTTACTATACTCTTACAGTACATTGTTGGAGATTCAAAGCAAGCGCGGTTGCAACTGCCGTCCTTGGCTGGTGCACGTAGCTGCCCGTTTCGACAGTGTTATCGCGATGCTTTTGCAGCTTGCATAGACACTATGCACAAAGAAAGATCCAAGTTGCTAAGCTGCAGCACCAAAGACGGGTGGGTGTATAGACAATGGAGCTATAGTTATAACGGGGCGGCTTATGGTGAGGGGTAAGACGCCGAACGCACCGAAGCAGCATCTTTGCCGGAAATGGTTCGGAACGAAGCCATCGGTCTTCTAGCGGGATTCACCGTAGTGGGGATCAAGTCTAGGTTTGACTAAGAGCGGATGGGCCTTTAGAATAGCCGAAATGCTGCATGGCGCAGGTGACAAGCCGCAGCCTTAGGCTCGGTTTAGCTTTTGCACATGCGCGTAGTCGACCTGGGCCTGCAGAAGGAACGTAGAACATGCGTGCAAAGAGGTTGGCTGAATTAAATAGCGTAAAAAATTGGTATTGGAGTATAGCCATAGTGTGATACTCGTGCGTCTAGTAGTGCGTGTAGCTAATCAATTGCTCAGCACAATATGCTGTCCCGTGAGACAATGCGGTAACGACAGCGACGCCAAAATCCCATTTTGCGAGCCCAGAGAATCCGCAGTACAAGTAAATGTAGACCGTTTTGGTATCATAGATCCGCGAGAATATGTCAAGGAAATAAAGTCGTCCCAAGTGGGAAGAGCCCAAACGAGGCTCATCTAATCAACCGCCCAAAAGTGTGGCCGTGAATGGAAATAAAGGAGCAAAGTACCAAAGAAGGAAGTGGTATGATACAGGGTATATGCAAACAAGTGCGAAGAGTTAGAAGAGTCGTAGCTGAAATTAATTCTCTTCCATCAGGGCTTCCTGATCGCCCGTTTCGCGCCAGTCTCGTGCGCGTTCGGACAGACGCTTGATGCCGGCAATGCGTTCTGCCCAGAGCGACTCAGATGGCGACCTGAATGTGTAGGCGCGTTGCGATGAGATGACGCCAATGGCCTGCAGCACAGCCTTGCGTGAGTCTCGGCCGAAGACGGCAGGATGGTTGATCCATTCGAGACTGGATTCGAGTTCCGCGTCTAGCGCGTGCATGGTTTTGACGTCAATACCTGCAGCAGGAGTGAAGGGACTATCAGCATGTGGTGAGGGCGTGCGCGCCCGCAAGTCGGCACCGGAATTGTGCGTCGTGGGAGATGTGGATCCCGTGCTGCCTGCCACGCCAGGTGCCTCGTTCCGACGGTGCCCAGGAGGAGGAAGTGGAGGCAGACCCCCCTTGCCAAGCCCCTTTAGGATACTTCGGGTTTCTTTGAGAAGATGGTGTGCTCGTTCGTGTTGGCCTCGTGAGACAAGTGTCAATGCGCGGGTCAGCATGTCGGATGTAAGCAATTCCATACGTCGCTGTACGACGTGAGGATGAGGGGGGATAGGGGGTGTTGACGGCATTCCGGTTGAATTCTTCTTGTTTCCGGATGGTAGTAGGGTAATGGCCAGTAACGATGGCCTTGGGAGCTGTGAAAGGGTGCCTTCTCGGAGTATGTCGCCGTAGGTGAGATCTGCTTGGATCAAGGGTACTTCTTCAACGCTGAGTGTGCGTGAATCATCTTGGTCGAGTGGTCCGCCTAGGGCCTCCAAACCAGACACAATCGACTCCCAGGGGTCCTGAGGGAGTTGCTCGGGTGAGCCCGTGTCGGGCGCAATAGCTAGCTGCACCAGGATATCCCTCTTATCTCCAAAGCGTAAATCACCTAGCGAAGCTTCGGCATCTCGGCCGGTGGCACGTTTAGTGATCTGCAGTGCGCCGCTAATCTTGACAAACTTGGCAGGGGAGCCTTCAGGTAGCCGTAGCTTCAACTTGACGTTTTGGTGCGAGATAGTTTGAAGAGATCCGAGGCACCCTGCTGCACACTCGCGGAGCATCATCCAGTCCTTGACATAGGTGTAGGACGCCTTGGTCCGTGTGGAGAGTTCAATCATAGTGTCGGGCTTGTGCGTTAGTCCCAGACCAAAGGAGTGAATGGAAACCCTAAATGGCAATTAGTATAATGACGTACTAAGAGTGATGAACGATGGCTTACTTGGCAGCCTCGGCGCGGGAGATGACGAAGTCAACGCTTTCAGCATCGGATGTGGAAGAGTCGCTGATGAGCAGAATGCTTGAGAGAGGGTTGCTCGACTTGCGCTGCATCAGCAGATCCATGGCTACGTTGGCTCCGTCAACCACGTCGGCACGAAGGCTCTTCTGTCCTACGGGGCGAATGGAATCGAGCACCTTTGGCCAGTCTCTCCAGGCTTTGCTCGTCATGCCGACAATGGGGACGCCGCCGCCACTTGAGCCAAAAGTGACCAAGCCCATGCGGTCTCGTTCACCCAGGTTGCTCACAAGGAAACGTAGAGTGTCGCGTAGCAAGTTGATCTTCAAACCCTGCATTGACGACGAGACTGGAATGACGACGACAATGTCAACGGGCACGTGTACTGAGGCACCCAGGCGGGGCTCGGATGCACCGCCGCGGGAGGTGCTGTACTCGGTGGGCGCCGTCATGACTGAGCGGCCGGCGCCGTAGGAAGAGTTGATAGACGAGACGCGCTTTGGCCTGCGATAGTCGTCGTCCTCGGTTCCAGAATTGTCTTGATCGTATTGCTCCATTCGGTGGCTGATGGGAAAGTCTAAGCGAATGTCCATGAGGGCGCGACGCCACTGCTCCAGCTGGCCCCTGTCTTGGAATTGAAGGTGGAAGGCGGGTAGCTCTGCTACCGAGAGGCTGAGGGTCAGTATCAAATTGTCCGCCGAGTGCTCGACCTGGTTGAGGTGCTTCTTGATCAGGATCGAGCCCTTGAGAGTGCACTTTGTCTTCTTGATGGGGGGTCCACCATCCCACTGCGGCTGCGGCGCCATCTTCTTCTCCTTTACGCAGATGAGCATTTCGGAGAAGAGGTAGCACTCGAGTTCCTGCCATGATTGCCGGTCCTTGCCAACGCGGATGTGGCCGTGAAGTCGCAAGTTGCCGAAGCGAGAAAAGTCCAGGCCGTGCCAGTTGTCGACGCGGGCGTGGAGGTCTTCGGTAATTTCGTCCAGGGCCTCGGTTGGTTCGTACTGCGGCTCTGCTGACCTGGTGGTGACGGGCGACTTGCTGCGCTCATAGGTGCTCTCAGGTACGCTTGGCAGGGGTGGTGCGCCGCGGATGTCGTCTAGGTTTGGCCGCCACTTGCCCTCGACTACCTCGACCGTGATCAGACATGTCAGGCTCTGCTGTTGCCGCGACCTGCTCAGCGTGGGGAATTCGCTCCGGACAGTGACTGTAGGGGCAGGAATTGGGCTCTTGAGCAGACCACGCGGGCTGCTGAGGCTACTCTCCATGGACTGGACATCGTAGTCGTGCCGCCGGCCATCGTGCGTGGCGGCGTAGTCGTTGGAGGAGGCCAGTCCTGTAGCGCCCGAGTCGCTGCGTCCATGCGCCCGGGACAGGGAGCCGCCGCGGTCGGAACCACGGTCGCGGCTGTGACTGCTGTCTCGCTGACGGGATTGGGTCGTGGGCGGGTAGCGGGTTGAGGCATTGCTGCCGGTGCGAGAGCGAGCCTGGATGTGGTCGTCATTTTGCCTTTCGGACGAGACGGTCTGGTTGTCCCAGGGCGTGGGGGTGTTGGATGCGCTCCGGTGGGAGTCAACCTGGGAGTGCGAGTGCGAGTGCGAGTGCGTCTGCGAATGGGCTGGTGAGGCTTCTTGCTGGGCGGAACGCACAATGGTGGAGAGTTTCTCTGTATGCACATCAGCATGGCCAGCCACCGCAGACTTTGGTGGCAGCCTACCAATATCGAGCACATTTCCGCCCCTGCTAGTATCGAGACCCAGGGTGGCATCACACGTCGGGCAGTGCTGCGACTCGAATTCGCGGATATACTCGTAGAAGCAGGCCTCATGCGACACATGGCCGCACGAGAGCTGCAGTATCCGCTCGCCCCGCAGTGTGTACTCCAGGTTCTCCTCACACACGCAGCATTCACTTCCAATAAACGTCCTCTCGCGCCTGGTCCGGGTGCGCTCAATGTCCATGACGCCGGCCATGGCTCTGCCGGTGCGGGGAGGGGGTTGTGAGCCAGGGTTTGCGTCTGATCTGGCCGAGTGCGAAGTAAAGGGCTTTGCAGTGTGACTACTGCGCGAGCTGGGACGGAGTCCTAGGAAAGACATGAGCGGCCTGAGCTCCCCAGACGGGTCTCAATGGGTTCGGGGAGTGCAGTACTATGGCGGTAGCCTATCGGGGGCTGAAGTCGACAGCCGTGTTTGCCTGGATGTCGTCGTCGTCGTCGGCCAGCAGTCCCAGCTGTCGTCTTTTCGAAGGCAGAGGGTCCTGAAGATGGTTGTGGGGTGAATGAGGACTGCGGGCAGACAAAGAAAGTTCAAAACCGTTCGACATGGAAGGGCCGGGGCTGGAGCAGGGCTCGCTTTTGGATCGCCTCAAGCACGTTTCAGCATTGAGAGAGCCCACGGAGCATGGTTGAAGAGCCCGCGGGCTGGTCGTGTCTTTAGGTTAGAGGGACCAGGTACCGGCAAGGTGCCTTGGCCAGGGTATTGCGCCCGACACGATTCGAGCCGTGGGAACACGGGCCTACTGGGGATCAACAGTGCAGACAGGACAAATGCGATGCCCCGAGCCGTCAACTGGGTCGTCAGACGCAAGAGCCCACTGAAGAGACCACCATGGCGGCGCCAGGGGAGGGCCCTGTTGGAAACTTGGTTACATGTGGCAGCCACTACCGTAAGTACATGTACCATTACGACGAGCAGAGACGTGCATCAGCGCGTTTGCAGGCGTAGGCGTAGGCGCAGATGCAGATGCAGATGCATGTGCAGGCCAAGTACCACCGACGCGTAGTGTGGTGCGCAGCCTCATGGGCCATGGGCATGTCGCGCGACGCCCCTGTACGGGGCACGACGGCGGCGCCCGGGGGGCCCTGGCCACAAGCTGCCGGCAAATAGGGAGGGTTGGCGTTTGCGACGTCAAGCCTCTTCTGCTGCTATTCGCTGCAATCTTACTATTTCTTACTATATTACCATACCGCTGATTCAGCGGCCATGACCTGCCCTGCCTGCCTGCCTGCCTGCCCTGCCCTGCCCTGCCCTGCCCCGTCGCCGCGGGCCCAGCGCCGTTCACTGCCCTTGACGAGTGCTCATCATCCTCTCCTCAGGTACTGTGCGGCCCGTGACCACTTTCTTCCCGGCCTGATGAGCGTCAGCAGAGTCAGGAATCTGCACCGAGCATTCAGGAGGCTCCAAGACATGCCCTTGGGGTCTAGTCGGACATTAACTACCCTACTGCTGTCTGACAGCCGACTTATCCCTCCCGCAACACCTACCTTACTCTCCGAAATCATCCTCTTGGCCTGCCGCGACTACCTGCGACGGGGGGCTGCGCTAGAAGCTTTCCTGCCATCATTGGAAAATGCTCACTCTCACTCACGCCCCTCTCCTAATCTGCTGTCCAGCGTCCCGGAAGCATCCTCGAGTCAGCCTGTACCGATAAACTTTGATCCTGCCCGGGATGCCTCGGAAACGCACCGCTTCCAGAAAACCCCAGTGAGGCCTGTCTCTCGCAACGTGTAATGTGCCCGCCTGCCAAAAGGGGTACGAAACAATTACGACCTGCGTGGGAATCTGCACTTTCATGACATGCCCATTGCCTTCTGACACTTCACACATGTGCATGCTTCTCCAACTTGCACCTGCTTTTCCTGCATCGTCGCTGCCGGGATAGGCCGGCTAGTTGGACGAACCATGCAGTAGCACCACCTTCACGCGCACGTCTTTTCCCCCTACCTAGCCATCTTCTTCTGCCGGGAGTAAATCTTCCGCCGTCACAAGTGCTGGGCCTCACTTTCGTTGGCATACTAAGCTCGCAATGTGACGGTGAGAAGACTTTGCCTCAACATTGGAATCCGCTGCACTGCAGATCGGAAGCCCCCCGTTCTCTCAAAACCCCCCAGTCCTCTCCCACGTCGCATCGGCTGCTCCTCGCTGTAGGTCCAGTAGTTCTGCATCTTCCGGCCCCAGACGGGCATACGGGTAGCGCAGCACATGGTCCGCACGTGGAAAGAACATGATGACGAATGCGAATTGGTGAGATGCCGCATCTCCGACCTACGTACTCAACGTTCTTCACGACAACTGGATCTTCGGATCTTCACCGGGGCTAACATGACCTTCCCTGCTTAGCCAGCACCAAACCACCAACTGGTGCTGCATGACTGCCCACTTGCTGCAATGTCAGGCATACAACCAATGTCACACCCTACTGCACGCACCGTCTTCTACCGCAAATTTTCGTCCTCGTGCTCAGCTGCAGGGCCTTCACAGCCTATGCATCATGGCCCTTCCCATTCTCCCTTTCCTTCAGCACCAATAAACGACTTCTCATCAAACTGCATTTTTAGCCGCTAAACGTGCCGATTCGCTCCGTCCTCGCCTGCTGAAGCGCTACTCGTATAGCGTAGTCGCAAATGATGCATACGATCATGTGCAGACGGCACAGCTTATGCCAACCTTCATACGTACTTCGTCCTCGTCGTCTGAAACAAAGCAGCCTGTCCAGACCACGCTGTGCTGGCTGAATCCTTGGTAAGCAACATTGAAAAGCCACACCGTAGTCATACCGTACGACTGGTGTTGGTATCTGCGAATGATTCAAACAGCACTTGTCATGTCTACAGCAGGGTTGTCATGTCTTACGCCGTCTGGAAGCCAGTCTTTACAGTCCTCTGTTCGCCCTCAGAGCTGGGCATAATATCGCTTATCGTCGTATCAGAGCCACGAATCGAGTTTTCTCGTTACTTCACCACTTGCCAAACGACTCTCCTACATACCAGGGCCAGGATACTCACGACTCCGTCCGCTGTTTATAGAACACTAGACTGGTTTCATTCCAAGGCGTTCGTTTTGATAGGAAATGAGCATGGCCCCTCCTTGTTCTTGAACAGCCCGTTCTGACAATGCATCTATGGGCATCATACATACATCATCATGGCCATCATGCTATGCGACCAGCCATCACGAACATCGATCGGCCACTACGCTTTCTTGCATCCGTCGCAGTTATCCACCTTATGGCTGCTCGTCATGAGGTGTGGTGGACCGCTCGACACTAACGTGGCACGTCCGCAACGCTTCTCGATAGCTTCGCACCTGCTCGATTAGTGTGTGTGCAATTCAAACACCACACCCTACGCCAAACTCGCCAGGAGGCCAGAAGAAGATCACCTCGTTTAAAGCGAGTCGAGTGCTTTTTACGCCGTAGTTGCAAGCCATAAGGCTTATAAATGGGTCCATGACGATCATATCCGCCTCTTCCCGCATTCCGCGCCATCCGACTCCACTCCTTCTCGAAGCTCACCCCTTTGGGCCATGTTTTCCACCCTTTACTCGCCCGTTGTTTCTTTTACCCCTCCTTTTTGCCAGAGCCTACTTGAAAAGCAGCGCGCCTACTCAACGCGAGCAATAAGTAAAATCCGGGGATCTGTGGGCAATATGCGCGTGCGTCATTTTGGTTGTTCGGCCTAGAAAGACTCACCATCGTTGTGCTGTGATCTCTAAACATGGCACAGGTGTACCTCCAGCGCAGTGATCGCTGCTGATGTTCAAGGGGTCCAAGTTGGTGGCGCAGTGTACCGTTATGCCAGAAAACCTTGTGTACAAGAGCAAGTTTGAAAGATACCGGGAGTACTTCGGTCGCACCGTGCGCGGGTGTGGCGGTGCTTGTGGCGCAGCGCTAGTTACTAGATGACACTTGTGGAGCTTTTATTTATGTTATCGGGTTTCCTTGCTATGCTCCTATAACTAGTATCCACGACTAACTTCCATAGCTATCTGCCTATACATGAACCGCTTATCCCCTGCCTTCTCATGCTTGATAGCCACAACCGCATGTATAGCTGGCTTGGTTACTAGGAATTTGTTAGAAAAAACGTTGGTGCCAATTTTGGGGGTGTAGGAAACAGCACTCACGCCTCGAGTTGTTGGCCGGGCGACGTGGCGCATTGGCAATAGTGGGCGGTTACGCATGCATGTGCAAGGTTTCTGTTGCCTTCATCTCTACACGCAAGTTAATGAGTACATCTGGGCATGCATGTATCAGATACTACTTACTTCCAGATGGCACAAACACCACTAGCACATGCGTTCGTCTCTGCCGGAGTGCATTTGCCCGCGTAATATCCAATTTTTGTACCCGCAACCGTGAATGCAAACAGCGCAAGTAGAAGTGGAGATTGGAACAGCATAGTGAAGATTGATAAGTAGGTATTGAGTGTAGATAATAGTGTGTGGATGATGGTGTTTGCGGTGACAAAACAGAAGGCAGTGGATCTCTTTATATATACCTCTCCCCTGAAGTCCGCATGGTTCGGCTGATGGGTGAGCAACATTCTTTATCTAGTCTGATAATCGCTCGTGTTTACGGAGACCGTACGTTCTGCCATTCTCGAGGTGTTGTGGTCGAGGCAAAACTAAGTGCAGTGTAAGAAATTCACTCTCTCTAGTCTCTCAGTAACACTACCAAAGGTTACATAGTAGTACTTGTTAAACTCTTGTACCAATATTGTTGTTATGTTAAAAACTATAGTTAACCTCTTATGAAGCGAAGGCTTCATTTGACACGCAGATATACGCTGGTAAATGGGTCGGGGTTGGGTTGGGGTTGGGTTACCTTAATAGGTAATGACAAGGCAAAGTTGGAAGTCAACCGCGTCGAATAAAATAATGAACTCCTGATCAAATTCAGACCCAT